CTATAACGCTATCTCGTAAGTCTTGGGGGTCGATTCCACGTAGATACACGGCCCACTGGGTCCGTCGAAGCCATGGATTCGCGTCGTCACGCTGACTAGCCTCGATCAACTGGGGCTGTTCTTGTTTTTCGATGAATGCTTGTTCGATCTGATCCAAAACCTGATCACTGAGTACGGTCGGTGCCGATTCGGCCTCGGGGACTGCCTCTGCTCCGACTATACGTACGCGGATATAATAAGACCCTGGCCCCTAGGCAAACGCGCGCTGGCATTGGACCGTAAGCGTAAACTGCTGAATCTGCTACTCGGCGGCCGATGGCCCTGGCGGCTTTCTACCACCGCCATAGTTGATAGGTGTAGTCTAGCTATGTTGATCACGCCAGTGCTGGCGTATAGTCTTAACGGTTCGTCCGATAAACTGGCAAGCTGGGTCTTTTCTACACCAAAGACCGTCGGAGTAAACTGGTAGATTGGGGATTGGCTCGTCTATAATAGCGGGAACGTCCCACTCGATACATTGCTGAATACTGGGCCATTGCTGTATCTGAGTGTAGATACTCTGTGCATTTGCGCTGTTTAAACGATGGTGTGATCCCCGGAGGTGTTGGGTAATAAACTGCGGCCTGACTGCGACCTTGCATTTCTTACAAATGATGACTGGGGCAGTCGAAGGCTAGTGAAATATTTCGAGTTCCATGTTTAGTACTCGCAGAGATATTGTACGTAGATGGAATGGGTGAAATCGTGAAGACTGATCATTTGTATAAAGCCCCTGAATCACTGAATGGCCTAGTGTAAGATACGAATACAGCGTAATCTATTGAGTAGTGGCCGCCATACTTAAGGCCGATACAGTGCTTACGGTATTGACACCCGTCGGTCGCACCCCATCAAAATGATTTCCAATTCTTTGCCAACCAACCACACCCTATCTAGCGGTCCGATTGGGCTATAACTCAAATGGCGGATACTTTGGATACTCTATTAGAACTGAGCAAATTCTGAGACCGATCGGTCCAAGCTTGGCAGCGGCAGTCGGGGGTAAGCCTGGTTCACCTGCAGTGGGGGGTCGGGCCCACTTTTCCTGCCATAGTTAAGAAATAACCCACACCTGCAGGGTGCCCCGACTGCCCCCCCCCCGTGGGATAGGGGTTATAAGGATATTAATATTAGATATATCGTTTCTTATAGACTAGATCGTTGACGGAGACTATTTGTAGCGCTCTTGGTAAGGCTGAATATAAGTCTCTAGGGACTTCCTATAGCGTGGCGCCTAGTAAGGCTCCTATTCCTTTCCCGAGAAGAACGCTAGCTTATTCCGTGGTCCTTAGATAGTCGCAATTGCATAGAGATCGCTAGGAACATCATTAGTTTTCCTATAATACTTAGCAAGCTTATCCCGTGCATGATCTAGCGCTAACTTTATCACCTTTTTCTAACTAACCCTCTTTCGCGCTAGCTAGGCTTTTGCCTTATCAATATAAGTGAACAAGGTATTATAGATGCTAAAGACGTTATAAATAGTAATATCTATGGTTGCTGAGAGAGATAAAGTGAATTTAAAGAAGGGATAGGTGATTAAGAGAAGATAATTAACCTATCGCTATTTATCTTTATCTATCTTTATATTAGTAAGGTTGAATTTAGCATAGAAGCTATCAAAAGTAGACTATAGCTACCGGGCACGCCGGAGCATTAGGAACGTTGAATTCTAGCGTGTCCGAATATCTTGGATAGGCATAAGCTTTGGCTCTTCCGTCTAAAGTTTTATAAAACTCTCACGGCGCTAGGGACTTTCTTTGATATAAACTACGACCTTGCGAACCTAGAAGATAACAGAATAGTTAGTATATAAAATAAGAGAGAAGTAAGAGAACACTAGACCTTGTTAAGTGTAACCACAATCTTCCTATTCTCTTGCTAGGCCCTAGTCCCTTCCTCTACCTATTCTATCTCTTCCCGATCGTTCCGCGGGTTCGTATCTATCTAACCAAGAAGCTCTTTTAGACTAAGCTATATAACATACGCGATATAGGGTATCTAAATAACCGGAATATGCCTAGGTAACTCTAGAGACTCGACGGCCTCTTGAAGACTACCTAGCAATATACCGTTATTAGACGCGTTATCAGTAGTAATAGTCAACACCCGGTAAATAACCTAATGCTTCTTAAGAAGGTTTAGGAGAACTATACTTAGATAGGCCCCTATATACGAGCTATATAGTGGCTCAAAGCTAAGTAAGATCTCACGGTAGTTCCACTCTTGGTCAAGAAAGTAGCCCGTTACTACTATAAAAGACTAGCGAAAAGGTAAGGTCTAGCAATCTAATGTAATAGAGAGTTTTACGCCCTAAGGAAGCTTACGAAGAAGAGTATACTAGCGTTGTTCCACTATCTCCCTAAAGTGCCGGCGGACTATAAATACGGAAGGGATTTTAGGCATAGAGGGAGTAAGTCGGGCTATTTCGATAAGGGCGCGGAATTCAGGATGCTCAATAAGGAGGAATAGTAACCGCGAGGCAGTAATAAAGGTAATTAACCTCTCTATCTAGGCTTGCTAGGTAAAATATAGTCTCTAGGGTGTATGGTGTGCCTAGTAAGAGATTTTTATAATATTAGTAAAGAAAAAGATGAAAGGTAAGAGTTCTATATACCCCGTTTATTATTATCCGTCTAATATCTTGCGACCGAGGCACTAGCTTCCGATAATTGACCCCTTATATATAGTACTTGTTTATATAGGTTGTTCCCCGGTGGCGATCGGCAGGATAAGCTAGGATATAGTTGCAAATCTTATATATAACCTTAGGAGTTCTATCTTAAGCAGCTACAACCTATTTAAAGTGATCCTAGCACTCTGACTAGTGCTTGATATCAAAGATATTCTGTTTTATCTAACTTCTAAACTTAGTCTATAGCCACTATACAATAAAATCATTATTCGCTATCTTAGTCTAGAGGATATAGATCTTCTTTCTTGGAGGGCTAACGCGTTAGAGTGTTTCGGGAATCGGAGGAGGCACTACTAGTCGGGTAAAGTTCACGTTAGGGGTGGAATTTGGCGTGTCACGCCTATCGAGGTTAAATAGCCCGTTAGAAGGAAGGAAGGAGAGGGTATCTATTAGATTATCGCCGAAAATCGATAAGGGATAGTTATCTAAGAACTAAGAGGTCTAGCTCTATGATATTTTGACGAATTGAGTATAAAATAAAAAGGGGGAAGGTAAAGAAGAGAGATATACTAGAATCTTGAGGGAATTGGCTACTAGTAGGGCTAATAGAAGATATAGATAGACCACATCGAATTCTATCTAGTGATTGGATAGAGAGCGCCACTATATCGAGGTTCCTTGCGGTTCGAACCGCAAAGAACCGCGAAGAACCTTATACACCCGTAAGAAGAACCGCACAACCCGCAAGAAGAACCGTATAACCCGCAAGAAGAACCGTATAAGTTATCGAAAAAGGCCTTAAATTCTGAGGTGTGTTAAAAAGTGATACTAAGGGATCTCGAATATAGGTTAGAGATACCCTTAAATTCTGAGGTACATTAATAAATGATACTAAGGGATTTATCTATACTTGTGAGGGAATTAGTAGTAGAGAGGTAACTTTCTGACGTACGTCAGAAAATATAGCTATATTGCACTTAATATTGTGATACTTCAAATATATATTTCCGACTATATACATCGAACAAACTACACCTTTTACTAGAACTCGCAACAATATTACTAATATATCCTATTATAAGGGTAAGTAGGTAATTTCAATGCTAAATAATCTATATACAATTATATTTCATCAAATTTCAAAACGGTTGGTGGTTATTTAGGATAGATAGAAGGGTAAGACCAAAACAGTGTTTAATAACCGTAAATAATAAAGATGATTTATCAAATTATACGTCCAAAAGAGGAAACTCTTGGCAAAATTATGCATTCGCGGGTCTATAAGGGTCGACCCGCTTCCGAACCGCATAGACCCGCGGGGCGGTGCGGTTCTAAGATAGGATGGTTGCGGGTCTACGAGGGGCGGTTCGTGGTTCAAAAATTTAGAACCGCCCCGCCCCATCTCGAGGCCTACCATAGCAAAGTCTGACCTTTCTGAGCCTAAAGAACTATAACTACTTATTTAAGGTTGATTCTACGCGTTTATAGCTTTGAACACACTCTAGTTATACTAGAAAAGTATAGTGGTTCAAGGTATAGATCAAAACCGATGTAAAAAACAGTGAGTTATCTTGATAACTGAGCAGTTTTATGATTGAAATAATGCAAAAGTTGGGCCGAGTTGGGTCCAAACTGGGTTTACTGGGGGCCTAGTGCTGGGCCCGGGTTGGGTTCTGGGCCGGAACCTTGGGCCCAAAATGGGCTTTGCGGAAGTCTAGGGGTAATGTGACGATGTGACTTGACGATGTGACCGATCACGTGATATTGTCACGTGGAAGGATTGTGATTGGCTAGCGGAGGTTGATTTAGTCTCTCAGATAGCTCCGCGCCTCCCCTCCTCTTCTTCTTCTCTCCAGTTTAGTGTCTTAGTGAATGGACCCTCGTACCTCTTGGCTTGCTGTCTCACATTGGTAGTAGCTTAGGAGTATCAAGGCAGGTACTAATTACCAACTACACGTTATGAACAAACGGCACTAGCCCATAGGGTGCAAATACTTTAACAGATTCATAGTGTTTTATGTGTGCGGCCGGGAAGTTCACAATGTATTTAAACTTTTCAAGGCGCCTGGTCCTTATGGTATGAACGAATTATTCATTGTGGGATCAGTGGCCAATTCCAAGCTCTTTCTTATTAAGAAAACTATCAACATGTTCTGTTCTCAAATGCGTCTCTCTACACAAAGTTTGAACTGCTTGTTGCCTGTCTGAAAATCTCATAACACCCACAGTGATAAAAGAGAAAAGCACAAATTCAACGAAAAGCCCCGGAAAGCAAAGTACATTCACTTCCGCGAGAGCCATCCATGCTGGTCAGTGCTGTGCATGCTCATTGAGATATCTTATAGTACGGCCAACCTTTGACAGTATTGGTCTCGTGCACTAGAGCACTTAAAAAAATCTTCTCTGAAGATGCATTCTTCTTTGTTGCTGCATATGTCTCATTTGAGTTAGTGGCACTTGACTTAACGAAGTCCAAAACAGGCACATTAACAAAGTAGCCGAGAAATGGTCGAGTCTTCTTGCCTTGAAGGGATTTAAGAATAGCTGAAGAGTTCGGGTAGGTGATATATCCACTAAATTGATCCCGAAACCAAGTAGCCGACTGTGCAAAGTCAAGCGATGTAATTTTGTACTTGGAAAGCTTATCGAGGCCTCGAACTCCCACCCACTTTTGGTCTGAGAGGTTGCTGATGTTCTGGGCAATGATAAAAAAGTAACACGTGCCATTTTTGTCACATGTGCGGGCTGTTTTATCAAGTATTGCCAGATTCATGGCAGATGGCTCTTGGCCATTCACCTTATTAGGCACCTTGACAATAAAAACGCTATCCAATTCCCAGGCGATGTTGATAGCAGAAGTTGCCAGTCCGATGATGGTCGCCTTCTTCAACAATTCTGCAGAGTTTTGAAGGGCTGTTCTTATGCTGTCAACGTCTTTGAAATCGTCTTTGAAACTGGTCATAGAGTCAGTATCAAAACATATGAAAGTGATGCCACAGTTGTACTCACATTCTTGAAATATCAGATTGAGTAGCAACGAATAGTCCAGATGCAAAGGTATGTGCGGTGCCACGAGCCTCAGTCCACATTGAAGATGGGCAGCAGCCAAAGGAGCAATTTAATGTTGCCAGGGAGGTCTGACCCAGGCTAAGATAGCTACTAATTCCCCTGGCATTCAATTTTTAATGAGTGAAGTCTGTCACAAAAGCCGTAGCCCGGGTTTGCGACTGCGTCCATGACTTGGTGATTCTCTCGCCAATCTTGCTCCACCATTCACGCGATTTTGTGATTCCCAGTTTAATGTATTTAACTGCCGGCTGAACAACATTTTTTTCGCAGCTAGCGGTATCGGAAATGTCGAAATAACACTGGCTGATTCCGGCTATGACGCTGAAAGTCTTCCCGAACGAAAGAGTATCGGATACTGGTAGAGGTGGAATTGTTGAAGTAGGCTTCCGCACTGAATAGCATCAGCTCAAATTCTCTTCCGGTCTTACTTTGAGTCTCTCACTACAACTTGGCCCATTTAGCCAGATCGAGCTCATCCGTGCCATTATTCAGGTTGACATTATTGAGCGGACTCGTTGGCTCTGTACTTGCCACTGGATTCGTTTGGGCTTGAGGGATGTTTTTTGCTGTCGCTGTGGCCTCGGAAATATGATTCCCGGACCTTTGAATGTGATGACCAGGGATGGCCATTGCCCCTGCGACTAAATCATGCATCAATATGATAGCAGGGCCACCGACAGGAACTCATAGATGACTCACCAAGCAGAAAACACAGATAGATGTAGTGCATGATGGGCGAGATGAAGAGGTTCCTCAAGGCCGAAGAGATGGGACAGGGTCGGCTAAACGCAAAACAATGATGAATGATCTGGAATATTGTGATTGAGAGAAGAATTCCGTCTTTTATAAAATTATGTCCAATCCTTCCCGTTACATGAGGCATGCTTCGCGCAACTCTTATGAGTGACGATGATGGAAACAATGTTGGTCCCATGTTCGATGGCCCCCGTTGCCTAGTTGGGACTGCGCTGCGAGATTGGCGTAACTCAACATTCAGCCTCTGTGAAATAGGACTAGAAAATAGTGGATAAATTGGCATATGAGTGTCTCTTTTGGCTTGAGAGATCGACTTAATGGGGTCGGATATGAACGTGGACTACTTTCGAACAGCTACAAAAGGCTAGAAGACTAGCGCGCGTGTCCGCCATACGCTTCCCTATTCGGGTATGTGAGATGCTCGGCCAATTATTGCTTCTCATAGTTTGCGCTAGCCGTCCCGTCCGCGATCACTCCACTCCCGGGCTATGCGGCTAAATCAGTACGGACTATTTGGAGTCTTGGAAACTCTACTCCCCATCTAATCAAAGGACGCAGCAACAATCACCCTCGCTCGAATGCGGTATTTACGCCGGTGGCCTACGTCACGGGACCGAGCATTAAAAGGCCGCTCCGCCTGGCAGGGGAGGTTTTTAGACTGATAATGGTTCTAGAAAAGAAGATAATGTGGACCCAACAGTATGTAAGTGCTGACCCGGTGTTAGGGTCCGAGCGTTAAGTCACTGCCACTCAGCCGGCAGATTGGTCTATCTTTACTATATCTTCAACCAGGCGCAGCGCAATTGAGATCCCCATGTTCTGACCCAAGTCTTGGAGACGTTGGATAATCCACTTTCGAGTTTCACCTTTGGTAGCCGGGCATTTTCCTACCATGTACAAACACCAGGTGAGGATATACCCGCCTGACACACTACCACGAAAAGAGATATCGACGGAGGGAGAATGTTCAGAAGACGAGGATAAAAACTCCAGAGCCTGTGGGATGGTAGCTAGAATATCGTCTCCCAGCCTTGACAGGGTTTGCATTATCAGTTGGAGCTTCAGCTTCAGAGACTCCTGGGCGGTCGTTATTAGGGTAAGATCAGTGACGAGAATCTTGTTCAGAAGATATAACGAAATCTCACAGACAATCATGTGAAGATTCCTCAGGTTGTTCCAGACTCGGATTGCCCAAGGATCCCTATAGAGATCAACCCGCCCGTTATGAATTAATTTTGACGCCCCACCAGAGTCCAGGGTGATTTCATAGGGCTCCTGTATGGCGAGGAGCATAAGGAGAGATTGAAATTCCCGCTCCAACAAACTCGCTTGTTCCAGGTATTCAGGCCACGGGATTTCCCCCGTATTCTCCCTCACGCCCATCAGAAGATTTGCGCAGCGCGTGCCTAACACGCCCAGGAGCCAGAATGCACCCGAGACGTCCGTGTGCTTGGCTGCCTCTTCTTGCAACTCAATCATGTTCTGTGGAAAGGGTTTCGCACTATGAACACAGTCAAGCACCAGATCCGCGCGAACTTGATTAAACATGAGGATTGTTGCCGGGCTGGTAAATTGGCTCTTGCCCCGGGCAACTACCAATGCTGCAGCGCCCTGAACATGTCGAGCCCACGACTTGTACTCAGAGACGTGCTCAAATACTCCCAACGAGATCACCGACATCAGGGTGCTGTCCTTGATGGACTCGACCGGTGATGACAACGCGGTATTCACATTGCAGATGGCCTCCATGTATTTGGTGCGCGCGAGATTTGCCAGCTCGGGTTGTTGAGTCAAATTGGCCAGTGCCACGAGACCTACGGCCGCCATGCTAGCCACCAAAGTCGGGTTCTCCCCATCGTTGTGGTAAACAGAGGGAATGTAATTAAGACATCCACGCAAAGAGGAATGGCTGACAAAATTACAGAGAAAATAATTAACACCTATCTCGTCGGCGCTGGGGCTCAACGTGCGAGGGGGCGGGACGTCGTGGTTGCTCTCTTTTTCCTTGGATCGCTGAATTGTATGGTGAGTCTGATCGCGGAAGACGAGGTCCCATTCGTCACGGTACCCAGGGCAGGATTGACGCATTCGAACACATTGTCCACAATGAGGAGACTGCTGGTCGCACTGTGAAGAAGACAGGGCAGAATGAGCAATGGCCTCCAGTAAATATCGAGGGCAAGCCAAAGAAAGGAAATTCAGAGTGGAACCTACGCGTCGCTTGACAGCCCTGCAGTTCCCACAGCTCCTGGAGGCTCTGATCGTAGAGGCAGTAGACTGAGAGCGCGCCTTGCGTATGACGGAGTCGCTTTGGTCGCGGAACATCAAAGCCAGCTCATCGCGATATCCCGAGCATTCCCGGTTAGTTCGAGTACATTCCCAGCACGCGGGGCGCGCTTGGTCGCACCGGATCTTACGCGAGCGGCAGTTACCGCAGCCTTTACTCGGTTTGCCATCGTACACCATTATTCAAAAACAACCAAAAAAACTATAATGATGAGGTGAAGCGACAAACATAAGAGGGGAAGGGGAGATGGAATGTCAATCTGCGGCTGAAGGGCGCGGATTGAGCCCCCACGACAACACAGACTAATGATAGGATCTAACCCATCAGGGCTAGGGACGACGGTTGCAAAGCGGAACGCGTGGCCTGCTCTATAGAATAATTACATCTATGAACAGAATGTTCATAAATCTTGTATGGCATCGGTATCAAGTGGTAGAAACCTACATGCATGTGCTCCGTACGCGCTGTTGAATGAGGTACGTCTCACTCCAACGGTACTATCCATTGAAATGGGGATGGCACGATTGCAGTCTGGCATAGCAGACGGGTCGATACCAATGAAGAAATCACACATCAACCACCCCCATGGCCTGAGGTAGACGTGGAGGGTAGTCTCTGAAGGTGTGGATCGTACCAAGCCTGATGTTAGATCATGAATCAAGAAGTCTAGTGGAAATTGAAGTCATATTGGATGGTTGGATGATACTTCCAACTCTTTTCTGAGAAGACTGCATATCTCCCGAGGCATTTGTGATACCTCCAGCCACTTAATGTGCTACTGTCACTGGTTCCACCACTAAGCCATGAATTTTGGTCAATAACTGAGTTTTTGTTTGAAATATATATATCGGGCAAATAGTTTTCTAATGGAGTCACAGCGAAATATCATGAAACGTATTGTCTGACTAGGCGCTTCATGCATCTGATACACGCGAAAGCTCATGGTGCGCTGCAGCTTGAAGCTTTGCGGCGTTCGTCTGCTGATTTAGACGTCTGATGCGAGGAGAGCCTTGTCCCCGGAAAGCATGAGCCCAACCCGTCATATCCAATTCAGCCTCAGTGATGGAAGATTGAGGTTTGCCGATGAAATAAAGTGATGATGTTAAAATTGATATCAAGCTTTTCAAAGAGTATCCCCGCCAATTGCGGCTTACCCGGACCTGCGCTATCAGGCTTGGCCTCAAACCTAGGATATTGGTCTGCTAACTGACTTAGACACGTGTACTCACCTATTGCGGAGTCAAATGCAGCTAGGTTTGGTGTTTCTAGGTAGACTGTATCCTTCCGACTAAGATTACCAATTCTGGAGCCTAAGGCGGGGCCCAAACTAATGTATCACTTCATCATTGTGCGGAGTGAGGACTTGTATGGGACGCGGCACGCATCCCCTTCACAGAATTAGTGCCTGACTAAGCATGGTTTCATCAATTCGCGAGGTCTCAATCGCCTATGACAACCAAATAAAGTCAATGACCAGAGAAAAACGCCCCCAAAAGCTTGGTATTGTCCAGATGTCGGCGACATTCAGCAGTAATATACCCCGCTTGTAAAAGAAGAAAGCAATTCCAAGCCGTGGGACGCTAGCCACGGGTAGATAGACAGTTAGACTCATCGAGTCATTGGTTCGCGATTATCACGGCTGCAGGACACCTCATTGGTATCCGAGGACTAACAGACAAAGCGCGGATGTGGAGTTTACGGAGTGCGAGGCTTCGTGCTATCCAGCATGATCTGTTGGACTGCAAGATGGCCCCCTAGCTTTAGCTTGGGCGCAAATGCGGTGTAGAGATTTGAGGCTGTAATCCTGTCTTGGCGCTTTGGACACGAGCCGCTAAACCGAAAATGGCCGCAATTGCGAGAGCGAATCAGAACTTGCATAGAACGAGTTCGGCTTGATCCTACTGTATATTCTTAGAAGTACAGGAGAGCAACGGGAGCTGGCGACGATCAATTCACAAGTTTATAAATGTCTCAGGGTAGGCCGACGGCATCTACAGAATTGACAGCTTAAAAAAATCTCGCCTATCATGGCAGTCACCTACCGCAATGGAATTTCCATCTTAGAATTGATCGCCTACCTCCCGTCTTTTTTTGTGGCCACTTTCCTAGTCTACCGCCATGGTGTACGGAAAAGTGGTGGTTTTGTCTTCCTCGTTATATTCACGATTGTTCGTATTGTTGGCGCGTGCTGCGAGCTAGCGACCATCAACAGCCCATCAACCGGGCTCTATACAATAGCTGCAATTTGCAGTTCTATCGGTTTATCCCCTCTGCTGATGACATGCTCGGGCCTACTTTCAAGGGCGTAAGTATTTTATACCTACTATCGTGAGATGCATTTCCTTACAGTCAACAGAAATCAATCTATGCCCCGTCCCCGTATTCACCATTTTGCTTTTACCTTTTTCCGGGTTGTCACCATTGTTGCTTTGGCTCTTACAGTCTCCGGACTTACATGGAATATGACACTGGACGGTCTGAAGCATCCAAATATAGTGGCCAAAGTCGGCATGAGCTTATACCTTTGTGACTGGGTTGTGATGTGCATACTGCTTGGTATTCTATTCTTATCTCGGTCTTCAATCGAGAAAGGAGAGAATCGTACTCTGGCAGCAGCAGCCGTTTCGGCACCGTTTATACTTGTGCGTATCATTTACGACATGCTGCTGTTCTTTCTTGCCAACTCGACTTTCAACATAATCGACGGAAGTTATACTGTTCAGCTATTTATGTCTGTCTTTGATGAGCTCATTGTTGCTTTCGTTTGCTTGGCTGTTGGCTTTACTTTGAGGGTTCGGGAAAAATACTGGAAGTCGGTCCCAGACCTTGATGTGGCATGATTGTATAGGTTATATTGTTTGGTAGTATTTTTATTCTATTGCTTAGGTTCTTGCTCAGATATTTGCCTGGTTTCGGTATAATTATTTCGGTTTCACAGCAAAATTCGACTAGGAATTCCTCATTATCCTAATAGCTCATAGGTATAATCTCTGTCTTTCGGAGATTCACTAACAAATTGGGTCTCGGGCTATGCCAATGTGCTCGAGGCGTGAACACCCAGTCCGAGGGCTTGCTGCGCGTTCCTTTAGCCAAAAGTTTAATGTCCTCTCGCGTCCCTTATCTTATACATGTACCTACACTACTGCAATGGGTACATGAAATCAAACAAGAATGAAAAGAAAAGAATTTTGAAAAAAAAAGCAAAAGCAAAAAGAAAAAGAAAGGAAAATCCCAAGTACCCAACGCTAGGCCAGATTTGAATGCAATTCGGCCCCAATGTCCCTTATCGACAATCTGGGGCCAAGTTTGATGCGGGGTCTTGGGGAATTAGATTCCTATAGCACTGAAAATAAAAACCACTTATTATCAGCGCTAGTTAAAATCGGCAAGATCTCCGGTGTCTGTGAGCACTGCTTCCAAGATCTCCTTCCCATCAAAGCCATGGGCAAACTCGTTGTCAAACTCAAAGAGGCAGGCATTGGCTTGGCTTCTGAAGCTATTTATGCCGCTTGGAATCGCTCGTCCCACCAATACTCGATCTCTAATTCTTCCACCGGAATTGCTTCCACCAAGCAAAGCAGTCAGGTTATCCTGGCCGATGAAAAGATTAGCAAAGAGCTCATCCAACCTACGCTCTCCACTGAAGGCTATGTCAATCATGATTATGTAGAGTTGCCAGCAGTCAGCGAGCCATCTATCCACCAACAATACGCAGAGCTATCTGCAGCGGTCGAGCTATCTATATATCAACAATATGAAGAGCTACTATCAGGGTACTTCTACGATGATGGATGTGTCCATCAACAGAAAGGCAACAGTCACTGCCACCGACCCAAAGCAAGACTTGGACGGGTATAATGATTCAGTCTACTCAGTTGATATGCAGCATGAGATTGATCAAGCTGAGGCTGTCTGGGCACAAACGGAGAACTTGCAGCATGCAAGACTACCGACATATGAAGAGTCAGAATGGGCTGATGCCCCATTGGCTAGGGTTAGAGAGGCCACAGAACGTCAGAGACATCATGTCGACCACCCTTCAATTCAAACTGAGGCACGAGTTGACCGATCCCATGGTTTGACCTCTCCTGTGGTCATTCCCCAATGGGGACCAAGCATGGAAGTACCAACTTTTGAGCGCGCTTATGCACCTATATTAGGCAATTGTGGAATCTGTCAGGGTGTTTTCTTGAGGTTTTTGGAGGAATTTGATCAAGCGAAAATTGTATGTTAACACTCGCCTCTACGATAAATCTCCCTGAGTCCCGGTTATACATTTCTAATGGGAGATTTAGGATTCACGGTGGCTCGATGTTGTCAGTGTGGCTGCGGATATCTAAGCCTAATTTCCTGAGTTAGCGTCGTTTGTGACAGGCCTTTTAGTTGAAGTTGCAGCAGGAGCCGTTCGTGTGACACAGACTTCTTCTCGCGCAAACACGTTTCTGGATTGGGCAAACCAGGAGTTATTTATGTCCAACGGTCTTCATGCTGCCATTTTGCAGTTCAAATATGATGTCTCCGGTGAGCAACAGGATGGCCTGAGTGTGCTATCTCAGAAACTTGGCAAACCACTTTTCACAACCGAGAAAATTGATACCAATCGACCTGTCACCGCAACAGGATTCAAACCCCCTCTAGCCTCCCAGAAGGTTGAAATGCCGCTAATTGCGCACTTGATTTACCCTAACTTGTGTTCCGGGGAGCTACAGACCGTACATGTTAAAAGCGCTGGGTCCTGGGCTCAGGATCATATTGAGAAAAAGGCTCAGTCTTCAAAGGTTAGTACCATCAACATTTTAACAACTTCTCTACTTCCAGCATAGCTCATGTCGACTAGGGACTCAAAGATCCTGCATGCTGCCTTGCTACCCCTGGATCAAGTGAAAACAGAGTCACTTCATGCTATAATGATATCAAATATCCAGTAAACAACCACAATCTTCTGTCGGCACTAAGCGGAGGTCGGCTTGGCAAAAAGCCAGGCTTAATCCAGCGAGCAGCGGCTTCTATCAAAGAATCTTAGCGGAGCTCTCGATTGCAATCTCAAGAGAAAGAAAACGAGGTTGCTAGTAGAGCTATATATCCAAATATTCCATATTTGATGGTTTTGAACAGGCTTAACGAACATAAGCGACAGCATTCGGTTTCTCTATTGGAGGCAATTTTCTGAACATGGCAGCGCGCATTGCGCTAAAATCTAGTATTTGGTATCGACAGGATCGAGTGAAGCAAATGCATCATTGAGAAGTAGAGAAACCACTATGTGAAGTAAACTTTGAAAGAGTGATGATCGTTTATTTCGCAGGCATCATCAGTCTGGAACACCGTCGTAAATGCCATAATTCTGAATCTTTTTTCTTTTTTGGCAATGAAATTTTACTAAATCTATATTCATGTTGATGGTTGAATATCATATTAATCCATGTTATTCAATACTATGGATCAGTATGTGTCTACTATGGTAATCAAATGATGGGTCGTGATATGACGAAATGGATAACTTATTGGTTCGGTGGAGGGAACGAGCTTCCACAGTAGTAATGTACCTATTTTTATCGGGAAAAATTGATTGGCATAACATTTTAGGCACTTCCGACAAAAAGAATAGATATCAAATGCATACTTAACTTGAAATTTCGCAAGACTCACGGGCCGCGATAGCCACATTCTCCTGGCTGAGACTTCATTAGTTTCCCGGTTCTTGTTTTGTTATTTCTAGTAACTTAGAACATTTAAAAAAAGTATCCACTAAATTGCTCATTGGTTCTCGCAATTCAAGCCGCAAACGGCTTAGGGGATCGACATGGGGGCCAAACTGCAGTAGCTAAGCCTCGTAGTTGACAGCCGACATCACTTCAGGTACCTGGCCCCCAGCTATGCTTTGGGGGCTTGGATTATGCGGCTAGCCGGAAAATCCTTTCAAATGTAAACGCAATGCGTGGGGTATAAAGGCCGACTGCTCGCAGCCGTGTTTTTCCCCTGCACACCGTCTAGCTTTTTTTCTTCGTTTTCCTCAGTCTTCATTACCATGAAACTCATTTCTGCGGTCTTTCTGACCACCTTTGCAGCAGTAGCACTATCTGCACCTTCTGTAACAATTGATTCTGGTACCATCGATGGTGGGAAATGCGCTGGGGGTCCAGATGCAGTCTTCTATAAGGCAATCCCTTATGCCGAGCCTCCGGTTGGAGAACTACGCTTTGAGCCCCCAAAGGCATACAAGGCAAAGTTTCCCCGGGGCAAAATTGATGCAACAATGTCCGCCCCGACCTGCATTCAATTCTCGGATGACTTTACTCCTACGAAATTAAACTCATCTGCACTTTCCTCTGAGGACTGGTAAGTTAGCGCATTGCCCTTTTTTGTTTCCCCTGTTCAATGTGGTGGCCTCTGCTGACTTCGATGCCTCAAGTCTATACTTGGATGTGTGGGCTCCTTCTTCTGCCACCACTGGTTCAAACCTTCCAGTGAAAGTTTGGGTCTACGGTGGCTCAGAGACAGAGGGCTCGGTCTCAGATCCCCTTTACGACGGCTGCAACACCGCCGATGCCGGCTCAATCTTGGTGACAATCAATTACCGACTTGGGCCGTTGGGCTTTACAGCTTTGTCTAGTGCGGGAATATATGGTAACCAAGGCATTCAAGACATCCTTCTTGGATTGCAGTGGGTTCAGGAAAATATTGCGGCCTTTGGCGGTGACCCGGTTTGTCAAGCCTCTAATGTTATATGAAATCTGGACCGTAAAGCTAATGGGAAATATCAAATGCAGAAAAAGGTGCTCCTCTTCGGGCAATCAGCGGGTGCTGAGAATGTCTATATCATTGGATCCCTTCCTCAAGCACCTGATCTGGTCAATAGCATCATCTCAGAATCTGGTGGTGGTAGGAGCCTCGTTTCCAATGCCACTCAGCAAAGAGTTGCAGCATCATATTCCCAAGTGCTTAAATGCAGCCCTTACGATGTAAGTATAGGCATGGGCGAGATCTAGCTTAGATGATACTGACAGTCTACACAGAAAGCGTGTCTGCAGTCCAAGACAGTTTCCGATTTGCAAAGAGCATACAGTAACGATATTTTCCTTACTCAAGGAGTTGGATATTACGGTGCACTGGGTGTTACTAGCCCCAAGAGCCATGTTTTTTATCCTTATGTCGATGGCAATGTCATCCCTAAGGACCCTTACGATAGTGGTGTCAATGTTCCAACAGTATTCGGATCTAGTATGTACACCACCATGCTTGAAGGCTTTTAAGATAATCATCTAACAAATGGCATCTGGCAGATTCCAACGAAGGTACAGTTTATGCTATCGAGTGGGCTGCATCCAACCTCAAGAAAGGGATAGAAGCATCACCATCTATCTATAAAGATTTCCTCCGCCGAGACTTTGGCGATGCCGCCTCGCTGGTTGGAAAATATTACAAGCCAGCTGACTTTGAAGCCTATGCTGCACCTATCGCTGCGAGTGGCAAGCTTCCTGGTTATAATACGACCTCACTCGCCATTGTCTTTGCTATGTCACAGGTCGTAACCGACTCCACGTACAAATGCCCTGCATGGTATGGTGCGGTGCAAGCCATGCAGAAAAATATCCCGACATGGACATACGAGTTCCAACACTCTCCCAGTTGTTCTTGGCTTTCCACAATCCCCCAGAAGGCGGTTTCCTTTTTTGGCAGCACTCACACCGCTGAAATTCCATACGTCTTCGGTAACCTAGACAACGACTACATTGTCAACGGGACCTGCAACTCAACATCTGCTGAGTATAGCCTCAGCAGACAGATGATGAACGCTTGGAGCGCAATGGCAGAGAATGCCGTTCCGTCGACCAAGGACATTTCTTGGCCGCAATTTGCGTCGGCGAAGAACCTTTCAACTCCAGGGATGATATTTGGGAAATCATCTGTACCAGGCATGATTGATTACTCTGTTTGTGACGTGTGGACTGAGGTTAATGCCATACTGTCCGCTGGCAATGTTACAACCACAGGAACACCGACTAGTCGTATTAGCAGTCCGACATCCTCGTCAACCTCGTCTCCGACCTTCAATGCAGCAGCAAACATCCCGCCCACACGTCAAGGGATTGCTGTTTTGGGACTGCTGGTTATGGGCTCTGTCACATTCACCTGAGTGAACTTTATTCTTGGAGGGCTGGTCTCCATGGCGGTTTCAGCTGCCATGAAGGTCTACTAGGCCCGTTTTACTGCAGAATATGGCAATTCCTATTGCTTATGCACACTTAGATTGTTGTTTGTTTCTGTTGAACTTCTCTGTCTCTGTCATTAAAGCTCACAGGATTCAATGATGCTACCCGTTCACATATTGAAAAATTGGCCGAGTTACCTGACGCCAGAATAATGACAGTGTCCATAATAAGACTATTGGATGCTTTTTTTTGTTTTTATAGAAAATCAGACAAGCTTTATCACAATTGTACCTTTCCTTGAACAGTTATGGATTTACTCGCGTTCGTGCCTCGTTTAGAGCACCTGTTAGATTTTACTTCTTGTAGAGGCGATTGGACTAACGCAATGGCAGGCTTGTCAGTTGCGACGTGAGGATAGCTTTGCTTGTCATTTTTCTTGATGTCTTCATCGGACTTGCCAAGGTGTGATTAGTGTGTAACAAACTTAATCCAGGGGGATCCTTGGATTGGCATCTATTCTGAGCTTGGAACGCTTTTCAGGCAACTTGTAGTATTGATGGCGAATTTACTGAGATGACATAATTCGCACCTGGCTGGGCACTCACGAATAGGTTCTAATTAAAGGCAGGCTTGACATTCGGCCAAAATAGACAATGAGGAGTGGAGCTTTACGTCGTTGCAGGTGACGGGCTCTGCGGGTTCCGGAATACGTTTTTAGGATCAATGTTCTCTTTGATCTGTTGCAGTCGTGGTAGATTGGTACCCCAATATGCTTCCGGGCCATTTGGCATAAGAGAATCGACATAGCCGGTGTAGGCAGCATAGGGGCGTTTGTCGTTGGCAACAAGTTCATTGACATGATCAAGGAAGTCAACCTGGGTCTGTGATACTGGTCCAAAAAGGTTGATTGTGTAGGACTGCAGCCAGATAAGCACATTACGATGGGCGTAGGACGTCGCGCTAGCAGGAATATCGCTGGTGTAGCCTCCCTGGAAATCAAACAGCAAGAACCATGCCAGAGTGCCCTTATCGGCAGAATCAACAAACTCAAACATCTCGCCAATGGTTTCAGATGTCATCAGGTTCTGAGGGGTCCACGAGCTGGATTTGGAGTAGAAATTGGTTGGGACTCCAGCTCCCAAATCCAGTATGAGGTCCTCAGCCCAATGACCAACGAGACCAAGCCAGTCTTGAAAGACTATGGCGCTGCCGTTGGCTCCGGGAAATTGGCTATCAATCTGGAGATTGTCATATTCTTCTTTGGTGCCAAAGAAGGTACCAGTAATAGCCATAGTATCCTCGAACAGTGTTAGTGTAGAAGCCAACTTCCTAGTCAGCTTCGGATTGGACATATATGCCTGCCAGTTCTTGAAGAGAGTAGCTCGCCTTTTAGTGCTGCCAGCCTTGATGCTGTATGCATACTGCACTGCACTACCGGGCTCAGGCTCGGTCCGAACTTTGAACTCGGTGACAATGCCATAACCCGAAGCAGCCCCCTTGATAGCCCAGAATACATCCTGGTTCTCCGTGTCAGATGCTCGAACGATGGTTGAGTTCGCAAGAACAACCTCCACCTCCACAATGTGGTCCAAAGCAGCACCGAATTGCCGCGAAGTCGGGCCCAAGCCACCGATTGTGAAATGTCCACCAGAACCGACTTGGGGGCAAGTACCATGAGACATGGCTCGTCCGCCGGCGTCGTGCAAGCGCTGAGTTACATCGCCCAATAGATTCCCAGCCCCAATGGTGGCCTGCCAGTTTGTACAATTCATGGAGAATTGTTGAAGCTGCTTCAAGTCCACGACGACAGCACCATCGTCTCCCCCAAGACCTTATCATATCATGTCAGTTAGAAGATCAAACCCACTCTGTCCTCAGATTACTCACAGTAGTTCGCATAGCTGTGTCCTCCGCTTTTTGCCTGTACTGAATAGCTATTATCTGCCGCGCACTTGACGATGGCTGCCACCTCCTGCGAAGAGCTGGAGATTGTGAGCTAGGCCCACTAAGTGGGTTTGATCTCAATGACACTAACGTGGTGACAGTCACCGCAGCTGGTGTCACAGGGATGTTCAGATTATATCGATTCGCGGCGGCCTGGAAGAGGAGATCGCCGGCAAAGGTGACAGTTCCACTATCAGTCAAAGCATACTTGAGGCATGACTTTAAGGCCTCGTCAGCACTTGCAAGTACTGCCGATGCGGCTCCAAATGCGAGAAGGATACGTCGCGGAACCATTTTTGGTGTGCAAAATATAAAGACTCATCCACAGCAAGCCGAGACCGGCCTAAGGGCCTTGATATATACATTAAGCCGGTGGGCGGAGAATCTGTAAATGGGGCATAAGCCCCTCGACGATTTATTGACTTTTTTCATGCGACGAGCCTAAGATAGAGCGAATGATGGCTCACAGGGACAAGCGAACTGAGGACCAGGGGAACGTGGAGAACAATCTTCCGCCCAGCTCAGCTTAGCTGCATTGAACCAATGAAGGAATTGATAAACATTGGAGCTCGGTTCCTGGAAGATCCAACGAGAACATCCAATGGTGAAGTCGACGTGAGGACTAGGGGTGTCCACTGGGGGCCGGCGGAAATTATGCTAGTCCAACTAGATTTCCCTCAGGCATGATCGTCAGGACGGGTAGAGGCCTATTGCCTGCAAGAGACATTGCTTCCTCTTCATGCCGAGGCGAATCAAACATCCAAATTGGCCCCGGTCGTTCCATGTGAGAACAATGGCAATTACAGCCTTCTTGCATCGCCCTTTCCAGTCGCAGCTCTTATCAATCCTATGTATTTCTTTTTACTATGTTAGGATTGCTCAATGGAGTGAATCGTGTCTCACGGTTCAAAACATGTCGAGGTAATGCTTTTAGAAATTGGATTGATATATCTAAATATGCAGTGAGACACGACGTGCGAAGTTCACCACGTTGAACGAGTCTTGGTCCAAGCCTGGAAGAACTCCATCTTCTCTTTCACTCCCAAACCAACTCGCTTGGCCCGGCCCAGTCGGGCAAGAGACTCCCCCACATTATCGAGCAAGGTCTTGTCGCTGGCTGAGGCCTCGCCATCTCGGCCGTCTTGGTCCAATGTGTCAAGGTAATTTGTGCTATATGTTGACTTCCTTGCCAAACGACCTGGCGTGTCACTTGCGTTGCCGCCCGTGATACACTCGGCGATGCGAACGCGGAGGCAGTGGGTGGGCTTGCTGAGCAGCGTCCACAGGAAGCTCACGTAGCTTCCTGGAATGGGGGTAACAACATCCGGAGAGGTGTATCGTATGCTGATAGGGAAGATCTTGGTTTTGCATGGAACGCCCAGGAGCGAGTTGCTCAGAGGTAGAATGCCTCGGCCGTTAGTGGTGGTGCATTCTGGGAATAAGACGATCGGACGACTGGGGTACTTCTCGACCAGAGTCGATAGATCCACCAGGCGCGCACCAGGCGCCGGTTGTGTAGACGGCGCCTTGAAAGCTCGCAGGACAGCCTGAAGCAGGGAAATCCGCTCGACTTGGCGAGTGTTTGGGTAGGAGGCTGTGAAGACCGGGTCGAATATAGCTGCCAGATAAACCGCGTCGATGGGTGATGTAAAGGAGGAGGCGATTACCGAGCCGGGCTGCGGCAGACGGGATTGCTGTTGTTTCAAGGACCTAAAGATCATTAGGCATCGGCGCAAGACGATTTACATTGCAAACACACGAACCCTTTCCGCACTCCGTCCACTTGCAGGTCAATCCACCAGATACTCGGAACGCCAAGAATGCACCACAGGGCAGCTTTCTTGCCCAGCGATCCAATGGGAAGCCATTGTAGAATCAAAAAGTAGCTGAGAGTGACGAAGATGAATAGCGGAAGGCGAAAGCAGAAGAGGAAGACGCGGAGAGGAGCTTGGAGGCCGAGTGGTTCAGAGGGTATAGGCAGAAATGGCGCGATGCCAGATCCTTGAACGATATAAGCATGAATCCAGCGGAGAGGGCAGATAGTGTGGAGGAAGGCTTACCTCTATCTCGGAATTGTGAGTATTTCTCCATGGATGATGAGAGGAGGAGCTGGATTCTAGCTCAATCACCAACACGGCGCTCAGCCAAGTGAGAAAGCGATCGCGCGCCGAGGTTGCGACTTGGAGTGCGAAGGTCGCAAATGCTGACGGGGGAAAGATAGATAGTTGAAGATGAAAGATAGATAGCTGGAGATGATCTTCACATGCGATGCCACGTGACACGAGTTTCTTGCCTAAGGCATTATGGGTTTTCTAGATCAACGAGGGATAGTGGAATTTCTTTTGTATCTTTGTCTATGGATAATATACAGTCTATAGGGGATGGTCACCCTCTTCATAGTCGTCAACCACGAATTCTGGGGTAGGAGCAGGAGGCAGCCTAAAACACCAGATAGCCACTCCGACCAGACAGAACAATGTACTGGTCATCATCCATGCCAGTCCAATCCAGAACCCACCAAGGCGCAGACCAATCTGGAAGACAGTAGTGATGGAAAGGCTTGCAATAACGTTGCCTAGTGACTGGATAATTTCAACCGCAGTGAACAGGCGCGCTGTCTCATCCCTTTCAACCAGGGTAGTAATAATGGACCGAGTGATGAACACAAATCCGGATCCTGATGCCTGCACAATCATACTTGGGATCAAGGCGGCGACGGACGGGGAAAGCCCAATACCCAAGGTCCCCAGTGTTAAGCAAAATATACTTCCACGAGCGAGCCAGAGGTCTTTCTCGGTTGATGAGCTTCGGGGGTTCAGGACCCGACTTTTTAGGTATGGCAAACCAAAAAGGAAAAGTGGAATTGACACAATTGGTCGGCAAGCGACCAAAAAGTTGGCTTCAGCCAAGGTCCAAGCATAACGGGTCGATATATATTGAGCTAGGAACCAGGACGACCCTCGACTGAGGCGATAGACGAGAAATGCTGTAAGGAGGAGCAGCACTGGTTTGCGGTTTAGGATGAAGACATATGGCTTCAGATAGAAGCGGTAGTTGGCACGGAACTTGGCCAGCACGGACTGATGGGAATAAGACGGAATACTCCAAGACGGAGGTTCATTTGCCCGGTCACCATTGACATCGGCCTCGTCATGATATGGCTCCAACTCGTTAGTTTCGTGTATATAATGCTTCGGCTCGGTTTCATCCGTCAGGTCAGAAAGCTCAACAGGAGCAATGGGAGCGGATTTGTCTGGCACAGCATATTTTGTTTCTGGTAATAGCAGAATAAGTGTCACGCCGCCCATCACAATTGTGAATCCAATCATCAGCGGGATCCACGGGTTTAGAGTCATCAGATAGGAACTGATTGAACTAGAAGCAAAGTCTGCACCCATAGAAACGATAGCAAATTGGAAGAATATCCCCGCTCTGGGAAGCTCGATTAGCCTCTATCAAAACAAGCCCGATTGAGAAGTTTGCCATACCGTTCTGATTCGTTAGTGACATCAGCCATCATAGTCCATATGATAGCAAATGCCGCGACAGGGCCACCTCCGACAAGCCAAGTCAAGGCAGTAAACCAAAGGGCTCGCAGAGGGAATATATTCGAAAACCATAGCACAGTGAGTGTAAGGACCGTGTTCAAGGCGAACCCGGGAAGAGACAGTGCGAGCGTAGCTTTGCGGCCACGGCGGTCTGCCAGCAGACCATATGGAATTGCCAATATAGCACCTATGGAGCAATCAGACCTCGCTTCCATGCAGGTATGCACCGATCAACCTACACAAAGTCCCATCGAAGAACATGTGGTATCCTTTCACCGCAGCCAACTCTGCTTGTACCTCTCCAATTTTGCACATAGCCTCTGGCACCTGTCCATCAGCCCCGATCTTAGTCGGATCAGCCACCAAAAAGTACTGCCGACACGTAATGGCCTCCATGATCCGGGTCATAGGGCCTTCCAAGAAGGCGAAGCCGATTTCCACCGCGAGGATCATGGAGAACAAGATCAGCTTGAAGCGGAATGTGATGGCACTAGCGGAGGCATTGGCGTCGACAGACCGGCTGCCGATGCTAGGCTTGGAATGAACATGACGATGTGCGGAGGAGCTCGGATCGGGGGAGTCAAGGAATGGAGCGTCTTCACGGTCGACCGAATGACGTACGTGGGCCATGTGGCATGGATATATGAAAGGAATGGTATCCAGGAGAATGGAAGATTAAGCCATGTCGTGAGAAAAGGAGGATGAGTTACGTGGTCTACTCGTCGCGGAGTCTTGGCACTCTTCACGTTGTCCAGGGGCCGTTCGTTAGTGGCTCCGACTATATTTGCTCACAGGCTTGAGATATTCATGTAGTTGTTGTATTTGACTTGCTCCATTTACATATCTGTACATTTCTCTTGAATTTAGTAACCTGCCTCTTCAAACAAACTGCCCCGGACTTGTACTACCGCTGACAACTCGAGCAAGAACTCATACAGGATCACCACATTGGTCAATACATGGCCAAGAGTGGCGACCGGTGGATTTTCAGAGTGGTCTTCTGAATCAGGGGCCTCCTCGGACTCCTCGGAGGGCGACTCGTGGTCTGTGCCAGAAGGTGGGAATGGCGTAGCAAGACGCCGGCGGAGAGCTTCGGCGGCAGCAGCTCGGGCACTGAAAGAGCCGCGTGATCCTGGGGGAACAGAGTCATGACCTTGAGGGTTAGTTATCGCATTCGAATGCACTGCGTGCGGAGACCGACCGCGAGACGCTGGGGCGGAAGGGTCGGGAGAGTCCGAGTATGAGGGACGTGAGCCGTCCGCTGAAGGGGGCATTGAGAGCTCAGATGGGTCTGGTGTACAGGGACGATCCTCACGGTGCAAGATCTCTCGTCGAGCAGAAACCAGTACATCGAAATCAGGCAGGTCCTGCTGCCACTGCCGAACTTGTTCCACAAGTTTTTGTAATGCTAATATAAGGGTTGGGGTTGCTGTGGCAGGCCATGTTGGCCCTTCGTAAGCCTGCCGGACGGCGTCAAACCCATCGACAATCGCGAGAGACGCCGGAGAATCATACTGGTTGGGATCGACCAACACCCAGCCGTCCAGCAAGAATAGATGTGATGACGCGAGGCTCATAAATACGCCTGTGAGCGCCAAGTTGACAATGACACTGTTGGAGAAAAATGTATCAAGGCAGCCAAATAGTGCCTGAACGATTGGATCGTCTTGCTGAAGCTGAAACGGCATGTGAAGTGTCTCCTCGTCCTCTTCTGCTGCAGAGACCGGTAAACATAGGCGAGACTCCAGGATCCATGTAGCATCCGCGACGTAGTTCTCGTACGACTCGTTCAGCGTGGGGTCATTGACAAGAGATGTCCCCATGGACAAAAGATGCCCCAGCTCGGAATTCAATGCTCCAACGGGCCGTTGCTGCGCGGGTGGGGTAGGAAGGGTATGGATGAGGGACCGCGCAAACGGATGGTGTCTTTGGAGGACGGTGGTCAAAAGCCGCAAAGTGGCCAGAACAGTTTGACGATTGGATGACTGAAGCCCTAGCAGCGCCAGATCGCGCAAGTTAAACAATGAAGGGGATGGCTGGGCGGCTTCTTCAGCCAGCGCAGCCAGCACATTGAGCGATTTTCGGCGGCTCGCTGACATGTCCATTTGCTCCTCTGGCTTCGGTGACGATGCCAGTAGGAAGTGTAGGATTCGATGGACTAGTTCGCCTTGCTCGATCGAATCAAGAATTCGGCACATGTAGGTCAAAACCGCTGCCGTCGAGCCTCCAGCCACGTCGGAGGATTCTAATAATGAAGGATATCTGCGAGAATCAGCCGCTAGTAGATCATATAGGAAAAGGACATCATTACAAAAGTTGCTCGAGAAAAAGCACCTGAAAATGGTCAAGTAAGGTGTCATTTACTTCAACAGATTTACAATGGTCAATGGTGTCCTGCCAAAACAGCAAGTAAGACATGAACGCATCCATCGCTTGGCCCAATGTTGGTTGTAGGGCTGTCTCTTGTTTGGCGTGGTCGGATAAAGCAACTATGTGAGGCACGTTCTCGTCGGTTTCGGTATATGTCAAACTTCAATCAGTCAGTCACTTCATCCCAAATCATTGTAGCAATCAACCTTACTGTCCCAACTGGCTGTAAAGGGCACCGAGGCCAGTAGCCATGAGGGTGGCTAGGTCGCTCTCAATCAACCACTTCTCCAGGTTCTTAGACCGCGATGCGGTCTCAATAATGTAGAGCAAACCTGTACGAGCAAAGTCACCAGCTCGTCCCTCGTGGTGAACATATTCAACTAGCAGGTAGAACAACGGGAACTCGTCTTTCCTTGTAGCTCCTGCGAATTCCGTCCCGATGGGGCCTGAGGACTCGCCATCTTGGACTGGGGATACCCGAGGAACAAACCACGCGGGCAAGATCACTGGCTGCAGACGGATGTTGTTGGCGATGCCGAAGAGCAACTCCACGAGCCTCCCTTCAATCTCATCAGAGGACTTCTCGGCCCGGCGGACCATATCCACCAGTGCGCGGGCGAACAGCCGGTTGTCCACCACCCCGTCCACCTCGGCGTCAATCAGGGTGTTGAAGAAGATTGTGGCCGACCGAAGGATCCCATCATCGTAGAATGAGAGGGCAAGTTTGGTGACTGTGACAAAGACTTGAGATGAAGCTGCGTATGCCACACAGGGGTGCGGTGCGGGCCCGCGCGATTCCTCGCTCAGGATCGAGTTCAGTCGTTCAATGTGTGTGCGCGCGTGGGTAACCGATTGTTCACCAGAGGAAGTATTTGTCGAGCGCCATATTTGCTGGTGAGATTAGTTGTGGGCTGAGGGATATCGGATGCAGCGCGTACCTGGAGAGCATTGCAGGCGCGTTTAAAGGCCGTCAACCGTTCCGTGGGCGAGGCAGCTCTGGGGGGCTTGGACAGGGCACGCGAGCCACCGATGAGACGAGACCACTGGCAATTGATTAGCAGGGAGTTTGAAAGCTGCCAGGGGCGCATACGAAGTCCATTCTCGGGGATGAAAGGAGGAGGAGGAGTGGAGCCGGTGATGCTGATCTCCGTACTGAAGTAGCGGACAATGTTTGGGGATGCTGATTATAGCGATATTTGTTTATTTCAATTCTTACTGTTGTGGTCTAATATGCTTCATTTTTTTTTAATTGTCTAAAGATGCCGATATCCTCATCTGTGATCACATTGCACGAAGTACAACTACCAGCAGAATGTTTATATATCAGACACTACACATGAAGTGGATAGTCCTGTTCCAAACATTTTAAAGACAAAAGCACAATGCTTCATATTGTCTCTAACCTATATTTAATATTGATTCTACTATCTAAATTGACAAATCTAAGGCAAGGGGTGCCATTGATGGACAAACGCAGCCCAGTACTGTACTGTACATGGCCTGAAAAAGGCTACCATAGTGAGCCCTTCTGCATCCTACATGTATGCGAAAATTGATGCTCTCATCCTTGTCTGCAAGGGGAATATTTCTAGTTAAGAACGAGTCATGCTGAATTATGTCTTATACAAAGGCGAAAAGGATGGGAATAGGACCTCTACTTTCCTATCTTACCTCGGACATTCCAATATATAATAGTTCGTGAATAGAATAGCACACAGACATCGTACACCTGCTCTTTCCCTTCATCTTGACGCATGTCGGCCTCAAATTCCACGCGTCTATCAGGGAATTTGTCGGTTCCATTCACTGCGAACGCAACATGCTTGGATGGTTTTCTTTGTATAAACAGTCTCTCTCCCTTTCTCGAATCTAACACTTAAAAGGTCTTAACATCGATGTTGAGCATCCCCCTGAATATTGTCCACCAACTGCCGAGTGTCAATTGATACGACTCCAGCAATCGCCAACATCTGTGACATGCCCCAGGGGCAATATGAACCGGCAGTTTGCAAGGCTGGATCATATTGCCCGCCTGGAGGCCGGAGTCAGATTCCCTGCCCCAAAGGCTTCTTTTGTCCTCTGGGTTCTAGAGAACCAACCCGGTGTATACCTCTCTCAGTCTGTCCCCAAGAAAGTGCACGGCAGATTCCAACCCTGGGTTTCCTCTGTATCTTTCTCTTGGATTTCTTGGTAGTTGCCATTGTAACCGGACTTCTTTCTCGGTCATTCTTTGCGTTACGGGTCAGATACCTCGAGCTACACTGCGCTATCACGGGAAAAAAAGCAAGATGATGATGCTGGTCTGCAACGTTACTCACACCCTCATGAGTCAAAATATCATGAAGGCCACTTATTCCAAAACATTCTTCCATTGAATCCCACAAGATCACATCTGGAGTTGACATTTCAGGGAATTGGCAGGCAGCTCTAAGGTTTTTAAGATGATATATCCTCGCCCCGCAAGATGGAACCATTTGCGCTGGCCGAATTTTTGTGTTGATGGGATCTTCCGGCGCGGGAAAATGTGGGTTGAAAAGTTGCAGACCCAAGTCGACATCTAGTTTACGAGTGTTGACTCTCAATAGCCACCCTGATGAGCATTCTTACCGGCCGCACCAAACCAACGACAGGTTCCCTACATGTCAATGGCCAGTGGGTAAACTGTGCTGAGTATGACTCCTCTATCCATGGGCTCATAGATTCTAACTTGAGCTCATTAGATTGAGAGATCTTGTTGCATATGTCCCACAAGATGATACTCTGCTTGCTGATGTGACTGTCCGAGAGAACGTTCGCTTCTCAGCCCACGTTTGGATTGGAAATCTGTGTGGCTCCCAAGACATAGTGAGACATGTGGATAGTTTGATATTAGTCCTTGATCTTGAAAAGGTCCAAAACTCCCTGGTCGGGGACGTGTCGAAGAGAGTATTGTCTGGGGACGAAAGGAAGCGCGTTAATATCGCGTTGGAATTGGTGACAGCACCCAAGGTCCTTGCTTTGAATGAGCCAACATTAGGCCTGGATGCTACAACAGCACTCGACTTGATGAAACTGCTCGAGAAGTTAGCTCGCAAGGAGATGAGCATTATATGTGCTCTGCATCAACCAAGAGCTGAAATATTTGCTCTAATCGACGACTCATTACTTTTGCAGGCTGGCAAGCAGATATATCTGGGTCAGGCAAAGCAGGCGCTACGTCATTTAGAGGGATCTGGCACGGATTCCCTCCAGAAAATCAATCCTGCTGATGCGATTATGGATGCTCTTGTCCGGAGCCAACATCGCTATAATCCCCTGCTCTGGGGTTTCAAGGGAATACAAGACTCTAGTATCACCAAGGAAGCTATTGCGGCACGCGAGGAGACGATAGAGTCTGTCGAAGCGTTGTTGGTCTCCATTCGACAGCGACGAACATCCTGGTATCAGCAAGTTATGTTGGTCTTCATGCGAGAAATTACCCAGCAAAGTAGACAAACTGGGAGTCTCTGCCTCGAGATTATATCTGGGGCAATTATTGGCATGGTTATTGGTCTTTCGTATTATGTATTTCGCGGACACCTATTTCAGGGACTGTTTCAGTCAGTCGCCTTTCGAGGCTCTCTCATCCGCGGTGAGCTATCGATTGCTGGCGGAACAATCTTTTCTTTTCGTTTCGCAATAGGACTGTCACTCCTTTGCCAGACTTGATCCTTATGGTCTTATTGACGTATGGTATATGGCGAGATGATAAGCTGAGAATCGATGCAGCTTGTAGTGCCGGTCCGGCTAGTGTCAGAGCATTTGGGCTTGAAAGTAAATTGATCCTGGCTGTCTTCGAATTGACTATTTTGCTAACCGATATTGATTGCCTAGAGCTAGTATTCTACAGAGAAGCTCACGCTGGGCATTCTCAAAGTACTGATTTTGTTGGAAAGTTCCTTTCGACTGTCCCACGGATCTTTCTGTCCGCAACTCACTACACCACCTTCTTCATGGTTCTCACAATGCCGGTGGTTCCTATCGGTCTACAAATGGCTCTGAACTTCTTGTACTTCTACTGTGGGTTAGGTTTTCTCGAATATGTTTACAAGACTACATTTGCTTACTCTTTCATGTTTAAAAGGTATACATGGCCTTGGATGCATCGTAGCTGCTGTCACACAACCGCGCGATGGGCCTTTGATGGCTCTGTTGTTTAGTACCATTATTTCGGCAGTTTCAGGATGTGGTCCTCGCCTGACATCTGTCAAAACGTGGAACTTGCAGTGGTTTTGGTATATCTGGCCCGCAGTGAGTCTATATCCGTCTTGCTCTCCTTCTGAATACTATCGGACTGTCTAACCACTATCATCATATTTAGGTATGGTACTCAGAGGCCAACTTCAACGATAAGACAGAGCCATTTGCTCACATATACAACGTCCAAGCTGGAGCAGATACAATGGAATATACGATTGGTAGAACGAATTCTGATATCGGGTAAGTTTTAATTTTCTTCCAGTCCCGATTGAAATAGAACTATAGTGTTGTTTGGATGGCTTACAAATTCTCTTCACATCTTAGGAACCTTATTGTAATCGGCTTTGTGTATTGGACGGCTTCTTTTTGTCTGTTGGCATTGTCTGCAAGGAGGGGACGGGCATGATTCGATGCCCGACTTACCATATGCCATATTCAGAGTTGTCTGATATTGCACGGAGTGGAATTTAGACAGAGAGCTGGGCTTAAATATGAATATTCAGTATCTTAAAAGAATATAGTATCGGTCAACAGTGTTACAGCTTAAATTGAAAAGTATTGACTTAGGAAGTGAAACTCTACACTGGATGCCACAGTATTCTCTTTCGAGTTGATTGCGAGTTCTCAACTGTCCTTTTCTGTATTGACACCTAGCATGACAGCCCGTAAATTTACCTAGATCACCATTTATATGATCTAAAAAGCACACGTTGAAGGGAGACGGTCTGATTAGGTTGGAAAAAGATCTACACTGGCCGGCGTATTGAGGCGTAACCATTGAATTTACACAACATCACACGCTACTGCAAGATGGAGCAGTACCAGTGCCAACAAAACCACAGGGGCCTCGTGCATACTTGCAATACATCTGCCGTTGCGCGGAATTAGCTGTCGTACTCAAGACCGAACTAAAGTATACAGCTGAATACTCCATCTACGTGTCACGGCACATCCTGCACATCCAAGTTGTCAAGAAAAGATGCGACTCAGGTGTGTATTTCACAACCTCGCGCTGGGGTTCGGCTGACTCGACCCCGGATACCCCATTTATCCAAAAGAATATGCTCCCAGATCTGCCTCGGTAACGCCCATAGTAAAAAGAAAGTCAGAAATCTATGCGCCAGGAATCCCTCGTCTAACACATCAAATCATATACGGAGCAGGAAATCAATCGCTCTCCTCCTTTGGTCGCCGACCTCCCCGCTTGCGACGTCCCTCGTTCTGGTCGCTCCCGTCATCCTCGTGTTTGCGGCCGGCTGGTTGATCTGGCACCTTGGCGATGATATCAGCAAGAAAATCGAGTACCTCGTCCTTGGCGACGGCATGCTTGAGATGTGAGGCAGTAACGCGTTTGGAGTTGCGATCCTTGGCTTCTTGCGCGGCCTTGGTGACGAGGGAAATCATGAAGAGTTCAAGGGCCTTGGCTAAAGGGAATCAGTAATTGTTTGTGATGCGTAGCCGAGTTTTTAGCGCATTTAAATGAAAACTTACACACAGCAATCGGGGTGACTTGAGCAACTTTGCCGACGTCCTCATCAGCCTGCATGATGCGCTTAATGCGCGCCACGGGGAACTTGGTTTTTACTTCAATCCCCGCCCCAAACGGAGCCGCAGCTGGAGCTGGTGCCATCTCTTCTTCCTTCACAGGCGCAGGCGCCATAGGCTCTATGACGTAGTCGGAGACCGGCTCAGGAGCGGGTTCGGTGATCTGTTCAGGCATATATTCGGGCATTGCGATATCAGGCTGGGCAAGACGAGTTGAACGACGGGCCATGTCCTCATATGGTGGAACGTACTGCTGAGACACACTCGGATTGCGATAAGAGGAAGAAGAGGGAGGAGGATGAGAAGGAGAGGAAAAATCAGGAGAACGAGGCCGATAGTCCTCTGTCATGATATAGAAAAATAAAAAGTTGGCCCAAGCTTTACTGGGACCGGGGGGGGGGGGGGGGGCCGCGGGCTATTTAAAGTCCGGAGGAGGTAATTTGCACTGTAATTTGCGGGTATTTGCATTGTATTTTGTATTGGTATTTGCAATTGAATTTATCGTGACTTCACAGCTATACTCTTTTCTATCTCTCTCTCTTCCTCTTCTCTTCTGTATTCACTTTCGCGTTGTATTACAGTATGTTTCCCACTTCTTGCAGCTCAACCTCCCGATGAAGATATCTTAGCTGGAAAGGGACAGATGACACCACGCGATGGTATCGCTGTGACTTGATGAACCTCCAATAACTTGATCTAATCTGAGGGAATTCAGGATCATGTGTGGCTTGGTGGCTTTTCGCTGACATTCTCGGCAGATCTATCTCTCCGCGCGACCTGAGCTTTTTTTTTTGTTGAGATGCCCGCTGTGATCTGAGGTTCTTTCTAACATCACCAGCCATGGCGGCTGATGCGCCCAGCTTGATGGACATTGTCAGGTATGTGGACCGGAATGCCGATCTCGAATTCCATACTGATTATCCTGCAGTACCCTAGCCCAGGACGATATTCCGTTCAAGTTGCGATGTGCGATTTGCAACAAGCTTGCTGTCGATGCTTTTCGCCTGCCATGCTGCGACCAGTCAATTTGTGAACCTTGTATGTGCTCTCCAATTGTTGACTCGACTATCACTAAACTCTGCTCCAGGTCAAACCTCTCTGCCCGATACCTGTCCCGTCTGCGCGCATACCCCAGTCTCCCCGGATCTCTGCAAACCAAACAAAGCTTTGCGCACAACTTTGAAGGCTTTTTTACGGACCGAGGAGAAGAAACGTGAGAAGGATCGCCAGGCCGCGATAACATCAAGTCCAGCCACCCCTGTTGATCCCATACCCGCCCAGGAAGCTGGTCCTGGTCAAAATGGTGAAGATACCGCAGGAGTCAGAAATGCCGATGCGCCTGTTGCTGCGGAACCTCAATCCGAGAACCTCGAAGTAGAGGATTCTACACATCCAACGCAAGAGAGCGCCCCAGACCCAATTTCTACAGATGCTGTCGAGCAGTCCGCACCGGTAAGACTCACATCCCTTATCCCGGTGTTTCCATTTCCTGACTTCTTGTGCAGCCCGAGGTAGCTGTTGAACAGACGACTGATGGTGCTGACCAGGCCGTTGAACCCAACGAGGATGCCCTCAACGCAGAGCCTCCTTCACAGGATCCTCCCGCTCCCCAGGATGCCCCTGATACCAACTCCGCTGCAATGACCCCGAATATGGGAGGCTTCTCAATGGGTTGGAATGGAAATGGCATGAATCCTTACATGACTGGCATGTTCAATTTCCCCAATGCGATGGGTAAGTTACGTTCCAGGCTATCTCTCTTTGCCACCACTCTTGCTAATACGTGCCCAGGAATGCCCATGGGGATGGACCCAATGGCAAATCAAGGGATCTTTGGTGACTACGGGATGAACATGACTGGCATGGGCATGAACGCGGGGAACTTCAACGGGGGCATGTATGGATCCTTAGGATGGGACGCCCAGAACAACATGTGGCAAGGCCAAGATAATATCAATCCAAACGCATTTGCTAATGGCACGGGCCCTCCCTACGGAGGAGCATATGGATCTAATATCTATCCGGATCAGTCTGCCTACTACGGATCAGGTTATGGCCGCGGTGCATTCCGAGGCCGTGGCCGTGGCTATGGTCGTGGCTTTGGGCCGGTGCAAGGCCATTATGCTAATTCAGGATACGCACAAGGCCCAATGAATGTACAGGGTAATCAAAATCACAATCCCAATACTGAAAATACAGGACAAACTGAGGAATGTAACCCCCAGCCCATCGATGGAGTGCCAAATGGTGGCATAGGAAACATGGGATATCGACATGGCCGATCCGAAGGACCAGGTGTGGAGGGTGCACCAGCTGCGCCGCGTGCTATGCGGCAGGGACTACCCAACACTAGCGTTTTGCGACTCTCTGGCCGAGCTTCGTAAGTTTCGATTGCCTTGTTCGTTCCAATATTCTAACTCTTCCAGTGATGATCTGCGCCAAACCCCCCTGAATGATGCCTGTCGTGAAACACGATCTCGCTCTCCGGGGAGTCGAGCTTCGCGTGCCCACTCGTCATCTGCACATGATGCTGAATATGATCAGGAGAACCGACGGGAGCCAGAGTTGAAGCGCATGGACCGGGTTGACGAACTACAGTCCGATGCCCAACACACTCGCTCGCCTTCACGGGCATCTTCGCGTCGATCCTCACGCCACCGTCAACATGGAAGTGATCGTGAGAAGGACCGGAATGGTAGCCTTCGTTCTCACCGCTCACGCCGACACCGTAGTCGCGATGGTCGCAGTCGCAGCCGCGCCTCAAGCCGCAATGGAGATGCCCGCTCCTCGGGCCGTTTGCACCGGATTGCACGGCAGACAGAAACAAATGGCCGAACAAAAGCACCATTTGAAGCTCCAGAGCAACGTGACCTTACTAGCCGAATCAACAGCAGCTACCGCCCTGACAAGGACAGAGGGAGTCGACGTGAAAACAACCGAACGCAGGCAGATAGAGACAGTCGTCGACGGGATCGGGACCGTGACCGTGAAAGAGACCGCCATCCTCGGGAGCGCGATACCCAGCGTGACAGTCGCAAAGACGGTACTCGCGATAAAGATCGGACTTCAGAGCGTGAGTGGAATCGAGAACATCCCAGAGAGCGTGATCGTGACCGCAAGCGTTCTCGCCGCGAGCGATCTCCCTCCACGAATGGAAACGACCACCAATCCCGACGTCTGAAGCGTGAAGATGAAGACCATACCCGGAACCACGTAAACGGATCAGTTCAGAAAACTAAGGCGGAGAAAGACCCCTACACATTGGAGCGGGAAAAGCGAAATAAAGAGCGCCTCGAGCGCGAAGAACAGCATCGCAGCCAGACCAAGTCTGGTCGTCGCCGAGACAGCCGGCAAGATCGTCAAGATCGTGTGGTGGCGGGCCGCCGCATCAATTACAAGTATGAGGATGAGCTCTAAGCTCTGGATAAGTCTCTGGTCTCTTGCATCTTGCATACACAAAATTTCATTAGGGGGAATGGCGTCGGGAATGGTTGCTTTCTAATTTTCTTGCATCTCATGGCATTTTCCTTGACCGGCTTGCTCTGAAGTAGGTATATTGACTAGTCCATGTTATTTCGATGAAAATTCTACCGTGATGGTTAGATACACAATGGAATTTTAATGGAATTTTCTGCGTTGTTCACCTTTCAATGTATTGGAGAATTGATCTGTAGCTCCAGGCACGGCTGAGATATATAATAGACCATTGCTTAATCACATTCTTGGGTGGACCCAAATTCATGCGCACACAAATCTATAGACATAAGCAGAATATATCGCTGACTGCTTCTAGACACTACATATTTCGAGGTAGGGCTGAATATCTCATATTTGTGGCTATCGAACTAAAATCATAGCCAAATTTTGTTTGCAAAGGGCCAATGTATTGACAATTCCGCTAAAAAAAAAGAAACAATAAATCTTATCCACACTGCACCTCATGTACGTCAAACACCGACCAACCCGAAGCACAAGTCAGGAAGAAAGAAAAATATGCGGTGAAAGTTAGTTCATCTTACTCTTCAAAGCCTCGATCTCCGCGGTCAGCGTTTGCATTTGCAAAGCCTGGGATGCGATGGTCTTAGTCTGTTCTGCAATGAGGTTCTTGATCTCTTCGATATCGTTCTTGGGAACGGCAGCTTGGGGAGTGGAGGTTTCGGGGACCGGAGAAGATGGGGTAGAGATCTGAGACAGTTAGTATGCGTCGCAATCAGGAGCTTATGCAGGAAATGAGTAGACGTACAGCAGTGGCGGGTTGAGACTTGGTCTCAATCTCCTTGGGTCTCAAAGGACTGCTGACCCGTGGCGAAGAGGTTTCAGCCACGGGAGAACGTGTAGCACGCTCAACTGGCTTGGGAACCTCCTCGAAACTGGAGTTATCGTCATCCGAGACGTTGCCGTCTTCTTCGCCGTCGGCGAACTTGTTGACCATGGCAGCCATTGAAGCCCCCTGCTCCTTCATGGAGGGAGCTGGGCGTCCAATGGAGACAGGCTCGGGGACAGGCTCAGGAGCTGCCTTGAGAGTAGCTGGCTCGTGGGTCTTCTGGGGCGCCTCAACGGGCTTGGGGGGTTCGACGGCCTTGGGAGCGGGGGTGTCGATGACCCCAGTAGGCTTCTCTTCCACTCCAGATACCTCCTTGAGACCCTCACCATCGAACAAACTGGCCATGGAAATCTTTGGGGGGATTGCCTCCTTGCCACCCAGCCACTCGGACGAGGACATGGCGGGAGCCAGACCACTAGTAGGGGGGTAAATATCGTCCTGGAAGTTCTCAGAGCGACGGGGGACTATGAAGGAAACCGGTTCAATGTAAGAGTCGTTCACAGTCTTATAAGCGCGAGCCACTTCGTTCTCGTGCATGTTGACACCGCGTTTGGGCATAAAGGCAACACCTCGCTGCGGGTCGCCAGACTTGTGCTCGGAAAGGAACTCGAACTTGTCGTTCTCGAGCTCGAAGTAACGGATGTTGCCATCACCTCGTCCCGCCAAATACAAGCAGTTGGTGCCGTCATCCCAGAAGGGCATGCATACACCGGAGATGGAATCCAAGGTCTTGAATCCGTTGATAGGTTCACGCACAGCACGGATATCCCAGAGCGCCAGCTGACGGTCACTCATCTTAGAGAAACCGGTGGTCGCAATGCGGTCGCGTTCTCCCAACCACACAGCGCGGCTGTTCTTGGCGCCAGTGTGACCATTGGTTTCGTGGGCTGGACGCTCCTGGCGGACATCCCAAATGCGCAGCTTCTTGTCACGAGAGGTGGTGACCAACAAGGAGCCGTTGGCACTCCATGACTGGGATTGCACGATGTCACCGATGTTGAGGGTGAGCTTGGGCGAACCGGCCTCAATATCCCAAATCTTCACGGTGTAGTCACCCGAGGCCGTTGCCAGCACGTTCTCTGCCGCGGGGTTGAAAAGCACGTGGCCGATCTTTCTGCATAGAGGGGTCAATACAGGAGCGTGGTGGGATGTGCCAAGGACAATTCTCACTTAGGATGACCACTCAGCTTGCCGATAGGCGCGAGGTCTTTGATATCGTCCGCTTCGGCATCGGGGCGGACGGTGAAGTTCTCCGGAACCCGCCAGAGGAAAACCTGCGCGTGGTCAGTCGCAACCGGGATACCCATGGCTTGTCAAACTATACCTTTCCATCATCAGAACCCGAGGCAATCAGATCGTCGTTGAACGGGTTCCTGCAAAGCTTCAATAAGTCGGGGACAAGCATGCTTTCAATTTTCACTCCTTACCAGTCGGTGTCCAAGACAACTGCAGTGTGACCTCGGCACAAAGGAATGCGCTCCGGAAGCTTGCCGCGTTCCTCTAAAGGAATAATCGCAAAGGCCCCACCGCCACCTGCTTCCCAATTCACGGCGATATGCTTCGGATTGACCTAAATGCGCTGGACGTTAGAAGACCGCGGGTTGGCATCAGGGGTGGCGCAGAAGGCAAAACACACCTTGAGAAGGTTGGTATCCCAGGCATTGCGCGAGACTCGAAGGTTATCGTAGCATTGGTCCTACAGCGAGGGTTAGAATAGAAAGACGGAGTTTGAGGTAATCGAGTCTACCTTTCTCGTCGAACGCCCGAAGACGTGGCCTGTATGTGTTAGTCGGTGGGAGGGTAATGGCGCAGTCTGAGAAGGAATAATACTCACGATACTTGGAGGAACGAACAAAACGTCCGGACATGGTCAAGAGCTCAAATAGATGAGAGGTATAGAGAGAAAAGGAGGTGAAAGGGACGTTGAGAACCAAGCTATGGGGAATTCGAGTGGAGGCAACACACGCCCCACGACTAGAGACAGAACAGTCCACTGAAACAAAGAGCAGCCAATTCCCCGAATTCCACCATTACCACCTTTTTGCAGGAATTCGCCAATCGCGCGCTTTTGGCCGGATTGCGTCACGTGCAGACCTGTATTACCAATACCACGCTACTCCCAACGTGGCCTAGCGCCCGACCCGTTGAGTCAGCGTTTGTTTACCTCCGAACTGCATATCGTCCCTCCAGAAACCAGTTTGCGCTCATTCGAGACTCTACTTGTTCTTCTCCGCTTAGACCATTGTTTGGCATGCTACTGCTTGTTGATTCTTTTGCCAACCAGTTCCAGTCATCATAGACAGTGGCTGGACGTGAGCTGATCCTTCTCTCCCGGATACTTTACTCGCCGGTTACCTGGCGGTCGAACTCTAACATGGATGGTGAAAACATGGTAAACACCCCACTTTGATTGTTCCCAAGATGTCGCATTGATGTTCCTAACTCTTGGACAGCCCCAGACCAGGGCGTCTACTCGGACGCGCATCCCGCAGGGACTCCGGGAGGCCAGCTCAGCGACTACAAACTCTCGCTCCGGCATCATGCCACCAGGATCGATCGCGAGCAAGGCCATGAGCATGTCGCGTATGCAATACACTGAAGCCATGTTGCAACAAGAGCTAACGACCTATGAAGCAACTCGTCCCAAGACAGCGAACCCCGAAACGAAGAGACCAGGCTCCGTCACCCGGCAGCCAACCACCAAGGCGCATAGCCGGGGAAATTCGTACGCATCATCAACCATGTCCCGATCAACCACACCTGCATCGCGCGCCGCAAATGGTCCTTTCTCCTCCACCGTCGGCCCTGGTTCCCGCCCCCCTTCCGCCATGTCGCGACCCAATACATCCTTCAACGGTCGCAGACCTGTCGGCGCATCGATTCCGCGCGCAGCGAGTGCATTAGATACTCACATGGAAGACACCTCCCCTAGCGTGCTAGGCAAACGAAAGGGTATGCGAATTTTTTCTTTCTCTCCCAGTCGAATCCCCCGTTACTCCCTTGGACCCGTCACCCCCGGATTGGAAGATACTTGTGATGAGTTTGGGGAATTGGCGGAACCGTCTCTCCCCAACGAGCCCTATTCTCCCAACCTAGGGCATGCAATGACGATCCCCGTAATGCTCTCTATCCCGTCTTGCAATGGACCCAGTGCGCTCCCAAACCCACTTGGACCCGTGCAGGCTGTAGCCCCTCCAGAATGCTTTAATTTGCCCGCCAGACCTTTCAGAACCCCTTCTGCTTCTTCAATGCGCTCACCCCCCAGACCCCAGCTATCGTTTTTGTCAAAAGTTTCCTCGACCAAAAGTTTTGACCATGCCACAGGACCCGAATGGGATCAAGATTCCCGCGAACGCAACATGGAAGAATTGATGCAGACCTTCATGTCCCACATGAACCAACAGGGACAGGCAAGTTCTGGCCTCAAGGAGACTGTTGAGGTTTACAAGACAAGGAGTAAGCGAACCTGTTGGAAAGGTCGATTCGTCTGATACTGATTGTTTGTTCCAGTCAATGAGCTCGAAATATCTCGCGATAGCCTCAAGGAACTTAATGTCACCCAGCGCGTGGAATTGGAATCCTTGCGAAACCAGTTACAAACGTCAGAGCATATTCTGAAAGAGGCCAAGCGTGACCAAGAAATAGCCATGGACGACCTCGACCGACGCCAGCGCATCAATATGGAATCAATTCAACAAGGCAATAAGAAGGAGATGGAGACGATGAGTTTGCGACATCAAGATGAGATTCGTGAACTAAAAAGGCAATTCAACCGCGAAATTGAGGATGAAAAAGCAGCCCGAGTACGGGCTCTTGGCCAGCTCACTTCGCAATCTGCGCTGGATACCCAGAAGTCGCAAATTGAATTGGAGCGCAAGGATCGGGAGCTTAACACATTGAATATTGAGCTACAAGGGCTGAAGGAAGACTTGTCTCGTGAGCGGAAATCTGTCCAGGATTTCAAACAAAATCTGGACATTGCAAGCAGCAACAGTGTCACACTGGAGTCATCCATACGGGCTCTGAAGGCCCACATTGAGTTCCTTGAGGGTGGAAGAGAAGAGCAGTCGAAAGCCTTTGAGCGGTCCAACCAGCAGATGATGGATGCACTTGCTGAGACAGATGCCATCAGGGAGAAGTTGCGCAGAGAGGAAACTCTGCGTCGCAAACTTCACAATCAAGTACAGGAACTGAAAGGCAACATCCGTGTATTCTGCCGTGTTCGTCCTTCGCTCAAGAATGAGCCTGCTTCTCAGCTTACTCTCATGCAATACCCGGATGAGGCCGATGATGCCAAGGAGATCAATATCCTGGGACCTGAGGAAAAGACCAGCCTTGGAACAGTCAGTCGCAAGAACAATACTTTCTCCTTTGATCGTGTATTCAATCCGACCACCCAGAACGCCGAGGTTTTCGATGAAATTAGTCAGCTTGTCCAGAGTGCCCTCGATGGTTATAATGTCTGCATTTTCTGCTATGGCCAGACTGGTAGTGGCAAGACTCACACAATGTCATCGGTTGATGGCATGATTCCCCGTGCTGTTCACCAGATCTACGAGACTGCCCAGGGCCTGGAGGAGAAGGGTTGGCGGTACTCAATGGCAGGCAACTTTGTCGAAGTTTACAATGAGAATCTTAATGATCTCCTGGGTAACCCCGATGAGTTGGACAAGAAGAAGCATGAGATCCGTCACGACATGCAGCGGGGAAAGACTACCATCACTGACATTACCACTGTCGATCTCGACTCGCCCGAGATGGTGGAGTCCATCCTCAAGAATGCTGATGCCAACCGCTCAGTGGCAGCTACCAAAGCCAACGAGCGCTCATCCCGGTCGCACTCGGTCTTCATCCTTAAGCTCACCGGTGTCAACCACGTCACCGGCGAGCGAAGCGAGGGCACTCTCAACTTGGTTGACTTGGCAGGAAGTGAACGCCTGAGCCACAGTGGAGCCACAGGCGAGCGTCTGAAGGAGACGCAAAACATTAATCGCAGCCTCAGTTCTCTGGGCGATGTGATTTCGGCCCTTGGCCAAGGGAAGGAGGGAGGCCACATCCCATACCGAAACAGCAAGGTACGTTTCTCCAAGCTATGTACTTTGGCACATACTAACTCCCCCTTCAGCTTACCTACTTACTTCAATTCTCTCTAGGTGGGAACTCCAAGACACTCATGTTCGTCATGGTCAGTCCTCTCCAGGCGCACATGTCGGAGACCTTGACCAGCTTGAAGTTTGCCACCAAAGTTCACAACACCCACATTGGCACTGCCAAACGACAGGCCCGCGTCCGCGACGCTTGAGCATCATGATACCTTCTCCATCCACCTCTTGCATATATTCCGCCCCATTTTTTTCTTTGGGTAGAGGTCTTTCACGATCCTGTCCTCTACCCTGGCGCCTTGGTTGGGATGGTCTTTCGTTTCTGGCAGCCTTTGGAGATACTCGATCCTGTCTTGGCATGTGATTTATTGTATGGAATATTACATTTATTTGCTTTTTCGATGCACAGTGCCTTCTTTTCAGCATATCCATTTACACCATAGGAGTATCTCGGACGTTCTACACGACGAAGTCTTTGATTATTAGGTCTCACAGCGAACCAAAATACTTATCTACTCCCAGCTTGACCTGATGTGCCTTCTTATTGATGTCCATAATATCCATTACCCCTTGCTCACAGATAAAAGCATCTGGGCACCAAGGCGGGATCCATTCAAAGTAGACATTTTTCACCTCGACCGCATAATTGATATCTTCCTGGCGAGTATTCTGGAGTGCATCATCGAAAGTTTTGGCTGCCTTGATACCGCTGTTTATCCACGAGTCCATCACCTCCCTGGGTCCGTTATCCTCGTAATCATGCAACTCTCCAGTTCCAGGCGCGTCTACCTTTTCCAGCTCACTAAAAACCAATACCGAGGCAGATGAGACCTGTTTGACGGCCAATACGGCTGGGTAGGAACCAACTTTGTTGCAAACAGAGCCATCGGCTGAAATACGGTCGGCTCCTAGCAGGAGAAAGTCCACCCCTTTGCTAGCCATGGCAACAGATGCATCAGTGTAGACTGTCAATTTTAGGACCCGGCCAGAAGAAGGAGGGAACTTGGTTTGGAATTCGGAGAGAATGGATGAAGCCATGCGGACTCCTTCACAAAGTGGCCGAGACTCCAAAATTCGCACGTCTAGGTGACGGATGGGAAGAGAGGCAAAGGTGTCGAGAATGCTGTCGCGAATAGTAGAGCTGGCTGACAGTGTGAGAATGACTAGAGAATCTTTCTCTGCGCCAGACTCAATAGTGCTAGAAAAAGAGCGTCGGAGATACTCTGCGAAAGTGCATTTGATGCGTGCTGACATATTGTTTCGCTTGTCCAGCTGGCGGTCGAATACGCCTAGAAAGCGATCCCATTTGACCTCGCGGGACAAGTTCTGGTGAACGATTTCTTCCATGTCGGGCATCAGCTCTAAGAATGCGTTCATTGTGGCTGTTCCCATGCTTTCTCGTCCACTTTTCGAAAGATGCCAGGCTGCGGTTCGAGCAGTCTTCCACCATTCTGCGTCAATATCTTCTTGCATCTGGGATATCACATGTCGATATGCCTTGACAGCGATGGTGGTCAGTTCGTGAGATCCGCTCTGATGATCTGTCTTCAATTGCTCTAGGCCTGCTTTGAGTGCTTTGCTGGTTCCTTGGTTCATGTCACCCTCGAACCAGACTCGTCGCAGGCTGTCCTTCAGTCGTGGCACACCCTCAAATCGGTCACTGTTTTCAATTCCTGCAGGATCATACCAACCCCAAGTTTGATGTTCCCAGTTGAGGCGAATGGCTTCCCCTCCATGGCCTCCTTCGTTTCGTGATTTCAAACGAAATGCGAATGGATATATGGTCCATTCCCGATTAACCGAGTCATCAGCGAACACATACGGGATCCCTTGTCGATAGAGATCCACGTCTCGTAAGCTTAATGTTGTTTCTTCTTCCAACTCACGCCATGCTGCGGCCAGCGGTGATTCGCCCAAGTCAAGGCTGCCAGATATGGGAGCGAGATAGTGTCTGCCGACGTCAGTAAAATTGAGACAGAAGTCCAAAAAAGGCCTTGCGAGCTTACGCATATGTTCTGACTTTCTCGCTGCGTCGAAATAAAGCAACTTGATTCTTTGAGAAAAGAAACACAGATACCACCCGTCTCTTTTGAAGCTCAGACTGTGAAGACATGGAGATGGGAAATAGCAAAGGCTTCGTAATCATAACATCATACCAGAGTCATTCTAAAGTCACTTGACCAGATGATATTGGGAGTATAAGTTGAGGTGAAGCCCTCTGGACGAAGTGATGATGTCCTTGGCTGAACCTCTGACGTCATACCTGATATCAGTATACTTGCATTCACAATGCTACTCACAGGGTCTTGTATCTGCCATATGATTGAATACGAGCTCGAACTAGAGTCCGTCGACGATGCCAGAGCGTCTGTCTGTCACTGCAATAATTGCAAGGTTTGTCTTTACACAGTCTTGGCTTGATACTCCCACTGACTCAAACAGAAAGCTTTCGGGACGAACTATGGCCTGACAGCAAAGGTCCCAAAAGACGCATTTCATCTGAAGAAGGGTCTTCCAAAAGAACATGCTGCCGATAATGGATCAGGAGTGGTAATCCATCGAGAGTTTTGTGATAATTGTGGCAGCTTTGTCCTAGAATATGGAGTTTGTTGGATCCATGACCAAGAGACATAATATTGTACTGACTACAGCTACAGGATACCGCCAAGGACTTCTTCCGATACATTTGTGTTGGCTCTCTTGACGACCCAGAAGCCTTGCATCCTAAGGGTGAGTTCTTTTGCAAGGCTCGTGCAAGCTGGATGCCTGAGATTCCAAGTGAGTGAAATATAAGACAGCGTCTATGCCCTATGTTGTCTAATGACAATAGATATTTTCCACAAGCAGGAGGTGAAGCAGTGATAACTTAGGGAAGACATGCAGCATTTGGTATATTTCATATGTCACTCTCTACCGGCACGCTCGTTAAAACCATGTCCGGCGTCAAAAGCTTTTCACGAACCAAGATAGCATTCAAGAAGTCATTACTATCCACACGACGGTATCCTTCTTCCAGCGTCTTCTCAATGCCTGCCTGCAAGTGACGCTGAGCCAACCGCCCCCGTACTTCTTGGGGATCCGAGTCAACAAAGACGCGGTAATCGGCCAAACCTGCGATTTCTTGCCAGCCGGGCTCATCGAGAAGTAAGTAGTTCCCCTCGAGTATGAGAATCGAAGCATCCGGAGTGATGCAAGTGCCATTCTCCACAGGATCTTTTGCCTCATGATCAAACGTTGGTGCGTGTAAAATATCTGCACCAGACCATGTCCCAGAGCCTGGAATTGCCAACGGAGTCTCATCTGCCCAGGTGCGAAGTTGACGGACGAAAGATACGAAGCGGGTGACATCGAACGTCCAAGGGGCACCTCGACGAATGTGTGCCTCCTTGGGATCAGGCAGCTGGTTCAAAGCTGCTCTAGATAGATGAAATCCATCCATGGAGAGAATGATTGCCTTTCGGGTTATTCGATTTAGTTGACAGACCACCTTTTGGGCCGTAGTAGTCTTCCCCGAGCCGGGTATACCTGCGATGGCAACCAAGTAGCGTGGTTTGGGATGAGCGTTGGCTTGTCTGCAGATAGTTTCTGCCAATTGGCTGTATTCGGGTTCCATCTACATAATTAGTATGAGAAAGATGCGGTTAATTGGAAGTTGAACGTTACCTTGAATGAATGATATTCAATTACCGCAAACCCTAGATACTTCAACCACCGCAGGAGATCAAGGTATTATACGGCGAAAAAGAAGAACAATAGGAACTTACGCCATTCAACATTCTTCTCAAGGGGAATTATTAAGTAGAGGTGGAGGGGGTGCCGGGAGACTGTGATCCGATGCAAAGCACTCTCGGTGTTGCCCCGAGTTATACCTCAAATGGCGAACAATGGTGGAGGAAAATTATTTTGTAATTTATATTTTCATAGCTAGAGATGGCTTCTTGGTGCTTGATGTTAAAGTACATATTGATTACCAACACAATGAGACCAGAATCTGGATACAAAAAATACAGGAAATCACACAAGATGCTATCTTAGATATGAGTCTTTCTCGTTGCCTTCGCCTGCGCTAACTTTAAAATACATATTGCCATAAGGACCTTGAGTTGCTAAACCGATATGATATGCATCAAACGTCAGAAGGGACCGCACGTGTCGGAATGCGGTTCCGTATGGGTGGCGATGGGGAAAGTATCGTGAGCCTTATGGTCAATCTCTGACTATGAGACGTCATATTGGCCACTGTAGGCAACGGTGGGTGTTTATGAGCTTCCGTATTGTCAGAATTAAGGGGAATTTTTCTTTGGTTTGAGAAACTAGTTCTACATCACAATCGTCTAATATGGTCCACATCAGCGAGGCAATCAAGAATGACCACAAGAAGATGCAGTCTTACTACTATGCCATAGTGAGTTCGGAAGACAAAGATGAGCAAGCCCGTATCCAGAAGGAGTTTATCGGGGAGCTCTCACGCCATGCCGTTAGCGAAGAGCTGGTGGTTTATCCTGCAATGGAAGAGTTTTTAGCGGATGGAATGGCGATCGCAGACAAAGATCGGAAAGAACATTCCACGGTGGGTGCGCCTGGTTGTGACAATTATTGAATATCCTGACACCATGAACAGATTAAACAACGAGTTGATGCCTTTCAGGATTTGAGCAGCTCCGATCCACGTTTCCTTCCCACGATCGCAGGCTTGATGGATGATCTTGGCAGAAACTTTCATGATGTAGAGACAATCGATTTACCAAAGCTGGAGAATCACATTACTTCCGACGAAAGCGAGCAGTTGGCAAACGCTCTGCAACGAGCCAAGGTGTTTGTGCCATCCGACTCACGTCCAAGTGTGCCAAACAAGCCACTCTTTGAGACTGCCGCCGAGATGATCACGGCCCCCCTCGAAAACCTCCAGGGGTTGCTCCCTACATGGTTGGGGGATGATCCGGACCCAAAACCAGCAGAATGAGTGAGGAGTCACGGGTTGGACAATGCATCAAATAGCAATGTATATATACAAAGCTTGGAATGATTAGGTTACTGGCCAGTTTAATGCTTGGGCTGTTCCACAGACTCTACATCTTGGTCCTTATTGTAGACATCTTGTTGAGTCAGACCATTCCAGAGCATCTCACTTCGTGAAGCCAGCCGACTTGGTTGCCAATGACGTTTATTACCTTATGCTTGGCTTCACTTGTGATCTTTGGATTGTTCAAAGTTCTAAATAGTTACTAGTTGTGTCGAATCAGACAAACACGTTCCAACAGACTATGCTTTATAGCAGTGTATCGCGTTTAATTCATCCTCAATGGAGACTTCGAGCTCATTATTTTCACCCAGGTTCGACATAGTGGATTTAATTGTTTGGTGGACGTCGTAAAGAATCAATTACTATTCTTTGCAGAGCCAATACCTTCGGATGGCAGAGGCAAACATCGGGCCACGTCACGTCCTTATCATGCAAGGCAAAATATCTAAAACTGAATATATGAATTGATTATTCATCTCACTACTGAGTGATCCCGAGTGATAATCAAAGGTTGTTGTAACCAGTGTGTCTGTAACCAGTGTGTCCATCTTGGTTCAACATCTCCACGTCCGTTTCTTCCTCTATCCTGTAGGCTCGAGGCAGGATTTTGCTGGGATGGAAGACATTAAAGAGCAAGCAAACAATCAACATTAACGCCGCATCAAACACGTAAATGAAAACTTCTTTGCTCTGAAGATATCCATCACTGCCCTGAACATATTCAGCCACTCGGTAGATGGACCGGATCATCACTAGGGCGCTAGCAACATAGAGAACCCTCATGTAACTTGTCCAAGGGATTTTGGTATCGCCCACGGCATACAATGGTGTGGCGAGCATACGGCGGTGGAAAACAAAGGAAACGACGATGAAGAAACCGAAAAATAGGATTTGCACGAAGAGTCCTACAACAATCATGTTGTTTCCCTGTTTGACTTTCGACTGGTCTTTTGCTGTAGCAAGTAGACCACCACCTATCAAAACGGTGCTCATCAGAACCCAATCTTCTTTTTAGAATTATCCGGCTTACCTCCACTCTGGATGAAGAACGACAGTACATCGCCCGTCACAAAGATCTTGGACAACCATGATGGTCTAACGAGTGAGCACGAAGCCCCGTTTAAAAGACGAATGATTCTCCCAAGAACCATGTATATAGAGGCTGCGAAAAAAGCGGGCGCCAACAAAAGCATCAGGCTTTGTGCAATATATGGTTTGGTCGTCCAAGTCGGGGTTTCTTCAGCACTCACGAACCTCGCAACGTATCCGCACGCCTCAACTAAAGTCCATACCGGTCAGTACATAGTAGAGAGAGGATTGTGGATAGAATGAATCATACAGAGGCTACCGATAAGAAATGGTATGAAGTACCATGATCTATTTCGACCCAATTGCCACAGATGTATCACGGTGGTAAGGCCAAAAAGAGCAGCAAATGGAATAGCAGTCCCAGATGATGGGCTGTAGTGGTATAGCTTGAATCCTTCGGCCATCTTTAACGAGTGAGGTGTGCAAGATAAAAGAATCTCGAAATATTGGTACCGGTGATTAATGTGAGAAGGAATACAAGAGCTGGGGTTTAAAGAGAGAATTGAAGGAATCCCCGACCTTTCTACTGAACAGAATTTCTGACCCCATTGTTTTCTTTTGTTTAAATTTTGCTTAAAATAGATACAGCAGGTTCTGTAATATTCTATCTGCCTTGGAACCAAGGACATTAGAAAGGTGCGGCTCGGCTTCCACAGATACCAGGCTCAAAAGTCTTCGCCACTAGGCTTCTTTGGTATAACGATACGAATGTCTGATGTGGCATCGAAGGGTTCAAACTAGCTACAATTTAGTGCCTTTCTTAGATTGCAATGATCTACCCAATAAGCCTGGGGTTTCAGGATCATCATCCAATCAACTATCTTCTAGATCCCGAAAATGGAAAACATCACGAATACGAGGATCCAGCTGCGAATAGTCCCATAGCCGGTTCCTGGTTATCGATTGAAATTTCCTGTCCGACTTTCCTATAGTGGAGTGTAGAGCGAAATACGATAAAATTGTCTATCTGTAGGACATGGATCCGCGTACCCCAAACTAGGCCACGAGAATATCAATTTGCCCCAGTCCAGCCGTATAAATGTGTCCCAATCACCTGCGCGTTTTGGATTATTTCTCCTTTACTTTCCCCATTTGAACTTTCCCTCTATTTTCAGAAAATGGCTTGGACATTCTATTACTATACCCCATCCAGCCCAGCTGCAGGTATCTTCGTTGGGCTGCTTGGTGTGAGCACCGTCCTACATTTCTACCAATTGGTGCGAACGCGATCATGGTTCATGATTCCATTCCTGATCGGCGGTATCTGTGAGTCTCCATACTCTTGAGCATAGATTTTTTTTTTCTTTTTTCATTTCTCATGTTGTTTTCATTTTTTAGTCGAAACGATCGGTTATGTCGGCCGTCTGCTATCGTCAATCGAGGCTCCGGACTACACGAAGGGACCGTATATCATGCAAAGCGCTCTCATCTTGATTGCACCGGCATTCCTGGCAGCAAGCGTCTACATGACGCTCGGAAGAATCATATTCATGCTCGATGGAGAGAAGTGCTCGTTGATCAGACTGAAATGGCTGACCAAGATATTTGTGGCGGGTGATGTCTTGTCTTTCTTGATGCAAGCTTCTGGTAAGTCAATTTTGTCCAAAACAGTGAACTCGGCTAATGACTGGGTCAACAGGCGCTGGCATTATGGTAAAAGACACAACAAATCCATCCACTGGTGAGCACATCATTATCGGAGGACTTTTCGTGCAGATCATCTTTTTCGGGTTCTTCATGATCAGTGCCCTTGTGTTCCAGTCACGCATCATGAGCAACCCCACCGGGAGATCTATGGAACTGTCAATTCTGTGGCGTCGGCACTTGACTGCCTTGTACATCACCAGTGTTCTAATTCTGGTGCGATCGATTGTTCGTGTTGTGGAGTACCTCCAGGGCTATGATGGGTATCTAATGAAAGAAGAAGTGTTCATCTATGTCTTCGATGGGTTGTTGATGCTGGTAGCAATGCTGGCTCTTCAATATGTCCATCCCAGTGAGATCAATTGTCTTATTGGCCGGGGGGATCGGTACTCAGAGAAAGTTTTCAAGACGCGCAAGTTCGTGCCGGAATCGGCATTGGAGATGAGTGGAGCCATGGAGGCGTAGCTTGTAACGGCGGTTTCTCAAAGTCGGCCATTCATGATAGCAAGAGTTTGTAATGAATCTGTAACTCAATTTCTTCGAAATGTTACTTTCAAGTCTCCATAGGTATTGTACCCGGTTGGTTACTTTGCGCCAGCCCGACTTGCTCTTTCGGCCACTTGATATGGGGCTGCCAGTCAGAGGGCAAGGACTGCCTAATCTCTTCTAAAACCACAGAGCCCCAAGGCCCTACGCACCAGTTCTCGCAGGCCATGTGTAGAAATCCGCAGTAATGGGCTAGCACCACGAGGGAAAAGGGTACTCTATGATCCAGATCACTGAGATACTCTGCTGGTGCTCGAATAGCCCAGCCTGCGGCAAGAGTCATTGATGTGGGCTCTGTTAAAGTGAAAGCCGCTAGGTCGCGCAAAGACTTGATCACTCGCTCGTAGACTGGACAATTGTGATGAACAGATTGCTGGCCACACTGAGCGTTTAGTTCACAGAGACGGTCAAAAGCAGCTATGACATGATCGGGCAAACATATTTCTGGTTGCGTTATGTTGAAGAGAGGAGCAAAATTACTCTGGAGTAAGAATTCGAACTCTCTGCTGGCGACTGCCTGGACACCACGCGAGAGAGTAAAAATTTTAATCAAAGAGTCCAGACTTGGGCCATCAGCAGTTCCAGGGGTAAGGGCACTTCCCAGTCCAAATGCCACTACCAAACCAGCAAAGCCCATCATTGCTTTGACATTGGATCGGTCAATATTGGAGAGTTGATCGGAGAACATGGACAGGGCAATGTTTTTGTGTGAAATTGCAACACTTAGCCACTTGGATTGACTTTCAGGCTCACGAAGTTTTGACAAATGTAGTGCGGAAAGGCCCAAGATTCCATGCATCAGAAAAGGTGCCTGGAGAGCCTCTTTTAGCACCACTAGCTCCCAGACCTTGCGGGTCTCTTCGCTGCGAGCTAGGAGTTTATGCGTATGCATGATCCACTGGAGCTCAAGTTCAAGCTGCTCCATGTTCAGTCTAGGTGTGCTTTCAGATACCTCCGCTGCCTCGAACTGATCAAGAAGAGGCAATGTGCCTCTATTGGAGGGAGATGTTACATCGTCTGCCGAAGACCGCCTCGTGCGTTGGGGCCTTCGGCGTTGCTTTTCTGTGAAAAAAAAAGGCCCCTCGGAATTGTACACACATTCATCCTGTCTCTGGCTGCAAGTAGTACAACTCGGACGTTGTTCATCACACTGTAATTGAGTCAGGATGTGGAAGCTAGGGGAGAGCATTTACGTGATACCTTGACCCGCCTTCGCTTACAATTGGCACACCCATGGCGAGATTTAGTATGTGAGCGTCTGAAGGCCATTTTCAGACCACCCCGGCGAATACTGTCGGCGTGAAATTCAAGAAGGCAAAGATGTCCATGTCCATTGGGGGAGTGATGAGTCAGCGAGTCATGTGCTTTGAAGATTAAGAGTATGGGACGCTAGTCAGAACAGGGACTAGCGAATGATCCTATAGATCTCAGCCTTGGAGGGCTGGACATCTTCAACTCGAAACAGAGTAGCTCTAGGTCATTGCAAGATTTCTAAAGTTCAGTTAAGAAGACTGATTATCATTTGTCATGGATGGGTTGTCATTCATGCAACCTCTACACCCCGGGTGTAGAAGAGCCTACAGTTCTTACCTCCTTGTCGCAAACTTGATGGAAAGCTGCCAATTTTTGCCTCAATTAGCCATCGAAGATGATAGTAGACACAGAGTGGTGGAATCTACAGAAACTGATTTGTAGCGAGTTCAAAGTTAATACCTGTGAAATTTTAGTGGTTGTTTCCGTGATATATACTTCTGGCTTCCTAGCGGATGACAACGCAACAGCGCGAACTGAGTAGCAACTTAGAATAAACACTCCCAGTGAATGCAATTCAACCGAGCAGCCATATGTGTTCTAGCATACAGATTCTGAGAAGGCGTGCTGACAATCCATCTCCAGTGGCAGGTATTCTATTGTCACACCAACGCATTCTTTGTGAAATCATCACCGGGGTCTCCGTGATTTTGACCTATTCTTGGAATAAGGGAAGAGGATCTAAGTGGGACTCGACGTGCCCAGACTCAAAAGAAGGAAAGCCGTCAAGTAATTAAGGCGGTTAGTGGAGCGCGAAGCGGCAAACTAACTCTAGATCGACAATGCGGCCGCGTCTCCACAACAACACTGGAAGAATGTCGCATACTCAACTCGTCGACATCATACACAACTATGGCGAAGAAACTTCACGGTTTATGACTTTGCTCAGTTTGTTGGCCCTTAGGTTCCCCCTGTTTTATTGGCTTCGCCAATATTCCCCTGTTTCATCGGTTGTTTGGGGGTGCGCCATAGCGCGGGATGCACGTTTCAGGTTGACACCCACACCCTTAACCGCCGAGATAGTGACCAGTCCGCAATGTGCGTTGGCCGTTCTATACCCCTGAAGAATGGATCATCCCTCGTCGCGGTGGATTTCGGCTTCTGGCTAGAGCGCCATCCTGGGTCTTTTTGCACATGGCAACCTATCCCGGCCTTAGTAGGATACAACAGTGAAGTGGTCAGGCACTCAGTCCCTCTGACTGGATGGAAGAATGGATCCTCAATGGTCTTTCCTTTCTTGAAAAACTAAATACATGGGCACCTGCACCTGGGCATTAATAAATATTTGGCTCAAATTCCTGTTGTTCTGCGAACACGTTCGACACGCTCACATTCCTTTCTCCTTGTTGACAATCTGGATTGTCTGCCTTTCTTTTAGTCGTTTTTGTTCAATTACTTTCTTTTCTGGTTTCTTACCTTCAACTGCTAGATCAAAGTCATTTAAGGACCTTGTTCGTTGCAAGCCCATCAAGATGGTTACCTCACGTTCATTGAGCGCTGGTTCGCTGATGCTCGCTTTACTGTCTTCTCCTGTAGCCGCCACAAGTTACTCCCTAGTTGAGACTTGGCAGGGGAAGAATTTCCTGGACTATTTCAACTTCCACACCGGATCCGACCCGACGAACGGATATGTCAACTATCTCGACAAGGCGAGTGCCGAGAGCGCAGGCCTCGTTAAGGTGACAGACAGCGGCAGTGTATACCTCGGAGTCGACCATACAACGACACTAGACCCGAACGGCAAGGGCCGTGACTCCGTTCGCATTGGAAGTAAAAAGTACTATGACCAGTCTTTGGTCATTGCGGATATTGCCCACATGCCTGGCAGCGTCTGTGGAACATGGCCAGCTTTCTGGTCCGTTGGCAAGAATTGGCCCGGCGATGGAGAGATTGATATCATCGAGGGTGTCAACCTTCAAGATCACAACGAGATTGTCATGCACACCGCTGGTACATGCAGCTTGACGGACACAGATATGACTGGCGTTGTCAATGCCACGGGCTGTGGTGAGGACTTGGGAACTGTTGGATGTGTGATCGAGGGCCACAAGGGCAGCTATGGCACCTCATTCAATGGCCAGGGAGGTGGTGTGTATGCTATGCAGTGGACCGATGAGTTCCTAAAGATTTGGTATTTCCCCCGAAGCTCGATCCCAGCCTCTATCACCAGCGGCAAGCCCGATGTCACCAAGTTCGGCACACCCATGGCACTGGTTAAGGAATCATGCGACGTTGCAAATGCCTTCAAGGCTCAGTCCTTCATCTTCGATGTTACTTTCTGTGGTGACTGGGCTGGGGGTGTCTTTGGCGACTCGGGTTGCCCTATGAGCGATTCCGATTCCTTCCAAAGCTGCCACAACTTTGTCGCCAACCATCCTGCTCAGTATGAGCAGTCTTACTGGGAAATCAACTCTGTCAAGATATATCAGACTAGTGTAGAGGAAACTGCTGTTGTTTCCTCCCAATCCTCCGAGTCTGCTGCGCCTGTCAATTCTGCAGCTTCTGAGACCGAGGCTGCTGCTCCCACCACCGAAGCCGCTCCAGTTGTGTCCAAGTCCACTGGTGAGAACCATGCCACCGCAGTGCACTCGTCGGCTTCTCAAGGTACAGCTGCCGTTGGAAGCATCCAGGAACTGAATCCTACTTCTACTGCTCCTGCTGCGGCCCTTGGAAAGACCGCTACTGAGGAGATTCAGCAGTCCCATGCTACTAAGAAGACCCGGACCATCACGGCGCTCGTCACCTCGACCAAGACTATCTGTCCCGAAGCCGAGAAATCTTCTTCTCTTGCTGCTCTCTTGCCCGCAACCCCCGTGGTGACCACCCCTGCTGTCCCAGTCGCAGAGATTCCTGGCAACAGCCAACAGGTCAAAGAAGCTACCTCTGCAGCTGCAATTGTTGCTCAATCATCTCCGACATCGCAGGCAGTCGTCCCAGTCGGTCAAATCCAACCATTCATTGAAACAGGTGTCTCTGCCCAGAGTAGCCCAGTTGCTGCTGCACACGACAACGTGCCTTCTTCGGCCCCAGTAAACTTAGTATCCGGTGCAGCCCCCTCGGCCCCGGCCCCTACTGAGACGCCAAGTATGGCTCCATTCGGTGCTTCCTGGTTGCATCCTTCAGCGACACGCTCTGCTGCCCCCTCTAATGTGGCGTCTCAGCCCTCCCGGGCCCTGGGCTCTGCACCAACTGATGTCTCGCCTGAGACCGCAGCCACCTCTTCTGGGAGCTTCGTTTCCAGCGAGTCCACAACCGGAGCTGTCCCTGTTTTCACCGGAGCTGCTCAAAAGCTGTCACTGAGTGCCCCCGCGGTTCTCTGCGCGTTGATTGCCTTTGCACTTTAAGTTTGGCCCTTCGGTTTGTTTGTATTCGGTGGCGGTTTCCCTTTTTTATTGTACAGCAGGCCTTAGATCTGGCCTAAGCGACTTTTGACTATTCTTTGATCAAGTCTGTCTATTGAGTTCTTGAAGCGCACTCCCTTGTTCACCCAGCTCGCAGCGGGAAATTTAGCTAGTTAATGAAAAGTGTACAACTCCATATATCTGTGATAGACATTCCCTCATCCAATACTTGCACTTCTGACCCCCACAGCTTGAACCTCGATCAGAACGTTGCGCATGGTGATCAAATCTAAATTTACTTCCATCTTGCTAGCCAGTCCCGGGCATAGCAGCTGAGAATACCATCATCAACAATTCGTAATCGCCCATTTCGCAGAGTAACGCTATCCCTCTCAGCCTTGTCCGTGATAAATCTCTTAAATTTGCTCGTCCCAGCAGAGCGCTTCCCTCCATGCATTTGCTCATAGTGGTGAATGAGCTTGACCGCTGGATTGGCACGTTCTTCACCCCTTGCCTCGCTCTCACGAAGCTTATGCAACCATTCCTCGAAGGGCACTGAATCAAACTCAAACCCACAAAGTCTAAGAGTGTCCAGGAGCGATGACCAAGGGAACGAACGAGAATTGTACACATTGAAAATAGAGTCATCCCTTTGTGCCGTAGATGAATGTGATGCCTGGGTGTCCCGGGTATCAGCTAGAGATGAGCATGATTTGGCCAGCTCGAGGATACTGCAGGCAAGCTTGTCCACTGGGAGCCAGGAGCATTCTTGATCTAGATCTGGCAGCGCGTTGATAGTGAGTGCCGATCGGATCATTAGCGGTAGAGCTTCGGAGTCATTCCACAGGCCTTTCTTGGAGTGACCCGAGACCTGTCCAATTCGGAGTGAATATGCTCTCGCACCACTCTGGCGCGCATTGCTCACAATCCGCTCTCCGACTACCTTGGACTGTCCATAGCCCATGAAAGAATGATCCAAAGCAACTGGCTCCTCGAGTATCTCATCAGAAGGTGAGCTTAGAGCAGCCGAGACAGAGGAGCAGAACATCATAACAGCTGGCTCAGGTCTATGAACGGAGAGCGAAAATTGGATCAGGTTGTAGAGTCCCTGGATATGTGGCTCGAATTGGGACACAGGAAGGTTGAAGTTAACGGGCCATGCAGTGTGAATAATTAGAGAAACCGAGTCAAGCATGTGTTTGATCATGTCTTCTTCCAGACTCAGACCAAAACCGGGCTTATCGAGAGAGCTGTTGAAAGCGATGATCTTGGTCATCTGCTCGGGGCTGATATATAGATCCTTTTCAACCAAAGCGTTGATTACTGTCTCCAGCGACGATACGCGCCTAGTGAGGCAATAAATTGTCGATATAGAGTCGTCATTGAGTAGCTCAAACAATGTATGCGCACCGATAGAACCGGTTGCTCCTGTTAGAAGCTAGTATTTTGTTAGATCAATGTTCAGATAAATAGGGGATCTACTTACCACACTCGTTGTATTTGGGTACACCTCTTGTCGAGGCTGATGTCGTTGGAACGCGGAGTATTTCTCGATCAAGTCTGTCATCACCGATATAGCACTGTTTTTACTTGCAATTTTATTGCCATTTTGCAAAGTGTGAATATGTTGAGCCAACTGCGATATGCTCCCCGCATCGAAAATAACATTCTGAGTTGGAATGTGGCTTTGCTGGAATTTGAAGCGTTGAAGGATTAGACGCCGAAAATGGATCGCTTTCAAACTATCAACTCCCTCGGAGAAAAAGTTGGCGGTTGCTCCTGATATGGAAATCCTCAGTTCTTCTCGAGCCATTTGGAGAAGAAGAGACTCCGTTTCGGCAATATCGAGCTCGAGCTTTCCCTCCAATTGATTTTCCTTGAGGAAGAGGCTTTCAATAAGCCCCTCGTGCTGCTGGTAGACTTTGGCTCGGATCATGGATCCTTTGTCGGTTCGAGGAAACTTGGCATCAGAAGGTAATATAGCGACCAAATCGCGGGAGATCCGCGCGAAGGTTTCAGCGTGCGAGTTGGCCTCCTGAATGATTGGCCAGATGTGATTAAGATATTCATCGTCAGTTGCATGCTCCACTTCAGATTCAGGGGCTCTCAAAATCAGAAGACCAGGAGCAGCCTTACCCAGTCCGACCACGACAGCTTCATGGACGAGTGGGTGTTGCTTGATACAGCCTTCAATAGGAAGAGGCAGAACCTTCTCACCATTGATGAGGTTGATACGATCATCTAGCCTCGACATATACTTCCAGCGATCCGGAATTGTAGGATGGGGCGTAAATACATCCTTGGAATGGAATGAACCTGGTGGTTCATCGGAGTTTGAAGCTGTCAGGGCTGGATGACCAGCCAGATAGACGCACTCATAAAGTAAGTCAGACTCGGATATAGGTTTCATCCAGATATAAGTAGAAATGTTGTCAAAGAACCGCAGATAATTCCAATACGGGTCTCCCGTCGGCCGTGAGATTGATTCAGCGACGAGTCCAGCTTCAGTCCTGCGGACGTTGTCAGATTGTGGATCTTTAAAATTATTAATAATACTCACAGGCCAAATGAACCACTGAAATGGACACCTTCACTAACAAGCCGATCTCCAAGTTCATCGGGACACGGCGCACCCCCATAGGTGACGAGCATGCAACGTCGGAGTGCTGCGATACCTCGAGTATCATTGATCAAAAGTTGAAGGATATACGGGACCGCGGCGATGGATTCTGGCTCTGCTTCCTCAAGAGCTGCAACCAAAAGATCAGCCGTGAATGGTAGAGCAGAGTTCCACATGTAGGCAGTCTTTCGCATCCACATAGCCTGTAATGCAGTCGATAGACCGTGAAGATGATACCAAGGAAGAGGATTGAAAGAGGTAAGCCCAGGACCTCTTAGTGGGTGGGTCATCAAAGCTCGATGAGTGAGGAAAAGTGGCTTTGGAGTGCCCGTTGACCCTGAAGAATGAAGGATGATAGCAACCTTTTCAGGATTCCGATTGCGATGCAAGACCAAGAAGGATGATTCTGGTTTATTGTTCAAAGAGTTCGAGAGCATTGGACGGCAACTGACAAGTTTTCGTTGCAGAATCTCACCCAAAGTAGTGCGAATACTGGATGATTTTCCGTAAATTATCGTATTGCATCCCACAATTTCCAGTAATCCAACACAAGCTTCGCCAGAAAGTCTCGGGGAAAGCATCATGACAGTGTGGCCCAGTCGACTTAGGGCAAAGAATGTGACGACCAGGTTGATGTCTGATAACGTCAAGAGCGCAACGATAGATCTATCTTTTGTTGACTTTGACTATCAGGAATTATGTCATGATTCATTTTAGAAGAACATACCTGCTTAAATCCGTCGTCAATAAGACTGGTGACGGCCTGGTTAATCATATCATCCAAGTCCTGTCCGGTATAATAATCAAACGAGGCCGCATCACTCTCCGAATGAGGATAGGCAAGAATCGGATGTTGAACAGCATCAGCAGCTCTTAGGCGGATCAAATCATCGAGGACTTGCAGTAGTCCGAACTCTTGAACGAGAGGATTGATAGTACTTGAGGAGCCAGCTTGCGTCTGATCACCACTTTGGACACCCATTGTAAAAGAGTACTTCATGGAAAGGTGAGAATGGTGGCACAGCAGCCATGGAGTTGAAGTATGATATAAGCCCAGGTATGATCCAAGTATCTACGGTCAAACCATTTGCTGTGTGGACTCATTTGCCGGCTGCATCGTCTGCATTCGGAGTACGCGGAAGGAAGTCCTTCCGGATGTGGAGAAAGAGATACATATCTCACGTCTTTTGCCCATAGGTAAACTTACGCGGAGTAGTTGTAATCGTTTGTGGTGCTGAGAGGGCTCCGCTATTGAAATCTAGCAGACTAGGATGTATCGAATTGGTGTTTGATCGAGGCCAGATCCTGATCGGAGATAGCCCTATGCAAGCACTCGCAGCACCGTTTTAGTGCTGACAAGTGGCTGGGATTTCCTTTTTTCGCCACGTCTTCCCCCCTGTTGATGATAGTCGGGTGGAATTACCTCCATACTATATACCACGACGGTTTTTAAAAATGCGTTGAACTTCTGATTTGAAGCCATCTACTACTCACACTTAATCGCATGCATTGGAATTGAAGATGAAGGATTGTTACGCTGCATAGCTGCCTGAGATGTCTGCGCCCGTCGGTATGAAAATCCCATTGCGACAGCTCAGCTCGCCATGTTTCTAAAGTGGCGTTTGTGGACTTTTGCCTCACGATACATTGATCTCATGATCACGCATTTGGCGACATCGTATCTAATACCCTGTGGGTGTGACCAGCGAGGAAATTCAGCGTCAGCTGGGTGACATTTGTTCAGACTGGGGGTGTCCAATACACTCCGGCCCACTGTTGGCTATTGGCTGTCTTCACTGCATCCTAACACTTCAGGACCACATAAGTGCTACATCGAGACTTTTCAGATACGCAGCAAACGCTAACCATGCAGGCCCTGCCCCAGTATCTACCGCAAACATATACCTCCCTTTAGTGTCGAATGGACCGAGCCAAAGGTCAAGGATGCCACCCCAAATGACGTATGGAGTAATTGGACCTAGCGTTCAGCACTTAAATTGGTTCTGAGACTGGTATGGAGTTTACGGATCTGCAATAGTCCATATTGAAAATCCCAACGTCTAGGGAGAATGGGAACACCTCCGCTGGAATGCTGCCTTATGGGGCCGATATATACTATTGAATCACGGCTGTTCTCGGCTAACGGTCCCTTGAGCCATCTTTGGAATGTTAACCGTTCGATCGGGCCCTGGGATGCCGATCACTGCAAATTTCTTTGATATCGGCCTTGTAAAGTTCTAGAACAAGCCCGGACAGCATTCCTGGATTGCAGATCGGCCCCAGAAATGGCCAGTGGGCATTGGACGAAAGGAGTGTATTGGCCCAGCATATTTTTGCCATATAACGCTTAGCGCACAGGTTCTACTAGTCCATTCCGCCGATCTGAGACATCTACATGTATCCACTCCGTCGGGGAGGCTTCCGTGACTGTATGCAGTGGATAACCTTCAACTAGGGGGTTATCCTCGTGGAGTAATGGGTATGAATAGGAATTGATCGTTTTACTGAGCACAGAATATAGAGGTTTTGTGGAATGTGAGAGGTTTGTTGATGCCTTAAAATTGCCAAAATAACCATCAAATACACGTGCAACAATGCAGGATGGATGTGATTCAATCCAATGCGACAGAGTTGGATCCCTTTTCCATCTTGTCGCCCAAGTATCGCAGAACTCGCTGCCAGGATTGACTGGCTCGCCTAGCATGCTCATCTGGAACGACCGGGTTGTCGTCTCCGGTTGTCCGCGAGAAGACCTCCATGCTGACCCACCCAGTGTAGCCCAGACGAGTGATGCAGGCATCTGTGACCTTGCGGATCGGAAGGTATCCACCGCGCTCCTCCTCACACGGGAAAAGACGGGCATTCCGCGACCAGGCTAGCAGCGTGGGCAAGCCTACGTGGAGGAATGGCGTCTGTGGGTCGACCCGCTCACCATCGGCAAGTTGGACCATCAGGACTCGGCTCGGATCGATTTCCCGAACGAGTCGATCCATCGAGTCCTGCAAAGACTTGTCGGCGTTTGCAGGCAGTCGTCCTGTGGGGTCTGTGGGGTCGGCCCACAGCCGAGCTGCAATGTTGAAGGTATCCAGACATATTCCCAGATTGGGTCGATTAGCCCGTTTAATCACGTCCCAGGAATCCTCCCAAGTGTTGATGTATGTACCCCAAGCCAGTGCTTCATATGCGATGCGTACAGGGAATGCCAAATCGGCAGCCTCGGCCAGGTCGGCGGCAAGCCGGTCTCGGTCACCAGTAATTTCGGAGGGATCGAGGAATGACGAAGGGATCAGAATGAACAGGGAGTCCCCGAGAATTTTGGTTAATTTTACCCAGTGCCTGAGCTCGTCAATACGCTCACCATGGCGAGCTGGGTCGACCAGCCCTTCGTAGTGACGAAAGGGTTGCAGGGCTAAAACCTGCAAGTGACGCTCCGCGCAAAGATGGTGGATGGCGTGTGCTGCATCGATCTCGTAGTCTCGAGCGGATCGGGGCGAGCTGTCATTCAGCTGGAGCGTCTTGGCGAGCTGTGCAAGATCATCGTGGAAAAGTTCGAGTCCTTGTTGGCCATTGCGGGCAGCGGCGTCGAGTTTGGCAATGATTGGATGTAGATTCGCAGCTCCCAGGCTCACAGTGGCGATAGCTGGCTTCCAAGACAGGCCAAGCTCAGAGATAGGGGGACTGGGGAGAGAATGCATCGGTAAAATAGTTTACTTGTACATGTGACTAGTAGCCACTAGTGACGCCTTTTATAGAACAAATCAGCTCTCACATCACCGAGTCGCCTCTGTTTCCGTGTACTTCGTACCTTCAGGGGTTTAATGAGAAAAGTGGGTAAACGGAGTAAGTAGAGAATAGATCTTCCGGATTCAAATCGCACACCGTAAGCCAAGCCTGTACACCCTTTGGATGATCTCGGCGATCGCCTCTTGTCCTCAATGCGGTGGTGAGCTGACGTTTGATATCGCCCGAATTGTGGCTGTTTCCGGGAAACACCGATGCATGGACAATGGAGAAATACTCGTGATAGTACTCTGTCTCAATGTCACTGTGACTTGAAAAAACGGGTATATAAGATGGAATCAGCAGCCAGAGGGTTCCATCATCCCAGACTGTACCACACGAAGCTGAAGCAATTGCGCCGAACATCCGACATGACGATCGTCACGCCTCTGTATTCTTTAGTCAATCGCATCAGTGCGATGACCATGAAAGAAGCTTCGGAGTCGTCTCCACAAGCCCACTTTGAACTGTTGCAAATGATCGACCAGCTAAGAGCGGCAGTGGAAACTCCCACAGAGACCGTTTTACGTCTGATTTACCAGGTATATATCTTTCACCGAGGTCAATATCCCAGTCTGACCGAGGAAAGCCCCCGCAAAATGCAGCGTTGCGGACTGTGATAGAGTTGGGTATCTTCGCCGTGTTGGTGGAGAAGCGGCACAGAGAGACGGGAGTCTCTGCCACTCAACTGGCCGAACATACGGGCGCCGAGCCTGATTTGATTAGTATGTTTTCGGCATTGGTGGCGTGAACCGGCTAATTTTGTGAATAGTCCGTTTGATGCGTGTCATGACATCGCTCGAGCTATGTACCTCGACTTCGGAGGTCTATTTTGCCAATGAGAAGACAGTGGCGCTCACCCAACCGATTGGCAGAGATGGGATTCCATGCATGTAAGATGTGGTAATTCTTTGCTTTTTCCTCACGGAGTTCTTACTGCAGAAATAGATATGATCTCACAGTGCCAACTTTGAGCAAATTGCCCGAGTACCTCCGGTCTCACGATTATATCAATCCTCAGGACTATACTCGCTCACCCATGCAATGGGCGGTTGGCCAAAGCCAGTTTGAATGGCTGGCACGTAACCAACAGCAGCAGACGCTGTTCAATTCCTATATGGCCAGCCGTCGCGAGGGCAGACCCATGTGGTTCAACACATACCCCGTTGAGCGACTGCTTGGCGATGCCGTGCCATTTGAAGACACCGTATTCTTGGTCGACGTTGGAGGTAACCAGGGCCACGATTTGAGCAAGTTCCGCAGAGAATATGGTCATTTGCCAGGGAAATTGATCTTGCAAGACCTGCCCAGTGTGGTCGAAGGGGTCTCCGGTCAAGACGCTGGGGTTGAGGTGATGGGATACAGCTTCCTGGAGCCCCAGCCTGTCAAAGGAGCACGAGTATACTATTTCAGAGCCATCTTCCATGACTGGCCCGATCACATCTGCCAGCAAATCTTGCGTAACACCGTGTCGGCTATGGCACGGGACTATTCGCGCATTCTTATCGTGGACTTTGTTTTGTCGGACACCAAGACTCCGTTGATGCAGGCTTCAATGGATATTCAAATGATGAGCATCGGGGCTGGTGTTGAAAGGTCGGAGCGACAATGGAGAGATTTGTTGCGCAGCGCTGGACTGGAGATCGCTGGCATTTGGAATCAAAACCCAGGCATGGAGTCGGTGATTGAAGCTGTTCCAATTATGGTGTAAGGGTGAAGTATGAGAGAAGTGAAGTTGGAGGAATGGGCAAGTATTTACAGAGAACAATCAACTCAAATATTTCGCGCCTGTGAGCGCTGCATCTTCCACTACCACTGTGCCGCGGAAATACAATCGGTGCTGGTCTAGTTGCCGTTCCAGTACAGCTCGATATCTCTCATTCTTCATCAGCCCTCCGGCCAAAACAAGCACGGAAGTCTCTGATGGCTGGTAATCAGTCCCCTTGGAGTTGACCAGTCGACCAAGTGTTTTGCCTATTAGTACGGCAACCTGACAGTTCACAATGGAATCTGCTGTCTTATCCTCCCCAATGAGTCCAAGAACAAGCTCGGCAATGCTAGCGATGCGTGCCTTGACACCCTGTGTGCATTTGCTCGCGAGTATCTCGTTCAACATGTCGATGCCGGCATTTTCAGAAACGGGACAGCCCAGCTTTGCAGCAACTGCCTGTTCAAGTCTACCTGGCTCGCGTGTTTGAATCCCTAGAGTGATTTCCTCAAAGACACCTAGCGTGTGTTGAATGGCCTTCAGACCGATAGCGTATCCACCCCCTTCATCCCCAAGCATATGTCCCCAGCCACCGGACCGGGCAACGCGTGTATAGCCTTCACGCGATTGGCTGTATCGCATGGCAACACTTCCAGTCCCGGCAATGAGAACCAAGATGGACGACGGCTCCAATTCTCCTGGGACCGCGGCAGTCAAAAGATCGACATCGTTGGTTAACTGGATGGCCGTGTGATTGAGCCCGAAAGCCTCTCCTAACTTGGGCGCCAACAATCCCTTGACTCCAGCTCGATCAAGTCCAGCAAGCCCAATCCACACGGAGCTGAAGCATGATTGCAGGTAATTCTTCCAATCGGAATCTGTCTGATCTCTGCCGCTTGGGAATTGGTCTTTCAAGGCAGATTTCGTGGCTTCCAGCAGTGTCGCTACCACCCCATCTAGGTTTTTAATGCTATCGGTTCTGCCAAAAGTCAACTTCCGTCTGAAAATCTTGGGATCTGGGAAAACTCATACAAATTACAAGGACCGGCATAACCTCGACAGACAATATTGGCCCCGTTTGTGACCGCAGCAGCGCATTTGGTACCTCCACCGTCGATGCACAAAACAAACGGCCGGCCAGACTTGACCTCAGGAGTAATCTGTTGACCAGGCTTCGAGACAGCAGCTATTGCGTTGGCCAAGACTCCACCAGCAGCTTCAAAGTATCCTTCACACGCCTCGACCGACTCTCCAGTATCGGCGACCAAGATAGCCAACTTGACACTATGGTTGCACCTTGAGAGAAGTGCATCCAGATCCTCATCTGGCAAAGAATGGCACTTGGAGCTCAACCTCCGCAAAATATTACGCGATCGTTGCTTCAACTTCAAATTGGAAGCCACAAGATCAACCATCTTAAAAGGTCAGTAAAGCCAAAGACCTTGTTATGGACAACTTACCATGTTTCCATAGGTCTTTCCAGTGCGAACCATCGTGCCTGTACTGAGCATGTTCAGAACAAGCTTGGTCACAGTTCCAGCCTTGAGCCGCGTGCTACCAGTGACTACTTCAGGACCTGGCAAAGGTGCGATCAGGAAGTCTGCGATCCCTGCACTCCCAATAGCCGATGGTGCTGCACAGACAACGCCAATAGTAACGCAACCGAGCCTTTGGGCAAAAGCCAGACAGCCCATAACATACGGTGTACGACCTGAACTTGCTATGCCGATGATGCTGTCGACTTCGGGATCCAGGTTTAGCTGCTTCATCTCTGCCTTGCCAACCTCTTCATTGTCCTCCGCGCCCTCTTGAGCTTGCCGAATCGCATCATCCCCGCCTGCAATCAGGCCGATGAATTGCGAGCGAGGAGCAGCAAATGTCGGGGGGATCTCCGAAGCATCCAAAATGCCCAATCTATTGTTGAGACTATTAGCCTCTGAATGGTCACCTCTAAGCCTCCACTTACCTTCCACTTGTGCCAGCACCGACATATACTACTCGGCCACCTCGGCGCACCCGCGGCGTCAATGCGTCGATAGCACCGGCAATAGCAGGCAAGCAAGGGACGACGCTGTCTGGAACAAGATGGTCATCCGCATTGATCACAGTGCACATTTCTAGCGTTGACATCTGGTCAATATGTACCGTTCGAGGATTGACCCCCTCCGTCTGGAGTTTCGATAAACTTCCTAGATCCATGATCGCAATGTTTCAATATGCTCTCACAGATATGCGGAAGAACCACGTCGCAAATTTGGACATTCAAGAGAGTTTTGAGGCTCGAGCCCCAGCTAGATGAAAATATGGAAAACCCTCCATATTGTGGGGGTTACGAGGCAGAGTTACAGCGAGGATATCGGCTGCGTGGCAATGGACACTTCTGCCAAGTTGTGGAGAATCTTCCCCCAGACTTCGCCTCATGCGGAGTTTTTCGGCTGTTGCCGCTTGATACCATAACGGCAACACGGCTCAGCGCTCTTGATAAACACATTGACAGAGGTTGGCTGACAGGTTCTCCACACTTCTGATGCTACGATAATGTATGGATCCAGAGATAGACGTCGGCTCTCGCATGCAACCCCCGAAACGTGGGGTTGGGCCTCCGCTATTAAAGCACCAATGCATTACCCCTTTCCTTTCAACTTTACAAAATGGCGAGTGTTGAAGAAGAATCTGGTCAGTTGGCCTATGTTCGAAATGAAAACCGCTCAACTTTTTACAAGATCTGGACGCACTGTTGGTTCCAGATCATATTAATGAGTTTTATATGCTTCTGCTGTCCAGGAGTAAGTTCCACGCACCGGAACCACAAGCGAGTTTGGCATTGACCTTGAACAGATGTACAATGCACTTACTGGTCTCGGAGGTTCTGGTCAGGTCAACCAAGCTGTCGCTGCCAATGCGACGGTAGCTCTTCTCGCTGCTACTGCAGCCACTGCGTTGTTCGTAGTTGGACCGATCTTTGAGCGTATCGGTCCCAGAGCGTGCCTCTTGCTCGGGGGATGGACATATCCATTGTACTCGGGCAGTCTTTTGTGTTTCAATGGTATGGTCACTCACGTCTTTTGGTCCCTGGATATGCATTAATATGTTCCCCGACAGCCACAAACAACGGTGCCTTTGTGATTGCTTCTGGTGCCATTCTTGGTATTGGTGCATCATTCCTATGGGTTGCGCAAGGTGCTATCATGACAACATATGTGCCTGAGTCGCAGAAAGGACGTGCAATCGCTGCCTTTTGGATTATCTTCAATCTCGGCGGTGGGGTTGGTTCTCTTGCCAGCTTTGGTCTGAACTATAACTCCAAGAGCGGAACTGTATCCGATGGAACATATATTGCCTTGTTGATTATCATGGCCATCGGATGGCTATTGGGCGTGCTCATTTGCCCACCTAAGTATGTTCGCTCTGCTCAGTTGAAGCCAACACTCGAGAACGAGAAAAACTGGCGACAGATTCTGCGCCAGTCAGTCAATACCATTGTTGACTGGCGCGTGCTGTGTATGCTGCCACTATTTTTCTCCGCGAATGTGTTCTACTCGTATCAGCAGAACGCTGTAAACGGAATGAACTTCAACATCCGGACACGGTCGCTCAACGGCGCCTTGTACTGGATTGCCCAGATGCTGGGTGGGCTCATCATTGGCCTCGTCCTTGATATGCCTGGTCTCAGCCGACCAATGCGAGCCCGTGTGGCTTGGGTATTCCTATTTGTAACGGGAATGGCCGTCTGGGGAGGCGGATATGTCTTCCAGAAATGGTCAGATCGCCGTCTGGAACGAGGTCTGAAGCAGGACATTGATTACACGGATTCCGACATCTCCGTGGGCCCGATCTTTCTTTATATCTTTTATGGCGCATATGATGCGTTTTGGCAGTCGTTCTGCTACTGGCTAATGGGCGCCCAATCCAACTCTCCCGCGGTGACTGCCGTTCTGGTGGGAGCGTACAAGACCTTCCAGAGCACTGGAGGTGCCATGGCGTGGCGCGTGAATGCTCTGGGAAAGCCAGCGATGACCCAGCTCGCTATGGACTGGGGTCTTTGCATGGGCTCCTTATGTATCGCCATCCCAACTGTGTTGGCAGTCACTTTGACGAGTGACCATGACTCAGTTGATGGCATGGATTCCCCGGACGCGGAGAAGCCTCAACCTGACGTGAAGATTTGACGCTAGACTGTGGAGTAGGCCCTGGGGAAATCGATCTTTCATATATCCACTTGAAGATGTATAGCAAACAATAATAGTCGCTCCGAGCAAGCCGACTCCATTCACTTGTAGAATATGACTAGATATATGTACACGGCAGAACCTGCCCGTAGACTCCAGGCTCGGATTGCATTGCAAATCTCAGCCTCTCGCGAGTCATTATTTTACCGAACGCACTTCTTCAGCACCGCTGTCTCCAGAAGAAGCTTGGTATATTGACGATGTGCCCAAGCAACCTTGTCATCCATTGGTGGAGCCTCGGCCTTGCCAAGACCCTGGTAGAAACAGCTCTTGAGAGTGAACTCTGCGACGCCCTGCTCGGGCTTGACAACTGCGCCGATTTCAAACAGACCATCGGAGGGACGAACGTCGCGGACACGAGGAGAAGCACCACAGCGGACAGTGATCTTGTCCTCGGTCTTTTCAACGACTTCGAAGTGATCGGTGATGAGGGTACCGACCTCGTAGTTGCTGGAGAGAAGGTCCGATCGCTTCCAGAGATGGTGGGCAGTCTCGGGGCCACGGTACTTTTGATCGAAATAGGCACGCTGGGGGATGTATCCTATGGAAACCAGGTCAGAATCTATTCAGTAGAAGCTCTGGTGCTTCGATCGGGACTTACCCATGCCACCCCAGACACCAGCGCAGAAGGCCTCCACCAGCTTGCCCTTGTCCTCTACCAGCTCAGGCTTGATCTTGTCGAGGGGAATGCGGCGAACACAGACATCGTGCAGAGTTGGGTTGCGATTGGGGTTGAACTTGTTGAAAAAGGTCGATTGGAAGATGGGATCAGAGGTGTCCATGTGATCAAAGACATCATTGCGCGTGGCGCCCCAGAATACGCCGACCGAGGCGACAGTACCAGCAGCGCCAACCTTCAATAGACGACTGAAAAGACCCATGTTGTTGTGTGGAAAGAGAGAGAGAGGGGAGGGGCAGAGAGGAAGGACGGAGAGCTCGGGGAGCTGGAGTCTTGGCGGCGGAAACGGCCTCCCGTCGACTCCCATTTCTACATTCTACAATTCATGAAGAAGTCGATACTTTAATTTGACTCGGAGAGGCCTTTCTGAGAAGCTCGGTTCAGCTTCTCAAGGTTTACAGATATTGCATATACCTCGAATTGGCGCCAGAAGGGCTGCCTTCCCCACAAAGTCGGCTTCTCCCCAGACGACCCTTGACCAATCCATCAGCCTTCATTGGTCCCAATTGGCCCCAATTGGGTCTAAGTCGAGCATTTCTCATCTGGTATGTCTCTGCATGTTACTTGAGTTTCCGAAAATGACGACAAATCCGGAAATCCCGACTGATCGACGCGATAGTTGAAGGACTGTGATATCTGAACTAGCCAACCTCTGGAGGTTGTCTCCAGAGGAATAAATCTACGTAACCGCAACGCGAGATTAAGCACGATGCTATCCTGGACATGAAATTACATTGGTGGCTTCAACGCACTAATTGCTACTCCCAACATCTCCACTCGGAATTGCCGACGTGCTTCGCAATCACAGATTCCCCCAGTCTGTGGGGAAGATCGACCCCCGTTCTTTAGAACCCGAAACCCCCCTATGGATTCTAGAGGCCTCTCTTTTGTTCTACTCATCTTTCAACCATTGAAGCCTGGATCTGTAGAATGGCAGACAAGCAGGGTTCACTATATACAACCTCCAGTCATCTGGAAACCATGCCCGAACCAGACCAAAGAAACATACTTGAGGACCCCAAGTCTTCGGATACTGCGGATCCCAACAACCCACAGGTGAAGAGCGCAACCCCTCCACCGTCGTGAGACACTACTAACAGAATGATAAGAATTGGTCTCTAGCAGCCAAACTATCCACATACTTGACCATTTGTTCGTTTACCTTCCTCGCCAATGTCAACAGTAGCAATTTTACTGTTGCAACCCAGCCCATCATCAAAGAGTTCCATGTTACCCAGACGCAAGCCGGCGAGCTTGTCTGTTTTAATGTATTCCTTTTTGGAATGGGCAACATTTTCTGGGTCCCACTCATGCGAGTCATTGGAAAGCGCCCAGTGTATCTGCTTGCGATGCTCAGCCTATGCATGATGAATGTGTGGTCCAGCAAAGCCGTGAGTTATGGAGAACTACTTGCTTCCCGGATCCTGTCTGGGTTTGCTGCTGCCGCGGCCGATGCCACTGTCCCCGCAGTGGTGGCGGACATGGTCGCTCCCCAGGATCGTGGACATTATATGATGTTTTTTCATTTAGCAATGACAGCAGGTCTGTTTCTCGGTCCTTTAATCAATGCTTATCTGGTTCAAGAGCAGAACTGGCGCTGGATGTGTTACTTCCTTGCCATTGCTGTTGGCGTCGTCTTGGTTCTGTCTATTTTTACTATCCGAGAAACATCTTACCACCAGCGACATGACAGTACCTCCCCGGCGAAACGATCACAAATACAGTGGATGTCCTTGACCGTGGGCTTTAACCGCCAGGCGTCATTCATGCAAGCTCTCATAGATATCCTTGCAAATGCCGCATACCCGCCTTTGATCTGGTGCTCGTTTACCATTGGCATTTCTGTTGGCTGGTTTTTCACCCGAACCAATCGCAAATTTCAACCACTGACCAAATTTCAGGAACATTGTTGTGCAACTCATGTCATCTCGGACATTCACGAAGCCCCCTTACAACTGGGAACTCGGCGACCTCGGTCTCCTCTCGATAGCAGGATTTATCGGTTCAATCCTTGCATTCTATGTTGGCGGCCGCTTGATCGACATTATTTCCACGCGAAGCACGGCCCGACATGGCGGTGTTCGTTTGCCGGAATACCGATTGCCCGCTATCGTGATCCCTGGCGTGATTGGACCCGCAGGAATTCTCATTTTTGGTCTTTGCATCGCAAACAAAACACACTGGATCGGTCCCGCAGTTGGTAATGCTATGCAAGCATTCGGTGTCGCCGCTATCAGCAACGTTGCCGTGACATACTCGTTGGACTCATACAAGCCGGTATGTAGTATTCTGATTGTTTGGATTGGTATTGTTATTGACGACCCCATGGGTTACTGGTGAGGCATTGGTCATCATATTCGTTATTAGGAATACTATCGGAATGCTTGTTTCATTATACGCTGCGGACTGGATTGAACGTCAAGGGCCTGCGGCTGTCTTTGGTGAAATGACCGCGATCCAAGTCGTGAGCATCCTCTTCGCCATTCCTCTTTTCATTTGGGGTAGCTTTATCCGAGCTTTTACCTCCCGATATGGTCCCATGAAGCGTTTCCAGGAATAGCCAGTGTTCTTAGTCAATAATTTACGAGTTCTTGGGTGTATAAGCCCATGCGCCTATGAGCCAAACAGCGCATGTCATACGGGCGGTCTGTTAGACGGGGCTACGACTCGATATCCGGATGACTATCTATCCGTAGGAACATTTTAGATGGTAACCGGTCCACTGATATCGCAACAGAAGGCATATAGAGACGGAGGTTCTTTTGGTGGCAAGAGTCAGAGAATGAATACCTGTAAGGTGATTTGACAAGTGAGCGAAGAAATAGCGCGGCTAGCCCGACCCCCAGACACTTCCAATCAAGGGATCACTCGTTCATGCAGGTATCAACGGCCTTAACTCGGGATGGGGCTTGCCGAAATATACCGCAGATCTTCCTCTCTCGATATCAAGACATGTTCTCTCTGCTACCTGTGCCGGTACCCGGACTGCCTGAACGTTGTTGACCTCTCGATACTCCCACATGTTGCTCCACACATGATTATGAGTTCTAACATTCCCCGGAACTATGTGTGGCAAGATAGGACTCGAGACAACGGCATCTCCAAGATCTCAAAGCCGAAGTTCACCTCAAAGCCGAAAAGAAGAATCTCCCGGCAAACCGTATAAAGTGGATAGAACCAATGGTTCATCGGAGAAAGCAGCCGCTTATTCGTCAACCATAATTCAAAGCCGCGGAATTTTGACCAAGAACGGCGATCTGCGGGATCGACAGTCGGCACCATTTTCTTCAAGTCCCTTTGGCTCTGGATGTGTTGATTCGACGGACGCTATCTCCAGCTCGGGGCTCATTCTAAATGCGTCGACCCCATGTGCTTCTCCAAACACCCAGACCCTCCGATATCTCGTCTGTGGAGACGCTCGACTCAAATTAGAGGCGTGGATCAAACTGGTCGCGCACGTTTTTCTACTGTTCCTGCAGATGCTGGTCCATATCTACGGTACCGCTGGTCTCACCCAGGGCCTCTTTTCCACTTCAGGTATATGATCGACATGAAACGACCCATTGAGATTGTTTTTCATGTACCGGCTATCTCAAGGTTTCCAAAATCAAGTTGTGGGATGACGAGCTTTTTGGACCGCCTTGGTTTCATCCAGTTAGGGTTTTCCATTGTACTATGGGACCTTGGGGATCCGGTCCACCTCGCATGGAGACAGCCATCAGGGCAAGGTTTGGCACTCGGCTCTTGAGCGAGAATCGGTGATGATCGCAACGCTCGATGATATGCTGCCGATCTTCTTTCACCGAGATCGATCGTCTGAAAAGTTATAAAACCTCCTTGTGTTCCTCCTCTATATTTCTTTTCGTCAAACAGATCAAAGATCAGTCTTCTATTCCAGGCTTCTTTTGCACAAAGACTTCCTTCGCTTTCCCGAGTCATCGTTGACTGAGCACTCTTCAATTCTCCTCAATCTTTCAAACCATCAACCATTCATTTCCACACTTTCACAATGAAGACCTCCTTCGCCGCTGTTGCTCTTGCCCTCTCGGGCTCTGCCATGGCTGCTCCATTCTCCAACGGAACTCGCCCTGCGTTCACTTCTACTCCTCGTTCGACTTCTGCTCAGATGTCGTCGACCAGCGCTTCTCTGCCCCACTCATTCGCTTCCAGCACTGGGTTGCCTTCTGGAAGCCCCTCTTCCGGCGCACTACTCCCTAGTGGTAGTGCTGTGAAACGTGGAGAGGCTCTCTCTATCCCCACAGATCTTCCCTCTTTAGCATCCGATGCTCAGTCTATCGCTGCAGCTCTTGCTTCTGTCGGCGCTGGCGCCCAGAAGCGTGGCGAGACAATTTCAATTCCTACTGATCTGCCCTCGCTACTCTCTGATGCCCAGTCTGTTGGATCCGCGATTGCTTCTGCTGGTGCCCAAAAGCGTGGTGACGCTTTGTCTATTCCCACCGACCTGCCCTCGTTGGTTTCTGATGCTCAGTCTATTGGAGCTGCCATTGCCTCCGCTGGCGCCCAGAAGCGTGGTGATGCTTTGTCAATCCCCACCGACCTGCCATCTTTGTTGTCCGATGCTCAGTCTCTTGGAGCTGTTGTCGCCTCCGCTGGTGCTCAGAAGCGTTCCCTGATTCCCACTGGTACTCCCTCCACTCCCCTTGGAACTGCCACTCCTACACCTTCTAGCACTCTGTCGACCCGCCCTGCCTCGTCCGCATCTGCCATTCCTGTCGTGTCTTCTTCGGCTGCTGGTTCTGTTTCCTCGTCTGGTCGTCCTGTTCCTACTCCTACCGGTTCATTCAGCTTGCCTCTGGTCTGAGTTCCGATCTATGGAACGGTATTCAACATCTCAAAACTCGGCCTGAAGCCTAGAGTGGTGCGTTGGATTGCTTATATTTGTGCAATATTTCCGAAATATTGGAATAGCCGCTCGTTTTAACGCAGATGAACTTGTTATTTATGCTTGATTAGACTAGATTGCGAATAGGTTGTATCACTTGAATCTACCTTGAAATCCCACATCACATTCGAATATCTTTCGTTCATCTATCATTAGTCCCTGATTTGGACCTTTACTCCCTCGAAAACACCGGTGTCTTTTGATAGTTCTACTGTCCAAGGCGATGGCACAATCAGTCTATATATATATTGGTCAAAACCAGATTCCCTTCATGACAGTACTGGAAACAAACACTCACTGGAAACTCAAGCTGGGTGGTAAGGGTCGCGTTGTGACCGCAGGACTAATGTTACAAGCGCGCGGATTATTACGGTGGCTCAATCGAAAATCGTTCTCGCTTCCTGGTTGAGGTTGCGACAGGCACTATTGATGCCATCGGCGCAGACAAGGTGGGACTGCGACTATACCCATGGCAGACCTTCCATGAGGTGCAGATGGGGGAATCAATCCCTAGATTTTCACACCAGCCCAAAGCTGGCATATCTGCATCTCACAGAAGCCCGAGTTGATGCCAGTGAGGATGCGGACCGGAGAGATCGCAACATTGCCTTTATAGAAGCGTGGGGAAAGACATGCCTAGTCATTTTGGCTGGTAGATTCTTGCCTGATGGTGCCAAAGTTGCGGTCGAGGCCGAAGCATATATGCAACCCCCGCTCCAATTTCAATTGAAGCATCCTCAGTACTTTGGTGCGCAACGTAAAGATTGAATCTCAACTTGAGTGATCATACCTCCTGTAAAAGTGCTCTAGCTGCTTCTACCGACGCTAGTTGCTTACCCGTCACCCAGACCGCATGATGTTGAAACACGGACTTACGGAATAAGCAAGGTTTGAAGGTTACAAAAGGACCGTGTAATTAAAGCCCTCGAACAATGTGTTTACCGTAATGGATGCTGATAGAGTGGCTCAATGGCACCACGAAGCGGATTATCGATTGAAGTTGACATTCTTCAAGAATGTCAAAATCTCACTTTTGCTACTCTTCGCCTGTATGGAAGACAGGCCATATTCTGAATCTTATGTGCATTCAATTTTTAATGAGAAGAGCAATATGTTATACATATGCGATCTTGACCTTGTCAGGCTGTTTGTGTAATTACTATTTGCGAAATACGAGAAGCAGTATCCATGTATTTGATGTGTCATCTACGCGTAATTTTCATTACAGAATCCAAGGCAGTCGACCGCGAGCCGAATCTAAGTGGAGAACTTGAACCCCGTGGCTTTGGTGGCTTCGGGCCGCACCGCTCAGCTCCAACAATCTTTGTAACACAGCAAGCAGCAGAATGGGTTCTTAGCTTCGGGCAGTCATGAACGCCACTGTCCCAAATTCTGCACATGGAGTTTGGCTAGTGCCAAGAAAGGGTCATGTATGCAATTGGTCAAACTCTATTAGTGCTCACGCGACACTGCTCTGGCCATAGCACGCATTAAGGCCTACCATAAGTATTGCGCCAGACAAGATCAAATATACCGTGTATACTTCCAACTAGCTTTGATGTTGTTACAGAGACATCTAAACTGAAGTGGACTCCATTGCTCAAAGAATTAATAAGTATTTGCTATAACCTGCAACATCCCTATTGACAGATAGCAATGATCATGCAATCATGGCACTAAAGCACACAGATGTCCCTCTCCTAAAGATGCTGGGCACGCTTCCATTGCGGCTCAAGATTCTCGCCGATGGCACGAGCGGCTTCCCTTTCCAATTCGCGGCGGGACAAAATGTCGCGCTTGGAAACCTTGGACTGGGAGTCTTCGCGAGACATTTCCACTGCGACAAAACATGATTAGCAGTCTTCAAAGTGAAGCAATGGAGCAAGGTGTATTTACCATGAATATAGACAGCGGCACGCTTGCCACTGAACATAGCATGTGGCACATTGGTGCTACCATCGCTGTTGGCATCACCAATGGCAAAGAAACCAGTTTGATTCGTCCGCATGCCGCTGGTAACAGTGATTTTGCCATCAGCAATATCGAGATGCAACACACAACTTCCAGATTTGCCTCCATTGTACTTCCTCTACGGAGTACAGCACCTGTACAGAGATGGTCTCGACGTGAGAACCTAAGCCAATAGTGTGCGGATCTGGTGGGGCCGTGTATGCGCGAAGTGTGTACATCGACGCCAACTTCTGCACTGTGAGATCACTCGATCTGGGCAAGATCGAATCTTGGAATGAGCATGCATTTGAACGCTATCCACACCAGGCCACTAACTAGCGTCCCATCCACCCTCCATCCACTGTCAACACCTCTCCGCTCACATATGCGCTCGCCCGACTGGCCAAGTACACCACTGACCCCTTGAAGTCATCCGGATTGCTCCATCGTCCAGCAGGGATTCTGGCTAGAATACTAGCGGCACGTTCCTTGTCTTGGATCAACGCTGTGTTCATATCGGTCGCGACATAGCCCGGCGCAATGGCATTGACATTGATTCCTTTCGCCGCCCACTCGTTTGACAATGCCTTGGTGAGTTGTGCCACGCCACCTTTCGCTGCTGCGTAGGCAGGAACAGTGAGACCTCCTTGAAAGGAGACCAGAGATGCGACATTGATAATGCTACCGCGTTGACCCGCCCGGTCGGGAGTGCGTGTTAGCATATGCGCGCCGACGTCGCGACAGAGGGTAAACACCGTGGTGAGGTTGACTTGGAGAACCTATGCCATTTCATCAGTGGCAGTGTGACTAGCTACCGCGAGGAACTTGCCTCGTCCCAGTCCTCGAGTGGGAACACATGGCTGGGGTGTCGGCGCTGAATTCCGGCGCAGTTCAAAAGAATGTTGATGTCGTGGCCACCCTTCAATACGCCGGAGACGAGCTGCGACACCTCCGCCTGCGATGAAAGATCAGCAGTATAAATGGTCGCTGTTCGCCCGAGGTTCTCAATCTGAGATTTCGTCTCTTGGTTGCTGGTGTCTCTCTGAGAAAAGGTCAGTCACTTCCAATGACGACGAATATGAGGGTTAGTTCACCTGGACAAGAACAATATCTGCTCCAGCTTCGGCCATCGCAATGGCCATAGCCTGGCCAATACCACGGGTGCCACCCGTTACGAGGGCTGTAGTTCCTATGAGAGAGAAAAGGTCCATGGTCGAGTCCGATGATTTTCACTATCTACCCAACGCCGATCACCTCTCGCGAGGGAAAGCGTTCTCCTTATACCAGCATCATTTTACCCCCACGCCTTTCCCCGCATCGGGCGGATATACCTCCTAAGAGGGTGAGGTCAGAGGATCGCTACTCGTGAGGCACGTCGGGCTGATTATACCCGAGACGACATATCTCCCAGTCCGTCATTTGCTCCCGAAAGAGTTCAGGTTCGTAAATGCTAATGTCAGATTGTCACTAATTATCTATTGCATATATGATTACCACTCCCGAATGGCGCCGTCTGGTCCATAGAACTCCTTGGGCTGCCACGGCTCTGTCTCCTGGCTGATCTTTCGTACAAGCTCTTCGTCAATACCAATACCCAAACCAGGCTTGCAAGGCGCATCCACATAGCCCTCCTTGATATCGAAGACTGTCTTATCTATCAAATAGGTGGTCAGGTCAATGTCCCCTGCTTCCACATTGTAGTGCATGCCTAATGACATCTCTTGGATAACAAAGTTGGGGATTGAGACCGCGACTTGAAGGGAGGCGGCCAGAGCGATCGGTCCAAGAGGACAATGAGGCGCGATAGCCACGTCATACGTCTCGGCCATGTTTGCGATCCGCATGGTCTCTGAAATGCCTCCAGCGTGGGCAATGTCCGGTTGCAGAACATCCACAGATGAATCCTCTAAGAACCGCTTCACATCCCAGCGGGTGTATAGGCGCTCACCAAAGGCAATAGGAATTGTGGTGTGCTGTGATAGCTGTTTGAGTGCTTCGGGATGCTCGCATAGCAATGGCTCCTCGATGAAGAGCGGCTGGTAAGGCTCCAGCGCCTTGGCCAGCTGTTTAGCCATCGGTCGGTGCAGGCGGCCATGGAAGTCCAGGCCTGCATCAAGTCCCAGAGCCTTCACTTGCTTCAATCGTTCTACGCATGATTGCAAGACAGCAGGGGAGTCAAGCCAGTTGACGTCTTCAGTGGCGTTCATCTTGATACACTTGAGACCTTGAGCGATACGTGCTTTCCTACGAACCGGGTTTGTCAGTCCTCTGCTTCGACTTGAGAGATTTGTAGAATATTCACGCTGCGGCTTCGACATCACTCGGTCGGTCGCCTCCAATCCAAGCATATACCTGTGCCTTCTGGCGCACCTTGCCACCCAGCAGCTGATGCACCGGCACACCCAACCTCTTGCCCTTCAGATCCCACAGTGCGATATCAATACCGGCCAGCGCAGACATGAAGACCGGTCCACCGCGGTAGAATCCTAGTCTCCATACGGTCTGCCAGATGTGCTCAATGTCACTGTCGAGAATTATTAGCTTACGGCAATGCCAATGGTTCTGCCGACCCATACTCGGCTTCATATCCCACAATGCGCGGAATAATCTCATTCAACGCTCCCTCAACAGCCAGTGAATGTCCCTCTAGAGTGCCCTCTCCCCATCCGAACTGACCCGCTTCATCGGTGATTTTGATAAACAACCAGCGGGGCTTCACCCGGAAGTATTCGATCGACTTGATTTGAACCATTTTGATCGTGAATGTGTGTATGAGAAGAAGAGATTATGCTGGTTAAATGTTGAAAGCTCCCCGCATAACATCTCCCCCCCCACGCGGGAGCTTCGGATGAAGTCCGGGGTCAACACCCCACGCCAAGGGGGTCGTCTACGTGGTTTTATATGTGATTGGCGGGAAAACCTCAGAGAGAGCAATGCTGTACACGTATATGTTGTGATGATCTTCGTTGTCAAATCGCCTAGTTATCCTAGTGCAGGTAACGGAAGTTCATGTTCTCCTTGTCCGTCAGGTCACTAAACGCCGTTCGATCCAATTCGAGCTGTCGGAGATAGTCATTGTCTCCTCCTGGCACCACATTCTGTATCCGGTCACGGCGTCGGTTCTCCCAAGCAAGAGCAATTGCGAGGAAGATGATCAATGCGATCTCGATGAGGTTTGCGACAATCATCGACCAAATCCCCAGTGCATAGCCTGGTGCCTGCTCGGCTTTATAAAAGAATGGCCCGGCGATATTACCAGTACAAACACCAAGGAAGATCATTGCATTGGTAATAACTTTCTTCGTGTGGCCGGCAATATTTCCAGTGAGGAGCGAAAGGATGATCACAAATGAAGCATTGTAAGATCCGGTCAGGTAGTAGCAGATCAACCGCGCTACGCTGTCGGACTCGGGGACGAAGTGGAGCCCGAAAGAGCCTGCTAGAGTCGGGAGAACAAAAACAATGGCCACTATACATCGGTTGTTGCGTGGCAGTCGGTCATTGATGAACACGCTGAGGAGAATCATCACTGCGATAAAGACTCCATACGGGATTTGCATGAGGGTTGTTACCACTACAAATTGGTGAGCGTGATCAAATAGCTCGTGACAAGGAAAGCTCACATGTTGAATAGCCAAATCCCTTGATAATCAGTGTTCCAAAATTCGATATACCTCCATTAGGGATATTTCCACTGAGGCCAAGCAGGAAGAATGTCCAGACTTTCCAATCGGTCAAAGCCTCAAAAATTTGATGCGGCTTCATGTTTCGGTTCTCTATACCAGTTTGATTGTCTCTCAGCCTTTCAACTGCGAGTTTCTTCTCGCGGTCGGACAGCTGTTTTGTTGTGACTGGTGAGTCGGGAAGGAAGATGACCATTACAATGCCCCATGCACAGCATAGAGCACCGATTATCAAGAATTCATATTTCCAAGAAGCGAGTGATCCCTTAATCTGACCAATCCCATATCCCAGTAAGCCACCGACCGCGATGCCGAAGCCATTTGCCGTATACCATAGGCCGATCCGAATGGGCTGTTGGCGACGAGTATACCACATACTGGTAATAAGCATGAATGCAGGATCACTATTGAAGATACGGTCAGCAAATACCTAAGTAACAGTTTTGATGGCCAAATACCTGCAAGCTTCAGCTGCACCCGAAATAACTCGCAAAGCGGCGAGTTGAGTGAAGTTTTTGGCAGCCGCTATCAGAATTAGCCATCTCTCAAGGTCTGGTCAAAGGGAAGATACCCTGTAGCATGAGGAAAACCCCCCAGAGAAAGATATTGGCTCCAAGATATTTGCCGATAGGGAATCGCTGCATCAATAGGTTGGTTGGAAATGACCAGACCAGGAAGCCAAAATAGAAGACACTTGACAACCATGAATACTCAGTGCCAGAGAGATTCAAATCCTGCTCTATTCCGAAGATAGCTGCGTAGGATAGTGTAGTTTTGTCGATCTGATCATCAGCAGACAAACACCTGCAGATGGGCAGAACATACATAGTAGAACGCATAGCAAACCGACAGGAAGGGCAGAATCATCATATCAATCTTGCGAACGAGCCTTTTCTCCTCGCCTGGCTCAAATCCTTCGTGCATCTCCTCCAGGTCATCGAACAACGTCAGTGCTGCGTCTCCATTATGAATTTTGCCTGTCTCAGTGGCCATTCCGGAGCCCTCTATGTGCATAGCTGCTGGCTTGGGGTTGCTGTCTGCCATGGTGAGTATGACGTCCTTGAAGCCGAATGCAAGACCTGGAGGCTACAGATATACTGGAGAAAACGCTCTACCCCAGAATCCCCGCAAGCAGTGGACCCCAAACGGAGTCAATATCTCCGTCTCGCAAGCTTAACCCCCACGCCAGGGATCGTCGGTGGCGCTTATTATGGGCTGACCCCCAGTCACATCGATTGCAAACTCACAATGACGCTCACTCACCAGGAAATCCGCCTGCACAACAGTCGGCATTCTTGCTGGGTCGTCATACATGGAGCTGTGTACGATGTTACAGGTGAGGTCTTGTCTTCAGCAGAGATCCTCTAAAGCTGACTCTTCAGACTTCCTTGAGTCTCACCCTGGAGGATCCCAAGTGATTATGCGATGTGCGGGCAAAGACGCCACTGATGACTTTGATTCGGTTCATGCGCCTGAGCTGTTGAGCGAAGCTCTCCCCAAAAGTGCAGTGCGAGGTCATATTGATCCCGCCGAACTCAAGGCTCTTGGCCCAAAGCAAGACGACACAATGCAAGCACAACAGGATTTGAATGCACCACCGTCTTTGCGCAGTTTAATCAATCTACATGATTTTGAACAAGTAGCGGAAAAGTTTCTACCTGCCAACGCCTGGGCCTATTACTCGTCAGGGGCGGACGACGAAATCAGCAAGCGCAATAATGCCCGCGCGTATCAAAAGATCGCGCTTCGCCCACGTATTCTGCGCAAGATCCCAAGCGTAGACACCACAACGTCAATATTGGGGCATTCGGTCTCTCTTCCGGTGTATATCTCTCCGGTGGGAATCGCCAAACTCGCCCACCCCGACGGTGAATGTGCGCTCGCATCTGCAGCAGGCAAACAGGGTCTTGTTCAAGTACTCGCAAATGGATCAAGCATGCCTATCGAGCGGGTGATGCAGAGTCGTAGCTCGTCCGCTCAGCCTGTTTTCCAGCAGCTCTATGTGAACAAAGACATCCAAAAGTCCGTGGATACAGTTCGTCGAGCTGAAATGGCCGGGGCCAGCGCCATTTGGATTACAGTCGACTCGCCAGTGGTTGGAAAGCGAGAAATGGATGAGCGATTGAACTTGAGTGTAACAGTATGTCTTACTTAGCTCCCAGGTGAATCATCCCAGCTGACCGGCAATAGGCCGCCGACAACGATACACAGGGCCAAGGAGTAGCCAAGATTATGGCTAGTTCGATATCACCATTCATTGATTGGGACATTCTGACATGGCTTCGTCAACATACAAGGCTCCCCGTGGTGATTAAGGGCATACAGTGTGTTGAAGACGCAGTAGAGGCATATGAACATGGTGTTCAAGGCATTGTTCTCTCTAACCATGGAGGACGTTCACAAGACACGTATGTTCTATTTAGGTCCTTCCTAGAGTCTTTCCTTTCTGACACTTTACAGAGCACAATCGCCACTCCTCACTCTTCTAGAAATCAGGAAATTTGCGCCTCAGTTGATTGAAAGCAAAATGCAAATCTTCATTGATGGGGGCATCCGACGAGGGACGGATGTCCTCAAAGCCATTGCACTCGGTGCAACTGCCGTTGGACTAGGTCGTCCATTCCTGCATGGCATGTCAGCCGGGTATGGAGAGAAGGGGGTGCTAAGAATGCTTGACATTCTACGACAGGAGATAGAGACAAATATGGTCCTTCTGGGGGCGACTAGTCTCAAGGAGCTGAGGCCAGAGATGGTAAATACCAGTCGGCTTGAGAGGGATCTTGTTGGCAGTGTGAAGCTATGACGGGTATCCTTAATCGTCCGATGTTTATACTTGCCTGTGCATTCTCGTTCTTCTTAATAGTGAATGGGATTCCATCTACAATCATCACCTTAGGCAAACGTCAGTAATGACCTGCAGAATAACATCACTGGTGCGCTAAAAGGTCCTCGGATGCTCCATTTGCCTGTTCCGGCGCTGATCGCATCTGAAGTTGAGCCCCCACGCCCTCGGCCTCGCTCCGATGCGGGGGATTATCAGTTCAGAAATCCCGAGTCCTGTTGAGGTCTGAGACCTCGTAGGGACTTAGTCAGCGGTTCTCTGGGTCCCGTTGAACTGGAACTCGGACGAAACGCGGAATGTTCATATTTCCTTCACTTGCATTTTTTTGTATCACAATTCACATCATGTCAGACCAAATTGATGTTCTTCTCTACGGGCTTGGAGCGTAAGTATTTCCCTTCACTCACGAAGTATGCGCTGACCTTGCAGAATCGGCTCTTTCTATGCCTTCATCCTCAGTCAGTCCGACCGGGTTCGCCTGACAGTCCTGGCTCGTTCCAACTATGAAGCTGTGAAGACAAATGTAAATGCAATATAAACTATGAAACACCCAGATGTTGATGGAATTTTGATAGGGTATCACTATCAATAGCGAGAACCATGGCCAGCATACTTTCCATCCCCACCGAGGTACATTCAATCCATAACCAGTCAATCTACTTAGCTGACACTATGGAGTGGTGACATCTGTTGCTGAAGTTCCCGCCGTGGATTACATTGTGTGCGCGCACAAGGCCATTGACCAGGACAAGGTGGTCGGTCAATTGCAGCCAGCAGTTGATCCCAAACGAACCACGATCGTGGTTATACAGAATGGCGTAGGAAATGAGGAGCCATTCCGAAAGAAGTTCCCCAATAACAGCATCATAACCTGTGTGGTAAGAGCTCTTCGGTTGCTCCAATTTATACTTCAGGATCTAACCCACTTAGACATGGGTAGGCGCTACGCAAATAAGTCCGGGCATTGTGAAGCACACCAAATCCGAGGATATGCAGATTGGCCTTTTCCCCAACCCAACAGTCAATGGCCAAATCGAAAAAACACGGCTCGAGACATTTGCCGATCTCCTCCGAAATGGAAAGACCCGATTCCAGGTGCTTGAAGATATGCAAGTCCAGCGATGGGAAAAGGTCGTCTGGAATATCGCATGGAACTCGCTGACTACTCTCACTATGGTAGACACTCAGACTTGGCTGCACTCCTCCGAAGACGCGACACCATTCACACGCCAATTGATGCAGGAGGCTATTAACATTGCGCGTGCTTGCGGCGTGCCACTGCAGGATGAGCTGATTGACGAATTGATGGCCAAGATCAATGCCATGCCTGGTATCGGAAGCAGCATGCAAACCGATTGCAAATGCGGACGCCCAATGGAGATTGATGTCATCTTGGGCTTCCCGGTGCGCAAAGCTCGAGAGTTGGGTATCCAAGCTCCGTACGTGGAGGCTCTATATGTTCTCCTTCGGGCAGTTGATGGCCGACTTAGAGCTGCGCTGTAAGTAGAACAGCTTCAGGCTCGCCGAAGATGAAGTTCACCCCATGTTTGAGCTCAGTGTGGTTTGCTTCATTGATATGTGCCGGAAGTTTTCACCAATAAACGTGAAACTGATTCATGATCGTCGGTTTTGAAACCCCCAAGTAGAATAACCCGATCAGCTTCGTAGGCGTACATCCCCCACATACAAGTCCCCCACGCGTGGCGTCATGATTAGGACTCTATTGGTCTGTTCGCCCTTTTGTTTAACGCTCGGACCCTTGCCGGGGGGCCGATGCCCTGCTCGATATTGTGCGGGGTGCGGCGTGATTCTCTTTTGAACCCCCACCGACATAGCTGGGTGAGATCCGTACTGCTTCGAGCAAGGTGAGCAACACTGACCTGATATGTTGACTCGGTAGCAAAGATACCCGAGAAAAACTTCGTTTGCATTGCGCCGTGGCGTAGCATTTGGTTGATTGTTAAACAGACATTGGATGACCGGAAGGGCAAGTAAGAATTGGGGGTAAATTGGTCAAACATTTCATGAATATCGTAGAGAACACCCGCCCCTTCAATTTTTTATATGGGAAACAAGGGGCGCGGGCATGCCAAAGGAGTCGTGAGAAATCACACAATTCCAGTCCAAATTCTGAAAACACTATGTGAGGCGCCATGGCCGCGTAAAGGTGAAAAATTCCAAATGCAACCAGACAAGATAAGGGCCAGCTTGCTTGTTGATCCATCTATACCTGAGCGCCCTGAAGGTCCAACGCGAAAACGCCCTATCCAATATCCCAAATATATCCTGTAGCATGATATAAGACAATCATCAAAAGAAATTAAGTCATAGAACATATACCAGGAGATCAAAGCTGAGTCGGGCTCTGCGGGCTTCGAATCTCCTGTAGTTGAATCGATGTAGTTTTGTCAGCCTCTGGGTCTGAGTCACCAGTTGGGGCATCTGGAGGCTTGGTCTCCGGCTCTTGGTCCACCGCGAACCTCCAGCGGTTGTCGGCACCCATGAACATTCGGAAGCCGTAACGTTTGTTCAAGGTCGTGAGGTGCGCATGTCGTTTGGCACTGCTCCATGTGTGAGTGTCGGCGAAATCGTTAAGCATCTGGCTATGAGAAATCCAAGGAATGACAGCTCCAATGGATCGTGGCATTCGCGGTCCTCGGAATCGGCCACGTCGGGTCCAAAATACCAAGAGCACCACTATTGTGTCAAATGCAATGATGGTCAAGGCAATGGCAAGCGATGGGGCGGATGGGACCATGCGCCAGGTGCTGCTAGTGATAGTGGCATTCGTAGCCTGAATGGGCTCGACAAGAGGCTCGAGGTAAATGTTTCGCCATATGGAGAAGTAGGTGCTGTACACCCACTGGAACACAGTTTGAGTCATATCCATTAGAAGGTCGGGGTTCAATGAGTCAAAGTCGGGATCGTCACGCTGGTAAAGACGGGCCACGAGGAAACCAGCCCAGTCATACGAGGAGATGTTGTATGTTCCGTTCTGCATAGTGGTATTGCCGACGAAGCTGTTCGGAATGGCGGCAAAGACTTTGTTGAACTGCCCGAGACTCACAGTCGCGTTATCGTACATAGCTCCATCCGTAATGGATGTATTGGCCACCGGTTCGTGCCATGCGATCTGGCCCTTCTGATCGAAACTGATGGAGTACTCTTGTAGTTTTGCTTGAGGCTCACACTGTAAAGCAATGGTATTATTGTCGGTAATTGGCGTGTCTGCCAAGTAGTCCCACCGGCCAACCACCAAGACAGTCGCAGTCTGACAAATGTCAGAATCATCAGTTCCATCCGGAGATAGAAAATGAATGGAGAGGGCGATTCCCTCATCCTTGCTCTTTAACGGTGGCATGGCTGCGGTGCACTCCACAGAAGAGTTTTCGTACAACTCATATCGCCAATATTGATGACCAGTGGTTTGATTCTGCACAAGCGCGTCTGTTGAGAGCGTCTTACAATCCAGTGTGGTACCAACACCAAGCGTTGTTGCCCCATAAGTAACATCTGGGTCGCGATTCTTCACGTGGACGGGGACAAAGGATTGGTTAGGACTTGTCCATGGCAGCATAGGAACTCCGCTAGTGATGCTGGTCTGTATCAGATCATACTCTGTGAATTCAGCAGCAAAGTCAGTCCGCCAAAAGATAGACTGGCTATAGTTCATAGTCAAATCCTGGGTTGCAAGAGTAGACGTTGTCATCTGCTGCGTGAAAAGTCCACCGGCCACGACAGTAAGAGCCATGTTGACAACACATGCGATAGAAACCAGTCCGAGCAACACATGTCTATCGCGCACAGCCTTAAAGAAAATAGCAAACGGACTCTGAGAAGAGTAATTCAAGGACAAGGAGACCCGGGCGGACACATTCCCACGTTGGAGGTGAACCCAAGGCTCCAGGACGCTAAGATTTCGGTGGATAGAGGTGCAAAGAGAGCCCACAGATGAAGCGACGACCGAGGGTAGAAAAGACAGAACAACCTGAAACGAGCTCGAGTCGCCCTGCGTCAGGTGGCGGAAGCGCCCGTCCTTGAGAAGAGAAGAGATAACCAGTCCCATGAGAATGATAACACCAGCCAAAGCTAGGAACTCCACGAGAAAGAAGGGAATGACGAGAAAGTGAGGCATCGGATCAACGTGAGTTTGGAGATTCGCATCAAGTTGAACTGGGGAGCCATCTTCGGCTAGTATCTCCAACCGATTGCCACCAGGGCCTGGTCGCCAGTAACACCTAGCCTTTTTGAAGATGCGGCGAAGTTGGCGTGTAGAAAACTGATGGAACTCAGCTACCGGCTCAGCAAGGATGTTGGATGGGTGAAAAATATCCGCGGTGATACTGCACATAGCACCGATTGAGCCTGGGTCACTTTGAAGGAAGATTGGCCGTGAACGGTACATGTAAAGAAGGTACAAAGCAGCCAAGATTGCCGAAACTAGTATGAGCTCAGACCAGACAGCGGCAAAGTCGACAACAGCGATGGCGACCTGGTTGGAAAAGCGCGACGCCGCCACGATAGTAGGCTTAGTGTCCGGATCAAACAAGCGACCGAGTGTCGACACAAAGGTCTGCTTTACATCACGTTCAATCTTCGATTCAAATTCAGCCTCCGTCATGATGGTGGATGTGTCAAGCACCAGAAGGGGCTGAAGTTCTCCAAGTTCCTGGCTGATCACAGGTAGCTCAGTCACTGTGCGTCCTCCTGTGGTGGCATTTTCGCGAATGAAAAGCATATCACTGGTATACGGGGCGCGCTGGGAAAGCAAGGCTTGAAAGTGCTCGATACTGAATTCGGTATCGGTAAGCGTGCTAGTGGTGGTTCGGTCGACGTCGATAGACATGATGGAGCTGTTGGAGTGCATATTCACTTGCGCCTCCGCTTTATGATAAGTAATGTCGCAAGCGAAGGCGATACCAGACGTAGCATATTGGGTCGAGCTTGATGTAGAGGTCGAATTTGTCGCATTCACGCCGATGATCATGCCATAGAGGTCATAAGGATCGCAGCCGGAGGCAGTGAAGGCCTGGGTTCGGTTCGGAAAAGACTCTTTGGCAGCATCACTGATGACTGGTTCCCAGTAACGCACTTGGAGGTAGTCGGTGGCAGGAAAGAAGACACTGTCGTAGTGAAAATCGAGGGTGCATTCGTCAGATCCCACCGAGTCGTCCAAGTCAATCCCGCTCGCGTTCCATGAGATGATTGGAAATTCCGCGTCAGGGTCATCGATAGTCACAGTAAGGCTGTCCCCAACAAGAACATTTTCACAAGTCACTTGCGCCCAATAAATAGTCTGATCCAGCGCCCATGTTGTACTTTCCTCTTGGTCGGTGTCCGGGATTTCGACGGGTGCCACTGCGTATTGGGCCGATCGGGACCGGCGGAGTTGTTCGTCTGTAGACAGCACCGAGTCGACAGTGTTGTTTGCCTGTACTGACATCCAGTTCGCCTGTGTGCTCAAGTCAACTAAATTGGGCCAACTCTTCATAGTTCCATGGTTGACAACCGTCACTTCGCGCAACTCAAACACCGTACTCTGCAAGGCGGGAAGAATCATCCGTATCGAGAGCGTCACGAACGAGACCCACAGGACAATCCAGTGGCGACGGCGTAGGGCATTGATCGGAGTCAGAATGGTTTGGCCAAAGTTGTAGTTGATGAAGAGGACGCTCGCCGGCGCCCCTTCCGGGCGTGACAACTGGAAGTACGGCTCCAGGCGAAGCACATCGAAGTCGGTGACAGTCCAAATCAAAACCAGTACGAGAGAAATGATAATCGGGACATAATTATAAGCGAAGGACTGGAGGGCGGAGACATCGTCGGTATAATCGAAGAAGACCAGACCCCCTTCGCGATCGCTATACTGCCGCAGCCCTTCCAGGCACAGTAGCATGGTCAACATCAGGCATACGAGGGCGGCGAGGTAGGGCGGGCGCAGAGCCACTGGGCGCCATCCTCGATTCGGGGCCGGGGGTCGAGGCAAACGAAACGGGAGACCTATTCCAGTTAGCCATGTCCAGGAGGAGACGAGAGACAACTTACCCCAGGCCCAGAACCCCCGGGAAGCCTCATCGTTCATGCTGGATGGGTGTAAGATAGATGAGCATTGCTGTCAAGGGTATATCGCCATGATGAAAGGGACAAAAACTTGATCGACAAAGCCAAGAAAGATTAACATGACGTGGGAAGAGAAGAGTTGGGGAACGCGTGGACGTGGGGCAAGGGTCTTGGCTCTTTTATACGAGATTCCTATATCTACTCTAGTCCTACGTTTTATACTACAGTATACGTTTGATAGAGAGCTATTCTGAGTTGGCTTCTATTGTGTTTCCACGTTATTGGCTTCTTTTCCATTCGGAACGGGTACCTGGTTGAGGTACCCGAGATCAAGGCCCTCCGACGTCTCATAAACCACGGATATGGCGGATCTGAGTATTAAAGCAGCATTGCGGTGGTTCAATGCTAAATCTAGTTCTAGAACATGGGTTGAATGGACGGTAGGACTCTCAGTAATGATACAAGCCTAAACAACATGGTAGTAGCTCAAATATATAGTAGTCAATAAGACTTCATTGTGACATATTTCAGCCCCAATTATTAGATTTCAATTTAACCAAATCATTCATTCCGTTGAATGAGACCCAACAAAATCAAGGTTTGATTGCACCAAATCCCATCGAGAGAAGCTAAAATGGTCTATTGCAAAAGAGGCTGAAAAATCTACCTTGATGCCTTGATGCCACAATATCTTGGCGCCTTAGTGCCTGAGTGCCTAATTCGGCGGAACCGGTATTACATTGATCCGTCTCTTGTATAACTTCAAGCCCGCGCCCCTTGGGGCTTGACGGAAGAAGATCCGGCTCAGATTTTATGCCGAACCCTCAATATTCACTATAGATGGCGGCATACTGCTAGAAGTGGATTGGCTAATTGCTTGTCCAAAGACTAAGCACTTGGGAAGATCTCACCATAAAAGGGGTGATCTGATCGTCGCGTACATGGCATTGCTACACTGGAGACCGAATCTTCGAGACTTGTTGACTTTATTTGTGAGGTAGCCTCTAAGATAGATGTAGCTGGCTTTGATGAAAGAGATACTGAGCAAGCAGAAAATCTGGCCTATCGAAGACTACCTCAGTGACATCAAGCATCACAAGCCCGAGGATGTGCGCATTAGATCAAGATATAGCCTCTATGGTTGTACTCAGGGTGATACCTGTGAATATCCTAAGTACTTTGGAATAGTCCTATTTCGTACCTTTCCATATCCGAGCATTGCCGAGGCCCAAGACGGGCCCCTCAGCGCCCCCCTCACCGACAAACAAGCACGCCACACAACTGTAACGAACATACTGAATCATTCCATCATCAAACAAGAATAATGCAAGCAGTTGTCTTCAAAGGTCCACTACAGGTTGCACTGGAACTGAGGCCCATACCCGAGATCCAGGCCCCGACAGATGTGATACTGAAAGTCAGATACACAGCCCTCTGTGGCAGGTGAGGAATGCGATAGATTACACAGATAAATAATTGACGGAAAACTTTAGTGAGCTGCACGTATTCCGTGGACACCAGCCCTCTGCAAATGGCTTTATCATGGGCCATGAGTTCACAGGAGAAGTGATTGCTCCGTCTTTTTGAAACACATCAGAGCTAATAATCGCTGGTGTAGGTAAGCTCAGTTGGATCTGACGTACAGTCATTCAAGCCTGGTGACCGAGTGGTTTCGCCCTTCACCGTGAGCTGTGGGAGCTGTTTCTACTGCAAACGAGGCTTCTCCTCTCGATGTGCACAGAGCCAGCTATATGGCTCAGCGGTACTCGATGGCGGACAAGCCGAATATGTCCGCGTGCCGTTAGCCGATTCTACGTTATTCCACGCCCCGCCTGAGATTGACGAGAAGAAGCTGGTTTTAATGGCGGACATATTCCCCACGGGCTATTTTGCAGCTTCTAACGCTTTCAAAGCCCTGGATAAGGAAGAGATTCAGCAAAGTACCGTGCTTCTGTTTGGCTGTGGCCCTGTGGGACTGTGTGCTATTGCAAGTGCTTTGGATTATAAGCCGAAACATCTACTTGCTATTGACAGCGTCCCAGCACGGCTAGAAGTTGCTAAAGGTCTAGGAGCTGAGCCTTGGAACTTCCAAGAAGACGAGGCTGGCCTAAGACAACGCGTTAAAGATCTCACCGAAGGCCGAGGTGCAGACGTGGTCATTGAAGTGGTTGGGCATAGCAGTGCCTTACGCATGGGGTTCGAAATGCTGCGCCCATGGGGCCATCTTTCCAGTGTTGGTGTCCACAACCAAGAGATTCCGTGGACCGGAAACGAAGCGTATGGGAAGAATCTGCGATTGCAAATGGGTCGATGCCCGGTCCGAAGTAGGTGTACCGAAATTCTATCGCAAACTGGCACTGATGAAAGGTAGGCATTTTTGCCCCGGCTATGGAGTTGTTGGCGAAGAAACAGGATGTCTTAAAGTATGCTGAATTCTGATCACGAAAATGATGTGAATGCTTACAGCTTCTAGTTTCATGACTCATGATATTCGACCGCTCTCTCAAGCTATTCAGGCGTAAGTTATCGCGCTTGGTATGGTTTACTTGAAATTGTATGATTAACATGACAACAGATATGATGATTTCAACGAAATGCGAAGCCAAAAGGTCATTTTTGAAGCTGACAAATAGCGATATTACAGAAGACCCTGATGCGATTTTGGTTCTCTTTTGTATCACACAAATTGAATTGGGAGAATTTCTCCTAACATCGGGATTGCATGACCACAAGAATAGTGTACCACGAAGATAGCAGCAATGCCATTCCCATTCACAACTCCCTACAAGCAGTAGGTGGACAATATCCATGATTGCAGGCGAAACTACAAAGACCCAAATAAGAATCATCTTCACCAACAAGTGGAACTCCAGTCGCTCTGGTAGTCGGCGGAGTAGGGACTGGATCTCCCCAGGCATTGCAAACGCATGGCCCTGGCGGGCAATACCCATAGTTGCAGCAGAAGGCACACAGACCGATGTAGTTTTTGGTGCCCGATCCGGAGACACAAACACTTCCTCCGCCTCCTCCACCTCCTCCCCCAGGAGGAGTGGGCGAACTAGTAGGCGGAGAGGAAGTCGGAACAGTGGGAGGCACAGTGGGTGGAGGCGGGGGCGAGGTAGTCGGCATGCTGCTGCTCGTGGTGGAAGTGGGAGGACCGGGAGGAACGGTACCTAGAGAAGGAGTAGGCTGGCAAGTATGAACACGCAAGCCCTGCTCAAATGCAGCAAGTCCATCAGGCTGGAGAGGATCACTAAGGCCGGGGGGAAGGGTTCCCACTATGCGCTTTGTATTAGTAGTTGAATCATGACAGGTATCACTGCGCTTACCATAGGCGTTGAAATTGTACAGACCACAGACACAACCATTGATGATCTGTTTCAGACTTGTCCCAGAAAGAATCGTCTGGCCGTCGCGAAATACCGCGAAGCTTTGTGAGCCAAGTCCCATTGGAATTGCTTTGGCACTTGCACCAGCTGGTGCATCGTAGTTATAGACGCTTCCACCGCTATTGACCTGGACCGTGGCTGGAGCTGTGAGCAATGAGACCACGAAGACGGAGTCCTGCATGGATTGCCACCCATCGGGCCGTCCTATGAAATAGTTACCACTACCATTGTTCGCTGGGACCATGCAAGTATCTGTTGGGTCACAATCAACACCCCGAGGTGCCGGTCGATACCAGTAAACCAGCTCATCTGAAGAGATGTGACTGTCGGGAGAAGACTCGCCCGCTTTGAATGCGGCAATAAATGGTTTTGAGATATCCAACCAACCATCGTGCGGCCTAGAATAGTTAGCCACTTGCGCGAGAACGAAACCTAGCACCATCAAAATCTCACATATCGTTGACCCATTTAGATGCGCCGTCATCGGTATGTGGGGACTTCAAAGGTCCGATATAATGACATTCACCATAGTCATTCCATGTCACAATTTCAATGAATCGTGGTTTTAGTGCAAGAATCTCATTCCATCGATTGAACCACAAGAGATCGGATGGGAAATTCCAATTCTTGCTATAGGAAACCTCGGGTCCAAAGTGAGTAAAGAACCACGGCGAGACGGCTGTATCATCATCAGCAATGATGTTCATAAGGTTGACGAGGACATTGATATACGAACGGGCAATATAGTCTTTTCCAGCAAGCGCATTAACATATAATCGGTCCCCATCTTCAACAGAAACACTCTTCTCAGCCTTGGGAGCTTTGTTGTTTCCGTCATTTGGCCATGCCATCCAGTTCAAGAGGCCATTAACGGAAGAAATGTCAGTTCCGTACGAGGGATGGAAGTTTGGTGCGAAGAAAATCGATCGGCCGACTGCCGCTCGGAGTGCTGCTACATTCAGTCCGTCGCCCGCGAAGGACGAGACAAAGATCTTGTTGTCGACGATGAGTTGCGCGGGTAAACTGCCATATTGGGCAATTTTCTGGCCGATTGCAGTGGCTTGTCCGATATTCCACCAGTTGAAATCAAACGATATGAAGACCTTCATGTCATTATTCGCAGCGGAATCGTAGGCCAGTCGAAGTTGTTGATCAGTATATGGGTCAACTCCGATATTGAGCGCAAACGCATCAATTCCAAGGGATTTGGCACGCTTCATATCATCGTCGTAGTCGTAAGCACTGTGCCTATCACTGGTGATTCCGATCTATTTGGAGAGTTGGAAATAGGTCAAGTTGCACTACGTGGATGCTGGACTCTCACCATGAAATGGGCAAACACCAGCCGATCTGTTGATTGTCGTTTATCAACCCGAGTGTCATTATCGAAAGCAGATAAGGCATCTGTAACGATACAGAATATACCCAAGAGAGCGAGTAGAACACTATCTTTGGCCCTCATACTTGACTGATGTGCTAAGGCAGTCTTCTTCCGGGCTAAAGAGACGTATCTATATGTGGGTCAGCTTGAGATACATGCCTTGACTATGAGGTTAAGATCAATTGTCTCGCTCACATCTAAGTCTCCTTAGCATTGAACCTGTGTGGAATATTTGCACACAATGAGCTCCGGTGCCTGATATTGGGATGATGGAATTTGCGAAAGTATATCGATGGTGATCGCCGGGTATTTCTAGTGACTGGGTCATTGGCATATCTGAAGTTTATTTGCCGAATATGAAAGAGCAGCCCCCCTGTAGGCCCGTGTCATATACTTGACCATCGGTCATTCGGATGCCAAATTTAGTGCACGCGCTCTTTTCCCTGCCGGAAAGTTGGGGTAAAATCCATCCAATTCTTTTACCAAGCAAGAAATGCCGCGTTATCAATTTTCTATCTCAGTTGATGCACGCAAAGTCCCCAAAGGGTATTCGATGAAGATAACTGTACCACAATCACAGGATATACCCCGTTAACGCCACCAAATTCCTCTGGTCACCAGGAAACAATCTAACCTCCCGAATGTAACCCCCCACAAGTCCAAATTCGTGATGCCGGCAAAGCTTTGAGTGAACAAGAACAAGAAATAAGCACGAAAGTCAAATACTTCTGCACTCAGGTACTAGAAAGCCTAGATTAACAGCACAAGCGAATCATCACATTCATACAGAATAGTAGCCTTGAGTACATGGCGAGAAAACCTGCGTGGGATCTCAGCAAGGGGCGGACAGCAATGATCAATTCACGAGGACCAGGTGGGAGAGCTCCTGGAAAGAGTCGGGCTGCAGATCATACCTTGGATGTTATGATCGTTAGTTCCTCAGTTAGTATCTCTTGAAATAGAGATGGATGTCCTGCTCATGTCTTCCCCAGGACAAGACCATACAAGAGTAGAAAGAAGTCAGCCCCTGGAGTGATACATTATGGTGACATCCGAGGAACATTCCCTTCTGGACAAGGGATGTTGTAACCGGTCGGAAAGAGCAACATTGTGCAATTCTCTGGTGAAAGACTAGATGGGGTAGTCTACAATAGAACGAAGAAATGCAAACAGCAGGGAGATCACCAGGCCAAGATATATTTCTTGTGGAACAGCCCAACTCTGCTCACATGAGGCCATGTGTGACGTTGCTGCATTCCTAGACTGCGCCAACCGACAAGCATGAAGCACGGAATCAACCCGACAAGCACTCCAAGAATGCCGTCCACATGAGAAATTGAATTTCAGCCCAACCCTGTCTAATGTGCAATGACCTGAGCTTTCGCCCTAATTAGGATTAGTGGCGTTTGGGAAGCAGAGGCGAACGTGGCGTTATTGTTGATACTAAGATAAGAGACAAGGGGACAATGAACCCCCAATCAACCCATCCTGTAGACAGAATATTGAACAAGGTCTGTATGGCTTCCCTGTTCTTCGCGTTTATGTGATATGTGGGGAGCAGATCAAGTCCATGACCACTCCGTACTATCGAAGGTTAACTTAATAGTCGAGGCTCTGCGTAAGCGGAAAGACGCCGGCACGAAAATCTCGGCCTCTGAGCTGGGTGCAAGATATTGCAAGTGCTGTGATCAGCCATCCCAGGGAAAGATCAGCCATCAGCTGTTGTTCCCAGATCGTGGGAGTGCCTCAGTAATTCAAAGCTTTTCTTCCTCCTCGTTTACTGATCCAATTTGAGGATATTTTTATCCTTTAGAGGCCAGAACCCTTATTCTCAGCCTCTCAAATCGCGTTGACACTAAAAGGACGGAATAAAAATAGAAGGACACGCGGTTATGACTTTAGCAGAATCTGCATCTGGGATAGTGCTTGGCAGTGCTTAATAGTGCTTGTTAGCGGGAATGCAAATTTTCGCTCCTAATTGCCGCACATGAACCTTCATCTTTGATAGTGACTGACATACACAATTTTCAAATCAAGAACATAGCATATTGTAACATTAAATATCAACCTGAGCGCTTCTGGACGTCGTGAAAATTAAGATTCCTAACAGCCTTGTGGGGAGTGTGCCGCGCGGCATATGCGTGTGCCCGTTCAAGTATGAACTCCACCGCCTCTCGAGTGGCTGATTCCACTACGCTTGTGCAAAAATATGCCACTAAACCACGAATCTTTGCGGCGCGGCTTGGCCATCAAACGCAATAATAGACCTAAATATTGGGTTAAACCTGTTGAAGGCCGGAGGTCCACGTATTCCGACATCCGGAGTAGTGTGTGGCGGATAAGTCTTAAAGCACGTTGGCCCCCGTAGAAATGGCACCAAGACTTGACACTGCCTTCAATCATTCAACACCCTGATCAACGGATATGCGCGGCTTGGTAGTCGCCCTCTTAGCGGTGCAGTGCGCCCAGGTACTTGGCCACCCTCATGCCGCCGCAAACACAGAATGGGTTCCCGCTAAGACTACAACTACTCTGAGCCCAACGCCAATGTCAGAAGCTGGCAAAACTGGCAGGAACCATGAGAAACGCGGATATGGCGAAATTCTCATGGCCAGAGCCACCACTGACACAACCGATTCCTCTACTTCCACAACTGAGAGCACAACGTCGACCACAAGCACATCAGACACCACCACCACCACCTCAAGCGAGTCCACTTCCACTTCAACATCCTCATCGACATCCTCTACATCCTCGATCACTACTTCCTCGACTACCACTTCGTCAACCACCTCTTCTACGAGTTCGACTACTTCAAGCACTTCGACATCAAGCAGCTCAACGACCAGCACATCTTCAACAACAACTAGCACTGCAACTGCAACTAGCACCGAGAGTGCCGCCTTGAAGGCGTGGAATCACAAGGGAAACATTGCAGCAATCATATTCGGCTGCTGTCTCATCTCGCTATTCTCGGGCCTCACCATCCTTCACTGTGCACGCAATAGGGCGAGGTCACGACGCATTGCAGCACGAGAGCTGTTGGAATCCAGCGCTTCCACCTCGGCCCTTCTCCCTGCAACCTCAAAAGGAGTCTCCACTCCTGATGTCAACAGTGTTCGATCCTCGATGATGTTCACCAACCAGCCACAAACAGGCTACTTCCCTTCCACACAGAGTGTACATTCGGCGTCCAACTATCACAGCCACGCCCATTCAACAACGTCAGAGACCACTGCGGAACACGTCTCTACAGGGGAGCCAACATCGCGACCGCACACTAGTGACGCGAATACGCCTTTGGTTTGACCTAGTCGTCCACCATGATAGCTGCCACTCCTGTTTGGAACTGGCTAGACTACCTTCTTTACAAGCATATTGATAGCGTGTGAAATCAACACTGTATGAATTCATCCCCATTGTTGTAATTGTTGTATATGCAACAATACTTGTGCATGTAGTCAAACTAGCCACCTCAGGTGGTCCCAGCGCTTAAGTAAACTATCCAACAGATCTGTAAGAGTCTCATCCCCAGGCTCATTTTGTCGGTCGCCGATGAGATGAATATCAATTATCATGGCTAATCTAAAAGTGCCCCACTGGCCGGCTCGGGTATTACTGTCATTTGTCGAGACATCTCGGACTTGTCCAAACATGGATTTTGCATTGTAGCCAACTGACCAATGATTACATAGGTCATTTATACAATAGACGCCCAGAAGGTTATCTATCCCTCTAGGGTAATTCTCCGAAGCTCAATTAGCTCAACATTGTGCTGCAAACAAAGATGCTTATTGGTGGATGCGCATCGCCATGAGCCAATTACGGTCTGTGGCGCATATTCCTCTTCATATTACTTTTGATATCAAATTGAACAAGACTTGGCAGAGGACGAACATGTTATGATAATTTCGCTTATACACACAACGCTCTTCACGGCCAGCACGTGGAGCTACGATAGGCTTGCACTTATTAGGCTAATTGGCGACAGCCGACACTAGTTCATATTGAGCGGTGCCATGAGAACATGTCTCAAGCAAGCATAGTAAATTTGTAACCCCTGTTCAAACGACCAGAACTATAAATGTTGTTACATCACTTCCAATTTGTATAGAATGCTAAGAAATAAAGTCATTATGAAGACTCCATTCCTTTTGCTGCTTGCTGGCCTCACGGCCACAGTCCAATGCGAAGTACTGGCTCCGGCCAACGACATTTTGTTTCCATCGAGCGAGACCTCAAGCAACCCTCTGAAATATGCCGGAGGGAACAGTCCCTATTTCGCTGGTCAGGACGTCTTAGAACTGGATGTGTTTCACATTGCTGATCGGATCTAGGGCCTAACGTAAATGGCATCAAGAATGAAGTCCCTGATCGGTGTTCTGTCCGACAAGCTGCTTATATTGTCCGACATGGCAGCAGGTAAGTAGCTTCCTATCGGTCAATTGTCAATCTGGTCTAATGAAGGTGATGCTCAGATTCCCCGACACTGGCTCATACAACTCTTGGGTCGCAATTTATGACAAGGTTGGTCCCCTTCGTTGTTTAGAGATCAAGGAGATTGGTCTGATCACGATCCTAGATTCAACTTGCGATGAACCAGACCGGCTTCAAAGCACGCGGCTCATTGGACTTCATTTCGAATTGGAAGCCGGTACTGACTAATCCTAGCTTACAGCTAGCGCAGGAGTCGATGACAGGTTGGAAAGAGGTATGCTAAGAAGTTTGAGTTAAACCCTGACTGCCATTGTTGACACGAAGCACCAGGCAAGTGATCTCGGTTATCAACTACGGGCCAGATGTAAGGTTCTATCAATATCAGTCTGTCTGAGGTGGCCGAGTGGCTGACTTTCGATAGACCCGAACTTCTATGAAGACGGTAATCCGTTTTATGTTTGGGCAAACCAATACAAGTCGCCAATTAACAGCTCACGGGTGGTCCAAACCGCGAGAGCCTTCATCCGGGGATACCTCTACGAGTACGCTGATACATACGGGACTGTTGTCAGTGTGAACTCCACGGGATCAAACAGTGCAATTGGAAACTCGCTTGGCCCTTCAGACTCATGCCCCAAATTTGCTTCCACGAGCAGCGGAGGAAACAACGTGACAAACTGTGAGTTGTATGAGCTTTGCCTCCCTTTCTTTTTGACCATTGAGAAGAAAGACCCTGGGCTATGGATAGTTCTACCTGCAATTTGAAAATGACAGCTAACGGCTTTGCAGGGGATGCGACCTGGGTTCCAAGGACTGTCAAACGTCTCAATTCGCTACTCAGTGGGGGCCTCACTTTTACTGAAACGGAAGTTCTCTTCTTCCCTTATATGTGCGCATACGAGAGTCAAATTACAGGAAACCTCAGCCCTTGGTGTGATGTATTCACAGAAAGCGAGCTCCGCAAGTATGCATACTCTCAGGACTTGAGTTACTTCTACGGCGTCGGGCCGGGGTCAGTTGGTCCAGCCAAAGTCCTCTTCCTTCCCTTCCTTGAAAGCCTGGTTTCGCTACTTGAGAAAGGCCCAGGGCAGAAGGGTGTTGGTAAAGATGGCAACACATTTGATGTTCCCAATCTCATCATGGGCTTCTTGAATGATAATCAAATTGCCGAGATGACAGCTGCCATGGGAATCTTTGACTCCGAGAGACTGCTTCCTGATGACCATATCCCATCTGGTCATCTTTACAATGTGGCAAACTTCATTACCATGCGTGGAACTGTTGCCTTCGAGGTCATGGATTGCGTAACTGAATCCAAGCGCTACTCCTCCAACGAGGCCTATATTCGAATCCTGTTCAACGATGCCGTTTACCCAATCGCGGGCTGCCACCATGGACCGGGGAAAAGCTGTGCACTGTCTGAATATGCTTCAATTATCCGCAAAAAGATGCAACGGGCAGGAGACTTCCAAGATTACTGCAATGTCACCGAAAACAGTCATCCAGAGCAAGTCCTGGGAGCCAGCTTTTTCAGCGATTTGTCGCTAGACTTCCTCACCTTTGTCGCCCCATAGTTCACTAGCATTTTGAATGATCTGGTGCAGGGGTTGTGCGAGGTGTGGTGTGGAACTCCAAGTCGATTGAAGAATCGCGCTGATATATGACCGGATTACGCCAGAGTCGGCGACGGACCGTGTACATGCCTAGGTACTCTCATGTTTCTCAGTACATAAATTTTTGCCTCTTGCCTCTCAATCCAACTCTTCTTAGTCTTCATGGAGCACAGTTTGTTCTTTTCATCCGAGTTTCTTCTTCTACTACCTTCAGAATTTTTGTTTGATTTTTGATCAATTTGATCAAAACACCTTACAATGGAGCCACTCAGCATTGCCGTCACGGGATTTTTTTAAATAAGTGCTGAGCATTTAAAGTGGCCTTTTTACAGGTTCATGACCTTTTCTAACGTTTCCATGGAAAAATACCATTTCCACACTCTGCTCTACCGCGTCCCACGCGCTCGTGTGGTTGCTGTGGAGGATCAAATAGGCAAAGAACAATAATGGGTACACGGAATTTAGTCTTCGGGTATAAAGCGACTAAAATGAGACGCTTCATGAGTCAAGCATTCACGCTATATGGATTTCGACTAGCACGGATGTCCACGCCAGTCAGTGGCTGGCAAGTGTTGCCAAGGGCATCCACACCGTACGAGGAGCCTTGAATAATGATATTGCCGAGACAAACCACTCCTGACAGACCGGCTCTTGTAAAAAATAACGATCACCTTAAATTTGGCAGGCGCAATCTGTGGTTGCCGCTTCCTGTGAATGTCATGGCTGGCTTCTCTCGCAGATGCGACCCGAGTGGAGAAAGATTGAACTAGAACTACGTTTATTTTGAAATTGGATCCAATAGTAGTATGTATACTTCATCTTCAATGTGTATATCAAAGTCAAGACTTGGCATTTCCCGATGTGGTAATACGCGGGGATGCGGGGGTAGTCCCTTTCCGGCAGCAGGCGCCGTCTCTGCTTCACAACGCGTTCCTTGCATGATGTCAACTGCCTCAGTACCTTGCTCGAGTTGCCGCGGTAAGACTCCTGTGGTGGTTTCTTTGATCTTTACTAATACTATTTCTAGAGAGACATCAAAAGTGTAAGTCGATCTTACCAACCCTGCCTAGGCATGCTGCAACCTGCTGAGAATAAATCCTCCTATTAGGTGACAGAAGACAGCCTGTATGCAGACGCTGTGAAGCTAAAGGCCTTGAATGCAAGCCGGCGCGACGCAAGCCTGTCTTTCGACATGGTTCCACAGCAAACCTGGATGCCAATTTCAAGCAAGACCAAACATGGGTGAACAGCAGGCTTAAGAACTGGAGAGCGCCAGCTCGTTCCTCCGTGGCCTTTGAGTCTGAGCCCAGCATGGCGGTGTCGGTGTCATTGCCACGGCTCGAGGTACCGCTGCCTTCCCTGGGCCAGACTTCCAGTAATCTAGGACACCAGATCCATTCTCCGAGTCAACAAAACTTTGGCTCAGACAGGCCTGGCGAGGGATATGCCCAATATGAAGTCTTTGAAACCTTTGAATCTATGCAAGAGGATACTCGAATGACAGATGTCTCACCGCACCCGTCAACCGCCCGCCCAGCCCCTCCAGCGGTATTGCCGAGCCGCGATACGATTTTTAATACGCAATTTTCGCCCGATTCAAGATTCCATCAGGGTGATCAGGACAGTCACACCAGCAGTCATGTCATCTATCAAGGAGATCTTACAGGGTCTGACAATCCATCTCCCTCTTCCCGTGGCAGCCTTGGAGATGCAACATCCGATGTCCAAGAGTCTTGCTTGCTCCGCTACTTTATCGAGGAGCTGTCTCCTTGGGTATGTTGAGTCCTCCCAAATTATGTCCTTGACGCAATTGAAGTTAACATCCTTGAGTTTGACCACTGCGATGACCGTAGGCAATTTCAATTGGTAGTCCCTCGTCGAGCTGCGCAGTGTTCAGCCTTGAAAAACGCTGTCTTCGCAGTATCTTCCCGTCATCTCTCTCGTTTACCTCAATATATGACCCCTCATGGCATTGTATATCGCGAACAGGCTCTTCCAAATTTGACGCACACCACTTCGGTTGAATACATGCTGAAATGTATTCCGGAATTGGTTCAATTTTCAGAAATACAAGATTCGCGCCACCAAGAGAATATCATGGCGGCAACAGTCATTCTGCGTCAGTATGAGGAGATGGAAGAGGAGATTGAGGAAGGCGACGAGAAGTCTCATGCCAATGAGAAAGTCAACTTTCTGTCTATCACTCAAACAATCATTGACAGAATGATTTCTACACCGCTTCACCATTCTCTAGCTGCTGCTGCACACTGGATTGCAATTAGACAGGAAGTCTACTTTGCGTTTACCAGGCAGCGATGTCCGAAATTCCGACTCGGCGCTGACCACTGGCAGAGCATCTCTGTTGCCAATACCATGGTAGTGTTCGCCAGCCAGGTCGCAAGGTGGCGCTGGGGAATGAAGAAAGCCGAAGAATGGGGTACGTACTCATGCGGACCAAACGAGAGCTATCAATTAACTGACCTTTACCAAACCAGAGCCATTGAAGACGCAACATCAGCACCTAAGTGAAGAGTTCCGATCTGAACTGCAACCATTACTTGAGAACAAGCCAGATCGGGCGAAAGGTGAAATATTTCCTACGATTTGGTATTGTTATGACTCCCAGGTGACAGCAATTCAACACTTGAAACTGAGCGAAATGATTCTTATTGCGGAAAGCCCCCATCTTGAGTAAGCACTACCCTAATAAATTTGAAAAGGGAGGTTCTGACAACGTATGTATGATTAGGAATGCTAGAGGTGCCGTTCATCGCAAAGCCGAGGCACAAGTCCGATCAATTGTGCTGAGCATTTGTGGAATCGCATTAAACCACCCGCGTTGCCAGCCTGCGATGGTCAATGCCGTTATTTCGATCACACTTTATGGCGACTACTTCACTCAGCCTGAAGACAGGGGTGCGTTGCTTGGGATCATACACCAGACTATGGAGTTGCATTCATGGCCAATGCGAAAGCCATGTCAGCATCTCCTAGACCAATGGGAAATGGTAGGTAATGCTGAGCTATAGCGTGATGATCTAGAATAAATTTTCTCTATGGCACGACTCGAAATGTTTTCAATAATCGACGGAGCAGTGCATAGTTGTACGAAATCCACATAGAATTGGGGCAGTGGGTAGATACTTTTCGTCTATATCTGTAACATGAGCGTTGCGACAGAAACAGATCACAGAATAAGTTGAATATATATCATTACGAACTTGAACCAGTACTACGAAAAGTATTGGAACAAGTAGCCTATATCATAGTGCTGTTTGAGCGCCAGTCACGAATGCCCGAGTAGCGGCTCGACTTGCCACTAGTAGACGCCAGGCCCATTGCTCCCACTGTAGCACCGGTGGAAACACTTTGAGATTCCATATCGAAGCAATCCGTTTTCCCGTCGTCAGTACAGAATGCATATAGAACTTTCGCGTCCATGTCACAGAAAAGTTCCTCTCCTGTATGGGCAAAGTCAGGACCCATAGACGTGTCAGATTGGCAAAGCCTCTTGGCCGAGTGATGCTTGGAGTTGCTGATCACCAATTCGGAGTTGGCCCACTCAGGGCGCACAGGAGACTGACGAGCACGCAAGGCTGTGCTTCGCTTCTTCTTGGTGTAATAGTTGATGGTGTTGGGGTCATCCTCCTCACGAAGTCCGAAATTGATGTCGTTACACATTCTCTGCGGGTCTGTGTTGCTTTCATCTTGTTCATCTTTGGAGAAAGCAGGCCAGCGCACCTGAAATCCGGTCTTCGGCTGATCACCATTTTTGTCAATCCAGAAGCATTTGGGCTGGTATTCTTCATCGCTGTTTGGATACATGTGGCTCTCAAACCATGTTCCTCCGCATGCCTCGCCGTAGTCGCCTGACACAGCGTATTTGTTGCCGCCGCGGTCATCACTCCAGGTCGTCGTGACCCAAGCAACACAGATAGCATCGTTGTTAGCCGAGAAGAGGGAGTAGACTCCCTGATTCTCGTGCTCGACTTTAACTTCGCCCAGGTTTCCATTGCCCACGGTTCCAGGGTCGGCATTCATGCCAACGAATCCACCAACATCATTCCATACCCGTCTGACTTTATGTTAGGTATTGATCCTCGGATAATAATGAAATACGGAAGGGTCGAGACGAAAGCTCACATACACATCAGGGAGATCACCACCGGCATTCGTAGGCCCATTCGGACCGTCAAGAGCAACAGCGACCATGATGGTCGAACCAGAGTTCGACTCCGAACCGAAATTGTCCATACCAAATGAGACAATGGTCAGGATTCCGGAAATGACGCCAATGGCGTCAACAACAGACATATTGAAAGAAAGAAGGAGATTCAATATGGAAAACAGATTTGAATGAGGGATTCCCGCTCGAAACTGCTTCTTCTTTGGAGGTGGAGGCAAATCAGATACCTGGAGATCGATGTCCTGCTTTATACTACGACTTCATCACGATGTCAAACTAACATCTCACCATGGCAAATCTGCCTAATTTCGGCAAGCACAAATTAATCACGCAAATCAAGGCAGAATCAAACTAAACAAGATACTTCTGAATCCTTCACGCTACTCCGCTGAACCATTACACTTTTGGCCCCTTTGCCATATGGCCATAAGCGGCAATACGGCAGTCTCCGTCCTCTTTCCTTCAGCGTATTATGCCTTGGCATTTGTGGAATATGAAGGATTGCGGAGCTTGAAGTCAATGCACATGTTGATGTGGATATGCTCAGAAACGAAATCCGTCTCGCTCCGAGTATGAAACTCTGTGAGAGATATTCGGCGTTTTTGAACTTTACCGGTATTATATCATGCGCGACGAGGGGTATGCAGCCTCTGACACTATACTTGGGGGTATTGTGCTACTCATCTCAATCGGGAAATTGCTGTTGTGCCCAAGCAGCGGTCTGAGACAGTCGAGCATGCGTTTATCGCGGGAGTACCGACAAGGATGTGTAGTATCTGTAGCCTGTGTGTCGACACTAGTTGATTGCAAAGGGCAAGATATTGATTAACGAATCGGGAGTTTGCCAAGTGGCAAAGTCAGTCATGCTGACCAAAGCCCTGCAAGACGTTCTCGCCTTCGAACCTAAAAAAGGGCATGGGTTCATCGGCGACGGTGAGCAGGGCAGCACTTGAAGGATGAAACACAACCAACCACAATTCTCTATTGCGCCACATTGCATCTTAATGTCAGCCCAAGCGGAGAAAGCCAAGAGTGGGATCGGTTGGACCCGATGGCCAAGACTCTCCGCTGTAACCGAAGAAGTGAATGGCCCCCAACTGCCAAGAATCTAGCAAAGGAACGCTTACAACTGATGTCATTGTGTCTTGGAAGCTTCCATGCTGCCATGGAGAAAAGGGACACTGCAAGGACTCAACAAAGCCTGCCCAAATTTCAGGGTTGGGATTTTTTTTTTCAACCGAGCTGATCTCTCACCTAACTCACATTACGATTACGGAACCATCTGAGAACTTCACACTTCATATTGTTACAACCAGAGACAATGCTTCACCTCCGAGCTTCCAAGATTGCCGTCCTTCTACCTCTCTTTCTTTCTCCTGTTCTCGCCAAAGACGCCAACCTAGTCGGCTGCGACGAAGTATCTTGCCCCAAAGAAGGACCCTACGACCGATGCACAGTGGAAGACAACACCTTCCTGGGTGTGGGGCTATCCAACATCGCGAACTTGCCGTCTGAGCTCGAGGGATTCTCCCTTGTGAAAGGCGTCAATGTATCCCAAGGGCTTGCCGGCAAGGATAACGACAAACCAACCCGACCGTTCAAATCGGTATACTATCTAGCTACGCCAGAGAATACCAGAACCAGTGAATTTCCTGGGTGTGCTGTTATCTTTAACAACCCACCGGACAAGAAGTTCAAAGGTCCGGAGCTTCGAGGCGACACAAATGCAACTGACACCCGCGCGGCAACCGGAACTTGCACTGATGTTCTCGAGCAAACCTGCATCGACACCATTACGGAGCGGGCGAGAAAGGTGGTTCAAGATTCTAACAGCAATGTCTGTGAAAATCTTGAGGAGGAGCTCAAGAAGGACTCTTTCAATGGATGCGACGGGTTTGGAGGTCAAGGTACCTCACTGGGAGACTTTACTATCAAATCATTCGGTGTTCTAGACCTCATGAAAAACTCCTCGGACTGCTGGCCAGTGCAAGAAAAGTCCGATCAGTTGATGCAAATTTCTGAGGTCAATTCTCATGTCAGTGTTCCCTTATTGTTCTCACCCTGTACCTCAACAAACCATTAATTTTATATCTGCAGGCAAACTACTCGGCGAGCGCTCTCATTCAAGAGGCATATAAAATAACTCCTATTCTGACTGTGTTTATCGGCGGGAATGACACTCTTGTCGACCGGGCCTCTTCCCAAATGACATGTCTGAAGGTGGTCACGACAGAGGACCCCAGTGATGACGACGATAGTTCTGACAATTCGGCCGTTGCCTTGAATAAAGGGTGGCTGGCAGTTACCATTCCTGCATTTGTGGGAAGTTTCCTAGCGTTGTAGATAGCATGAGCGCAGGTTTCTGGGTATTCGTCAGTTTTTGATATCATGAAATCCCAGGAATTGAAGGGTGATTCGGTATTATCATGTATATAGCAGTACTTGCGTTACTTATAAGGTATATCGGGAAAATTCTCATGAAGTTCGCGCACACGGAATTTCCACCTCAAATATAGCACCGCGGCCTTGAATGATCCGATTCTAACTTCACGTGATGAAAATGCCTCTCGGATCAAGTATAGACAATCTTATAGAGTAATGTGCACGAACGCGGGGATTCATTTTTCCAGAAGCAAGTTGTTTCCAGATAGCCCACATTCAACCATGGTGTGGATGTCCTTTCCGTGGCTGATGATACCTTGTTGAGTCGAAGTTGCTCGACGATTGCCAATACAGTCCCAGCCATAGTTATTAGATCTCAAAGGAGATTGTGAGTATTCTGCCTTTCGTCCGATATCGACCTCGGCCATGGAATCAAGACCAACAAGGTTGTATGCATCGATCAAAGTACCAATTTCAACGACATAGTGAACCGAAAAGTATTCAGCTGTTCCAATATAGTTCTTCAGTAGCAAAATTTCTAGCTATCGGTTGATTCAACACTGCTAGCTCAGGCTAGTACATATTGCGGATAGGACGGGCCATGATTTTTGTCACTCTCTCACCTCCATGGGGAAGGATGGTACCATCATGCGACTTGAACAGTCTGTCAAAGCACAAAAGCACCGTCAGAATATTTTCAAACATAATCAGAGGACTAATAACTCCAATCAAGAGAGCTGTGACCAGGTCCTCAGTATCTCCGTCGAGAAAGGCAACGATATCACCATCCGTGGCGAGGAGTTCTCTCCAGAGAGCATCCCCTTTGCCTCGGCTGCTTCCAGTCTCCGAGGCGATATCGGCCCGTTGCAGGACCTAGGCGCCCGCTTCGATAGCGAGATTTGCGGTCCCATCTTGAGATGCTGTATCGATCAAGTCACGGATGAACAGGATGCCTAATCGCTCCACTGACAGTGACGCTTAAATTTTTATTTTTGACTGCAGTGGCCAGCTGAGGGATGAAGACGTCGATATGGTCGAATCTGTTGTTGCGTAGTCAAAGGGAGAGTTGCGGTATATTTGGGGGTATAGTTAGACTGATATCTCCCATCTTGACAGCGGAGTAGTTTGGTGCAGAAATAATGAGGATGTTCGAAACTTGACTCTTATGGCTTTTCCAGTGATTGGAAAAGTCTGCTGCAAACAATCGGGTACTTGTAGACTTGCGTCACAATGCATATGTGTCCGATGAGGTCTGACACTACCAAATAATGCATTGTAACACAATTGCTGCTGCAGGCCTAGTGATGCTTAGGGGGTGGAAAGGGTGTCCGAATAGCATCCTGAGGGAGTTTTTTCAAGATGGCACTCTTAAACAGACATTTGGAATGCTAATTCACTTCCTCTAGATAAGATGTGACCATAGAGAGGGGGATAGACAGTCCTCAACATCTCTAATTATGTGCGTACTATATAGTGTCTAACAAATGGCAGCTCACAGTCGGCTCGATACAAGATAGGGAATGTTTTTCGATTCGTAGAGGTCCTTGTGCTCGGATTTGATGATATCCGCGCCCTAAAATATCTGTCAGTCTTGTTCAAAAAGTGCATGAATTTTTACTGACCTTTTCGCCAATCATGTACACCGAGTTTTGAATACGGCAATCAGGAATGACTGGAATGACAGACGCATCTGCAATTCTCAGGTTGCGCACTCCATGAACTCGCAACTTCGAGTCAACGACACCCTGGTGAATGCTCTTGGAGAGACGTGCTGTACCACAAGGATCTGTGAAGTCAATGATTAGCGTTGGCTTGGACTGTTTGAAATTTTTTAGGGATAAACTTACGGAATCCAGTCTGGCTGCGATCTAGAACGGCCCGGATCATATCGTCATCTGAGTCAAGGGGCATCTTCCAGGGGTACTCGGAGACAACAATGTCCCTGAATCCGGCACCTTTGGTCAAAACATCGTATGTCCAGCGCACACCTTCGCGCATGGCCAGAATGTCCAAGTCGTTGCCGAAGAAGTTCAGGTTGATGTTGGGCTGAGCCTGTGCGTTCGAGCTGTTCAGGGTAACTTCACCTTCAGAAAGGGGTCGCAGAAGATCGACGATGCAGGTCATGTAGCTGCCCTTCTCAGGCATGGGGTAATGCCACTGGAATGCAGTGCTGAACAAGCCGACAAAGTCCAACTCGAAGTGAGGCTGGCCCGCTGGACCGAAAGGATCCAGTCCACCGTTGGCAGCCTTGGCCTCGCGGTAGGCAGGATACTTCTCCAGGCGTTCATCAATTCGGGGGAATCCGACAAGCTCCAGGAATCCGGAGCTAGCAGGGCCAGTCTTGTCCTTCTGGTAGGTGGATAGTGCCTGGTCGTTCAGGGGACCGGAGCGAAGGACATGGTCATCCAAACTGTACCCCTCCTTGACCTCCAAAACAAATGGCACAATTGGGTGGTCCAGAAGATGCTGACCGACGTGGGGCGATGCCACAATAGGAGTGATGCCGTTCTTGGCCAGTTCCTCGGCCGGGCCCACACCGCTGAGCATGAGAAGCTTAGGAGTCTCAAAGACACCCTGAGACAGAATGACCTCCCGGCTGGCGTAGACGCTGATTTCGTGGCCGGTGGCCGAGCTGATGACATTGACACCGGAGCAGATGTGGGTGGCAGGGTCGATGATGAGATTCTTCGATTGAACCCCATAGAGAATGGTCACGTTGGGCTTGTTCTTCAGATAGAGGAAGCTACCTTGACGTTCACCCTGGTAGATAGTGTCGACGCAGTGAGTGAGACCCTTCATTTCGCCAGAGTAGATATCCTCGCTCAGCGGCTGACCCTTGGAAACCCAAGCCTCAGTGAGGGCATCTCGGAATCCCTTCATCTCCGGCACCAAGTCGGCATGAGAGATCTGCACAGGGCCTCCGGTTCCAATTTTGCTCAGCTCAGTGGGATACAGCTTCTCGTCGTCGTGATAAGTGGCGCATTTACGGAGGTATTCCACACATGAGTCCCAGTTCCAGTCATGGCCACCGAAAGCCTCCCAGTCGTCAAAGGTAGGCTTTGAGCCGGGAATCCAGGTGAAGTAGTTGGCACAGGAGCTGCCACCAAGGGTCTTTCCTCGGGTGTTAGGCTTCTCAATACGTTCATAGTCATCGCGCTTGATCATGGTAGTCTTGTAGGCCCAGTCGTACTTGCTTCCCCGCAGGGTGAAAGCTTTCGATGGGGTGGTAATTTGCTCGATCTGGTCTGGGTTGGGAATACCAGCTTCGACAACAAGAATGCGCACGTCGGGGTTCTCAGCAAGGCGACCAGCGACTGCATTGCCAGCGGTGCCACCGCCGACAATGACGAAGTCGTACTCAGATCCGTTGGAAACGAAAGCCATTGTATGGGCTTGGGACTTGAGCAAGGTAAGAGAGAAGAGAGAAGTCGAATTGAACTGTTTGAGAGTATGATTGTGGGTGGATAGAGCCAGATTCGACGAGACATCGCGTCGACTTTATATCCTCATCTTAATAGTGACAGCATCTCCAAATCGACCGCCCTGCTTGCTTTGTCTGCTCTATCTGTCTTGCCGGTCTTGCCGGTTACGAGAGACATCAGGGCGAGACCAAGTCCGTGGACCCTGGATTGGTAGGGCTGATGAATAGGCGTGCATGTAGCGTTCCATTGATGTAATTGATGGAAGATCCTTAGCTAAGCTTTGAGTGATGAAGGTGGATTTCATTGCTTCTCCTCATGAGGAGAAATTGGCTGGCATTTTCTCCCCTCACGAAAGCTGTCACTGTCAAAGTGTTCAATCGGGTAATGCGGAAGCGGCGATAGCTCGGACTTCTTTCGGGCGTTGCCGGGCGTCGCTGTCAGCCACGAATTTTGATATTTGTAGATTGTGTAGATTGTGGCTGTCACTGTACGCGTCTTTTCATGTTGCATTTGCGCCCGAGAATAACACGGCCCGACATCACTGGACATAATCCCTTTTTCGTATACTTTCTTCTTCGGCCCCCTCCCGTCACGGAGTTATCTCGGACTGCCATTTGGAGCCTCCAAAAGTGGGTGTTTGCTATTTGATTCAGAATATAGAATTGGAGATATTCTCTGCCTCTATAAATCATTACTATGATACCTGGACCCCAACTGTGATTTACTAAGAGTCATCAAAACACGTTAATGCAAGCTATACATTGAGGTACTCGAATCTATTCTGGTAACAGTTCTCAGGCTATATTTTACATTGAAACAAACGTGAAAACTTGTCAAAGTACTTCTCTCCTCATGACATCACACTAGCTTTTATTAGAATCAAGCCACTTGTACAAAGGCTGTCTCAAAGGCGGCCAGCCGTGGCGCGATAATTACTCGAAAATGCGCATAGGGCGCAAACCAATAGTTCACACACCGCAGCTGCCAATGTTGATGCCTAACTCGCGCATCTTCTTCGGCAACACGCTGGAATCTGGCGTGTCAAATGCGATGTATTTGTCACCTAGGTTGGGATGTTAGGGGGATATTTTGCTGCTAATTCAGCCACCCTCTCATAAAGAATCGCACCAACTTGAGCCTGTTGATAAAAGGCTAGTATTAGCCGTTCTACTCTAGCAAACCATATCAAGTCTCTTACCGTCCTTTCCCAACGAGCTCGGTGAGTCTGCTGCCATTCCGGTACTAAATTCCGATTTCTCTCTTTCCCAGGACTGGTTGGGTGGGCCTGAACATCAGGTGTCTGGATGGATCATAGATCAAACACTTTGGTGACCGCTTTCGAACGAGATTTACGTCTTGTTTGGAGCTACAACTGTATCACAGGAAGTGGCAAAGCAAGTCAATGCATAATGGGTATATATCCTTGAATCAGACGGCCAGCCATCTGATTGAAACTCCACAAATGGTACAATAACAACGCAAGTTCATCGCTTGTTTGGGGCACCTCTCGCAATAGCATCAATGCGGCGAGAATACAAGTCCATGAAATGCATCACAGGATCTCCAAATACAACACCTCGTAAGTCCGTATCCGTGACACCACAAGCATCCACATTCTCGCGTGGTGGCAGAGTGGGAGGACCGCCCGGGATAGGTGGTGCCACAACAACCGGTCGACCATTCCATTGTTCCCTCGGCCGAAGGATAATAAGCCGACCTGCCAGTGCAAGAGTGGACACAGGCATCCTCCAGTAGATAGGTGCATGCTGTTTCTTGCGTTCATATAGAGTGAGCATTGAACCTGGCGCAGGTGAGACATACAGATCCAACAGTGAAAGGAAATAGCCCTTATCAGCTCGGGCTACTGGGTCACCTTCATTGATGAAAGCAAAGAATAGAGACTTTGACCTCAGAGCAGCGGGTGATGGCTGCAGTGGTCGGAGTGAGATAGGCGGCGCACCAAATGTAACACAATGAATATGTCTAAAGCAACCGCGAAGATATGTGAGCTCAGACTCCACAGCTGGCGATTCAGAAAGCATATGAAGGTACAGCAAAGTAGCAACAGCACCGCCAGCGGAATGACCCGTAAGAACTAGCGAGTAGGACATACGAGACGGGTCCTCTTCAAGCAGATTACGCAGTCGTTCTGCAACAGTAGAAACCATCTTCCGAGCTACGGACAGGAACCCAGAGTGGCAGCAATTGGAAGGATCATCCAGAAAACCCGTGGGAGATGTCGGTGCCGTGTGGACATTGACAGCCCAGTCGATGAAACTTTGCGTGCCTCGAATGGCGAAGACAATTGTATTCATATCATCAATTGGCAATGACTTGACGACCATGGCTTTTGTACCATGGAGCCAGTCGGAGTTGACATATGAATGTCGTTCACGGCCTGAGGGTTTGTCGTAGGCTCGTCGGGAGTACTTGGCAGCTAGTTGGAGGAGAGGATATGTCGCAGGATAACTGTAATGATGTTAGTGCCAGTGTATTAGACAGCGGAATTTCTCACAATCTCAATGTTTGAATATGCGGCGGCAGACGTGAGTTAGCATACAAGTACACCTTGGAGAAATAATCCACGGACCCGGTGGATTTCTTTCCTGTCCGTTGTGAACGACGATCCCTTCTGTCAGACTGAGAAGGGACAGCACATGCAGCGACTATAATCTTCAGTTAAGTAAAGCTCCCAAAAGAGTAACCAAGTACCAGTGGCTTACTGAGTTCACTCTCTCGTCCACAAAACGACCCCAAATCAATAGAAGTGATAACCTGATCCAACAAACGTGAAGTAGCTTCGTTCACATTTGCACCACCACCCAAACTTTGGTGAACGAGTTGCTCAAGTTCCTGGATAGTTGCATTGGTTTTCTCGACAGTGTGCGATACAAGATGAGACATAGACTGGTTGAGGTTCGTATATGATTTCCATTTTGAAGGTCTTCGGGGTGGCTGTGGTTGCTGAGGATACCATGCTGACTGTGGACTGACAACCAAAGTCCCTGGAAAAGACTGTGGAGGTGGAGCTGGTTGAGGGGGTAGTCGGACCATGGACATCGACGTGCTCTGTCGACGTTGACAAGGGACAACAGGCTGTGAAGCATGAATTACGTTCACTGAATATGTGGACGTCGTCGCGTGTGGGTAGCCATACTGAGTCAGCGGTACAGGCGTGCTCTCTGCTCGCTGACGCGGACGTGGTGGTTTTGTGGGCGGTTCTGGAGAGGTAGATCTTCTCCTGGACCGAGATGAATATCCGAAAGCCATATATATTGATGTCCAAATTCGATGTTCGACTGTTTATATCTCCATGATTTAGCAAGTGACCCTATCCCGGAGAGACAAGGATGAGGATATATGCAAAGTTGACAAAACGAACCATGCGCCACGCGAGTTATCACGGCCCACACACTATAGGCCGAAGCCTTAGCACAGCCCCATCTCGGGCGTCAGCACAGCAAATAACATTCGTCTTGAACAAAGCTTTGCAGTTTCAGCTGAAGGTTCCATTTTCGTTGACGTCACAATACTCGGAAATTGATGTTTTGCTCTCAAACAGGACCTCGGGATGTTCTCGGCGATCACAGACCGGGATTCACATGTATCAGATTGATCGCTTCCTCACTGAATGTATAAACCATAGAGCCTGGAACATGATGAGACATGAGATCCTCTATTGGTATTGGTCAGAACAAAAGCCGAAAATGCTTGTGTTGGAGTTCATGTATAACATGCAGGCGGTGGAACCATTCGTTGTCCATTACAGCAGATTCTTAGATGCCTCAACCGCGCGAAAATCGACTTTTACACGCAAACATCACTTAGACCACTTGATCCAGGGTCAGTTACAGATCTGAGCTTGAAAAGGTCCACTTCGGAAGGCCGGGAGCCCTACACGGAAGTCCGTTAACGCCGTGCGATCACTTGAAGGTCTTTTTTTCACATCTGTGTCACGTTGGTGGGCCTATTTTTGCCTGGAAAGAGTAGGAGAGCAAGTTGATTGGAGTTTTTAAGCACTTTGGGGCGTAACCCGTGTAGAGTAAAGTGGAATTTTACATTGGGGTGGACTGCTTCATGTATACTGCTTCCATAAAGCAATGTCTGGTCAACAGGGTGGAGAGAAAGTTTTTTGTATTTGATCCTCTACCTCATAGGGTAGCATATGTAAAAAGGGTATAACAACTGGCCTAGCCATAGAAGGTAACATTCACATCCGTCACGGTGCATTCGAGTTAGTCAATATGCCTGGAAATGAGAAGGAAAGGTATGAGGTATGTATATGCAAACGGGAGAAAGGGAAGAGAAGGAGCAAAAGCGGGGAAGAAAGAAGGAAAGTAATATACGAGGCAGCAATGTGCGAATGGAGACCCGCTCTACGGCACTTCCTTGTCACCTCGTTTCAGCCCATCGGGCACACAGATCGCATCGCGCACCCATTCCATAGCGGCGATTTCATCCAGAGACTTGCGTTTCGTGTTGCGTTTCAAGAGTCCCTCGACGCAATCACGGGCGCCATCAAGTCCCTTGCCCTTCACGGGATCCCACTCTTCGTCCTCGTCAGCGTATCGGTACCACGTCCACTCACAGCGGGCGATACGATGAGGCGTGCGAGCACGAAGTTTGGCTGGGTCTCCACGAGTGCCAGGGAGGACGTCGAAGGGTAGACGGTTCTCCATGATGGCATAGAGCAGGACACCAAGTGCCCAGGCGTCTGTCGCGCGGCCATCGTAGGCCTGGCCCATAAGAATCTCAGGAGCGGCGTAGTCTTCGCTGCCACACCGAGTCTGGAGAAGTGGACTTTCTGGAGGCTCGGGGATACGTCGCGACAGACCAAGGTCACTGAGGGTGACCACGGCACGGTCGTAAGTGCGCCAGTCTTGCACGTTATCCATAACATGGGCAGGCATGGTAAGGAGGACGTCTAAATCAGTGGTCAGTACAGAGACACACAAGTCTTAGCAGTTGTCTCACTTTCTAACTTTATATCCCGATGGACTATGTAGTTAGCATGCAGGTAGCGCACAGCATCCACCAACTCGGAGAAGATGCGTCGAATTAAACCCGGAGACATAGGGGGAGCGCCGGATGTCGCAAACTCGAACAGATCCCCGCCGGGACAATAGTCCAGAACGAGCAAGGCCCGCTTCTCGTCGCTTCCGAATGCCTTGAGCTGGACGAGGGATGGATGATTGACGGACTTGAGGATATCGACTTCTCGTTTGAGTGACACCTCCAGTCTTCCTTCATCCGCACCGCCAGCGGGCCCATGCTCGATGATCTTGACTGCGACCAACTTCTGAGTGTTGAGCGAGCCTTGGATCTCAGTTCCTCCGTCGCTGTGCGGGGAGAGAGGGGCTTCAGCAAGAGGCTCCAGGCGCGCTGCCAGGCTAACCTGACTAAACGTACCCTGACCCAGAGCCCGGATCTTCTGATACATACGAGCTTGTTGTGTGCGGACCGACCGAACCGAATACACCTCCTGGGGAGAGGAGAGAGGCTTGGGATGGTGGATGACGGGTTCATTATCAAGGTCACCATACCCGCTGCCACTACTACGAGGTGGACTAGGCGGACGAATGGTGGGCAAAGTGATTCCCCGGTGGACGGCCAGATATTGTTCGCGATGAAGCCCATTGGACTTGGCATCGGTACTCGATGAGGATACAATTCCCAGACCGGCGGTGCCCGACACTGCGATCGGACGCTGTGGGACGGATACCCGACCAGGGGGTGCGTAGTCGCTCAGACTGCGATTGCGCGCATGCTTATGGGGTGACTCGCGACGCAAACGGGTGGCGACAGGTGATTCCTCCCCGTGGTTATCGATGCCGGTGTATGTCTTGCCGCGTGATCGGGACACGACGGGTGGTCCCAGCATTTGCGATGAATCACTCAGTCGCAAGCTTGAGCCACTCCGCGACGCCACGGACGGGCTGCGGGACAGTGAGGGCAAGCCCGGACCCCGCCATGGCGAGGCACCTCCGATCGGGGATGGTAACGGTGTGATGTCGCCCATTGCCGTCAACTGCGGCGAGGATATAATCGACGCCGGAGACAAAGATCCAGCGCTGGACAGAGGAGGAGCGATGAGTGCGCGAAGACTTGGGGTTCGTCGTGGTATACTGCTAGACAAGAGGGACAGAGAATCCGAGTCTCGCGAGCTGGTCGGTCGTGTATTGGTGAAGTCGGTACGAATCTGCAGTGATGGCAAGGGATTAAAAGAGGAAGGAGCGAGGTCATCTCCAAAGAGATGCGCGTCCTCCTTCTCGTTTGCATCATGAAAGGCCATGCCGGACTCGGTAAAGAATGGTGGGATGACTCGACCGCAAACGGGAAAGCGGCAGGCCGCTGATAAAGCGGTTTTTACAGACCGGGGTTTGGGGGTTTGAAGGTGAGGCGCAAAGGCGCAAAAGGCGCAGAATGCACAAAGATAAGGCAAAGGTATCGACTCAGCCTCCGGACCTAAAACGCTTAGCGTGGAGACCCGTTAAGGGTCTATCTATACGGACGAGTCAGATCGCATATAGGAGGCTGGGAGGGAATAAAAGAGGTGACCAACCAGAAGAGGGATGCCTTGCAGGGCTTGAGATGCAAAAGAAGCGCCAGAAGATGGCAACAGGCGGGAGACTGAGGGAGATGATGCAGAAAAACCAGTATAGACCGGTCAGCTGACAACCGGATGCGGTTAGAGTTCCCCGCAGTGTTTACTCTTCTATACTTCTCAGTTCATTCGCTGATAGACATAGGATGGAAATAGTATAATTAGCTGTATATTTAGTGAGTTATGCAGAATATATAGTAGATATACTCCACTGTATTGTGGTCTATTGTGGTGAAGAGGTTGTGTGTGTGTGTGAAATCTCGATTGTTCCTTCCTGGTCTGGACTGTTGCTCCGTCTACCCTTTCCTCTTTCTCCTCCCTCTATTCTTCTTCTCCTCTACACATATCTCCTCACATATCCAGCCCTTGCTTCAGACTCGCAATACTGGAATGATCCGGAAAAGGTTTGCCTGCCACTCATATGCCGCCGCATGGACCCCTGCAGGCAGTTAATTTTAGCTCATCTCGCTGGAGCTTCCCCAGTGGGCTTGGCCGAACTTAAATGCATGGGCTTGCTCCTCATTCTCAAATAAAAAATTACTCGAAATTATTCAATACGAAGTCCTCGCTAATAAACACAGCTAACAATGTAAGAAGGCAACTGTTCATTCCTGAACTCCGAAAGCGCATCCCGGTCTTTCCCGTTCAAAACCGATTCTCCGGCGAGATCAGCCGCCCCGCCACCTCGCCGTAGGCGCCCTCAACCTCGCTGATCGCTGTACCTTGAACCCAGTACCCCTTGCCATTGGGTGCCTCGGCCGCCGCTGCTGCAAGAATGGCCCATGCGACGTCTTCGGGTGAACTCTTCAGGTTATCCGGGTTGGTGGTTGCCTCCAGGCCCTCCACCATTGACGTCAAGGTCAGCCAAGGTGCCACCCAGGAAATGGAGATGCCCGACCGGGGCACCTCATCCATCAATGCAGTACTGCGAACTAATCCCAGCACTGCATGTTTGCTTGCTGAATAAAGGGGCTGGGAGGGGATTGGCAGATAGGCACCTGCAGACACGACCACGACGATCCGACCCCCGTGTGGCTTCATATAATGAATGCCCAACTTGAGACCAAACACAACGGAGTTTAGGTTGATGTCGAAAATGGTCGTCGGGGGGCGCTGCAAGGTATCGGTCTTCGGCTCCTTTTCATCCGCAAGGTAATTGTGGCGGACCTGTGAATTCAGTCGCGCATGATTCGCCGAGTCAGATACCTGCAGCAACGCGATCTCGGGATTGACCGCTGCATTGCAGACTAGCAGGCTGATCGGCCCGATCGTGGTTGACACGCGGTGAAACAGGTTCGCCTGTTGATCCCAGTCACTCAGATCGCAAATCTCATATGTGGATTGTGCGCCGATTTGGGCACAAGCCGCCTTCAGATCTTCTTCTCGCACGTCTACCAAAACAACTCGTGCTCCATTTTTTTGCCAGGAGGGACGCGGTGGCAAAGCCGATGCCTCGGGCGGCTCCAGTGACGATGGCCACTTGGTTGTTCGCGATACCCTGAACGATATCAATGCTTGGTCGTGGAATGGAAGTCATTTTGAGAAGAAAGGTGTTAATTTGACAGCCGGGACTAACACTCCAGAACTGGCACACCGTCCTTATATAGACTATGGCCCGCTCGGGTATTTGGTACACGCCCACTTTTCATATTCAATACACAAGACGGCTAATACACTATTATACGCAATACTCGTGGGTTTATTCGTTTACTCAAATTCATTTCCTGCTATACTATATTCATTCTTCTCTATATGTCCCACCACTGGGGCCTCTCTTATTTATCTCTATTTCCAAGCTGGTCACGTCAAAAGCTGATTATAGCCTTGTGGCGATTAGCAATGGCCTGTTTCGTGATGACAGCCCCCGAAGCCAAAGCTTCAAATCCATGCGGCAGACCCGGGTAGATGTGGCATTCGGTAGGAATATTAGCTGCCACGAACCGGCGTGCATACTCCATGCCCTCATGCACAAACATGTCCAGTTGTGGACAGTCCAGGTAGAGCGGAGGTAGACCTTCGACCGATTCGACTCGAGCCGGAGCAGCATAAGGGGCAATTTGATCACCGCCGACATTTGATCCCAGATACGCAGTCCATCCTGTAATATTGTCGTTGTCGTCCCAGAATGCCAACTCCCCCGCATGGTTGATCACAGTTCGATCATCCAACATGGGATAGATGAGGATTTGCTTTGCAAGAGGGGGCGACATCGCTCTATCCCGAGCCAGCAGAGTCAACGCAGCCGCCAGACCTCCGCCAGCGCTTTCTCCCATAACTGCAATGCGTGCTGGATCAACCGACAGCTGTTCCGCATTACTGCGCACCCACTCAAGAACAGCCCAGCAGTCATTCAAAGGCGTTGGGTACGGGTTCTCAGGCGACAGTCGATAATCGACACTGAATATCTGAACCCCAGTATGAGAAACTGTGAGTGCATGATACCTGGCGGTTATGGCTGCACTGAGTGAGATGTAACCTCCACCGTGGAGGTGAATAATAGCTGGCTCTCTTCCCCCTTGAGATGTGGTCTTGCGAAGGTGGTAGACAGGTACCTTGTGTCCATCCGGGGCAGCCACCTGGTAGATATGATGTTTCACATCTTCTGGCAGGGGCAATTCCTCGCCCGTCATTGCCTCCAGCATGGCGCGCCTCGTTGTAACATCATGCAAAGATGGTTTTGGAGTCTGCGCCAACTGTTCGAGGATTGGAGCAGCTTCTTTCAGAAACTCTGGGTCGTACTGTAAATGCATGATAAATGATAAAACCCGGACGTTGTTGTGTCGTTCACTGCAGTTGTTTATATATGACCAAAACACCGTATTTCAATTGCAATACTCAACACCTGCCGATATTGTCGCATAATTTGGCTCCACTCCAGTGCGGGGGGCATTCTTTTCGGGAAGTTGACAACGAGCTTGACTGCCGTGTCTTGGCGGGGACTTTATAGATATACAGGTTCACTTTGAAACTCGCCTTCATACTTCGACTATGGCGTCTCTTCCAGATTTCGATGATTTGCCTCCTGTCGAGGGCATGCCCCAAGGCTGTGCCTGGGGTGTGTTTGATAAAAATGGCAAGAAGGACCTTTTGGGAACCCTGAACCTGCTTACCCCCGAGGTGGTTAAGGCTGCTGCAGCCGAGGTCCGCCAAGGAGTGTCTCTTTCTCTCAAGTCAGTCACTCTTCAATGGGAAGAAGCATCGCTCACGCCGGATAGTTGGCCTATTGGAAGCATCAAAATCCCCCGTTTCTTTCGCAAGAGTCTCTGCCACAATATTATCAAACTTGAAGATCCAGCATCAGGCTGTCACTTTGGATTCGACGATGAGGTATATTGCCAACTTTCCCGGAGTTTTATCATAACTGATCATACCAGGTGGGATTCAATACCCAAGCCAGCAGCCAGTGGGATAGTTTCTGTGCGTCCAAGCAATTCACTCGAGGAAATACATACTAACCAGCCAAGGTCACTTCATGCACCTCCCAACAAATCTATTCTACAATGCAGCCAGACCAACAATCGAAACCCTTCAAAATCCCAATTCAGCCCAGCAACTCCCAACCCTAGACCGTAAGGCAACCCAAACCGCAGTCCCCCAATCACCAACGCCTCAAACTAACACAAACCCAGACTGGCACAAACGTGGCTGTGTAACAGGCCGCGGCATCCTAATCGACTTCGAACGTTACGCACGCGCGAAACAAATTCCCTACGACAAGTTCTCCAACTTCCACATCGGGCCAGTAGACATCGAAGCAGTAGCGGCGCATCAAAACGTAACCTTCAAGCCAGGCGACATTTTACTAATCCGATTTGGCGTCACAGAAGCCCTCAGTCTCATGACAGGCGAGCAACAAGCCGCTGCATTATCCCGCCACAGAATGTGCGGGCTAGAAGGAAGTAAAGAGATGGCGCGGTGGTTATGGGATAACCATTTCGCAGCTGTGGCATCGGATAATATGGCCGTGGAGGCTATGCCCTCGGTCATTGATGGTGTTGAACAAGCGAGTCATGAACTGGTTTTGCATCAGTGGTGCTTGAGTTTGTTGGGCATTCCGCTTGGTGAACTGTGGGAACTGAAGGCGCTTGGTGAAGCTTGTGCTGTTAGTGGACAGTATTCCTTTTTTTTGACTTCCGCGCCGTTGAATGTCCCTGGTGCTGTTGGCAGTCCGCCGAATGCATTGGCTATTTTGTGATTTAGCTGTGATATACGGGAGGGTGTTGGTAGTTGTTATTTTTCTGAAATTTCACATTATTCTATTGTCGATTGAATTGGCCGACATGAATGACTGGTATCGAAATCGGTATGCTGATTCGTTCTAATCAAGCTTCAAAACTTTGGACATGCTGGATTGGAATTCGATGTTTTAAATCGACTCAACTTCAGGTACTAACATACAATCAATCACTGTATCATTATCTATACGACCCTTCTTACCAACACAGCACTAGCTTATTTCGTGCTAAATCCGTTCCAGTTTTCCAAAGCTTCCATGCAGCTCTGCCACCAGCGTTGCATGCCACCAAGATAGATGAGTGGCTCCCGACGTTTACCCGGAATGTTGGAGCCCATATACCAAGAATCAGTTCTTGGATACAAGGTATGTTCACTCACGGCGGCAACATGATCGCGCCACTGCTCAGCTACCTGCTGTGTCGGCTCAATGGACCGAAGGCCTTCCTTGTTCATTTTCGCAATGGCCTTGCAAATCCAATCAACTTCCATCTCGATGAAAGGCGGTCCATTGGCAAGAGAGGTCGGGGCTTGGGGTCCATAGACCATGAAGAAGTTTGGAGCATCGGGAACCATCAGGCCAAGATTTGTGAGAACGCCGTGGCGCCATTTCTCTTCCAACGGCTGACCGTTCTTGTCAGTGATTCCCAAATCCAGGAGACTACCAGTTACGGCATCATACCCAGTTGCGCAGATCACAATGTCCAATTCGTGGTGTTTTGTGATGCTGCCATCGCTAGTCACCAAGCCAATCGAGTCAAACTCCACGATAGGGGATTGTTTCAAATTGTGAAGTATGACATTGGGACGATCAATCATCTCGTAGTAGTCTTGCTCAAGACTAGGCCGCTTCGTTCCAATCAACATGTGTTGCTTCAGCGGAGCAACCAGGTCCATCTTTTCCGGGTTCGTCATGCGAGCACGAGTTTGCTGGACCCAGTAGTCATAGAAGATAGCATTGGCCTTTTCGTCGAGCAGGAAATCGTAGTAATTGGAGACCAGGAAGCTGTATCCACCGCGCGCCCACAGCTCGTCAAACAACTCCTTTCTCTCATCGGGGGTAGCTTGATGAGCTGATTGAAAGCGAGTGTTGTGGGGGAACCCAGAATCAGACTTGTAACAGCGATCAAAGATACCATCATAATAGCCTTTCATCATCTCAGCCTCTTCGGGGGAGACCTCCCGCTGTTTCATAGGAATGGCAAAGCATGGAGTGCGAATAAACACGTTGAGTTGACAGTCCTTCTTAGCCAGATCCTGGACAATCTGAAGACCAGAGGCGCCATTGCCAACAATACCAACCCGCTTGCCGGTCACATCCAAGTCCTCAGGGTAGTCCGCAGCATGGACAAGCTTTCCAGCATACATATTCAACCCCTGGAACTTAGGATAATGCTTCTTATACGACGACCCAGTAGCAGCAATGAGAAATTTGCAAGTCGCCTGCAGACCAGTATTGGTAATGACTGTCCACCGACAAGACCCAGCATCATACCGCACACCGGTAACAATAGTATTAAAGAAAGCATCTTTGCTCAATCCCAAGGCATGATCAACATGCTGGAAGTAGCTGCGCAGCTCCACATCTCCTGGGAAACGCTGCGACCAATTCCATCCTTTCCAGACAGCAGGGATGTTGAACTGGTATGCGGGCATCTCAGTATCGACGCGAGCACCGGGATACCGATTCCAATGCCAGACGCCTCCAAAGGCAGAACCAGCTTCGATGAGCTTCACGGATAGACCTTGCTCGCGGAGCTTGTAGAGAGAATTGCAGCCTCCAAAGCCACCGCCAATGACGATGGCGTCGGTTTCAATTTGGGTTGTTTGCGTCATGCTGGTCTTCGAATTGATAATCAGAAATAATAAAGTGCGCGGAAAGCCTTGGGTTCAGGTTGGATACTGCTCTCCTTTAGAAGGCCTGCGACAGGTGACCGAAGATCAAAGGGACGGGTCTCCATTGTGCCGGTCCCATTTGTTGAAAGTTGATAACCGGCTGTTCGAGCTCCGAAATTGTTGACTCTGGCGGATCGTTGTCGGATGCAAAAAAGAAACACGGTCCTCGGGTGCGAAGTATAGAAAGAGAATGAGGAAGTTGACCGCGAAGGCACCCCCACTTTTGCCCCACACGTAACAGCTTCATCTTTCACATCTCGTCTTGAATATGCAATACCGCGGGAATAGTAGCATCCGTGCGGTTCTGATCACTGATAAAACGTTGAGTGTTTTCCGATAAAGATGCCCTTATATCCCTAACACGGTATGCATTCATTCTAGTTTGGGCATAATCTCAAAATGACTTGCCACGTGAAGGGAACTGCATTTATCACAGGCGGTGCTTCTGGTATGTTGAGATTAATGAGTAATACGCACTCACTAACAGTTCAACAGGTATTGGCAAAGCCACTGCCCTGGCCTTCGCAAAGAATGGTATCAACGCATTGGCACTGGTCGACGTAAACCTGTCTCTTCTCGAGAGCACTCTTCAAGAAATTCAGTGTCAATATCCAGGAGTACAGGCTGTAACCTTCCAGGTTAATGTCGCAGATGAGGCGTCTGTCAATGCTGCCGTTCAAAAGACAGTGGAAAAGTTTGGCAGCATTGACATTGGCGTCAACTGCGCGGGAATCAGCGGTAACCCAACACCCACTCACGAGATGTCATTGGCAGAGTGGAACAAGGTTATTGCAATCAATCAGACTGGGTTGTGGCTCTGCCAGAGAGCTCTTATTCGGCAGATGTTGACCCAGGAGTAAGTTCTGTCTGAGCCATGCTGTTCCTCCTCTAATTTGGGGTTTGTATAGTTCGCGTGGAATCCGCGAGGGCCGTGGGGTCATTGTCAATGTCTCTTCTATGTTTGGTGTTGGTGGGCCCCCAGGACCATTTGGTATTCCGCACTATACTGCTGCGAAGCACGGTAGGTCCAGTGGTTGATGCTTATGCGACGCGGCTAACTCTTGAATGCAGCGGTCGTTGGAGTGACTAAGATGGTAAATTGTCTTTATCGATAGCATAAAGCGACGCTTATATGATGATAGGATGCTAAAGCATATTCACCTCAAGGCATTCGGATCAATGCCATCTGTCCTGGGTAAGAATTTTGGTACATACCTGCCCCCGGAGAGAATACTAACGATAAACAACCTTAGATTTGTGAACACGCCAATCATCAAGGAACAGATTGAATCTGGGTCGATGGACTCCCAGTTCCAAATGACTCCCATCGGTCGCCCTGCACAGGTTGAGGAAATTTCTGATGTAATGCTGTTCCTTGCCTCGAACATGAGCAGCTATATGTGTGGAGCGGCATTAGTAGTCGACGGAGGATTCACAGTTTGAAGTAGGATATTATTATTATTTGATAAATATTACATGCTAGACAAGCATAATATCATAGTCAGCCTCCTTTGCAAGCTCTTGCCAGTGGATATCAACGTGCGGACCAGCCGTTGCACGTCGATTCCACAGCGCTTGAATAATCTCACATAGTGAATTGATATTCTGAATACCGTGTCGACTTTTACGGTCAAAAAAGGCCAGCATGCGATCCTGTAGATCAGGTCGCTCGCAGTCAGCTGCGACCACAAAACTGCCCCAGTTGTAGGAACAGCCGCCGTTGCCGCGCGTGAGTGCATCTACGGCTTCAAGATCTTGGACTGCTTTCTCGATCAAATCTTGAACGTCGCAGAGTGGTGCGCGTCGCAATGTGCGGCGGAAGTAAACAATGGTAGCGTAATAAAATGAGTTCAACGCATGCTGGATGATCCTTGATTCGGGAGCGTTTGGGTTAGATAAAGATGGGAAATCAAGGTACAGTTGCATCTCAAGTCGATCTAGCTCTTCAGGAGAGATTTCAATCTTGGATTCAACAAGGGACGTGATTTGTGCCAGCAATTGAACCAGTTGCGTGGTAACTCCATGCGATCGCTCGAGATTGTGTCTAAATTCCGAAGGACCATCGAGCAGAGACATCAGCCTCTCAGACACAGGAAGGCTGCATAAGGACGAAAGGGATAGATAGCTTTGAAGCAATCGCGAAGCAACTGGACTCCGTATCCAATCTCGATGTAATTCATTTTCCAATAGACCAAGACATCCAGCAACATGTGTCCTCCATCTGCTCCGTCTTCCAGACATCGCTTCAGATGTGATACAGGTGAGGACAGCAGCTAATGTAGTCTCATCTATGTGCTGTGCCTGTTGCAGATTTCCACGCAGGTGACGCAGAGCCAGCTGGTCATGATGCATAGCGAGGGAGTGATATCGCTGGTCGTGGCGAATATGATAGAGACTAAATGCAGAGGAGGCGCAAATGGCATGAAAGATGGAAAGGTGGATATTGGAGTCCGCCGGAGAGACATCCAGACCTTTCAGGGCCATGGGCATGAACACTGCTCGGCAAGGATTGTCCGGGTTATCGATGAGCAACATGTTGCCGCTAAGAAATACAACCCAGTGGTGAAGTAATTCTGTCTCTGGTCTTGGTAGGGCCAACGGATTCAAAGATTTCTGCATGGGGGCGACAGCATTCACACTGGTATTTGACGCTGCCTTATTCCAACTATTTGAAATCAGCACGAGACCGCTAGAGTTGTGCTGATTAACCAGGAAGTCGACCGAAATGATAGAGTCATTTCCGCCTTGAGACATCGGCTCTGTTGAAACGTTTGGTAGTTCTCTCTCGAATGTAACGGATATCGTTGTGTCTGAAGAATTACATGTTGGGCCTGGAGAAGGCAAGTCACTGTCTCCATCGCTTGAGGAAGCAATCGCATTCAAGGCTGGAATTGGCTGGTCAGTTTCTCTCCGTATTGGTGAATGCGATGAGGCATCGCATACTTCCGAGACGGAGAACACCGAGAAAGGCCCTCGCTGCTGGCCACGGCCGTTGCCCGAGCAGCCATCCAAATCATTTAAAAGGTCTGTCACAGCAGCAGGCGACATGCCACTACTACCACCATGGGTCAAAGGCCATAATTGCCGCCGATGGGAGCGGCCCCCAGGAGTTGGGGACCATCCTAGCCGCAGGCCGTAGCCTCCGCACTGGAGCCCGCTACGCTGACAGCGCCGGCAATGTGGGTGTTCGTCGTCGCACTTCACTCGACGATCCCGACAAGTCCAACAGCCAGTGAACGTCTTGGTGCGTGGCTTGGGAGTTCTCGCATTAGGAGGCATTGCCAAAGGAGATGTGAAGGCTCTGGCGCGGCCGGCCAGGATTCTTTCCCCACAGTCACAGTCGGCAACTGCCGGTCTAAACGCCACATGCGAATTGTGAACATATTTCTGAGTTGTTCCAAGGGAGGCATTTTTGTTATGTGTGTGTAGAAATTTGCATATAACAAGTCTTTTCCTTCATGTTGGATTAGTTGCATTCCTAATAATAAGGTTCAACTACGGTCTCGAGTCTGCATAATTGAACGCTTATCTTTTGAACGACAAACTAGAGCGCTTGATAACGAGCAAGAAAGAAGTGAAGAAAGAGAGGCTAAATCCAAGCTCAAACAGTACATGATACAGTACTTGCTTTCGGGGTTTCGTGTACGAAACAATCAATGCTTTATCAGTGGCACTGTATACGAACTTATAGCCTCTGCCGTCAAGCAATATAGCCATTCTATAACTTCAAGATTATGAATCCACTTCTAATAGTCGTTTCAATCGGCTTCATGAAAATCTAAGTGCTCAAGTAGGGGAATTCGTGGATCTGAGCTGGGAATTCCTGCTATATATTGTTCCGGGTACCCACTTCTCTACTCCCATTTATATTTAGAAAAGTGAACAAGTTCCAAGCTTGTAAACCAACTATGTGTTTTGTATTACAATAACACTGATCAATGAGTAGGATTTATCAATATGAACGCGAATCATTCGATATTTCATTTGGGGACGGCATGCTGACCCTGGCAGCCCTGATGATCCACCACGAGCCAGCCATTTGGCTCGATTCCAGACGTGGTCTAAATTTGAGATCCCTGTCAGTTGAGCCGGGTAAACTTAGACCAGAATAGCCCAATATGAAAATACTCGAATATCAATCACATCCTATTCTTAGCAAAATCTGAGTATGGGCCGATTTTGATGTGCCCTAGGAAGCAGCGTTTTCTCGGTATGAACCATTCGTAAACGTGATTGTTCCTAGCTGGAGCAACCACTAGGCCAAAAGTCAATAGCAATGGCAAAGACATAAAGCCAACAGGATGTAGATCAAGATTCAAGAAAAACCGAAGATAGCCTTGTGATAGCTGAGCAGATGCCTTCTTACATCAAGAAAGATGGTATATCTTTATCCACCTTTGGACACCCTGGTCGTAAGCCACCAATCCAGTGTCGCTTCCTTGAGCATCCTTCGGGCAATAGTGGATGATCCCTCGCTCCCCTAGTAGAACACGCGTCACTCAGCCCTCGATTGCAATAAAAGCGGATTCGCTAAGCCCTGATATGTAGAAGACCGGAATAGTAATCTGGGCAATCGACCACAAGATGGAGAGTTAGTAGTCTCGGTTAGCAGCATTGAGGTCCCAGTGTGAGACAATTCGTCATGCAGTATACTTCAATAGTCAAGGCTGTGCAGAGATGCAGTCTGTGGATGATAGGGTTTGATGTTTGATTCGTTCAAGCGACTGAGCCCCATTCGAGCTGGTGTATGGCAGTCTGAAGTGGGAACTGGCAATTTCCAGATTGAACAGATATAAAGTCACGGATACCCAATTGATAACCATACTAGCCAAGCCACCTCGTTCAGCTTGCTAGAAGTCTCAGTCCTTCAGTTCACTCGTTCAATCTTCACTATGTCTGTGACAACAACTTCCACCACCTCCTCCGCATCGGCCACCTCCAGCTGCCATGCCAAGCTATACGACATCCCAACCCACGACGCAGCGTGCGCAATGCCAATGCAGAGCAACAACTCTGCCATTATGAGCAGCTGCTGTTCCGACGCGTCTGTCATTGAATATGACGGCTGCGACTACTACTGCCTGGCCCAGGGACAGAGTATTGGCACCCTTGCCGAGTGCCTGATCAAGGCCTCTGAGGCTGGCGAGGTGTGGTGCAACACCAACGCCAATGCCACCGCTACTGCGACAGCCACGGCTACCGGAACTGGCGTCGTAACTCTGAGTGCCTCGACCACTGGCGCGGATTCTACCAGCTCGAGCACCTCGACTGGTTCCACTGCCAGTTCGACTGCCAACGCGGCTGCTGGTGTCTTTTCTCCTCAGCCACTGTCGAAGTCTGCCATTGGCATGGTTGGCATTCTTCTGGCCGGGTCTGTGGCAGGTCTTTTCCTTTAAGATATGGTGTGAAATGACACTCCGCGAAGATGCCACAAGGGAATAGAAGGAAGGTGGAGCAATACTGTTAGAAAAACTCGGCAAAGGGTTGCTTGGTTTGGAGTACCTAAATGTCAATGCTTGTTCATCAAAGCTACTTTCAACATTCGTGCTGGACCCGATTCCATAGCGCAACAAATATAATTCAACCTTTTGGACCGAAATGCATATTAGGAAGTGAGAAATTGTCTATTGGAAGTCACAAGCAGCATTAACACGTTACTGACAAAGACACATAAGCGCCATAGCCAATTTATCGTAGGTATGCAAGAGACTTTTCTATGTACACAGAAAAAATACAAAGTACAAACCCAGTTGCACACCCCATTCCCAACCCACGCATAAATGCGAAATATGGATGCTTTGAGCGCCGGAGTGAAGAGATCGGGAAAGAAAAAAATGGTTGTAATACATCGCAGTGGAAAGACAGAGTTTGGTAGCTAATCGTCAACCGCCAATGTCGTTGATGGATGGCGGAGAGGGTATGGAGATTCGGTTAACCGAGGATCGGAGCATCGAGGAGTCAAGAGGACAAAACTAGTCATGCCAGCAATCTAGAAAAAGGCCCGTCGCGTAACCTAGAGAAACATTAATAAACGCCGCATAAAACGGTACGGTGATACATACAGTCCAGGCACCGGCAATGGAAGCCACGATACCCCCAGAGATCATCATGGGCTTAACACCGCGTGTGCTCTTGAAGACCATTCCGCTCAGCGCACCAGCAATGATGCTGTTGGAAGCATCGTGCTTGCCGCGTGCGTATCCAAGAGCCGAGTTGAAACCATTGTAAACCATAGCCACAACACCGGCAGAGTTCCCCAGGAACGGACCGCGGCGGGTGACGGAGTTAAGGACACCGTTCAGACGAATCTTCGGCGGTGCCGTAGAGGGTGTCTTATTCAATCCTTCTGCCAAACCCCATGCGCCTCCAGCAGTGAGTGCAACGAGATAAGTAGTGCCGGCACCATAACAAAGGTCGTCTGACCATCCACGCGATGGCAACACTGATCGAGAGCCGGGGAGTTCATCGAGGGCGGAGTCTTCGAGGGAGAGATAGTCGAGGGTATCCTGGTTCAAACCAGCGAGAGGGTGAAGGCGAGAAGGATCGGGGATTGCGACCTCGGAGAGGAAAGAGGTGGCGTCTTGCGAAGCATCGTAGGCTTCAGGCTGCTTCTGCTTGCGACCGCCGAGGGAGTCCCAGATGGACATTGTGAGGGGGAGAATAGATGAATTAGGGGATAAAGGTACACAAGAGAAGGGAAGGGATGACTGGTGAGAAGTGATGACCCTGTGTTCGCAGCTCCACTGGCCTTCGGAGCCAGCAAAAACTTCGGTCCCGTGACTAGGGTCACGTGGATGGCCATTTGCCGGATAACGCTAGTCCCGATATGGAAACCCACTGATCAGAGCCTCAGGCAGCGCGGGGAGCATCGAAGAAAATTAATATCTCTTGACCGTTGACCCTTCATCAAAGATCAGGGAATGTGGCATCGAGCTGGTCATGGCAGCTGAGATATCCCGCCCGCAAGATGTGTCAATTGACATGGACGCCATTGCGCAAAATGTACAATTCTTGTCGGAGAAAACGCTCCGAGAGATCGCCAAAGGTCCATTGGTGAAATTCACACTGACATGCCAAGAGACTGAGTAGGTGACATTTAAAATGGCAAGCACAATTAGATCTGACAGTTTGATTTCATAGGAAGGTGAATTGGGTGTGGCAGTCCTTGCTTCAGACTTTGTCCACTCCATCTCTGTCACCACCTCATTCAGCAGAGGCTTACAATGCGGGCTCTGCATTCATTGATGCTGCCATAAACTCCAAATGTGATGCAACAAAGCGATTGGCCCTCTCAACAGAGCTCTGGTTGTTAATCTTCGACATTTGCTTGAACCGCTATGAAGATGCCAAACCAAAGCATATCAAGCACCTGTTGGGGTCAATCACGACCATTTTAGCCAAACGCCATCAGGGAGAGAGCAGAAAAGTCATCCAATCCGCAATCATTGATGCGATTGTTCCAAGCATCGTGCTTGGTGAACCCCAATCGAGACTTAAGGGATGCTTGGTCTTTCTAGAGACATTCATCCGCAGGGGTGCTTTCTTGCCCTCCGAATTCATTTCCTCGGTTCGAGCTTGGTTAGAAAAGAGCCCAGAAAAGTGGACTCCTGTTTTTGCCAATGATTATGAAGCTCTTCAAGATGAATCTGGCTCATCAGATATGTCCGACGAATTAGCAGCCAGGATTTTCGTGCTAGGACTGTTGACTCAAACGAATAACAGAACCATGGCGGCGTCAGCAGGCAACCTACTTTCTGTCTTGATACAGAAGATGAAACCGGAAACCTCGGCACAAAAGCTGTCCGAAATCTGGGTTGCCCCCGTGAGAAGAATGGTCTTGCAAAGCGAGGAAAGCCTAGAAGATCTGTCAAATAGGCTATTACAGCCTTTGTTTACCATCGATCCCAGCGGCTTTAGGACTTTCCTTGAGACCCTACCTGTTCAGAGTCTCCTCAAAGGTGACATGAGCGATGAATCTGAAGCAGAGTATATGCTTTTGTTTGCTGCTTTACAAGTTGGCAAGAAGGTCAATTTGGTCCACGAGGACTGTGAGTGAATTCGCAAAATCTTCAATAAAATAGAAAAATTGCTAACTTTGACAGATATTCTCAACTCCAGCAAAACAAAACCCAACCAGAGCGAGCTTTTGCTTTTGAAGAGCGAAGTCATTGGTAACTTCCTTCTTCACCGCGAAGCGAACATCCGCATCGCCGCTCTCTCACTCCTCATTACGGCTTTCTCCACACTAAAGCCGTTTACTGTGGGAGCAACCAGAGCCATCCTACGAGGGCTACCATCTATGCATGCCGAATCAGATGCCTACACCCGAGGTGAGATTCTCAGCCTGACACGGAGATTTATTCTGCGCTTGAAGGGAGGCATTGTGAAGGATGAAGATGTCGTTTCCAATGGCGAGAGCACAGCAAACAAAACAGCCACTGGCCAGGCCAAGAACGAGAGTGGAACCAAGGAATTCTTGAGGGAATACATTCAGTTCTTGGGAAGTGATCTGCGTTTGAATGCATCATACCCCCGCCATATCACAGCCTTGAAGGCATTGAAGCTTTTACTAGACTCCGGTCTTGATCCACGCACGGAGGCCAAGCCGCAGAAGTCCGAGATTGAAAATGTATGGAAGATACAGGTTGAGGTGTTTGATACTCACTTACTCCGGCTATTGATTGATCTTCTTATGGATCCGTTTGAAGAAGTACGCCAGACTTCTCTTTCGATCCTTAATCTGTGTCCTCGAGAGATTCTATTGAACGGAATGGACACCAACGCTCAAAATTCCTCTGTGGGAATGCGATTGACAGATGCTGTTGCCCGAGCAGAAAGCCTTGCAAGCAATACCAGCAGAGCTGATCACGCGGATACCGTTGCGCGGTTATACCACATAATCTTTGCTGCCGCACTTCCAGGGAACTCTGGTCAGGCGGCTACGAATTGGTGGACCACCAAGGCTTCTGTGGTTGATACTCTTTTGACCAAGCTCGAGGAGCGCTTATCAAGTTCAAATGGCCTCTTCAATTCTGGCCTTCGCGAAGCACCCCTTCACGGCTATACATCTGGGTTGAGACTCATTGTGCTTATGCCCAATTTCCACACTCTGATTTCAGATGAGTCGGGATCTGCGGCGTGGCGGTCAGTTCATGAACGAATTGTTTCAATTTGTGATAGAATTTGGCTGGAGGCAAAGCCTGTATTGTGCATTGATTCCCCAGAAGGCCACTCGGATGAGCCGACTGAAGAGCTGAACGTGGGCCCCAAGGATGTTCTTTCTTATTCCTGGAGATCACTTCGTGAATGTACTCTTCTCTTCCATGCCACATTGATAAATACTAGTTACGGACCTAGCGGAGATGATGGGCTCCAACGTGCGGACTTCGCCAAGATTGGAGGCGCAAGTTTTACACAGCTGGCTGAGCTCCGCCACAGAGGTGCATTTTCAAACGTCTCTCAGACCTTTGCGACATGTTGTCAGAGATGTAGCTCTGCGAAGGATCCGTCCATTCGGGAGCTTCCCCGGGGTTGGTACCAGGAAGCTAAATCGACCATCTTCGACTCGGCGTCGAAACTTACTCGCCGATCCGCTGGCTTGCCCGCCTTGGTAACGGGAATTGTTGCTTCAGATCCTGGTACGCCATTCTTCAAGGAAGCCATAGAAGAACTCCATAAGATTTCGTACCTCCCTGTGGAGTACGATAAGGAGAGACAGTACTTGGAACTCCCTCAAGTTCATGCAATGAACTGCCTGAAAGACATCTTCACAAACGCCAAGCTTGGTCCTTACACCGAGCCATTCATCATGAAGGCACTGACGCTGTCTGCTGAACGACTGGGATCGCCTATTTGGGCACTTCGGAATTCTGGACTCATGCTCTTCCGTGCCCTACTTACGAAAATGTGTCGCGCTATCCCGGGTGCTGGACCGGGCTTCGGAGGAAGCTCTGGATCTGAGCCTGGATCTAGGATCGCATTCCCTAAGTACCCAGGCTTATTGGAACTGCTCTCTGGTCTCCTCACAACTACTCAAGGAGAAGCAGCGGAGGGTACTGAAATTATCACCGAACGGGTGTTCCCTGCACTTGAATTGGTTGGCGACAAAGTTCCCAGTCTCACTGATGGAACTGATGAGATGCTGCGTGGTCTGGTTCTTGCTCACTTGAGCAGCCCTGTTTGGGGAGTCAGAGAGCACGCAGCTCGTGTGTATGCTTCACTACTTTCGCGAGAAAATATTCCTGAGGCTTTGCACGCACTTATTGTTCTTCCTTCCACAATTACCGAAAATTATATGCACGGAGTGGCTATGTGTACGCGCTATGCTCTTCGCCGATATGCTGCGACTACCGATGCCTTCTGGACCTGTGAGTATATCCCAGCCCTGCCAGTTAAATTACTACTAACAATTGTCAGCCAACCTCGATCAGCTTTTGAATACTTTACGAACCCTGTTGGAAGTCTTATTTCGTGTCGGGAAATCGCCGACCGTGGCAGCCGAACTCGTTGAGATTTTGGTGGGCACTCTGGAGCGGGCTATTCACGGTCCAAGCGAGGCCGTGGTTATCTCTTTCATCAATGAGATGTTTGAAGCTCACGATCTCAATGGAATCTTGATATTCGTCTTCGATGCTTCTCGTTCAGGATGGAATCTATCCAGTGCCACTCGATCATCTGCGCTACTTCGAAGAGCACTAGCCTGGTGCACAATATTGAAGCTTCTTGCTTCAGGACAAACAGAAGAGCTTCCAATCTTCTACAACGCAGTGTCGCAGTTCGATGCCAATGCCGCTCGCTGGATTACTGAAAGACTTGATGAACAGATTGGAACAGAAGAAAGGTACCAGAAGCCACTGGCCGACTTGTATACTTCAGTGGTTCTTGGCAACAGTCCGCCATACGTTCGGACGATGGCCGCATCTAATCTGGCGTCGATTTTGGAGAAGATGATGGCATCCCAGTTTGATCATGTTTCTCGACTTGATCTTCCATGGGAGGCTATCGCGAATAACTTCCGCCCTGAGACAGATATTGAAACCTGGAATCGCGAAGCAACAGACGCCGAGCTTCGTCTTCGAGGATGCCTTTTGGCCATTCGGCTCGCCTATGATCGCGCGAGTGCTTTCATCTCCTTCGAAAAGGACATTCACAACTGGACTGTCAAATTAGTTTCTGCCTTGAGCGAAGAGACCGTAGGTTTTGACCTTGTTCTGTGTCCGGGTATCTTGGATCACTGCTAATCATTGAATCGTTTGCAGGAATTTACCACTCGCTTAGCAGCAGTCGCCTCTGTCGGCAGTTTTGCGCGGGCTCTTCGGCCTTCCGGAGCTAAGCCTCGCGTTGACCCAGTGTTATTGAACACATATCTTGTCCTATACGACATGCTCAACGATGATGACGAGGAGTTGCGTGACATGTCCGCATCGACAGCCTCTTGGGTGTTGTCTCACTCTTCCGTCTCCCCAGATGCCGATGTTACGCTGGCACCTCTGAACGCAAGTGCGCTTCTTGCAGACTTTGTGGTCGAGAATTACTCGGATTCTAAACTGCTTGGACAGCAGGTTCTTTATTACCTGACAGGCCAGCAGCCCCGGCTTAGTGCATCTGACAACCAGAACTGCATCGCCCCTGTGGCCAATTTGTTTGCTGAGTATCGACAGGAGAGCACTGTTCTATTTGTTGAAGAGAAGCAGAACCTTTTCATTGATGAAATCCGCGAAGCTGAGGTTTGGTCTCGGGCTCTGACTCGCCTAAACATGTCAGCACTCCCGCAATCATCACTGCAACAGATCGCAAACTGGGCTTCGGAGGGGTTGACATACATGACCGGGCTTCTCAAGGAGGAAGATGGTCAAGATGGACTAATGGGTTGGGTTTCGACGCCCGAGGCCTTTACTCTTGGATTCCGCGTTATTGCGATTGCTTCAGCCCTGGCATCTCCAGATTTCTCTGCTCCAAAGGAAATTGTTGATCCCGCACAGTTTACGCAATCACTCGAATTGCTTCTCCGTGCGGGTCAAGCGGCATCTGTGCATGGAGACTGGCTGTCGAGAATTCAGCGTAGCCTGGCAATTAATTCATAGATCAAAACAAATATCAAGTTTCAGTTGTCAAACCTGTTCCTTCCTTTCTCTCTCTTGACTTTTCCCCTGGTTGACGACTCCAGTCTTCTCTCCACCCGGCACGTTTACATCTGCGTTTACCATTTGTGTATCGCTGGGCTTTACTCTCCTATTCATCCCCTCATCCCAGCCCTCCTTTCGCGTTTTCTACGATGCAGACCAACACTTTAATCGCAGTCCTACTTGCTGTTGGGCTGATTGCCCCCGGCGTCGCGTGTTTGGGATGGTTTTGGTACGCAAAGGGCGTGAGAAATGGATTCGCAGAAGGGCAGTGGATAGCGAGAATGAATCGGGATCGGGCTGAAAACATCAACGATGTTGAGCGAGGTCATCTCAAAGGTCCTGTTTGGGTCCCGAAGTATACCAACGGAGGATGGTGTCGCGCCAAAGTTTCAGACTCAATCCCTTTACGCTCACCAGAGTATGTTTACATCCCAGGTCAACGCAGAGGTCGCCCAAATTCTGACCAACGCTTCGAAGGCCCCAGCCGAAACACATCTAGTCCTCACCCGAAATCCTCTAAGAAACCGGCTCAGCAACCAAATCCACTCTCAAAAAGACAACAAAAAAAGCAACGAGCCCTGGAGAGGAAGAAACAGACGGATGGTCAAAATCAGAACAACAGCAAGGCGACACAACAGGCTCAAGACAGGCAAAATACCCACTGGGATGCTAAGCCAGAAAGAAACGATTGGGTCAGCAATAAGCAAAATGACTGGGAAGACAAAAATGTCAACCAGAGCCAGAAAGAATGGAATGGACCACAACAGAATCAAGATAATCCAAACTCGGATTGGAATGCCAAATCAGGACCAGGCAATTGGAGCAGTGGAGATCACAACAAGACTCAAGATCGGGGCAACAACAGCAACAAGGGCAGTGCTTGGGGCAATAAACACGACAACAACAATCACAACAACAAGGATGACGGCTGGGGGAATGAAGCAAAAGGAAAAGAGGGCAGCAAAATTCATGGCAACGGGAAGAACAATGGCAATGGCGATGGCCATCACTCTGGTCGCAGCTATCACAATGGCTTTGTCAACAACTTGCAGAAGCAGCAGACTACAAGCTGGGTACAAGCACAATCAGAGCCAAACAACGAAGGATATCATCATACTTCCGTCCAATCAAATCAGCCTAATGCTAGGTGGTCGAACAAGGGCACAGATCATGGAAGCCATTATGGAAATGCCCGCAGAAATAGTGGCAGTAGATGGGGCAATGGCAACGGCAATGACAATCGGAGAAGCTCAAGAAATCGATCGAACAACAAGCGAGGATCTCAAAGGATAGCATGGGGTCAATCGAAGCATGGCAACTGGGACACCAACGTCAATGAGCCAAAAGGAAACCATGTGGCTTGGAGCGACAACAACGGTGCCGCAGAAGAATGGGGAGAGAATTCTCATAGCAATCACAATGGGGTATGGAGCCAGGATGACAACAGACAAGGCCGAGGCTCTCAGAAGGGATGGCGAAACGAATCAGCAGACAGGATCAGGAGTAAACGCCGTGGACGAGAACAAAGCCGAAAGGATGACAACATGGCCTGGTAGCAGTCGAGCATAGAGTATGGCAAGAGCCATTCGCGGATTCATGAAGACACAATCGGTAGCAATCTTCGAAGACTGGATGACTTTGTATTGAAAAGTTTGGGAATACAGATGGGACGTTGCATGCGATATTCCGAACATCTTTATGTTTTTGGGCCTGAACAGGCCAGCCATGGGCTATTACATATTTCATTCTGCTTTTACTTGAATGAAACAAACATTTCATTGTTAAATGGCTTCGAGTAGGTTTGACAAAAGGCAAAAGCAGTATGTATTTGGCATGATAAATCACAATACAAACAAGACCGATAGTCAAATGTAAAAAGGATGAACGATTTTGAGCCCAAGTTTTAGACGCCGCAGAATGCAGAAAGATGTCTTTGGAAAAAACAACACATATGAGCAATCCCACAAGAGACCAGATCTATAACAAAGTGAAACAAGTATGTCGACAGCGAGAACGCGAACTGTGCAGAGTCCGAGCGATTCATGCTCGAAGATCGAAGGGGATGAAGGATGATCGCGGTGATATAGTCTAAGATATATCGAGTATCAAACAATCGCAGATGACGAGTAAAGAATGACATGAGGTGGGCGATCAGGCCTGAGCGATGGGCCATCCGTCAACATATTTGAGAGGATTAAAGCCAAGCAAGGCATCCTGTGGAGTATTGGTTAGATCAGATCCTTGACGTGGAAGTAGAAGCAGGTGGAAGGGGGAACGAAGGAGGATCGGCAGGGGTGCAGATATCGCGAACATCACGATCTACAAGCCTGCCAAAATGGGAGCTTACCGAGAATGCAATGCCGACGGTCTTGTTCACTGTGAGTAAGTTAGTACGTTTTCAAATAAAGTAGGGTTGTGGTTGGAAAATTCACGGTAGTGGTAATAGAGGACATCCTGATCCCCGTCGCGCATGACGCCTTGACCACCTGGAGCGTAGGTGTCTCCGTTTGAGCCATAGACAATTTCACCGCCGCCGTTGACAAGGTCGGTACCAGACCTATCAAAGAATGGACCACGAGGACTCTGGGAACGTCCGACACGGATGGAATATCTAGCGTCAGGTTAGTATTGGTTACGAGGATAGGCGGCGAGAACGTACTCTTGACCAGCAGCCGGCAAGTTGTCCTGCTTCAGGTTGCAGCAGAAGCCATGGCTATACCAGAGATAATACCATCCATCATTGTAAGAAGTGAAGGCACCCTCGATAGCATGGGGACCAGTCGGGTCACCGCAGATGTTATTGGCCAACCGGCTCGGCATGCCGAGAGACTGTGGCTCCCACGCCAATTGACGGGCATCGGGCTCCGTGGTGCTAGCCGGCGAAATCAAATCCGGGTCGAGTGGGATTTGGAAAATGCCGTTCCAGTAGCTTCCAAATGTCAGATAAGCGTCACCTTCGGGGGTAATCAATGTAGCAGGGTCAATGGCATTGGACACTGTGTATGGCTCAATGTCCGAGCCGTTGCCCGTACCAGTTTGAATGACGATGCCATGATCAAACCAGTTGCCAGGGCCTGGAGAGTCGGACGTAGCAACTCCCACGGCACTATCACGGCAGCCGGCCTTGCTGACACTGTAGTAGCAATAGTATGTGCCATCCACCTCGATGACAGTTGGGGCCCAAGGTGCAGCTCGGTCACCCTTCGGAATCACACTGTTGGCATCCAGTAAATTGCCGACATGTTTCCACGGGCCAGCCATAGTCGGGGCAGTATGAATGAAGATATGTTCGCCGACATTGTAAAGATAGTATTCATCGCCAACACGAAGGATAGTAGGGTCATGTGTATGTTGCTTAGTCTGGCGAGTAGGAGGGAATTGGCTAAAAGCCAGATCAAACTCCTCGAGTGATTGATCGTTTGCGAAGTTCTGATCTCTAGCATTGATACTCACGCCGAGACTGACGGAGAATAAACCAACAAGACCGAGGAGGGCGAGCATCTTGATCCAACGGCGAGGGAACTGTGTCAAAAGAGAGCGTAGAGACAACAGTTGAGGATTGCCGTCCTCCCCAGACGGCATCCCCGGCCGTGATAAGTGACTGGTCCTGACGATCATCCTTGCGATGGATCCAGGCACACATCGTTTTCAGGTCGACGCACGGCGGTCGCCACCCTTCGAGGGTGGGGTTCAGCACTGGAGGAGTGCAGAGGGATGCGGACTTAGAGGTCCACAGAGGGGCATGCCTGCAAGGCGTGGAATGCCAGTTCGTGATGTTGACGTTGATGTTGATGTTGATGTCTTGGCATGGACGAATGCGGAAGCATTTGAATGCAAAGTTGGACAATTCGTAATGTATAGAGATGAGCCGCTTAAACTAACATCTGTTTACTGCAGCTTATGCAGAGTGCATTAATTTCCGACTAAGATGTGTGAAGCAAGGAGGTCAGGGTGAAGGTGAGGTGTCTCCACACGGGCCAAGTGGAATGTGCCCTTTGCCATTCTCGTAAGGACGAGAACGGACTTGACAGCGCTGGGTGTTTAAGACATATTGGCAAGCACTCTCGTTGTCAGGCTGGACAGTAATACTAATGTATGCTCATTGATTGAAGCTAGATGATATCCCCCAACGCCGGCGCCAGAACTCGAAGTATACACGTTCTACCGAGCCACGATCTTGTCCACCTCGTCTCTGGCCTCAGTCCAGGTCTCTAAATTCTTCCGCGCCCAGTCCAAGTGGCAACGACCATATGCAACCTAAGAAATGTCAGTGAGAGTGGAGATCCGGGCCGTCGCCGTGCATACCATGTACCGCCGCAGATCGGCTTCTTTGTCCTTCTGGAAGCGTTTGAGGTCTTGGAGAACGCCGGCACTGGCGTCCTGGACATCCTTTTCGGATACCTCCAATGCTTGCTCCAACTGCTCCTCTCATTAGTTCTGGAAACATCTGAAACTGCTCCATCAAGTACATACCTGAATAAGACTTTCTTTCGTCTTACCGATCTGGTCCCGACGTGTTCGTTCCGGGTCCACATCAGCAAATCCATGAATAGCATGGCTAATGCGACCGAATATTTTGTTCGTCACAAAATTTCCACTTGAAGTCTTGCGGTGAGCAGGAGTTGACGGCGACTTGGCTCCTCCGGTTTGAGACACAGGCGGGTGGCCGTAGGAATCGTCATGCGTAGGGGGTAACTGGGAGTTGGCAGAGGACTCGTGGCCAGTCTCGCTACTGACGGCGGACGAGGTCGACAGAGAACGGGGTTTGGTACCGCCAGGTTGAGGCGTGGTGCGGTTGAGATACTGCTCAATGCGCTTGGCTTCCAGCTCACTGCGCTCCAGTGAGTCCAGAAGAGTCTTCTTCTTGGCTAACTCGTCTCGGGTCATTTCTTGTTGTACCCGCTTGAGCACGCGGTATCGCAGAACGCCGCGAACCACACTAGCAAACTGTGCGCTTTCTCGCATAGGTTCGGCGAAGCTTGCACTCAAGGCCGATGACAACTCTTCGGTTTCAATGTACGAAGTATCAGCAGCTTGTCCAATCCTCTCAATGGCAGCAGCCACTGTTGGAGATTGCTCGGAGAGAGAAAATCCATTGTAACGAGCTCCCAGCTCCATGAGGTCGGCGGAGAGAGAGGACAGATGTGAAAGGGTGCGGCGATTGACTTTCTCTATATTGCCCTGGAGAAGAAGTTCTAGCTCACGCGTAGATGCTTCAAAGTTAATAAAGTATGGATCCAGCTCTGGCTCGCTAAGCTTCCGCGATTCGGGGGGGAAACGCCCAAGGATGTCAGGTCCTGGGATTGAGGGTGGGGGACCTTCTGGCTCGGCTGAAGAAGGTGATGCTGGACCTCCAGTCGATGTCGCAACTCCGCCGCTGGGCTTGAGCTTTGCGGATGAAGATGGAACTGGCAGCCATCCATGGGCTGGTGTCGGGTTGGCAGGATCAAGAGGAGGCGCTTTAAGATTATTCTTCGGAACAGATGATGCGGGATGGGAAGCTAAAACCTCACTCTGCATAAACATTAATCACTGACTTGGCTGCATTGATCCTAATGCAACATACCCAGCTGACGTTTGGGTCGAGGAATCTCCACCACACTCCATCTTCCCGAATTTCTTTCATTCGTCTACATCGGTTGAGGAAGACACTCAACATGCGCTTCCGGAGGTCGATAATTGCTGTGTCTTCTTTGGCCTTGGTGGGCTTAGCCGCATAGTCCGCCATGCTATGCTTCTCGGGAATCGGCGGAACAACAAGAGTGGGATGCAAGTTAACGAGTGTTTGACGTAAAGAGGCGAACTCGGAGTATCGGCGACGCACTTCCAGATCCTGTCATCACTCAGTACAGCACGAATACTCTCCGAACACCATCATCCTACCGCAGTCCGGATAGTGTAAACAATAAAACCACCTCCACTCTCATGATTCTTGCCAGCGTCAGTAATGAGAATTGGCATCTCCGGGTTTTCATATAAGATCTGCTCAATCCGGCTGTCGTAAACACTCTTCCGGGGGTATTGTTGGCTTGCGGCTCCATATTCGGCCTCATCCTCGGGATCACTGAGGTCTTCGGGGTTGGTGATGTATTCAGGAGGATCGACATTAGAGTCCCGGCTAGATGGAGGAGTAGAATCCTGTGCGTAGAGAGCTGAGTGATGTGAGAGACTGTTCACAAGGCAGAATGATTAGACGGTCTTACGGGGAGACAGCGCAGCTGAGTGGAGAGAGTCGGAAAGATGCGACTGGTGCTGATCAAAGGCCCCGTAGGGATTGTTATCCTCGTCGTTCCACATGATGTGAATGTTGGAACTTGGAGAAGCTGTGCCTGGGGGATCTGCGGGGGGAGGTCGTGGTGTGGCTGGTGAAGGCGGTGTTGCGATTACGTCATGGAGGCTGGAACTTAACTAACGTTGACTATACCTCATTGTATGCTTCAGTACTTCAGTAGTTCAGTGACTATAATTAGCAGATTAGCAGATAATAACATTCATAACTAGAAGGGAATCAAATGACTGTGTCTTACGCGGGATTGGTCTTACGATCCTTCGAGCTTATTCTTTGTTAGATTTATATCCCTTGGCAGGATATGTATAACTAACGTGAGCTCCCTGCCGATGTATAAGACTCGGCAATATGAACACATGCTTAATTTCGACAAGCGATTTAATGCTTTATACAGATTGAGGAAGAATACAATAATCTAGCTAGAGGCTCATCCAAATTGACCAGATGTCAAGCTAACATCATCAAACAAAATATTGCCAATAACGGAAGAATCCTCCGAGTCACAGGCAGCCACAACGTTCAAAATACCATGATCCCTCCTGGTAAGATAACTCCCCGGTAACCTCTATCCATTTTCCAAAATTGAACAATTGTGTTGAGGCAATCGCGCCGACTGTCGCATTTTTGCCCGCTGACCAGTACGACGAACCGGAAGGCGACGGCATCTGTACTTGCACACTGAGTTCATACTTCAATCACAGTTTCAGGTGCTTCAGGGACTGCGAGATTAAATTTCTTCGATTTCACAATGCGATTCGAAGGTTACTGCATAGTATCTACCCGTCAGTTGGTTTCCAAAGCGATATTGAATAGCCTAGAATACTATAGATATAGATAATTCGTCAAAGGCAACATTTGCCACTGTATACAATTGTTCTATTACTTGTTTTGGTAACATAAACAGCAGATGCATGCCACGGGAACGCCGGTTTCAAAGAGAGATTCGACACAACATTGCATGCTGAGAAAGCCATATTGATGCCTTGAAGAATAAGTAGCAATCAATTTGTGAGATAAGTTTAGCAAAATAAAGGAACAAGCAAAGCCTTTATATAGAGGCAAAAGCATGTTTTTGGTATTTGAGACATTTTTGCGGTATTTGCCGACAATCAAATAATGCAGCTCTAGCGTGTCGTTTCCACCAACTTCTAGTGAGAATTCTGGTATCTAAATCTATCTTTGAAACTGGATGGGACTATAGTCTGACACTTAAGGCTTGCCTTGCTGAGTATGGAGTCTCATATGCTTATTTGTGACTGAACAACCCCGGAAGTGAGAATGCTTAGCATGGACCCCTTTCCATAACCAGGGTCTGAGATGAGATACAATATGGGAAACTCATGGCCGCAGCTCAATTATTAGAGCTGGGGGTACTGTTTAATTAGTTCATTTCGAACACATCGCCTTCATTAAATTTGACAAGCATATATTGACGAGTTTTGAGAATAAGAACCGACGAACACCGTTGCTATCATTGCGCTGTGCATGTATCTACTAGCAAATACACATCGGGAGATACGAATGGACGACGGTCTACCTACTTCTCAGGCAAAAGAACAAGCTACCAACGGCCAATATAAGCGAGAACAGCTCGTATAATACCGAGAACAGCAGGATAATCGTCTTTGAAGACGAAATGCAAGGTAGGTTGACTGTTAATTTCCCTGGTAATGCTGACTAGAAAGAAAAAGACCTCTTCTCCGAGTGGTGAGAATGCCCCATGCCATAAGTATCCCATCCACATCCCTCAGGCTAGCCTCAAATAGCCCCAGGGTCATTGTAACCATCATTAATATCAATATTTTCCGCCTTTCCTCCACAAAGTGTCTGTATTTGCATCAATCCCAGCGCTTCTCAAAAGCATCTGACTGCTGATTTTCCTCATTCCAGTACCGAGGGTCTGCCGAGCTGTTTCCGGAAGTTGGGTTGTTTGCCTGCTCGACGTTACGCAAGTTAGAGTGCTCAGGGCCGACGACACCGTAGTAAATTAACGGATAGAGTACACGACGAAGGGGCGCAGGAGGTGATCGTGGAGAGTGAGGAACAGACCGGGCCATAACGTGACTGTTCGATTCATCGGAGAAGTGAAGGTGATTGTCCTGCATCGAATAGCCATATCCGTATCCGTAACCATGCCCAAGACTCTGAACGTCATCGGAGGAAGCAACGCGGCTGTCACGAAGTTGTCGACCAGGTCGAGTACCAAAATTGGCTAATTCAGGGCCACGAGAAATCATGACGTTCCGGCGACGCTCGCATTGGCTGAAAGGGTGCGGGTTGGGTATGTCTTCACTGGCAGAGCTGACAGCCTCCGATTCTAGGTCCTCAGTGCACAGTCGTCGTTCATTTCTGCCATTATCTGTCGCCAGACTATCAAGAGCAGTGTACAGTGCGGGATTCTCTCTTAGCAAACCCGTATTGCGATGGATTCGTGAGGCAGGAATTGGAGTAGCCTGCAGACTAGGACCAAGATCAAAGACACTGATTTCTCCCTCACTCAGGTTGGCTGCACGCTGTCGAACAGAGCGTGGCAGAGTGGGACCCGGGGATCCGAGTCCGTTAGATGAAGACCGTGCCATAGATGCGATGAGTTGCCTGCGATGTTCTTCAAGACGCTGATTCTCTCGTCTCTCTTCTAGCGATTGATTGGGAAGATATCGGGCGTAAAGATCTCTAACGGGCCAAGGCTGGGACTGGCAAGGTGTTGGAAGGAATCCCGGAATGTATCGAGACGTACGGGGCGGATTTGAGTAGAAAGTGAGCCCGTCGGAGGTTGGAAATCCTGAGAACATGATAGATCAGTCCATTGTTCGTGCGTGGTAATAGGAAGAGATCAGACCAAAACGTGAGATGAGGCAAGACGTGGAAATAGAAGGTGAGATGGAAGTGATCACATCCCAGCCCTAAGGGAAGGTGCCCTTTCTATACAACCCCCAACATCTTCAATTGAGCCAAAACTGCTATTGAATGCTTTTTGGGTGACCCTTTGATGGCGAACTGCTGCTTGACGCCAACTAAGAAAGGGACAAATATCTACAAAGTGATATATAAAAAGACAAATACTCAATGCAGTTGCCCCATGTGGGTGGTAAGATGCCATATGATACACCAACAACTATGAAATAAACCAATCCACACATCTCAGGACCCATCAACCTGATAATGACCAGTTAATCGTCCTAAAATCAGAAACTCACCAGGTAGATACATGCCACAACCTCCGTGGAAGGCTACCGATATTGACACGCAAAGAACCAACACAGGATCCTCTTTTCCTATATATGTACCTCCCACCAACCCTGTTGGAAAACGCCGGATGCACCAGATCATCTTCAGAATAGAGAGACCTTTCACTTTTCTTTGTTTGTACTTCTTTTTTGTTGATTTGTTGATTGTTGATTCTTGTTCATTGTTCATTAATCCGAAATCATCTTGTCCTCGTCGCCCACACGCAACTCCACAACTGGGAGTTCGTCTGAGGACTCGTCTTCCATCATCATGTTGGAAACATCCTCGAAAGAGGCACCGGTCTTGGGAGTGGGACCAGCGGGAGTAGATTCATCAGGGTCGTGGAGGCGAGTGTCCACGTCCATTTCGTCACCGACTGCAACGGTGCTGTCGTTGTCATTGAAAAGCCCATCGTCGTCATGAGAGACATTAAGTGGAGTCATCTGTGGCATGTCGTGAGCTTCGGTCACTTGATCGAAGGACCAGGAAGGCTCCTTGAAGATGCTGAATGGGTCCTGGGATGGGAGTCCCTCGTCCTCGTGATCGGACTCATCTTCGTTGTTGGTGAGAGTCATACCTTCGGATTCGCCATTTTCGAAGCCAGTATCACTGTCATCGTCTGTAGAGTATTCATCATCATCATTCTCCTCCGTCCCCACATTGTTGGCGCGCAAACCACCGTTTCCTGGTTGGGGAGTTGCTCCGGCTGCGGCTAAGGCGCTCGAAGAGCCATTGCGGGAGGAGGCGCCGAGACCGTCCCCCGAAGGTGACTGGGAGACAGAAGAATCGCCAGCATCAGCCGCAGGATTCTTGTAGGATTCCACCAGTTTCTGCAGTTCCTGGTTTCCCAGTGGGCGAGTGGAACGACGACGGTAGAATAGGAGATAGGCATTAGAGGAAATCATAGATGAAAGTTGTGTGACGGGGCGAACGTGGGTATCTGAAAAAGAGGTCAGCGATATGTTTCCTTCCACAAAAAAGACTGAAAAGCTTACCGTTGCAATGGTTCCATTCACCGCTCAAGAAATCCTTGATGTAAGCAGTGTAATGGCCACCACCCAGGCCACCGAGGTGGTTGTCGATGGCGAAGAGATCGTACTCCAGACTCTTGCCATCCTCGGGACCCTCCACTCGACCGTTCAAGTCCAGGTTCTCAAGGGGAAATTTGACCAGAGTATCAAGCTTGCTTCGGAAGCTACGGGCCTGGGTAAAGCGCTTGAGCTGAATGACCAGAATGTCAGGGGCCTTCCAAAGCTGGAACTTCTTGTGAGCCTGCACGTGTTTCTTGCAACGAGGGCAGTACCAAGCATCTCCCTTGGAAAGAACTTCCTCTTTGCTGAATTCATCCAGACATTGATCGAGAGTGACACCAGCAGCCTTAGCCTTCACTTGCTGTTGGCGCTTGGCGATGGCCTCAGGATCCGTGAGAACTTTGAGGTTGTTGTAAGAAGGCTGGCCTTGAGGCTCATTATCGCGCTGATTGCCGCCGAAGAGCGCATCGAAGCCTTCATGTGTCCAATCCAAGACGACGCCATCGCCTTGGCGAAGAATCGAGTCCTCCTTTGTGGTCTCCGCATTCGACCCATCGGTATCACTGTAATCATCACTGTTGTCTTCAGCAGAAACATGGGACGCAGAATCAGAGCCCTAGTGGGGAAAGTTAGGGGAAAAAGCATCAAAAAATGGATGAAAAGAATGTGTACACACCTTCTTCGAAACCTGGTCAGTTGGGATACGAGAGGAAATCAACGGCAATTCTTTGTTTCTGATTTGGCCTAAACTGCGGCCATCGGGAAGAGGAGATTTGGTGACCAGGATCTTAGCCTCGAAAAGACTCAGCAGCTCCCGAGAAATTCTGCCTGCCAAGGGATGCTCAGGCAAGTCTGCAAATTCGGAGTCTGAAGCGGAGTCTTCCGTATCATCGCCGGTCTTTGGAGTCTGGGCGTCTTGCATGGAAATGTCCACAAGACTGTCTTCACCTTCCACAGACGAGGTTTTGATCTTAGAGTCGGCTGAATGAGAGTCATCTTCTGTGGTGACAACAGTGTCCGAGTCATCTGTAACTTGGTCATCCTTGCTGGGCTCGTCCCCATTTAGAATGTCACGAGTAGTCATGATGGCTACAGAGCGGAGAATTTTGCGGTAAATTGCCTCAAAGTCATGAGACTCCGCCTGAGATAAGTGGATAAATGATGGAAGGCCGAACAGATCGCGGAAATTGTTCTTGGCACTGCGAGAATTATTCTTGCGGTGGAAGACAGGAAGGAGAATGCCTTCTTGATCAATAGGGCCAACGTCGGCAAACAGGATATGGTCGTCAGGCTTCGTGCGAAGAGAGCCGAAAGAAACGTCGTCTTCGAGGAATAACTGCCAGAACGAGCTGTGGTGGACCTCGCCAGCAACGATTTGGTCTGGATTGACACCCATCCATTTGCCAACATATTCCTTCCAGCCCCTCAAGCTGAGAGATGCTTCCAGCTGAACGCTCAGGCAAACAGGGTGACCCTCGAAAGGGATGAAAGTCACCTTTCTGGTAATGACGGCCGGAGGAGCGGGAATTGGGAGTGTGAGAGTGCTGAAAGGATCAAAGATAATGCTCGTCTTCTCACAATCTGGGCAGCACACAGATGATTTGTACATGCCAGCGAAGAGATCGGTGATGACCGAGTCATTACGGGATTTGTAAATGTCCCATGATCGCAGCGCAAATTCTTCTAGAGCCTTGCGGTTGTGGACCATCTCATCGGTAGAGTCAGGAATCTCCGTGTATGGCTTCTTCGCAATACGGTTCGTGTCCTCTGAGAGTGCATCAAGGATGAACATAACGAACTCCTGACTGTCTTGCTGTTCCCAGCCAGCAAAAGGTTCGTAGAAACGACCGATTGTATGACGGAACCGTTTGGGGTTGGCGAATCTCTCCCCCTCCGAGTTGTACAACTGATCAAGCAAGGTAGCCCATCCTTTGGCAATCGCACCCTTGTAGCCGAGAGGGTTTCCAAGATTCAACTCGCCTTTGTATGCACCACCTATGTTATTGTTAGCGGCCAAAGTCTCTCTCGAGAGCTAACTGTGGCATAAGGGTACGAACTGAGATAATAATATGTCAATTCCTCCACGGCTCGCAGACATTGCAAGGCTGAATTCTGGTAGCAGGTGTTTCCAAGATTCTCCAGTCCCAAAACTCTGTGTGATCGGCCCTTGCGGCCTCGAGTATTGAATCCTTTAATAGGGGCCGGCCCAGCGGGAGTGGACCTACCACTTGTGGCACTAGCTGGTGGACTGTTCTCAGCAATTTTGATGGTGAGCGTTTTTGGCTGGTTCACTGGGATGCCCAGGTTCTTCAAGGTCTTTGCAGATGCCTCTGACACCCATTCACCACCTCTCGTCCCACCAATTTGCTCCTCCAGAACAAGACAATCGGCATTTCCGAGACCAGCCACAACCAGATTCATGCGGCCATTGTAGTTTGGGTTGTTGGTCTGGTCTTTCGCCTGTTCAAGCAATTCTCGTTGGCTGCCCTCTGAGAGGCCAAGGAAAACATTCAAATCCATGAGAAGCTTGTCGGACTTGCTGGGGACCAATGCAAAGGCCGGAGCGGGTGAAGTACTGCGGGAAACAGCAGGGGTCGTAGCGGTTGAACCATTTGTGCTCTGAGGAAGACGAAGGATCTTCCAAACTCGGACCTTGGTGGACAATTCGATTCCAGCTTGCTCTTTTGCGTCCATTAGCCATTTCCGATAATTCAACTGGCGACTAGCCAAGATCTTGACGGACGGAAGATCTTTTTCCTTCAGAGTTGTTGGAGTAGTTCCCGCAGAAGGGTTGGACAATTTAAAGATTGTGAAGATTGGAGGGTTGATCTCGTACTCAATCGTCTCGTCCTCGCCGGGCGAGTTCGTGTTGTGGGCGTATCGAACAATGATAGGCGACTGGTCGGCAACGCCATACCATCCACGCATCAGGTCCCAAGCCTGCTGAGGAACCACCACAAAATCCTGGTCGGCTTGCAAGCCAGGGCGCATCGGCACAAATGTCTCGTCCGACTCATCCTTGAAGCTGGGAGTGGCGGGGTCCGTGTCAAGCACAATATCCACGTTGTCGATAGGACCAAGCTCAGCATCCTGGGATTCCTTATCCACCTGACCTGCGAAGGCAGTAGTTCTGGCCAGCACCTTCTTCAACCATGCCATGGAAACCACATAACCCTGCTGACCATTCTTCAGCGGCTGGTTTCTCAACACATTCACTTCCGCCACCTGCTCGTCGATCGTAGGCTTGTCTGATTCCAATGATTCCGATCCGGACTGCTGAGCCGCAGATGACGCATCGGTATCCGCATGCGAAGCGGTGGCAGCCGCAGAGTTATCGCTTGCTCCAGCCTTGTCCCCAGAGGCGCGCGCATTGCTGCTAAGATTCGTGCTCACGCCTCCTTCCGGGTCGGAGTCAGTGATTTCCGATGCCGGGCGCTTTTCGCCGGGAGAAGGAGAGCGGCCATCAATGTTCAGAGGGGTTCCCTCTCGAGTGTCGGAGGGCATGTCGGAATGCTCGCTTGAGAGGGTGAGTCCGGCGGTCGCGGTCGCGGGAGTCGGCGAACGGCCACCAGGCACAGTTTCGGACTGAAACTGCAGATGAGCGGGCACGTATCTGGGCGGAGAAAGCGACGAGCTACTCCGGCTTGAAGATGCAGGGTGGCGAGAGCGGGATGGAGGTTCGGAGCGGCCGTGACGTCGAGCCCGGGGGCCTGGACTGGTGCGAGGCTCTGGGGAAACTTTGCGGCGCTTTGGAGAAGACGTCGTGACGGTGAGCTGCGCACCTCGTGTCGCAGCTCGGGGCAGATAAATAGAAAGAGATGCGAACACCTTGAAAAAAAAAAGGTTGGAAGGAAGAAAACACAATTTTGCTGGCAGAAAATCCTTTAGTCAGTGCATTTTCCCGGAGCGGAAGCCCTACTTACTTCACTTCACTTGACTTCGAGATATTCAAATTCGCATTAGAGAAGTAGGATTGAAAGAAGCGGAAAAGAATCAGAAACCGAAAGACAAAGTGTACAGGTCGACTTTATGCTCAAACTGGACGAAGATGCCCCAAGTTGAGTGTATTCGTCTCATACAAACAATAGGACCGACTCATGAATAACGAAAGTCGTTCGTCAATAGCTAGTGTGACACTATTCAGACTACGAGAATGCTACATACTTTTTCACACTTGGCAGATTTTGAAGCTGCCTACGCATTCCCATTAACCCGGGAACAATGTCGCTATTCGGACATCATTCAAACGACCTGCTCTTCATCTGCACCTCATTATTCACATAGAAGTCTGCAAAATACATACATGCTAAGCCTTACACCTAAACACATTTTGAGACAAGTTTACTCTCACGTTTCAGGATAACCTCATGACATATTCGCGATGGATTAAACTATGTAAGGCTTCGGATTGTAATTACACATCGCTCGGATGAAAGGTGTAATCACTATCTACTCCACCAGCATAAGCTTGTGCAGAATGTTACGGCTGCTTCCAGAGAGGATAAACTGGCTATCAGCACGCAGCTGCATTCCCTCGCCCCCTTCGTGTACATAATGATCGTGAACAGCATTCAGATCCCCGTTGAAAAACTTGACCAGCTCGCAGCACGGCTGGCACAGATGCAGACCACATCCATACGTGATATTCTCGCAGTTAATTGCAGGGTCACATATGCTAGATGACTGAGGTGTCTTGCAAGTCCATGCAGCGAGCGAGCGGCATAGAGCACACCACTCACGATTGGTCGAAAAGGCGGGGCCTGAAGCAATGGTCTCGGGGTTGAGGATAGCGTCACGCGCTCTGATGAAGTTCTCCCACTCCGCGATCCCCTCAGAGGCCTCCCGCTCTGCATCCGCTGCACGCAAACGGTCTACGCTGCCATGGGTGCACTGAATGATCTGGATCCTGTTGAGAACGCATTGGAGACACATTCGGGTCTCTTCTTTTTCTTCACCTGTGTGACCATAGCTCATCTCGACCATCTTGGTACCGAAATTGATGACGTCCGGGTTACGCACACCGAGTCCAACGATTCCATACGCAAAGTTGTGGCACCAGTGGCAAGTCGGGCCCTCTTGAGGAACATCACGATGATCACCGAAGTGGAGAGGGTGCGCGAACTCGGTCTGGATACGACAGACCTGCCCAAAGCTAACAGAGTGTTGTTCGGCTTGATCATGGCCGTCAGTGATGGGAGCAGCGCTGCCCTCTTGGACTGGAGCCTCTTGCATGTCCTCGTCCCCATAGGCGTTCACAGTGTCATTGTTGCCATTACCTGTGTCCGAGAGTGTGATTGACTGAATGGGGCTGGGCTCGCTAAGTTCGGAGGGTTCGGTATTATCGAGTGCGGCCCCTTGCATAGGCTCGTCGTCGTCGCTACGATTGGTAACGTGGGTGGTTAAATGACCTGCGCAAGTCTCGTCGGCGTCCTCGGGCATGCGAGCAATAGGCACGTGTCTAGCCGGTCCGGCGACACAAGGATATCCGTGATCAAGACATGAGTGGCAGGGCAGCTCATGGTCATAATCGACAAACCGGTAGGAGCATGGCTCACCACGGTTGCTACGACACTTCTCGCATGACCGCTTCCACTTGGGCTTGGGAATTACCACACAGTCAAAACCATCTTCTTCGCACTCAATGCACGGATATGCATACAGATCAGGATCACTTGCCAGTGAACAAATCTGTTTGATTTCACCACAGGCCTGGCATCCTCGGACAGGGTCGTTGTCATTTTGTGGCGTTGACGAGAACGCAGATGCAGGAACTAGAGACCTGGTTGCAACTCGAATATCGGTTTTGGCTTTGTTAGGGCTCTCTGGCTGAGGTTGGGCACGGGGACGCATCTGGTATCGGGAATTGGGAGATATTGAGGTATCGACAGCCCAGCGTTGATCCCAAACATCGGGTTCCAGCTCAGGCTCACTATGGCAAGTTTCAAGGTCGAAGGAGTTTTCCGAACCATTGGCCCTATTGGCCTGCGAAAAGAACGCCAAATTCCGAGCCTTTCGGACTCCTCGAGAGATTGCGCCCCCGGAGCGAGACATGGGAGACTTGTGCTTCTTTGGAGATCGATCCTCTTCTGGATCATAGTCCTCATCATCCGAGTCATCGTGCCACGATGCGAGGATCTCCGGACGCTTTTTTCCACGTTCACGCAGGTTGTATTGGACCGGAAGAACACGAAACCGGCTCACGCAGCCATTAAAGAGTTCTTCAACTTGGTGCAGTCTCGCCTCCGAGTAAGGCATTTCCATCTGGAGGCTCCTGTGAGAGCGAGACCATCAGCACCAGTGAAGTATACAGACTCAGCTTAAATACTCACCGGCGGAGCGTGAAGGGCCAGGTGAGAAATACAACGGGTATTCTCTGCTGTCCTGGAGCGGTCGAAGAACTACTGGGGCCGTGAGCTGACATGACGACGACAAGGTACTGGTGTACCCAGGAGCATCAGTCTAAAACAGGGACACTGGCCGATACATGAATATTGAATTGGAGACACCGATTTTGGGGGTTAGCGGAAACTCACGGTGGGTTTGCGGTTTGCTGTGCGCGAACGAACAGAAACGAAACAACCAGAAGCAGACGCGAAGGTCAACTGAGCACAATTTCTAGCAAGAAAGAGACTAGCAAGAAATAGATGCGAGTCAGGGCAATGTGAATGCTCAAGTATGGAGGTGAAAGTGGACTTTGTGGAGGTGGAGCGGTCGAAGTATGGGGAGGTGGGAGCGAAGAAAGGTGGGAACCCATATTTCGGTCTCGTTGCGTGCAGCCAAATGAGAATAAGCGCGAAGCGATGATACCAGCGTGAAATGAGGTATTAAAGACGTAAAACAACGCAAAAGAACTTACATATGCTCGTGGACCTCCACGGACAAAACCAACAGGAAGTCACGATCAAATGACGAATATCTGAAAAGGGAACTGGCTCGAGTTGTATGTGAATTCATACGATCTGCAGTCTCATATGATGACTCTACTTCAAGACCCCGTTGGTACTTCATGATATCAATACAGAATGCTCATTAACTGATATAATATTTAAAGTGTGCGCAATAATAACTTCATGTATGTAATAGCCATACAGGGAATTTGATAATATATCTCAGCTTAGCTGACTAACAGATCCAATATACTAGAGTACTCCAAGCTAAACAAATCAAAGCAAAAGAAGAATAGAATACGCGAGAAAAGAAACATGAGAAACAGCATAATCACCCCCCACACAGCAACATCACTCATGCTATCAGAGTATAATATCATTGTTTGTGAGAAGAATACACAAATATGGATCCTCAGAAATAGCTTCGTGCCTCTAAGACTGTCTACCAATCCTTAAAGGTGAGTCTCAACTCCTCTTAGGGGGGAAGAAGTCACATGTGCATTGCAGTCATACTGCTGACGAGAGGAGAAAAATCAAGAGCAGTCTCCCGTAAGACGTTGGTCTTAACGATGAACGTTCTCTGGATCGTCTCAATTGCAACAGGAACATTATTAGAGAAAGCGAGAATAGCAGAAGGCAGTTAATGAGCCAGAGAACTCTCTGGAAAGCGTTCCGCACTGGTCCAAGACGCAGAATTCAGGCTTGAATTAACCTCACGCGCCGTAAGGTTAATGTTCTCCTGCTGCAATGATTTCTCCTTGTCCATCTGGCGTTTTCTGGCCACGTAAAAGCCCGCACCGCTGCCAAGCATCAGCATGAGGGTTAACGCTCTGACGATGTATATGGTCAGCCGCAGTCCTCTGAGGTTGGCCGAACAAACAGTTCAGTAGCCCCAGGTCTCTTTACAGGCTCTTTAATTTTGTTCGGTATGGCCGGCTTTATCTTTGGTGTATCGGAGATATCAGAAGGCGAGAGTTCGTGCCTCAACGGTGAGGGTGTGTTCATCGTTGATGTCGATCTAACTGGTTATTCTGGCTGCTTTTAAACAAAGCTCTAAGTCTGTTATTAGCATGTTGACTCATTCACAACAGGGTTGGTTTACTAGAGCTGTTGGATATAGCAGCCGTCAAACCAGGGCACCGGTGCTGTAAACCATGGTACGGAAGATTTCATATTCTTTCATTGGCTCAATCTGAAATAGAGTTTGAGATATGCGGGCGCTAAGCCCAATCAGGCTACGTCCATCTGGTCTAGATTACACGACACACTCGTTCTTGTGCACAGATACTAATTTGAAGATCACTCACTGTATGCGAGCATCTCGCGACTATCATCTTGTACACGTGCAAATCTTTCTCTGTCTGTTAGCACTAAATGAACAAGATGAGGGGGATACATACTCCAAGAACAGGCGGAACATATAGACTTCTATGTCTTCCTTTCTGAGAGCCCTGTTTGCCCATAATCTCCCGTTTTCGGCTATAGTCTGTGCAATCACTCGTCCAGTGGGGTCATGTTCAAAGTATCGAATCAACTCGGGCACTTCGCGCACATCCTTGTTGAGGGGCACGTAATGAACCCATGGGACCAGGATATCTCGATGCCATTCACGAAAGACTGATAGTTTCATAGGTAAGCTCTTGCTGCGCAAGAAAGCATAAAATCTGCCACTGTATGCCCAGCCATCCATATCTAGCAAGTAGCGGTGCCGCCATGCTTCTTTTGGCCATTCGAAGCTAGCTGGCTCCCCGAAGAATTCAAGCTGTGATTGGCAGCCATCTTCGCAGTAATCAATCTCCGTGAATCTGAGATTGAAGTGGTCCCGATATTGTGATGGATGAATCTGTTCAACAACTCCATGGCTGCTGCCAATATCACTGCACGATGACGTCGCTGATCTTGAATTACGTTTTAAGATATATTGCGAAGCAGTGGGATGAGTCAAATTCCCCACAACTTGCTGACGCAACAGACAGCGCCAGGAGTCTTCCTTAGTGTGAGCCCCATTGTTGCCCCCTCTCCAGTATAATTGAGCCTTCTTTTCTTTCCATTCAAGGTCAATCTCCTCTTCATATGACATCTTATCCTTATAGTACCACATCGACGGCATTGGAATATCCTGGAAGGAAGAAGGCGCTGACACAGAGAATACAGGAGCAAGCTCATTAGTGAGCTTCAAGACATGTGGTCCCTTGAAGAGACCCAAGCGGTGTCGCAGCGATGGATTCTTGCAAACATCGCTAAACGCAGTGTGGTTGTACACAAATCCCAAAGGCTCAATTGCATAAGAGGCTGTGTCATCTTCAGCATGTCCGTTTAGGTTTCTCGCTGGGGTATCTGCAGCACAAGAAATGCTCGAATGAGCCCAGTTTTCTTGTAGTGCCAGGTTACTGTATCTGGTCGTCGGGACTGATGCTACCCATTCAGATACATATTCCTGCTTCGAAAATGTGCCCCTTGATGAGGCTGTCCGAGCCAATCGATTCTGAGCTTCTCCGCCAAGAGAGACCATTCGATTCAATTGTTCATGCGGAACAACAACGCGCGGCTCATCATGAACATTAAATGCCATATCCATATCAGGTAACCATTCCGCGAATTGATCAATGATCATCTTCATGCCGTCCCGTTGGTAGCGCTCACCGAAGACGGTGTAGATCGGTTTACCGGCTCGTATAGACCAGCCCATGAACATATTGTCCTTGTATCCAAGATCTTGTCTTGTTCTTTCGCGGATGACGCTTGGGGAGATTCCCCAGAACGGTAATAAGGCGTGATAGATTATGTCGAATTCATCTATCAGGACTGTCCCTTTGACTCTAGCGAATTTATACCACACGTCAAAGTGAGGTGGTGGTGGTATGTTGTATCGACGTTTGTATTCTGCAACAGCCTCATGAAATGATTTTGACTGCTTTTTCACAGTCGTGTCGAATGCGTTTTGGGCATTCCTTGTGAGCTGTAAGACAGGATGTGGACATAGTGTTTCATCTGGCCTGGTCAGAATTGGAGGACCGAAGAACATAATCATAGCTGTAATTGAAATTGCCGTAAGGGCAAGTCTGCACAGTCTTTTCCCATGATGAGAGTGGTAGTTCGCGCTGTTTTCTTTCCCTTTGCCGAGTAGATCGTACTTCTCTTCTTGCCATACTAGACTGACGGTACCAAGCTATGCAATTGATCAGCAATTGAATTCCACTATGGATTTGGTTTCGAGGCTCACCAGCCAACGCCTGATACGACGTAAACTTAAGAAGATCATCGCTGTGATATTGTGGATAACTCAATCCCAAGCCACTGCAGTTGCAGCAAAGGCGACGTTCAATTAATGCGAGAATGTGGGGGCTCTTAATTGTGAAAGATGTTCTTAGAGTCGGCACGAATGATGTCCAAATAACCCTAGAGGGATTGCACCCCTGGACCCTTGCATGAGAGATCCGAGATGAAAGGCCAAGGCCACTACGTCACTGGGACAAATATGCCGATCTATACTCGTTTGGGTGAGTTCTAACTATAGCCTGCTCTACCCTGTACAGAAAGGGAATATACTTTTGATAGAAAGTTGATTATGGCCTTTATAAACAGGAAAGATGAGTTATTAACATGAAACCAGTCGATCTGGTAGTATTTGCAAGAAGAGAAAAAAAGTTCCAAAGCGCCTGTAATGCAGAGGTAAAAGAGGTCCGACCTCTTCGTCAGCAAATCACTGTTGTTGAATGCGCCAGGGTATCTCATCCATCAATAAGAAATGCAAAAGAAACAAGGGAGAAACGCGGGCATTGTACTGTAGAAACACCCCGTTTCCGTCCCAACAAGTGGAGTAGTTAATAAGACAGAAGAAGAAAAGAACGGACTTCACGAAGCCCGGAAATCGTACATGCGGACTTGGTAGTCGTCACCACCGGTGATGAATCGGCTATCACTGAGACCAATGCAGTTCACAGCAGCACGGTGGCCTTCAAAGGTGTCCTGGCAAGTGGGAACACGGGGATCCCATATCTTCACCATGCGGTCCATGCCGCCCGATGCAATCCGCAGGGTATCAGCAGAGAGAGCCCAGATACCCTCCAAGTGACCAAAGAACGTACGGAGGCATCTTCCAGTGCTGGTCTCCCACAAGCGAATAGTGGCATCGACACCGCTTGTGATAATGTAGCGTGGGGGCTCCAGGCGGCTCTCTTCTTGGTCGAAGGAAGCGCCGAAAGACGAAGGTTGGATAGAGAGGGACTTGGCCTCAAGAATGGGGGAAAGGGTGTTGACGGCATCGCCATCCTGAGAGGAGGTACTGACGTGATCGTTTTCACAGTCAGCGAGGTGGCTTTCCAGCTCAATTTCACGTGGCAAAGCGATAACTTGCTGGACTGCTCCGATGTGATTGTGGAACAATCGAATGCAAGTCTTGGTGTCCAAATCCCATAGGCGAGCTGCGCCATCATCACAGGCAGTCAAGACTGTACGCGAGGGAGTGTCGATCTTCACAGCGTTGACTCCCTCTGGATGAGGAAGCACAAAAGTGGACTTATCCTTGAAGTTCCAGATCTTGACTGTGTGGTCAACGGAGGCAGAAGCCAGAAGAGTGCTATCAAAGTGGAGGGCAATGACCGCTTCACTGTGACCATTGTATTTGGAGATACATTCGCCCGTGCGCCAATTCCACACTCTGATGCTGCGATCCAAGCTACCGGTGATCAGCTTGGTATCGTCAAACTGGAGACAACGCACTCCAGCAGTGTGGCCTCGAAGTGTTCGTAATTCTTCGCCAGTGTCGGTGTCCCAAATCTTAATAGTGGCGTCGTAGGATCCAGTCATCAAGATGTTGTCCTCGAATTGCAGGCACATGACACTGTCTCGGTGGCCCTTGAACACTTTAACCGAGCATCGCTTGTGCTTCCAGTTCATGCCAACCACGAAGCGGTCACGGTAGACATCCTTCCATGGACGGTAACGAGTCTTGAAATAACCTTCGTCCTCTTCGAGAGCTTGTCCGGGGGTTGCACAGTGACGTTTTGTCAGTGCGGTGCTATGGTCATCAAAGTCAATCTTGCGCTTTCCACCAACAGGAGGCTCGGCTGTCGAGCAAGACTCAGAAATGGTGTTCTCGACAGGGGCTGCAGCAGGCTGGTTGTGCCCCCAATTGGTGGCACGGAGCTCGATCTCACGCTTTGCCTCACGCAAACGCTTGCGATCCAGAAGCGGAAGACCCCAGCCACACTTGTTGCACTTGCGGCGGATATGTTGCTCACACATCCTGTGCCAGACCACATCATCATCAGCCAAGGCTCTCCAGCGATGAGACACTTGAGCTGCTCGGCAAAGGGACGCGGTATCAAGATATCGAAGGATTTTGAAAGACAGTTCTGGGGGCAGGGCTCCAAGGAAATCAATTCGGATCAGTTCGCGGACGCTAGCAGAGATGTAAGAGAGTTGGGGGAAGCAGCACTGAGCCAAAATTCCCTGAAGCATGAGAGTGCGCTGCTTGGCTGGAGCAGCGGAGAACAAGGACCAAACGTGGGCGATGCCTTGCTGATCACTTTGAGGGAGTGTGTCCAGATCGCTTTGCAGCCGAGTCATTGACTGCTCATCGGCTTGGCGTCTGCACTTCGAATCTGGTTGGTGACGGTAGCAGTAACTAGCGTTCACCGGGCGATGCTGAGCAGCAGTGTTGATCTCAGAGCGCAAAGGCGCATATTGCCTCGGTTGGTACTTTGTCAAGAAAGACGCAACATTCTGCCTTGCCCGTTCCTCCAATGTCTGTGTGTCAGAATCTTTGCGGGGCGGAGAGCGGTTGGAATCGGCGTTTGCACTTGGGCCCGCAGTGGCGGCAGGGGTCAGGGTGTGCTGCACAAGTCGGGTTTCCGGAATATCGGACATGGTTGAGGATCGGTGAGGTTGAGAGGGGAAGGCCGCATTAAATGAAGGTGACGGTTATACCTATTGTTGCACAGCGACAAGGATGAAGGTGGCTTGCGCGTGTCGGCGCTCGAATATTGTCGCGCAACACTCCGATATGATAGTGGCGATGTGACAGAGAAATACTCCGTCTGATATCCCAGGAATATTGGGGATTAAGTAGGAAGATAATGAGTACCCTGAGGACCTCGGGATACCCTAAGGTTAATGACACAGAAGAAACCTTGGGAGATGCAGAAGTCAACCGGGATCACCGGAGACTTTAAACAATAAGGCGATTGCACAATCGTCTAATTTCAGTAGTCGCAATAGATCGGATTTGGTTTAGTTCGACTTGAAATGAGAGGAATTGCGTGACGGAAGGCGAATACGTGCTGGGCGGTGAGGCACGTGACTGAGATTGCGACATCTCCGCGATTGCTCACATCAACACTTGCCCATCTCTCCAACTTCTTCTCTTCTTATGATTCGCGAATGTATCAAACTGGGGTTTCAGACGGGCTCACACCGCTAATTACGGAAGCTTCTGTTTCTATACAGTGGAGATATTAAGTCTAGCCCCAGACCCACTGGTAAGACGCTTGCTCCTCCCAGCTTTGGTGGAGAAGAGCTTATCGGTGTGCATCCCTGCATTCCAGGCCTCCGTCTTTCAATTCCTCTATATCAGTTCGGATACATCTGGCCAACAAGCTCAATGATCTAAGCTTTCAACTGATAGTAGATTCCGAATCCCTCCCTCTCGTAGCCTCGATCGAGGGTTTTCTGGTTGAGAGCTGTGTCTGCTCACCCTGGTATCACCTCATCGCCTCCGTTGTTGCCAAAATGTCGTCATCCGAGTCATCCGCATCATCGATTCCTCCCCCGGACGAGGAGAATTCTATGCCGCAGGTTGACAACCTAATCTCCTATCTCCTGGGAGCCAAGCGGTCGCTCTCCTCAATCAACCATGTGTGGCGAGCCAACGAAATTGTGACTGCATCCCATTCGGCGTTGGAGGAGAGCGTCATTGTCTGCTCTCGGACAGGGTTTCTACGCCGAGGTCTCAACAACCAGCTGCGGCTGCTATATGACGTCCGCACCGAGGTGGAGGAAATCTCATACCGAGGTCGTGATGAGTTCTCGGCTGCCTTGAGAAACCTAGATGCAGCGGATGCTCGCCTCAAAGATACCCTGGATTTACTGCGTGGGACCATTGTTCACCCTTCATTCAGACCCGGGGATGAAGCTCAGAAGACTCTCCATGACTTTGTCGATGAGCGAGGAGTGGCAGAGCTGCATGCGTCCTTGAAAGACTCAATAGACCGTACTAACACAGCACGAGCGGAGTTGGACACATCCAATCGGGAGTTTGATGACGAGCTTCAAGCCACCAGGCAGTCACTCCGACATTACCACACAGCTACGAAATTGGCCTCATCCCGTGTGTCAGTCTCGTCATCGTCCTCCTCTGCCTCGGATTCCGGCCTGCTCACGCTATCGTCGATGCCTGGTCAGATCCAGTCATTGGAGGCCCACGCCCAAGAAATGGCCGGCCTCCTTGAGTCCCTGGTTCGTCATTTTGACCTCTGCGTCACTGCTGTGAAACATACAGATGGTGGAGGAGCAGTTGCACGATCTATCACAGGAGATATGCCCACGGGGGTGGACCGCAGCACCGACGGGATGCCAAATATTGGGGCGGAAATCAATGCCAATTTGAACGCACCCCTGGATCCCATGACAGACGCTGAATACCAGGAGATGGTTACTGTCATTATCAAGGATGCTCCTGAGGCCGATGATGTGGTAATGGAAATTCAAGATCGCATCACCGACATGGAATCCATTTTCGAACAGGTACAAGCCCAACGAGATGTGCTCTTGACTATTTCCAAGGCAACCGTTGAAGTGAACACCCACCTGTCCTCATTGGCCTCCTTTCGTCTGCCTCGTTACATCTCCCAGGCACACAATTTTACCAGAGTTTGGCACGAGGAAAATGACCGCATTAACACTGGTCTTGTAGAACTCTCTGACCTACACTCCCTCTATGATGGCTTCCTCAATGCCTATGATAGCCTTATGCTCGAGGTAGCTCGTCGAAGGCATGTCCGCCTAAGGGTGGAAAAGGTCCTCCGAGACACCCGGCACAAGCTGGATCAACTCCACGATGAAGACGCTGCCGCTCGGGATGCCTTCCGTGTCGACCAGGGTGATTTCCTCCCCTCGGACATCTGGCCTGGTGTTGGACTAGCGCCCATGCAGGTGCAATTCCTCCGCCTCTCAGGGGGTCACCTCGACGGTAACCCTGCTCTTGAGGATACCAAGGAGCAATCCAGGGCTCACGAGTTGGCCGAGGCTGTCAAACCAGGGGTTCCAGATGACAGTGCTGAGGGGGAACATATCCCAACCCTTCCGAAAGACCTTATCGAACAAGCATACGCACGGGTCAAAGCGCGGCATAAGAACGTTGCGTGAACCCATGCAGCCACAATCCATCTCCATCCGATATACCTAACTCAATTACTGCTAATACCCGCCTCATTACCTTCCAGTACAGCGATGCATCATTTCCCCCGGCGTCTTCATTTGAATCTTCTGCTATCTATCCCACCACTCTATGTATAATCGGTGGAAATTGGATATCAAGCTTGCCCCATGCTATATTTAGCTACTTTATCACAATCACGATGCGAGCTGGACTTGCAATATGACCTAGATGATGAAAACCCAATAGGTCCGACCTGCCTTTCCGTCCTCAATTCCCTGTTCAATCCACATGCTTCAGATGCATACTCCTCGAAGATGTAAGCACTTCGTATTCTGGATCTTGCAAGAGATTGAGGGACAATTGGTTTGGAATGACTTCCAAAGAGAGCTCTGATAAGTCATTGTCCGGCTGAGCTTGTGAGGCATATAAAAAGCAATATACATAGAACCATTTTGTGTTCAAAAGTTAGATACTCGTAATGGTTCGCCATGAATATATTTTTGTGTAGCAGATATATATGCTGTCCCATTTTATGTATTCTAGACCAAGGTATCAAATGCCCAATGCTCCATCCATATATGCATTTCATCATCAAATCATGCCAAGCGGTTACTCACACAATGTGTAAACGCAACGTGCACATGCAAAGAAAGATAAGAGAAACCGTGCGCTTATTTCTTCTTCCGGGAGGAAGAGGAGACAAGACGCTTCTTCATATGCTTGGGCATCTTATTCGCTCGCTGCTCACGCTTCTCCTCCTTGACCTTTGCCTTGTGGTCGCGCTTGGAATCTTTGTCTTCGAAACGCTTACCCCGAGGCGCCTTCTTGGCGAAGGGATCACTGTCGTCGTCATCTGAGTCGGATCCTGAGACGGAGACACCACCACTGGCATCAGAGGCGGCGTCTTCTTCGACCTCAGTCTTCTTCTTGCCACCGGCCAAGAGGTCACCGTAGATAAGATCGGCACCTTGACCATCACGGATGCGCTCGGCATCACGCTCGACATCGTACACCTGCTCTAGTGTCTGGGGAATGTATTGTTGACGGAAGACAGCAGTGTCAACATCCTCGGCCTCCTGCTGTTCCTCGTCACCCTCCTCACGGGCAACGAGAAGCTTCTCAATGGCAGCGTTCATTTCTTCGGCTCCACCGGCGATCTCAGACGGGCCATCGGGGGAAATTATGAACTGGAAGACAGTACGCTCAGGCAATGTGAGAACATTCTTCCGGCGGAAGAAGTCGCTGACGTTCTTGATATCCATACGCAGGAATTCCAGACTGCGAGGGTGGTCGTGCTCAACACTCTGACTGACATCGATGATGTAGAGACGCTCTTTGTGGTAGAGGATGTTGTACTCACTCAGATCGGCATGGACAAGACGACAGGTCTGGTACATAACACGCATGTAACCCAATAATTCCATGTACAATGCGCGCCAGCGAGTCTCGGGCTCGGGGATGTTAAAGTCCACGTCCTTCAGGCGGGGTGCGCCCAGACCCTTGGAACTACCAATGAAACCCATCACGAGGACGTGGAGACGAAGGTAAATAGGCTCGGGACAAGGGATACCGGTAGCGTAGATTCTGCGCAAGTTACGCATTTCCTTTTCGGCCCAGAGCTTGACCATAGCGCGGTTGTTGCTCTTGTTGTATCCCTGACGGAATCGGAACTCGCCAGTAACGTACTTATCACGGTCCTTGAAGACCAAGATACTTGTCTTGTAGACCTTGATGGCGCGGTGTAGCGGGGTAGCATCTTCATCTTCCTGGGGGAAGGACATGGCGTGGTAGACGTTGGCTTCCTTTCCGGTAGACAGACATCCGTGAATTTCGGAGACAAGACCACGGTTTATCATCTGCAGCAAGAGCATTCGTGTACGGGGATCCAACACTTGTTCCGAGGTGGCTCGGTCAGCCTTATCTCCACCCTTTTCAGCCTTGCCTGAGATACCAGCCTGTTGATCGTCGAGCTTGATCTTGCCAGCGTGGCGAGTAAGCGACTTGACCTGGTCATCGATGGAGGCAGAGGTGTTGACGGTAGGCTTCTGGGTGTTCGTCTTGGGATAGGTCCATTTCGGGACATTCGAGTCGGCAGCAAGATCGTTGATTTTGCGCTGCCGGTTGTAGGCCTTGGTCAGATCGGAGTTATCGGAAGAGAGAATATCCTCGCGATCCAATTCCTCCTCGAAAATATCCTCATAGTCCTCGTCGTATTCATCGTCCTGCTCATCGGGCAGATCTTGCCCCGCTGCAGCGGAGTCTGCATTATTGGGGTTCACGTAGCCCTCATTGGGCACATAGGTGTGGGATGGCGCAAGGCCATCGGCAATGCCAGTAGCCTGGGTATTGTTCTCGTTTGAAGCCATTCTGGAACTTCAATGTCGAGAAAGCAGAGATGTGAGTTCGTCCGTCCCCAAGGTTTTTTTTTTCTGTGGCCCAAATTTGACTGACCGCCCGGCAGAACCCCGCGCCCAACGAGACGCGCGGATTTCGTTCCTCGCGTAGTCTCCCTGGCCGTCGCAACACACGCATCCTCGCCGTGGTTTTTGTCTGTTTTTCTTTTTTTTTTGCCAGGACATCTGTGCGCTGGTAATACGGCGCATACTTCTATTTTCTGACATTCGCGCCACTCGCGTTATGCCGTGGGCGTTCTAGGTGATCACCGCGTTGCGCATATCCTCTCACGATGTATGTCAAGCAAATCATCATCCAAGGCTTTAAGAGGTATGTGGCCCAGATCACCGGTTCATATAATTTGACGACCTTTTCTTAACTAAAAATCAATTTCAGCTACAAGGACCAAACGGTCATTGAGCCATTCTCCCCCAAACACAATGTCATCGTCGGCCGCAATGGTTCTGGCAAAAGTAACTTCTTCGCCGCCATTCGATTCGTCCTTAGCGATGCCTACACTCACCTCGGTAGAGAGGAGCGTCAAGCTCTGTTGCACGTAAGTGACCCGCCATTGATCCCTCGTCGAGCTGTATTGACCCCATGCAGGAAGGTTCCGGTTCTGCTGTGATGTCTGCCTACGTCGAGATCATCTTCGACAACTCCGACGATCGATTTCCCACCGGCAAGCCCGAGGTTGTCCTCCGTCGTACCATCGGTATCAAGAAGGACGAATACACTCTCGACCGCAAGAATGCCACCAAGAACGATGTCATGAATCTCCTCGAGTCGGCCGGTTTCTCTCGATCTAACCCTTACTACATTGTCCCCCAAGGCCGAGTCACCGCACTGACAAATATGAAGGATTCGGAGCGATTGGTCCTGTTGAAGGAAGTGGCTGGTACCCAGGTCTACGAGGCTCGTCGGTCGGAGTCTTTGAAGATTATGCACGAGACCAACAGCAAGCGGACCAAGATTGACGAACTCCTTGACTATATCAACGAGCGACTTGCCGAACTCGAAGAAGAAAAGGATGAGCTTCGGAGCTACCAAGAAAAAGACAAGGAGCGCCGATGCTTGGAGTACACCATTTACTCGCTTGAACAGCAAGAAATCGGAAAGGTTCTTAATGAAATCGAGGAGCGACGACAGAATGGCGTGGAAGATGCAGACAACAACCGCGACCAATTTATCGATGGCGAAAAGGCCATGGCTCAAATTGATGCCGAGATCGCCGAATGTCGACAGCAGATCGAGTTCCTTAAGGTTGACAAGGCTCAGCTTGAAGATGAACGCCGTGAAGCTTCCAAGACTCTGGCACAGAACGAACTGCAGGCCAAGTCTCTTTCTGACAACCAGGCTGCCGCCCAAGCATTAAAGTCCCGTTACGACGCTGATCTTACTTCTGTTCAAGACGCCATCAAGGAGCGCGAGGCCGAACACCAGGAAATCCTTCCTCGCTTCAATGCTTTGAAAGACCAGGAAGACGCAGTGAAGTCGCAGTTGACAGATGCCGAAACCTCTCGCCAACGTCTGTACGCGAAACAGGGCCGTAACTCACGCTTCAAAAACAAGTCTGAGCGTGACAAGTGGCTGAACATGGAAGTCAGAGAGAGTAACAACTCTGTCAAAGCAGTCCAAAATGTCGTTGCTCAGACCAGGGAAGACATTCAGGAACTGGAAAGTGAAATTGCTCGGCTGGAACCAGAGACCGAGCTCCTGCGCCAGCAGATTGATGGACGGGGTGACACAATGCACAACGTGGACCAACAAGTTCAAGATGCCAAGGACGAGAGAGACCGTCTCATGGATCAGAGAAAGGAACTATGGAGAGAAGAAGCAAAGCTTGACTCTGTGATTTCTAACGCCTCTCAGGAAGTTGACCGTGCTGAGCGTAATCTGTCGTCCATGATGGATAATAACACCAGCCGTGGAACAGCTGCGGTGCGCCGAATCAAGCGCCAGTATAACCTCGAAGGCGTTTACGGTACTCTTGCAGAACTGTTCGATGTGAATGACCGATACCGAACCGCCGTCGAAGTCACTGCAGGACAGAGTCTGTTCCACTACGTTGTTGACACTGATGAAACCGCCACAAAAGTGCTTGAAATTCTACAAAAGGAAAAGGCTGGCCGTGTGACATTCATGCCGCTCAACCGCCTCCGCTCAAGGCCCTTGAACATGCCTCGCGCCAGTGACACAATCCCTATGATTGAAAAACTACAGTATGACCCTGCATATGAGCGAGCTTTCCAGCACGTGTTTGGCAAGACGATCATTTGCCCCAACCTGCAAGTTGCGTCGCAGTACGCTCGAAGCCACGGCGTCAACGCTATTACCCCAGAGGGTGATCGATCTGACAAGCGTGGTGCTTTGACTGGTGGATACCACGACTCACGCCAGTCCCGCCTGGATGCTGTCAAGGGTCTAGGAAAGTGGCGAGATGAGCTTGAAACCAAGAGAAACCGCGGCACTGAGATCCGGAAGGAATTGGAAAAGCTTGACCAGATGATCACCAAGGCTGTTGGTGAATTGCAGAAGCTCGAGCAGGAGAGACACAACGTCCAGAACCGAAGTGGACCATTGCGACAAGAGTTGCGGGGCAAGCGTGATCAACTACAGAAAATGAATGATACCCTCGACGCTAAGCGCCGCGCCCTTCGCAATGTCGAATCTAACCTGGCGGCCTTGAATGACCAAGTCAGCGCCTTTGAAGCGGAGTTGTCATCGCCTTTCCAGAAGGCCCTCACCAGTGAGGAAGAAGCCCGACTTGAGACTCTGAGCAGCACAGTACAAAATCTCCGCCGTCAATACCAAGAACTTTCTAGCCAGCGCAGTGAGCTCGAGGCACGGAAGTCGGTGCTTGAAGTTGAGCTTCGTGAGAATCTCAACCCTCGCCTTGATCAACTGCTCAACAGAGACGTTGACATTGCCGACGAGGAAGTTCAGGGCAACTTGAAGGAGGTACAACGTGAAGTGAAGCGTCTTACTCAGGCGTTAGAGAAACTGAACACACGACTCAAGCAGGTGGATACCTCTATTGAAGAGGGCAACACTCGTGTTGTTGAACTCCAACAGCGCAATGCCGAGACCCGCCGTGAGATTGAAGATCTCGCTCGATCCATCGAGAAGCACCAGCGACGCATGGAAAAGAGTATGCAAAAGAAGGCAGCCCTTACCAAGCAAGGCGCCGAGTGTGCAGCGAACATTCGTGCCCTAGGTGTGCTTCCCGATGAAGCCTTCACCAAGTACCAACACACCGACTCCAACATTGTTGTGAAGAAGCTCCATAAGACCAACGAGGCACTAAAGAAATACTCTCATGTCAACAAGAAAGCCTTTGAGCAGTACAACAGCTTCACCAAGCAGCGTGAGACATTGACCTCGCGTCGTTCTGAGTTGGACGCCTCGCAAAAGTCTATCGACGATCTTATTTCTGTACTTGATCAGCGCAAGGATGAGGCTATTGAGCGTACATTCAAGCAGGTTTCTCGCGAGTTCCACAACGTGTTCGAGAAGCTGGTTCCGGCCGGTCGTGGTCGCCTCATTATTCAGCGCAAGACAGACCGCAACACGCGACCCGAGGATGACGTTGATTCGGATGACGAGGAGGCTCGCCAGAGTGTGGAGAACTATGTCGGTGTTGGCATTAGCGTCAGCTTTAACAGCAAGCACGATGATCAGCAGCGTATCCAGCAGCTGAGTGGTGGACAGAAGAGTCAGCTCCCCCTCTCCAAATCTGACCAGTCTCAATTCAAGCAAGTCTAACAATCTTATAGGTCTTTGCGCTCTCGCCCTCGTGTTCGCTATCCAAGCCTGTGATCCCGCACCATTCTACCTCTTCGACGAGATCGACGCCAACCTGGATGCCCAGTACCGAACCGCCGTGGCCCAAATGCTCAAGTCGATTTCGGATTCCACCAACGGTCAGTTCATCTGCACGACCTTCCGCCCTGAGATGCTGCACGTCGCAGAGAAGTGCTACGGAGTCAGCTTCCGACAGAAAGCCAGTACGATTGATGTGGTGTCCCGCGAGGAGGCACTCAAGTTCGTGGAGGAGCAGAAGTCCTGAGGGAGAGTATCTTTGCTTGTTTGTATATTGTAATCATTGCTTCGGTGGATGGGCTGGCGCATGATACCGGATTTCTTTCAATGTGATTCTTCGTTCTTTATTTATTCACATGTGTTCCGTAGAGTGTGTAGTATGCTGTAGTAGTCTAATACGCTGATGCTGATGCAAGGCTATCAAGGCAAATCCGAGGCTCCAGCTTCCCCCGACCATTCGAACAAGATATCCTCGGGCACATCTCGAACCAGAATGTGAACATGTTCCAAAGCCCTGACACTCTGCAAGCCAACCCAGTTTTTAAACCACAACACATGTGAAGCAGCATCCGAGGCAATTCTCGGATCCCCAGCCAATCGATCAACAAAAGTGCGCCTCACAAAGGTGTCGATCAACAACCTTGATTCATCCGTCAAATAGCCCTCCTCGGATTCGACAGGAATAGGCGTGCGCAACCAAACAACCAAATGCGAAATGCCGGGGGTCAGCCCGTACGGCCAGTCATTGCGGAGAATCTTGTAGTCCTCGGGATCGGCAAAAGGACGCGGGTTTTTGAAGGCAAAGACGCCCTGTTGAATAACCGCAGGGTCGGCAGTATCCAGCGGCATTTGCCACTGCAGTCGCCGTTGGCAAATGTAATTCATGATCGACCCATATTGGGCTTTGATATCTGCGCTCCACGCTAAATATCGGCGCAGATCGGAAGGCTTCCGCTTGAGGGCGCCGAGATCATTCCGAGCTGAATGTGTGAGGGGAATTGTACTGGAGTTGGAGATGAGAGCATACCGATGATATCTTTGAGGTCTTCCCAGTCGTGGTGGACGAATTCCTCGTCGGTCATGGCCAGGAGCTGGCGGTCCAGATCGGTGAGATTGAACGCAGGCGGCATGATCACATAGAATGAAGAGAACAGAATAGAATCATAGCTCTATACAGGAACTGGACAGTAAATAGAGAAATAATCCGCGGGGTAATTCAAAAGGGTATTGAAATCCGTTGGGGTTCCGCTCTCCGCTCTGACTTTCTTTACTTCCTCCTCTCTTCTCTCTTTACCCTGAACCTTCAGTCCAGTTTCATCATGAGGTATGTTACCATCGCGGTTCCTGTTCCTGTTCTGTTCCCGTTCCTAGTCTAATCTCGGCTCATTATCAGTCTCGCCACTATCGGAACGGCTCTTGCGCCCTCCGTCCTGCTCGTCGCAGGGGTCTACGCCGTCAAGCCCGAATTCGTCACCTATGCTGTCGCCGCGGCTGCTGTTTTCTCTGCCTTCCTGGTCCTCAGAACTTGTTTGTCTACCACGGGTGAATCGTCGAGGAATTGAGCTAATGCCGTGTAGCCGCCCCCCGGAAGGTCCTGAATCCCACCGAGTTCCAGGACTTTGTTCTCAAGGAGAAGAACGAGATCTCCCACAATGTCTGCATCTACCGTTTCGCCCTCCCCCGTCCCACCGATATCCTTGGTCTCCCCATTGGCCAGCACATCTCCCTCGCCGCGACCATTGCCGGTCAGCCCAAGGAGGTTGTTCGCTCCTACACCCCCATCTCTTCCGACAACGAGGCTGGTTACTTCGACCTGCTTGTCAAGGCCTATCCCCAGGGTAACATCTCCAAGTACCTGACCGACCTCAAGGTCGGCGACACCATGAAGGTCCGCGGTCCCAAGGGCGCCATGGTCTACACCCCAAACATGTGCCGCCACATTGGTATGATCGCCGGAGGAACTGGTATCACCCCCATGCTGCAGGTCATCGAGGCCATCATCCGCAACCGTCCCCGCAACGGTGGCAATGACACCACCAAGGTCGACCTCATCTTCGCCAACGTCAACCCGGACGACATCCTGCTCAAGGAGAAGCTCGAGAAGCTGGCCCAGGAGGACGATGGATTCCGCGTCTACTACGTCCTCAACAACCCTCCCGAGGGCTGGACCGGCGGTGTCGGCTTCGTCACCCCCGACATGATCAAGGTATGTCCTGCGTCTGAGTTGTGTAACTGTACCCGTACTAAATAGCATTTATAGGAGCGCCTCCCCGCCCCCGCTGCCGATGTCAAGGTCCTCCTCTGTGGTCCTCCCCCCATGGTCAGCGCCATGAAAAAGTCCACCGAGGCTCTTGGATACACCAAGGCCCGCCCTGTGAGCAAGCTCGAGGACCAGGTCTTCTGCTTCTAGGGTGACAAAAGTCGTGGCTTCCGACGTGCTCATGCTTTTGGTGTGCAAAAAACCGAAGTGGTGAGCTGAAGAGCATTTTGATGTATATCTGTGTGGAATGGTTAGAGGTGTCTATAGACCCCAGTGGGATAAAAGATGTCCTTTGGTGCCTGTCTGGTTTATTAATCTGATTTTGGTTCTATATCTATATCCAATTATATTGACTGTACAAATTATGATAGGCTGTTGTCTGTCTTTGCCTGCATAGAATGCCAATGTACTGTACTCTATGACGCGCCACGACACGTGCCATATCGGCCCCGAACGTGGCTGCTTTGTACTTGAGGTCTGGTCGACCTGTCTTGTCTATCAGATTCGATTTCCAAAATCTCGCGCCAACGTTTGCCGAGCCTTGCACGAACTTCGCAAGTAGCAGCTGGAAGATACAATCACCTCGCAATATCTGAGACATCCTAGTCGAGAATGGGATACGACGAGAAGAAGCTGAAGATCGGGCAATATCCCGCGGTAGAGTGGTTCGGGGAGGGAAGCTTCCATCTGCTAAATACCCCAATTATACTCACGAACATCTAGTAGACCTAGCCCGAGTACAATGAAACTCCTTCCTTTTAATGGATGCGGTGAATATAACTATACAACGGACCTGAAGAACCACCACTGACGGATGATATAGGTCTTCGCCCACCACCTGGCGAGTCCTGCTCTTCAGAGCATACAGCAATGCCAGAGACAGCCAATCCCTCTCCGCCACCTTCCCACTCCCGATTTAGGGGTATTTGCCCAGGTCACATCTTTGACTCACTGGATACCACGTCGAAAAGAAAGACCCGATCTTCAAAGCAGCCAAGGAGTTCACCCATGATTTCGACGAATCCATTTGCACCGTCGAAGGTTTGACTGAATTCGACGCTGATGAGCGGGTCTTGGTTCTCATGGCTCATGACCATCCTTTCTTGCCTATATTTACAGGCGAGGAAGATAATGATGGAGCATGGTTCTTCCCTCATAGGACTCTTAATGATTGGCCACAAGCTGATCTCCGAGAGAGGGGGAGACGGCGCTTCCGTAACGATGTCAAAGCGGCTATTGAGAAAGAGTGATGCTCTTTCGTGACCTACGTCAATAGCGGTCTTTAGGGCGAGGGTGGTAATGGAAAGAATGAATGAAATGGAATATTGTGACCTTGATATGGACTACAGAATACAATACATGTTCTAGTCTCAACCCAATCGACAAGGCTCGCGAGTACAGAGTACGGGACGTGACTCGGTCAAATGAAAAGACACGCGATCAATGTGAGTATGCAAGATCCAGCCGTCCCGAATTTCGCCGCATAAGCCAATGAGAGTTAAAAGAAACCTTCCGATGGATCTAGTGGCTTGGGGCCAAGAATGTTGATAGATCACAAAGCCACGACGACCATTGAACACAAATACAAATGGTCAATCGTGACAATTACAATGCTTCCAGTCAATCACACTTTGTCCCTCACTTTTCAAATCACTGGATTTACACTAGGGACCGGCTACTGAAAACGAGGCTGTTCCACTCTAGCGCATTGTATCCCTGTCCGCAGGATTGGCGCTAACTTCAGCTCGCTAAGATGCGACTTACGTGTAGGGAATGACCTGGCCTTGTTAATCTTCATATAGTGGCGATTTGGTTCAATTCGACACAATCCTATATTGCATAGATAGCAGAGGAACGAATTTAGAAAGGGTCATGAGAGTAGATTATAAAGAGTGTGACATAAAATACGAAAGGCATAGTAAAGCGACCATTCAAGTGCGATTCTGTTCCTTGAGATGGGACATCTCCACCCAGCCTTCAGGATCACCATTATGGCTGAGGATAGTATGAGTCGTCTCATGCTCATCCTCTCCACATCTCGAAAGCGAGTCCGCAGAAGAGGATGGACGGACTGTTGTAGCCGATGCCGGACCGCCCTTCTGGGAAGAAATAGAAATAGTAGTCGTGACAATTGGCGGCGCAATGGATGGGTTCCCTCGGGTTGTCGAGCCGTAGTTTCCATAATAGCCATCTTGCTTGTATTGAGGGTGGCTTCGGCTGGCTGTTGATTTGATGAAGTGATGGGTTAATGGCCGGAAGAGTGGCCAAACTGGCGGAATTGACATTGTGATCAGGACGATCCATTCTTCGACTTCACCCCAGCGGAAGAGGATTCCCACGCCGTCTGGTCTCAGGTTAGCGATTGCTTCATTTGAGTGGACATGTTGCGGCTTACAAGATGAGTCTTCGCTCATAATGAACTTGGCTGCCCATGTTCTGACAATTGCAGCAGCACCGGCGAAGACACCACATCCCATGAGGAAACTAAGACCCCATTTCAATGTCTTGTCGATTCGTAAGGGTACCAGCATTGTGATTGGGATGACGGCGAGGTAGATATCCGAGATGGCGGCGACGGCACCCACAAAGTATGTATAGTATACACTCTTGCGGTGGTCACATTGACTCTGGAGGAGGGGATCCCATAGTGCATTTGGGGGACTGCATTGGAACCAGACTAAGAGGACCTGGGGGATGTTGACGATAATGTTCACGGCAGCGACGAGAATGAGACTTCGGCGGATTTTGGGGTCTATAGAACAGGTCTATTAGCTTTGCCAGCGCAGGATTGAGCTGATCCGTACTGCTCTGTGAGTTCATTTCAATTAGAAATGCAGCCACCGCGACCTTGCCGGTCGGAATTGCCAAGTTGAAGAAAAAGACCGTGATCCATGTGAAGAGAAGGAAATGGTGTAATTCGCCGGCTTCTTGGACGATTGTGATGTGGTTCCCTAGGCCATGGAGAACAGAAATAATACCGAATATTTGAGTGAGTGTAGTAAATACCTGTCATCCGTTAGTACAGACCATGTATATAGATCAATGGTCATACCCAGGCCACTAGAGACCATATCAACGCCGTAGTTCCAAACTTGTTCATACGAAGACGAACATAAATCCGTAAGACCATAAAAATAGTCGCAACAGTACCCAAAGCAATACCTAAGCGCAAGTCGCTCGGCCCGCGACCACCATATGCAGGGAAACTCTCATGAAGACCCATGCTAGAAGGAGTGACAAGGACAGGTAAAGACCGAAACGAGGCCCCATTCTCGAAAAGCACCGCTCGCGCACAGCGCACCAACACCTATATGTATTCACACCACTACGCATTGTCGGGCCCGAGGCTCCAAGCGGAGGCCCCCGTCCGCAGATCGCGTTCACCTTCATGCACAGCAATGCCCAACTAAATCCAATTTAAACAAGCGCATAGTGGGGAACAAGAAGCAGACAAGGAACAAAAGGCTTAATTGGCGACTCGCAGGCGGCCTAGTCCGATCAAGTGGGGGTTGAAGAGCGAAATTGGCAATGCTACAGGTTACATCCATTGGTTCACGACGCCACTAGCGTTTGGTCTGGCACAACAGGATGGGCCAGTACATGTAAAGCCGGTATATCCGCTGCTTTTGATATTTGCTCTCACGGTACTTGTCCGTAAGCAGGCGAGCATTGAATTGCCGATCGCTGTCATTGTAGGGAACCTGTTCAATAGCGCCTGACCCAACCACTGAGCTACTCGTATCTCCGGCCGATCTTTGAAGAAATAGGCAGCTGATTCCGGAAGATCTTTGCAGTGGTGTTGCTGTGTGTGTCAGGGTTTGCGGCGGTCAGTGCATCGGGTATTCCTACCCCTGAGCGCAGTTAGGGTTGCCAGGTAATGTGCGTCAAAGTACAGTATGGGGAAATGTAACTTCGACTATAAACTAAGTTAAGATTTATTGAACACGAGCCGAGTCAATAAAAGTGCCATATAATTGAACTTTAACTAACCGACGGCCATATTAAAATTCAAATATTCTCTCAACCGCGCTTTCTGTGGAGCAAGTCTTCCATGTCTCCGTAGCAAGCATTTTATCAATCGTGTGGGCAATCAGATCTCAAGACAAGTCTCCGCGACAACAGACAGCTCCACCGTACTATTTCTTCCTTGGGTTTGGCGCATTGAACGCGATCATCGAGGTGCTGCTCCATTCCCACCAAGTTTTGCTACCCTCAAATCTTTTCAACGGCATATCATTGCTTAAAGTTTCGGCGGACTCTACGATATTTGTACCGTTGTTGTCCACTTGAATGGGAACGTCTCTGAGTCTGTTTCCTCGTTTTTGCGGTTACAAATTAGTTGATAGCATCATTGAAGGCAAGGTTAAATTGCAACTGAACTCTCAGTAGTGCAGAAAAGTATCTGATTGTGAACTTTGTATTTGTGTCCAGAGCGTTACGGTCATTGCTGCAGTCACCCACTGCATAGATTCCCCTAAGTTAATGATGAACTGTAGATAGTCTGATCTATGCCAGGGTTGTTTGAAAGGCCCCACTCAAGTTGTAGTATATTTCAACCTTCACACCTTTCCCAGAAACGATCTATCGTCAGACGGACGGCATTTCACAACGAGTTTTTCCCAGAGTCCTTCTCGGGTCACTGGAGTTGTGCGTAGGCGTGTTCATCCTAACCGATAATCCAGGGTACATAGTGGCCCATGACCCAGTCTAAGCATCATTAGCATATGTACTAGATGGATTTCAATCAAAGATACTCCCCAAATGCCTGGGTTTGATATGCCGTCGCAATATGCCCGCTATGCTTTCACGCTTGAACTTCGATTCGCAATAAGGGCATCGTACCGCACATTGTGGAAAATTCTGCATGGAAATATAAGAGACATTGAACGTAAGCTGGATCAATGGCAAGTACTCACAATGATCGCGTATGCAGCTGGCCATGAAATTTCCCAATGATCACTGCATTCGCAAAGCTTGGAGTTGTCACTGATTTCTAGGGCGTGAGAATAAGAGGATCAGATCTACAGTCTTGGTAGCAATCAAGATAAAGCCTAAAGTCATATAACGAATTAGACCAGATGAACTTTGGCCTCGATTGTTTTCATAGGGAAAATCATAGATTGAATTCTTTCAAGGTATTATGTACTAGTTTACAAACAAACCCTAGCCTCGAGAGAGCATGGCCGAGGGCGCACTATAATCCTTAGACCGGTTTATAGCCATACGGAGCGCCCAATAGGTGCTCCTAACACCCTGCAGTTTAGTTTCTACGATAACGAACCGGTTTCAGATGTAACATTTGTGCTTGATCTCTTGGGTAGAAGATTGTCTGGGGAGGAAGGTCCCATAGCCGATGGCTCGAGGGTGCCTGATGCAAACATGGCTTTCGGTGAATCTGGAGTTAATAAATGAAAAAGCAAAGCCAGTATGTCATCAGGGGGCTAAGGAGGGTAGGAACTCCCGAAAGCGGTTTGTCATGTTGGATAGAAGATAGAGGGGGATGGAATATAGATTGCATTGGAAGTTGGAGGGGAGGGGAGGAGAAGAAGAGGGAGAGAAAGAGAGAACAGACATGCCACATGACAAAGCGACATTAGCGGATGAGCTTGATCTCAAATACAATAATCACCAACACGGCCATGGGATCTCTGGCCTCGTAAATTCTAGGGGAATATATAGCTATATCAGATATGAAAACAAGAAGCACCCTTGATTTTATGCCTCGCTCAATGAACCGTGATGAATCCTGCTATCATAGCAAGGAATTTCGCGCGATATTCACTTGCAGTTGTCGTGATTGTCATGGGACCTTGGCGACCAATGACATTGAATGTTTGCACCACACCTGATAGTGCCTGGGCTTGCAACTTGTGCCGAGCATAAAAGAAGTCGAGCACAGCTGCGCGATACTTCCAGCGTCCATCGGCGGATGACAGTCCTATCCTCCAAGGGCTCGCTCGTCCTCGAACAGTGGGCTCCGAGGAGGCAGGAATCCGCACTAAGAACAACGAGTAATCGACTGCATTGGCTTCCTCAAGAAATTTGGTATCGTCCTGGATTGACTCCCAGAATTTCTCGTAATCCGCCCGCCACAGGTGGAGTTTGTCGCTGAAGGTATCTGCCAGCTTGCTGAGGGTTTCTTCACTCACAAGGGCCTCCGGTAAAAGGTCACGTTCGGGAAAAAAGTAGTCAATCGGCTTTAAGTCGTAAGTCTCCCATCCTTCAGCCGCTGGGTCTTCATCTTTACCACAAAGGGCGTTCTCCATAATTATATGACGAGCTGGAGTAAAACCAAAGATGGTGCCAAGAGTAACATATGGTGCGATGATGTAGTCGGTAATCCAAACTAATAACGAATCTGGATGCTGGGACATATATTCAAAGTACGGCTGAAGGAGGTTCCCCTCGAAGAACGAATACTCGAAATGTCTCGGCAAGCTTTTCACAAGAAAATGCGCATCCAGGGTTGAGAAGAATGTCTAGATTTGGGGTTAGAGAAGATCAGTCACTAGATTGTAAATGTGGTTCCTTACAGAGCCCGAGTAACCCAAGTCACCCATCGTCTTCAGCGGTGGCTGACCTCTGGTTGTATGAAAGCTTCCCCTATATTCATCTTCGTTGAGCTCCCAGATATCTTGGCGCAGTTGATCAAAGAGGATCTTCTCATGGCGGACAAGCTTAATGCGGTACACAGAAAAGAAGGCTATCAATTTTCCAAGGGCAGACTTCTTAAAGCGGTCTGGGTCGCGAGTCAACGCAGACTGGATGGACTTGGATAATGATTTCTGACGGCGATTGCCCATTTTGAGTGTGGGCTATGACTTATGTTGAAATTGTTAACATGAGTAGAACTAAACAGGCGCATTTGGTAAAGATATCAAGAATACTGGTGACGTCAGGTGCCTAGATAACTGCGATTTGATTGGCCGTACGGGCACAACAGAATGACCTGACTTGTCGACGATGATTACTCGAATTATGGAAGCAAATGATATGAGAGTAGGGAGAGCATGGTCAGAGGCAGACAAATATATGATAAAAGCATGAACAGGATGAATAGCAAGGGAGCAGGACAGTAGACGTGCAGTGTGAAGGTTTGTTGGCCTCCCTCGGGTGTTTTCTGAGGACCCCAGGAGTCAAGAAACAATACAGAATATCAAACTAATCATTTCGGTCCATCTGGATTCTGCTAAATAAGTAAAGAGCTCTATATAGTTGTGTATACTTACGTGTGCGTATAGATAGTCGGTACACGTGACTCACCGCCGGCTTGACTCATCGGGCAAAAAAAAAAAAGAAAGGGCAAAAAAGATCAAGTTCCCCCTCCTTTATGGGTCATCTAAGCGGGGCTCGGCGATTCACAGCCTTTTTTTCTCGTTCACTCTCTTACCCAAGACCTCGATTTTTCGCAACATCGCGATCTTACACAATGGCATCCGCTGCCTCCCTCCCCGCCTCCGTGGCGGCTCTTACCCTCCAGTCCACAGACCAGAAGTCCAAGTTCGCCGGATGCTTCCCGACATTGAACCCCATGGACATCTACCGTGAGCACATTGCGGAGCAATTAGGAAATGCCACCGGCATTGACGCTGCCAAGATCTACGCTCGCCTTGCATGGACCAGTACTCTGGATAAGGGTGACCTTTCATTGCCCGTACGTGCTCGTCAAGCGCGCTGTCGCATGTCCATCGTGGACTAGAGCTAACAGTGTGTCCGATGAATATAGGCCGCTTCCCTCCAGATCAAACAAAACCCTCTCGAGCTCGCCAAGGAGCTCGCCTCAAAATTCCCCGAGTCCGATCTCATTCACCCGCCCTCTGTCACCGGTCCTCATGTGCAGTTCTTTTGCAAGCCCGAGCCTTTGGCCAAGACCGTTCTTGGTCGTGTCCTGTCCGAGAAGGCCGCATATGGTACAAACGGCAACCAGGGTCAGAAGGACCCGTCAGACCCCTCCAAGGGCCAGAAGAAGATCATCATCGAGTTCTCGTCGCCTAACATCGCCAAGCCCTTCCACGCCGGTCACCTGCGCAGCACCATCATTGGTGGTTTCCTTGCAAACCTCTACACTGTCATGGGATGGGATGTCATCAAGATGAACTACCTTGGTGACTGGGGTAAGCAGTACGGTCTGTTGGCCAACGGTTTCAAGTACTTCGGTAACGAGGAGGCTCTGACCAAGGACCCTATCAACCACCTTTTCGACGTCTACGTCAAGGTCAACGGTCTCGTTGCTGAGCACGACGGCCCCATTAAGGAGCTGAAGGAGCAGATCAAGTCCAGGAAGGAGAAGAGTGAGGACGTTACTGAACTGGAGGCACAGCTCGCCAAGCTCGTTGATGTCAGCGAGGATGAGAAGGCCCGTCGTTACTTCAAGAGCATGGAGGACGGTGACCCCGAGGCTCTCGCTCTCTGGCGCAAGTTCCGTGACCTCAGTATCGAGAAATACAAGCAGACCTACGCCCGCCTGAACATTGACTTCGACGTCTACTCCGGTGAGTCGCAGATCAAGGGTGAGAGCATGAGCGGAGCCTACAAGCTCATGGAGAAGGCTGGCGTTTCTGAGGAGTCTGAGGGTGCCGTCATTGTTGACTTCACCAAGCACGGTGCCAAGAAGCTCGGCAAGGCTATCATTGTTCGCAAGGACGGTACTCCTCTGTACCTGACCCGTGATATCGGTGCCATCACTGAGCGTGACGAGGAGTACCACTTTGATAAGATGATCTACGTTGTTGCTGCCCAGCAAGATCTGCATCTTGCTCAGCTCTTCAAGGTCACCGAGCTCATGGGCCACAAGGACCTTGCCTCTCGTTGCCAGCACATCAACTTTGGAATGGTCCGCGGAATGAGCACCCGTAAGGGAACAGTCAAGTTCCTTGATGACATCCTCAAGGATGTTGGCGAGAAGATGCACGAAGTCATGAGGAAGAACGAAACCAAGTACTCGCAGGTCGAGGACCCCGTGAAGACTGCCGATACTCTCGGAATCACCTCCGTCATGGTGCAAGACATGACTGGCAAGCGGTATGTGAAATTTCCTTCCATATTTTAATCATATAGTAGATCCAAATCATATACTAACTGCCTTCCAGTATCAACGGCTACGAGTTCAACTTGGATGCCATGACCTCTTTCGAGGGTGACACCGGCCCGTACCTCCAGTACGCCCACGCTCGTCTCTGCTCAATGGCCCGCAAGTCCGAGTTGGACATTGAAGACTTGGTCAACGCCAACTTCGACCTTTTGACCGAGACTCACGCTTCTGATCTCATCCGCCTTCTGGCCCAGTGGCCCGATGTTCTCCTCAACACCGCCAAGACTCTTGAGCCCATCACTGTTCTCAGCTACCTGTTCCGCATGACCCACATGCTCAGCTCTAGCTACGATGTGCTCAAGGTCATCGGCAGTGAGCCCGAGGTCAAGAAGGCTCGCATGGCCCTGTATGCTTCTGCTCGCCAAGTTCTCAACAACGGCATGCGGATTCTCGGCCTCAACCCCGTTGAGCGGTTCGTCTTTCCCTTCCTTGTTCTTGTTAAATCTCTTACTGACTCCCGCCAGCATGTAATTTCGTATCAACTTTATGGACGGTGTTTTATTTCAGTTTCTTTTAAGCTATACCTTTTAGTTGCATTGGGCGCCAAGAGCGGGGCAAATAAAAATGGCATTATGCTTCTTTCTTACAGGTTGTGCTCGTTTTTCCGTCATTGATTGCTTTTTCTAAACATGCGTAGTTTGCCAATGGTGTGAAAATGTGGAGCGAATCCCAGCCGCAGATACGTGTCGCTAGACGCCCTCGGACAAAGCCGTTGATAGTATGCATATTGTTGGGCTGATTGACTCAGGCCCTCCGGACTCAGCCATAGAATAAGCAGGGTTTGCTGAACCCCGAAGATCAAATGAACCCCGTACCAGCGATTCCTCTGGACTCAGCCATGGAATAAGCAGAGCAGAGCTTGATGGACCCCGAAGAGATCAAACGCCGTACCGTCGCATTCCAAACCGGGGACCAGGTCGTCTTAGGTAAGCTTGGCCCCCAAGCCCTTACTTCTCGGGGACCTCGGATCGGTCAACAATGCTATTGATGGTTATGCTCCACTAGACGAGAATATGTAATCACTGCATTGTTGCAGCTGAACCCCGATGGAATCGAAATATATAAATGCTAAACCCGACAACCTGGTGGGGTGGACTAGAACCGAATCGCCTCGTATCTTCCGTCAAATACCCTTTACCAGCACGCAACATGGCCGATCCTACACCGGATGAAGCCAGGATGATGGACCTGGAAAATAATGACAATGGAAAATTTCTAGTGAATCAGACCGTGCATGACTTCTCGTGGCGGGGTCTGACAGTAACGGTCAAGGATCGTGAGACGAAACAGTCTCGCGATTTGATCAATGATATCTCCGGTGATGTGCAGAAGGGTATGTATCCCGGTTCATGAACGGCATCCAGGTGTTGATTTTGACGCTTGATGTACAGGGGAGCTCGTTGCCCTGATGGGCCCGTCGGGCTGTGGCAAGACCACGCTGCTCAACGTGTTGGCTCGACGTGCCGCGACATCTGGGGCCAAGGTGCTCGGTGAAAGCTATGTCAACGGCTTGCGGGTCGACTCGAAGGCTTTCCAGCGTATGACTTCATATGTCGAGCAGGAAGATGCGTTGATCGGATCCTTGACCGTGCAGGAGACGTTGAAGTTCGCTGCGGATTTGTCACTCCCTAGGTATGTCATCCTGCACTCAGATCTCCCTGGTCTCAGTTCTCCATGGTACTGACTATGATGTCTCATATAGCTCGGTGTCGAAACGCCAACGCATGGATCGGATTCAGACACTTTTGGAAGCATTTGGTATACAGAACCAGGCGAAAACGCTAGTTGGCACACCGATCCGAAAGGGCATCAGTGGTGGCCAGAAGCGTCGAGTGAGTGTTGCTAGTCAGTTGATTACTTGTCCCAAGATTATGTTCTTGGATGAGCCGACTAGTGGACTGGATTCGACTGCGAGCTTTGAAGTGATGTCGTATGCAAAGGAACTGGCACGGACCAACAATGTAAGTAGTCGCTGGCTTCAGACATTGGATAGTGGAACTAACTAACCTTTTAGATCATCATCATTGCCAGTATCCATCAGCCCTCGACTTCAACGTTTCGGCTCTTCGATAAGCTGCTTCTCCTTTCGTCCGGGAGAACATGCTACTTCGGTCCGGTCCCTGTTGTGGAGGGTTACTTCAATGAAATCGGCCATCCAATCCCCACGAACACCAATCCAGCGGAGTTCTTGTTGGACATTGTCAGTGCAGACTTCAACAGCTCAAAGGAGTTGGCACAGGAGCGAGTTCAGGCCATCCAGGCTGCCTGGGCAGAGTCGGCAGCGAGCGAGGCAGTGAATAGGAAGGTTGCAGACCGAGCCCAGTCGGTGGAAAAGGATGGAGACAACGCACTGATTGATGACATGGCTCGACCTGGTCCACTGCCAATCACTTACGCTTTGCTTCATCGTTCGTTCATCAAGTCCTATCGCGATGTCGTTGCTTATGGAATTCGAATTGTGATGTATCTTGGTGAGTACAGCTGACCAACATTGACAGAGCACAAAGCTAATGCGACACAGGCTTGGCTATCATGATGGGTACTGTATGGCTTCGTCTCCACCCGTCGCAGGAGTATATTCAGCCGTTCATCAATGCCATTGTGAGTAGCACCATCAGGATTTGAAGGACACATACTAACCATGAACAGTTCTTCGGATCTGCATTCATGTCCTTCATGGCTGTGGCATACGTGCCAGCCTTCTTAGAAGACCGAGCAACTTTCGCAAAAGAGCGAGCCAATGGCCTGTACGGTGCAACGCCCTTTATGGTCTCGAACTTCATCATCGGCCTACCCTTCTTGTGTATGTCCCCTCCCGCCCTGCCACATGAAGTCCACTAATCAAAAGACAGTCATAATATCACTTCTATTCTCAATCATCTCATACTGGCTCTCCAACTTTCGCCCCACAGGTGACGCCTTCTTCAACTGGGTGATGTGGATATTCCTCGACCTCGTGGCAGCAGAGTCCCTCGTCGTCCTCGTGACAGCCATATTCCCAAACTTCGTGATTTCCTTGGCTCTAGTAGCGTTCGCCAACGGGCTATGGATGAGCGTCGGAGGGTTTTTGGTCACGCCGACGATTCTGAATCCGTTCTGGAAATATGTGTTCCACTACATCGATTATCAGGTAGGCCAGCCCATCATCAGAACTTTATTTCTTGTCAGACTGACTTTCAATCCCTAGGCATATGTTTTCCAAGGCATGATGGTGAATGAGTTTTCTAAGAGGAATTACTCTTGCGGTGATGGCTGTCAGTGTATGTATACCACTGATTTGGCAGATCAGTGTTTGATCCGGGGAGATGCGGTGCTGGAACAGTATGGGTATGCCACTGGTCGGAGGGGGAAATGGGTTGGGATTCTGATTGGCATCATTGCTGTCTATCGGCTGTTTGGATGGATTGCTCTGTATCTGCGCAGAAACTGAGGTGTCAGCTTAGAACCGGGAAGATCTCCCCGGTATAGATTTTGTAATAGTATTTAATTTGTGGGTATAGATTGGGATAGGAAAACAGCATTTGATCATTTCTCATGTATTCTTCGCATTTACTTTCTTGATGCACAATTGCAGCTGTCCATCGGGGACTTCATCCATGAAAGCCACCTACGCCCCGATCTAAGCCGCCATATAGTCAAATGCAGCGGAATACTTTGAAGGCTGTTGCATCTCAACAGCGTGTTTCATGTGTAGCCTCGGGAGCGATTGGCTCGCAAGATTATTGCCTTTGTATGACATCAGATGATCCTGATTCTCGATTGCGTGCCGGGGCAAATCTAGACAGACAACGCTCGAAAAGGATCAGAACGTACAAAAAAAACGGCTAGTATCGACTAGCCTGGCCCTCTTATGGGGCGATCTGAGTATGGATCTACAGACATGCAAGTCATGTACCCAGAACTTCTCTACCTCTTCGACGACCTCCCTTCCCGCTGCAACACTAAAAGCCCTAAAGCAGTATCTAGAACCTAAGTTGGCATAGTTCCAGCGGTACTCCCCCTCATCTTTCATTACCGCGGCAGTTATCAGCATTGTTGAACTAGCGGTGAAGGTCTTGACCTCGAGAAGCTGATGCCATCTTGCAGAACCACGAAGCAAGGGGGCTCCTTGACCTACTCTTCTCTTCCCGAGGGAGGAGACACAATCGATCAATAATGATTGTTCTTGTTGTCACGAGGAGCGTGATCCTTGATATGCGACCGAAGCTTATTAGCTGAAGGTGCTCTGCGATTCGAATTTAGATATGCTCCGGCACGCACGGCATGTCCCTGATACATCGGCCCCAATGCTAGGATCGCTTATAATCGACCCCGTCAAATGTGTCAAATGTACTGAAAAGTGTCCCAGAGCAAAGGGGTTTTAGTTCTGGAGCCGCATGGAGATCCCGAGATATACTTGGGGCGGAGCTCGTTTCCATTGGTTTTAAGCCTCACTCGTTTTGGCGTCATCTCCGACTTGCCAGCCATTCACCTGGTTTTACCCTGGGTAAATGGTATTTTGGGTGTCATCGGAATGGTCAAAATCACGGCATTACATTGTCACGTCTACATCTCTTCCACACGTGCGGGGAGGGTTAACAGAACCTTGGGATCAAACGACGCAAGGGATATGAAGGAATCCACCAAGATGGAAATGATTGACTGTCCGTGCTGCATGTCATCCCGAGCTAGCCAGATTTGTCCGCGCAAAAAAAAAAAAAAGTAAAGGCTCCGGCTATCTAGTAGCATGATCCATTCAGAAGTACTTGGATAGCTGTACCAGTACCAGTGACCAGGAGCGTAGGACTTTGGCCATAATGCACACACAGTCTCCCTTCTGTATGACTCACGAATGAGCGTGCAGGCGGAGAAAAGACAACATCCAAAGATAACCTGCCACATGGGCGACGGACCCGACAACAGCGAATGTCATGCAGTGCTCAGTCCCTCCCTCTCTTCCGTTCTGCCGTTTGACGTCTATGGGAGTGGAAATTACATCTTGACTCACACTCCACTCCAGTGGCAATTCTGGCAGGCTTCGCTACTTAGTGTACACTTAGCTGTACAGTGTGGGTTGCAGGGATCCATCCCCACCGACTTTGTGTGTACCGAATACATTGTCATTGTACATGTACAGAGTAGAGAGGTGAAAAAGACAAGATAAAAAAAGAAAAGAAAACATGACAGAAACAGAAACAGAAAACAGAGGGAAATAATAGAGTCTTGTATAGGGAGGCGATCATTGGGCCGACATTGGGCGTTGGTAGGGATATGATGAGAAAATAGGGAAGGAACGGAGACGCAGAACGGAAGATCACAAAGGGAAGGAACACAATATAAAGAACTAGCAAACCATGGAAACATTGATGAGAACCAGGGATCCTGGCGGGTCCCGAGGTTAAAAAGAAATAAAAGTAAACAGAAGTATATTTGGATACAGTAGTGTATATAGTGTGAGTGTCTACACGTAGTGTCTAGTAATAAATAAGAAATAAAGTCTTTGACTCCCCACTTTCTTTTTTTTTTTCAAGTTGGGCACCCGAGAGCCTCTTCGTGAAACCTCTCTCTTTTTGGCTTTGGACTATTCTTTTTTATTTTCTGCCGCTCTCTTCCCTCTCTCTCTTTCTCTGTCACCTCTCTGTCTTTCCTCTTTCTTCTCTTCCTCTCCCTTCTGTCCTCTCTCTACTGGTGTTATCACCCCTCACTTTTATCGCTGCCCATCGACTCCACTCTCCCCCACTGGGTTCTAAGACCGTCAGGCAGAGCATCCCAAAATTCTCAACCCAACCTCACTCCTGCAGCAGCTCCACCACTCATCGTCTGCCAGAGAGGTTCTTTTGTCTTTTTTTTCCTCTTTTCCTTTTTTTTTTCTCTTTCTTCTATGCCCCACGACCCAACGCTTGCCCGACCGGTTTGCCAACTGTTGCCTAACATCCCACCTCTTTCGATGGAGACATTGCGATCTGGAAAGTACTACGCTACCTCCGCTCGCTGACAGACTCCGTCGCCTGCCATCGCCCGCTGCGATCGGCAGGTCCGCTTACTTGGCTTGGGAGGAAGAAAGGAACTCCGTCAATCGGGGTTGAGGGGGAAAAAAAGACTGCATTCTGACTCATCGTCTTAAGTGGGCAGCAGTGGCTTGCTGTACGTTGAACATCAAGGGAGCCACACACGTCGTGGAAAACGGGACTAACCCTGTTTTCTTCTTTTTTTTTTTCTTAGGAAACCCGCAGCCCACATTATGGCCACTAAGGCCCGGCCGGCCTTCGTCGAAGATTATGACGAAGAATCCCATGCCACTCGACCTAACACTCGCATGACTGCCAATGCTACAGCCAACTCTGCTGCCAAAATAGCCAGGTCGGATCTATTCCCAGAGCCGCTGATCGACGGCGCAAGTGACTCAGGTTATTCTAGTCGCACCGCTGCCACTGCCAACAGCACCCAATCCGGCCCATCAGGCGGACAAAGTCCCCCTCTTAGGGAGTCCAAACGGGGCGACCTCACCAGGAAGTCGTCAACCCGCAGAGAACGCAAGGAGGAACGAGTCAGACCGACGCGCGACGAGACAATGGTTGGTGCCTATTCGGGCGCCCATCATGCTCACGTGCCAAGGTCGTCGTCCAAGTCTCGTCGACGTGAAGCCTCTCATGCCCACTATTATAACGACCCCTACTACGACCCTCCTCAGACCCATTATCAGTCCGATCGCCGTCCCGTCGAAGCCCCCTTCTATATACCTCAGCGTCCCCCAGTTCCAGAATACCCACAACAGAGTGCCCGATATCCTGCCGGTGTCATTGAGAACATTCACGTCAATCACCCGAGTCGACCTAGTCGCTCGCACACCTACCACACCTACCATTCCAACGGTCGACCCATGAGTTTCCACGGGATGCCACCGGCAATGGGGTCGGGAATGGCATCACCAATCTACAGTCAGGCGCCCATCCACGCCTATGACTACCATGGAGGCCCTCCGCCATCTGGCTCGGCCTACATGCACAACCAATACTCCTCCTCTCCATACGGAGGTTCCTTCTACGCTCCATCAGAGTATGCTCCTCCATCGGAATACCGAGAGCGATCTGAGTCCCGGCCCCGGGAGTCCCGCCCGCGTCGATCCTCGTCGATCTATGGACACCCACCTCCAGTGGACTCAGGCGCCTACTCACCATGGTACGACGACGAGCCCATGGAGCGTCCTTTGGAGCGTTATACCTCACGAGAGGCCTATGGCCGTGCCGCAGCAGCGCACAGACAAGACCCGGACGAGGACTTCTACCGCATGCCACCACCACCACCCCCTCCAATGCCCAACCCAAAGGCCAAGGCTCCCCCACAGATTCATCAGGCGAGGCGACCTGAGGCACGCAAGTCCCAAACCACCACTGCGGTGCCTTCGCAGCGTCGTCCGTCCAGAGGTATGGACCGGGGCATAGACCGAAGCCTGGACAGATTTGACATGGGAGATCTTGAAGCGGAGCTGCCTGTGGTGTCGGATCGGTCTCATCGTCGGATATCAAGGGAGGCTGCCCTGCCAGAGAGAGCGAACAGCTTACGGAGCAGCCACAGACGATCTACGTCCTACCAGGATGATCGACGTGGGGCCCAGGTGGCGGTGGCAAGCTCTAGGCGGCGGCAGCCAACCTACTACTACAACGATGAGCCACCCAGCAACGCGAGTGACAACCTAGAAGATCGTGAGCGTGAAATCGAGAATTACCAAGCAGCACGGTCCGGCCGAAACTCGACTGCCAGCGTGCCTCTCTCCGCAGAGGCCATACTCCCTAAGGCAACCACCAATCGCCACGGGAGTGAGAGTGGCAGTCAGAAAAGCCGGTCCAACAGCAGCCGTGGCAGCGGCACTGGCTCAAAGACAGAAGAAGACAAGAACATGACCCTCATGGTGAATGGAGTCAAGATGGAATTTAACCAAGAAACGATTGCAGGGCAATCCATCAACATTCGTGCTGGAGAGGCCCGCAACGCCTTGCGATTGAACATCGCTGGTGGGCCTCGATCCAAGCAGTACTTGACTGGATCTAACTCTGACTATACGGGCGGTTCCAGCCGCCGGGACCCGGACGAGTCGATGCGACGAAATCGAGGAGAGGCCCGTTCGGAGCGTGCACTTCGCCGCTCTAGCCAGTCTACCTACGGCAGTACTCGCTATCACTAATCTGGGTTTCACTTGGTGGATTTATTCAAATTTTTTCTCACGTTTCTCTTTTGGTTGGATCTCCTTGTTAGGATTTTGTTTTGTATGTGCCTGCATAGCCATTGGTTGAGTGGGCTGGCCTGTTTCGTTTGTCAAAAGTTCCATCGCTTTGCATATGTTTGCGTTTCTTCGGGTTTGGGTGCTGCGGTTGGACAAAAAAAATCAAAGGGTAATTACCTACAGCGAGGCTGCCAGGTAACAGGCTGGACTCCTCGAACGGTCCAGAGCTGCCAGGCGGTCTCGTCAAACTGGGAGGACTTGTATGTGATTTCATTTACAGCTGCTGTCTATTTTTGTGTGTCTTTGGGCAAAACGTTGGGCACGAACGACTTGATGATGTGTCTCCGGTATGGCGATATGATTGTACGATTCTGATGACCTGCGATGACAAGTCTGATGTGCTTCACTTCCTGATGTCTCCTTTTTGTCAGCGTTCGTTTATAGCCTTTCTTCTTATTGGGTTTGTGTCTTTCTCCTTACTTTGTTCGCGACTCCAAGTCGCGGAGAGAGATTATACCCATATCTGTTTACTTGTCATGTCTCAACACCAGGTCATCTTTTTCTTTGGCCATATCTACGTTCTATTTCGTGTTTTTTGATTGTATCTGGCTGTGCTTGACTGGGCCTCGTAGTTTTATTTGGGACTTTGTTTCTATTGATTCGGTTTATTGCAATTTTGCGTTGGCTTTCTCTTTAGCATTGTCTTTGATCTTACATTGCCTTTGAATTGGTTTTGATACCCCGCTTGCTGTCTGGGTGCGATCTCAGGATTCGATCAGGGATGGCTTTTTACAGAGGCTTGTTTCGAGCGGGTGGCCCTCTGTGATTTGAGATTTGAGATTTGAGATTTGAGATTTGAGATAAATGATACATAATCTCCATAATAAAGTGAAATAAAGTGAATCAATATGATCGACGCTTTATAGATCGAGCGGGCCCGTGTGGGGTGACGTAAGCGAGTTGCCCGTGACAACGCGTCAAGTAAACACAATCCCCAGCCACCTCCAACCTCCTCAATTACGTCCAGTTTCAGGTTGCGCTGGAATACATCTGGTTTGGTATTTTCCCATCTTTGCATCTTCAAGATTTCACTGACACCCGAGTAGACATTCTGCACTTGGCCCATATTCCACATTCCACATTCCAGTGTCAGGGATCGTTATCTAGATCTGGTGCTGATCACTTGCTTCAATGTAAGCTCGTAATTCCCTTGCCAGGATTTAATGCATACTGACCGCTATCCAGAGAGTCTCGTCTTGAGCCACGCGCTCTCGACTACTCTGATTTCCCACCATGGCTCCAGTTCCAGAGAAACGGGAATTCTCCGGCATTCCTGCTGTGGGAGCTGCCGACCTCTACATTCGAGACGGCAGCAATGAGGACACCATCGACACCTCACCCTCTCTCAATATCATGACTCATCCCCTCGCTGCTCGTGCCGACTCGACAACAACCCAAGCTCCAATCCGTGGAGCGGGCACTGTTGACCCACACAGCATCAAGATGCAAGGTCTGATGGCTTTGTTCGCTATCATCGGCGCACTATTCGTCCTAGGCGCAATTTGGTTCTTCTTCTGGGCCAAAAACGGTGGATTTGTGTGGCGAAAGGGCGATTGGGATGACTACAAGTCCACTGTGCTTCGACGGAAAGGACCCGACGGAAAGACACTCAGTAATGCAACAAAGAGTACCAAGCTCGGCGGTGGAAGTATTGTTGGCAAGGGTTACACTGACGACGGATACTCTTTCACCAATGAAACCTACACCGACACAGCGACAACAGTTACCGAAGAGAAACCCCGACGTAAGCGTTTTAGAGAAACCGCAAAGGAGAAGCTTCTTCGCCGCAACAAGCACGAACAGTGGGAGGGTGCCGAGGACGCTGATGTGCGCGCATACCGTGAAGAAAAGCCCGCTCGCATTGGTGGCATGAACCGTGAGGCCGACGGAACCTACAACGGCAGCGACTATGACACTTCCGCGCCGCCAACATCCTACCAACAGAGTGAAATGAGCCAAGCCCATGACTTTGCTTACGACCAGCCCCGCCGTCAACGCCGCGATCCCTCCGGATTCTCATTCACACAGGGCAGCGAGGATGTCATCAGCCATACGACTGAAGAGCGTCGTGTCCGGGAACCATCTGCCCGCCGTCACAATCGCCGTCGTGACCGTCACAGTCAGGCTGGACCACCCCCCGCTCCTTCATCTCGCACCAGCAGCCCGCGAAAGCATGACCGCCGCTCCCAACCTCACCCCCCAGGCCATTTCACCGAGCCTCTGGATTTCTCATCTGCAGGCTCTCGCTCTGAATACCAGTATTCCAATGTCGACACCGAGGACTCTGGTACAAAGAGTTACAAGCACCCCATTCCCGGGTTAACAAAGGGCTACCGTCGTGACGGCCGCAGTCGTCGCCGTGACAGTCTGAGTGACAGCGAAGGCGAGACTCAGTACTCATGAGCTCTTGCATGATTGATTTCTTTTTCTGTACGCAATACCCGTGATAACGGGCTCTGATTAAGATATGAACCTCGGATGGACTTTATGGATTATGGGAATAGCGTCTTCTTTTTTTCAAGGCAATTGTATTGCTCATCTATTAACGGATTGGAATGGACATGTATGGGAAATTGTTTGGGTCATGTACATAATGAACTAGGTTACGATGAGAATGGATTACTTCTCAGCGCATGGTCTTTCTACATTACCCTTTTGGATACCCCAGCACGACAACTAAAGTGTACTGTAGAAATGTCTACAGCTCTCAAAATAGTTCGTGTAGCATTTTGAGCTGGCTAGCTCTCTTATATGAAGATTGGATTTTCAAACTCCGAAGTCTCCCGGCTGTGTAGAACGCCGCTGTAGCTTTTGAAAACGCTCTTAGAGGCTGTATTCCTGCTGTTCTGACTTATCTTCTGGTCTGTGGTATTTGTTTCCGAGAATAAAGTACGAAGCTGTTGCGGTCTCCAGATCATCCATTGTCTCGTTTGGTAATGGCGAAATCGCGTTGCACGTTTTCAGTACTGATAAGGCACAGCTTGTTCCGAATGACAACACGCAGATCGCATCCTCAACACGTCTATGACGAAGCATGGGCCTCATATCCGGGCTGAAAAGCGCCTGGCAGAAAAATTCTGATGTGCGCTGAGGATGTCCGCCACCAGTTTTGCCACATTGGTATTAGTAGGTATTGGTGCTTGCGCAGGGGAGTGCAATGAGATGTTTGCTCATCTAGCTTGGCAGAAGTCCGAATAAAGAAGGAGACCATTGATGAGGGATTCGAGTTTCCATCCTATTTGTCGCTGTCCTGTAATGCATAAGCTTCCGCGCTCTGGGTTTCAATCGTGCGGTTGGTTGCCTTGGAATGAAGAGTGAGGCAAACATTGAGGCAATACGTACTCACTCAGCCACCGACATGCTCTCGCCTCATTGTCACTGAGCATTTACAATCATGTGGTGGTTGCATCTGCGAGTGAGCGCTTGACAACAACTCAACTTCGCTTCATTTCATAGGCGCTATGCATATACCTCTATGGCCTATTTGGAGAATCCATGCGCTAGTTAGTTGGACTGAGCCGCATGACAAGAGTTTTTGATACTAGTATTCAGTCCTGATATGAGCCGCTGAAAGCCTGGAAAAGGCCCTTTGTTTGCCCTAGACACCTGATTTTCCGTTCATCTAGAACGAGCATTCTGTACTTTGAGTAGACTGCTCGGGCCAGAGTCTGAGATGATTTTGCCAGCAACACATCACAAAGCAAATTCCAAAACGAAAGCGAAAAAGACCGTACTATACGATGTTTTTGTCCACCAGAGAGGTTCATTCCGTTGTTCTCTATCCGTGACATGTCACCGGTGACGAATGACTGGAAGTCTGGAATCAAGCCGCAGGTTTCTAGCACTGTATTGTACCATTCGATGTCTAAGCCAACATTATGTTCTATAATCGCTTCACAGATGGTGGCGAGGGATAAGGTAAATGAGAAAATAGTGGGTATACTTGCAGCAGGATCACTCTGGAACAAAATGCACCAAAGCAATCCCGAATGAATTCCAACAAAGGCCCCTTGGCAGCACCTATGGTAGGATAATAATCTGTGCATCACATGCCCACCAAAGCAAGAATCAGCCAGTCTGAATCTCTGGTGTAGGACAGCTAGTGTGTTATCTGAGCGCTGATGGTAACGGATGCGTTGAAGTAAACAAAGCAGTAAGATCAGTGACAGTGTGATTGATCCAGAGACACTGTCCCGCCACAGGAAAAGTCATGTTTGTTAGGTCGAAAGCGATGAAACCTACTGTGGCCCAATGCTTGCGTCTTGTGAGGGGCGAGATGGCAGGAGACTATTTCCTGCACAGTCAGTAAACATGATCACCGCGCTAGTGAAGATCTCCTACCTCAGCGTGATAGATTGACAATGTAACAATTGTCACATAATCGCTTTACCATGGAGACATGAGTCTGATATTGACACAGAGAACCAAACGCTGCAATAGTACTGTTCTGCTAGCGTCAGATGAGATCACACAGTGGCCAGTCATCGCCATATTGTGCCTCATGTCCCGCAGGGAGCTGCGCTTTGTCCCTTTACTGGTTTTCTTTTCGTTTGAATATCACTTTGAAACCTGAGTCCTCTTAGATCTCTTAGGCTTAGGATATCTTGGTGGTCTCATTAAGACTAGCAAACATTAAATCCCAATAATTCGATGAAGAAGTACCCCTAATTGCCAAGCAATATCCTACAAATATGTATGGAACGTAAGAGGTGCATATCCATCTGTGGTTCGCGTGTTTGATTTCATAGCTGCTTGCAGATAGTATAGAATATCAATAAGGGTATGGCTTGATCTGATTCATATATTTGAAAGTGGGTGGAAAGGAAAGCGCTCTACTATACCTCAATCAGGCCACAATTGAAGCCTTATGGATAAAGTGGATACTCCGCCTGAGGCATTCTTGCTTATATCATCTTTCTTACTTTGATTCCCCTCACCGCCCGCTGTTTTCACCGCCCGACAAAATTTCCCAAAAAGTTTCGATCTCCTCAAGATTCAAGAAAATAATGCAAAGCACAACCAAGATGAAGCGCAAGCTGGATGCTAACGATATTCCCTCCCCGGAGGCCACCGGGGCTGACAGCAAAGACCTTGACTTTGAAGCCCTCAATCTCGATCCTCGACTGCGCCAGGCTCTGATCAAAGAAAAGTTCACCAAGCCCACTCTTGTACAGTCCAAGGCTATTCCCCTTGCGCTGGAAGGAAAGGATATTCTCGGTAGGTTTAGCAACATGCTTTCATGTGTACAAATGCTGATTGAAGAAGCTCGCGCCAAAACCGGCTCTGGTAAAACTGCCGCCTATGTCCTTCCGATCCTGCAGGCCATTCTCCAGCAGAAGACTGTTCGTCTATCTTTCCCCAGTGATTGGCGCTACTACTTGCTGATATAATTCAACAGGCCGTCCCCTCGTTGAAAGCCACAACTGCTCTGATCCTCGTTCCAACCCGCGAACTTGCAGAACAGGTCCAAAAAGTGATTATGAGTTTCGCCGCATTCTGTGGCAAGGATATCCGTTCAGTCAACTTGACACAAAAGGTGTCCGACGAAGTGCAGCGTTCTCTGCTAGCCGATTTCCCCGATATCGTTGTGTCGACACCGACTCGAGTTGACAGCAATGTCAACAACTCCGCCTTGGCACTTGATAAAATCACCCATCTTGTTATTGACGAGGCAGACTTGGTTCTCTCATACGGCTACGATGAGGAAATTAATGCGCTCTCGAAGGCCATTCCTCGCGGCGCACAGACATTCCTGATGAGTGCTACTCTCACTTCCGAGGTTGACACATTGAAGGACCTGTACTGTCGGAACCCGGTTATCCTCAAGCTTGAGGAGAAGGAGGAGAAGGGTGCTGGTGTTAGTCAATTCGTCGTCAAGTAGGTTCTTCTGATCAGCTATCATTTTACCAGGTACTAATTGGTCTTGAACAGGTGCGCCGAAGACGAGAAATTCCTTCTGACCTACGTTATCTTCAAGTTGCAGCTGATCAAGGGCAAGGTCATCATTTTCGTCCAAGATGTGGATCGTTGCTACCGCGTGAAGCTTTTCCTCGAACAATTTGGCCTGAAGAGCTGTGTCCTCAACTCAGAATTGCCCATCAACTCACGGATTCATGTCGTTGAAGAGTTCAACAAGGGTGTCTACGATATTATCGTGGCTGCCGACGAACAAGAAGTTTTCGGAACAACCAAGTCAAAGAAGCGCGAAGTTAAGGAGACAGAAGAACAAGAGGATGCAAAGGAAGAAATGGGAGACAGCGACGACGAAGAGGCTACCGAAGATAAGAGCGAAAAGAAGGGTCAGACCCAGAAGCGCCGCAAGATGACCGGCAAAGAAAAGGACTACAGCATTGCGCGCGGTGTCGACTTCCAGAACGTTGCCTGCGTCCTCAACTTCGACCTCCCCACCAGCTCCAAATCATACACACACCGCATCGGACGTACCGGCCGCGCTGGAAAAGCGGGCATGGCCCTCTCCTTCGTGGTGCCAGCCGAGCAACATGGCAAGCACCGCCCAACCTCAATCCCAAGCACAAAGCACGACGAAACCATGCTGGCAAAGATCATCAAGCGGCAAACAAAGCTCGGTCATGAAGTCAAGCCCTACCACTTCGAGATGACACAAGTCGACGCCTTCCGCTACCGTATGACCGACGCCTTGCGCGCCGTGACCCGTCTGGCCGTGCAAGAAGCACGAGGTCGTGAGATCCGCCAGGAACTGATCAAGAGCGAGAAGCTGAAGCGCCACTTCGAAGATAACCCCGACGAACTACGCCAGCTGCGCCACGACGGCGAGCTGCGTGCTGCGCGTGTCCAGGCCCATCTGAAGCATGTTCCTGACTACCTGATGCCTGCCAAGGGTCGCAAGGGAATCTCCAAGGAGAATGCTGGGTATGTTGGATTCTCGTCTACCAAGCAAAATCGCATTCGTAAGGCGAGAGATCGCAACCGTGCTCGTGGAAAGGGTAAGGCTGGTGGAAAGGTTGATCCTCTCAAGACGTTTAACAGGCGCAAGTAGTTTGGATCTTCGATCTTATGAGGTGATACCATTTGTACAGTCAGACATGAATCGGGATAGTTTCAATGTGGATTTTTGTCTTAATGCCTATATGCAGTATATTTCTATCTTCACCCTTTATTTCGTGCTTCGTGTTGCGATTGCGACAGTATAAAGCTGGTCATCGCCGCTTAGAGCTGACTAGGCGCATGCACAAAGTAAAGATAGTTATTGGTATTGACTTTGGAATTCTAGATGCAATTCATGTGGTCACAAAGCGATAGAGTTTGATCATACCAGTAGATACAATGTGGTATGAGAGAACATATCTAGCCCCCGTAATTCGTAAATTACTCAAAGAACAACCGAAATTTCCCGTCCAAGTAATGTCTTCACCGTCTCTGAATCAACATCCTCTAGCCCAAAAGAAACCTGAGGCCATTTCCCACGACCCTCCTTTCTGATCTGCCGCACATGCGTGCGCACCTCCAATGAAGTCTGAACAGAATCCCTGTAAAGCTTGAGCTCATTCTCACGACGAAAATTGACAAGTCGCTCCTCATGTCGTGAAGCAGAATCATAATCATCAGCGTCATCAGGCGGGCTAATAGACATAGCTAGTGACTGCGGCTCCAGAGATTCCGAATCATCACTCAGATCAGGTACCCAGCCAGGGCCCACATTGATCCATTCCACATCCCTCCACGACCCATTCCACTCTGGCCCTGAGGCCCCGAGTGGATACGGGTGGCCGTCTGGGTCTTTGCCGACCCATTTCAAAGCTGGTAACCATTCGGCGCAGCCTTCGAGGTCGAGCCATTTTAGGCAGTAGGTAGACCGTGAGAGTTGACGGAGGATGGTGGCTGCTTCAGCCCAGTTATTTTCCATGGCGGCATAGTTGTCTGTGCCGCTGTAACTGAAAGTCAAGGAGTGATGTAATGGGTGGCGTATGCGGGCAGTGGCAGCGCCCGGGGTGCGAGTTGGAGTGGGCCAGTGAGCGAGTGAGAGGTGAGTGAGAGTTGAAAGACGATTGAGGAGATTTAGAAGTGAGTTCCAGCTTGCGGAAGCAGGTTGTGGATGAGCAAGTGACAAGTAGCGGAGACTGGTGAAACGAAGACCCTGGGTCATACTTTTGGGAACAGACGAGGTTGAAACTGAATCTGGGGAAATAAGCTCTCTTTTATCTTGATCGATCTCTTCATCCCATGAACCTGGAACCACTCCTTCTCGCTCCAGATTCGGCTTGGTTGAGGTAAACAGCTCGCTAGTCAGTTGCTTGAATGTCATCCAGTGTCCTAGCGCATTTCCCAGGTCCAAGCGTGAGATAGCAGCATCACTGGCAAGAATAGTACTCGCATTTGAATCATCTCCATGCTCATCGTCTTGGAAATAGTCATCCTCGGTGAGAAGAAGCGGCTTTAGACCTTTCATGCGTCCTTTCAACTGCAGGCCTCTGCCATATACAGCGACATAGCTCAGCAGCAATGTCTTGATACGACCAGGAAGCTGAGAAAGAAATGGGCCGTCATACTCCAAATGCCAAAGCCAGTTCAAGGCCATAGACTTGAGCACCATGTGCAGCAGATCCCTCTGGTCCGGGAACGCGACCCCGGGCAACCGCTTTAGCCGGTGAACCACTCGCTTAGAATCACCCGCCATGTCAGCAAATCGGTGCTGGTCTATCCCATTTGAGCCGTCCGTATTGCCGGCAAGCCAGCTCTCAGGCGGCGGAGGTCCGGCGGTCCGTCGCGGGCGAGTACCGATAGCAGTGCGCTGGGCACCAGGGCGAGGTCGCGGAGGTGGGGTTTCCGGAAGCTCAAGAAGGTTCCTGAGCGATGGGTGGACCGAACGAGGTGAAACTAAGGAGCGTTGAGAGGGACGTGGCCGGGGTCCGCCATCTTCAGATGAATTTCGTGTCTGTGTCAGCCGCAGATGGCTGATCAGATCATTGACTGACTCTGCAGCCACAGACGCCCCGGGCTTGTCATGGCGAGACGAAGAACCAAGACTATGGTGGGCAGGACTAGCTGGCTTGGTATGGAACCGCTGGTGCTTTTTGGGCATGAGAGGTTGCGGAGGTGAAGTGAAGTTCAGGCTCCCCGCTCCACTTATCGCTTATCGCCCCCAAGTAAATAAAGCTAAGCTGATCGCTGTATTTCTATACATATTTTACACGGTTTATACAATGGCTCAGATATCTCGAACCCAGGAATCGTCCTTCATGTGGCCCTCACGCTTGGGGCCCTCCTCCAACCACGTGTCGACCAGGCCTTCCTTGGGGTCCTCGTCGGAGAATCCACGAGACCGGCGAACATCCAAGACGAGGTTTCGCACCTTCAAGGTGACCTCTTTGCGCAGCTCAACTGCTTCTTTGTTGTTCAACAACTCCTCGCTCAAGACACCCACTGGCAAGTCGCGGGACTCAGGATTGCTCTTTTCAATTTTGGCTTTTAACTTGTCCCAACGCGATCTCATATCTCCGAAGACTTCATTGATGTCCACCTTGGATCCGAAAGTAACACTGACCCGCTTTCCAGGTCGAGGCAAGAATCGTGGGAACTCTCGGCTCTCGTGCATGACATCGTCGAAGCCCTCAATCCACATCGGAACCACGTCCGGACATTCCTTGGGCTCTAGAATAAGGCGTGCAATACCCCACTTGAAATAGCGCATTGTCTTTCTTGGTGACTGGTGAATCTTGCCCTCGGGGAAAATGTGTACCCACGAGTGGGAGTTGCAAGAATAAGCGGAAGGTGCCGAGTGCGCATCCTGGCCATCAGTGGTGTACGCAATCGAGAGATCAGAAAAGGGATCAACGCAGACATTGTCCCTGCTCCAATGTTGGCGTTCGGGGACAGCGCGGTGGTGGTCAAGAGGGAATGGACCCTTGGATAACAATCGAACGGCCTCGGTGATGGCAGGTTGTCCTAGCCCACCGAATGGAGAGTGGGCGAGACGATGGGTAGGCAAGACCTTGCCCATAGTGAAGAATAGCGAGAGTGGTCTATGTTTGTTTCTGGTCAGCAAAGCCATTGATGACCGAAACGGGCCGATAATACCTGGTCTGGTAGCAAATATCGTAGCTTCCAAATGACCACCGCTTGTTCCAGAATCGCATAGGCAATATGCCCCAAATCAATGGATCATCCATTCTGGTATCCCGGCGCAAAGTCAGCCATCTTCGAAGTCTGTGTATAGATTGTCTCGAGGGGAGTTGCATGAACGTACACGCTAACATGATTTGAGACTAAAATCAAAATAGCTTCATTAGCATTGCACTAAACATCTTCTGAGTCCCGTTAGGCTGTCTCTGACGTACCTGTAATCAATCCTCTAGACCGTTCCGACATTTCACGTCGTGAGTCCAACAACTCTGTGAAAGCTTCCTTTCCATGACACTCTGCATTACAGAGGACAGATAAAAATCCACGACAGAGACCCGCTACTCCCCACATTGTTGTGTTGGAGAAAGCCCTCCAAGGGAGGGACGGGGAATCTGCTGTTGCGCTGGAGTCCATGGTGGATGTTAGGTGCTATAAACCATCCATAGACAATTCAACTTCCTTCAAGCCACCGACAACTTGGGGGAGAGGCGTCTCCACGAACAGAAGAATCGCTTGCGTCGAGAGAGAAAAGAAAATGTTGTCGCGTCCCTGGAAATCCACTGTCGGGATCACATGATTTTGGTTGGGGAAGTTCAGAGCAAATCAGCGGTCCAGCATTACAATACTTCTATAAATGAAGCGGTATTTATGGACTAAGGCAATTCAATTGCCCAATGTAATCAAAACCACCCCTAATCATCCTCATTTGCTTTGCTCAGCCCTCAAAACACACTCTCCGTCATGTATACATCGGGCGCACGGACCAATTGCAGTCCCGACTCAGCGCACGATTTTCTCCCGGCATCTCAACACCAACAAACCACTATGTTCAAGTCAACCCAGGCATTATTCGGCGGTCTTCTCTGGTGCGTGTGATATGCATGAACCCTGAAAGTGGCCCCAAGCTAACAATTTTCCCCGAGTACAGGAAGACCCCGTGGCGTCTCTCCTCGCCCCAGAAGGCCCGGCAGCGCAAGCGCCTGCGCTCCGTGGACCGGGTCGTCGACACCGTCAGCGCCGCACTTTCGCGCAACGGACAGAGCTCCAAGGCTGTGGAGCGATGGTACGCGGAGATGCCGCGCGAAGAGGAGATGCTGCCAAAGGACAAGTACACTCTGTTCGATAAGAAGGAGAAGAGCTACCGGAAGAGCATTCACAGTATGTTTCTCGCCCTATACTCGATGGCAATGACAATCGGACGTTGTCATTGTGTGGTTTTATCAGATGAGCTGACAGTTCTCCTTTTCTCCAGAGCTGCCCAAGTGGACTCGTGTCAGCCAACGTGTGAACCCTCCTGGTTTCTAAGGGATTATTTGCTCCTCGCACATGTACTATACAATACATCCGACGCTCGATCTTGAACGGGACTCGGAGCGAAAACAACATATGGACTACCGGAGTTTTGGCTTTTGTGAATTGCTGCGCGGCCACTCTGAAGAGGATGGTGGCTTACAATGTTCCATTATTACCCCAGCGCTTAGATCGGGCTTTCAATTCAATTGCATATCGATATACTTTCTTCTGCCTGGTACTCCGGGTACTCCGGGATTGCTAATGATAGAGATGGAGAAGGCGAAAGGGTAGTGAGCGTATGGCACAGCCATGAAGTGATGGATATGTCGAGTGATATCTCAGGTAAAAGGACGAATAAGGGACTGAAAGGAACAAAGAAAATGCACAGTACAAGCAGGATAGTTTCGTTATGCGACTTGACGGTTTGAAGCTCTTCGTTTGCTGGAATGGTATCTGGGCATCAACTTGCCCGATGCACCGCGATAGTATTTGCTGACTTGCGCCGCCACCTCTCTCACTTTACCCCGATTGACACGGCCTTCATAGATGCCCTTGCGAAGACGATATCCCCAGCGAACTTGCTGCCAATCTTCAAGCTTCTCCTGCCATCCTGCACCTCCCTCGTACCAAGCATTTTTCTGTGCAGTGGACATTTCAAAACCTTGAGGGGGTTTTGGCAAAGCCCAACAAGCTGTATCAATATGACCATCGGGCGGTTCCTCCGCCGACGCTTCAAAAAGTTCAACAGTGCGAATAGCATCTCGAATGCCGGACACCTTCCGCTGCCTGTTGACCGCCGCACGCCAGGACTCGATCCGAGGGGTATGTGCTCGTTTCTTAATGATCCTGGGGTACTTAGGTCGAGGACTCAGAATTGGGTTCGGGTATGGAACGTTGAAGCGAGGGTCTCCCCACTCCCGGCGTGCATCATTGTTGACTCTTGATATAGGATCGTACACGATCCAGGTTTCTCTGTTTAACCAGTGGTTGGCAAGCATTGCAAAGTGGTACGGTTTCTGCCCAGGGCTGAATTCATTGAAGACCCATACCAGTTTTCGGTCTAGTTTCTCCATCAATCTGACCTCCCAGTCACTCAATTCGTCGGCAGGCCCTCTTGATGATTCCAGCCGGATGTGGTCTGTCGAGTGTCGGGTTCGTCGACCTTTCCCTTTGGAATTTGTGTGACGACGCACTTGTCTAAATGAAGGGTGGTTTGGGTTACAAGCTGATAGCCATTCATCATGAAGTTTGCCTCTGGTCGGCTGTCCATCCTTTCCGGGATGGCAGCTTCTAGTAGGTGCAGAGTTCCATTGAATAGACCTTGTACATGTCTGTTTCTCAGTCAAGGAGAGAAAATGGTCATCCATTACTATCCTCGAAGTGAATGACATTTGATCTTCGGAAATCTGTGGATGCCCCAGGCCTGACTTTCGTTTTTTCGGGCGAATACGAAGAGACGAGCTGTGTTCGGAAATATAGCTGGTCAACAACTCAGTCATCGGCGTCCCAGGAGGACCAGATGAATCACGAAAGTTGTCCAAGGCTGCAGCTTTGGACCCTATCTGCATCCGTGCTGCCCAATCGCGGTGTCCTCTTGGATGCCTGTCCTGATGAGGTTGATATGGCTCGTTCAGAATCGAGGAATCGCTTGAGCCACCAGCCTCGTACTGCATATTTATGTGGTGTACAATGGACTCAACTTGGCATGAGATGGCTGCAAATCCTTCACCTTGTGACCAAGGAATCTCTCCCCGGCGCTCGTGAAACCGATAATGTCGCGAGGGTAGTGATCGGACGTAATTAAATGAAATTGATGCTCGGGTAGTCGGTTTCGGTCTGGTCTCATGAAAACTGAACGTTGGACGGTGATGAGAAGCGCCACCAAACCCCCGAGGGTTCCTGAATAATTCTTCCGTGATCGAACGAGTGATAGTCAGTTGACCGTTGCCCACCACATGTAGCTGTGGAATTGACTGCAAGTCACCTTGCTCTCGTTGCCTTTCCAAAGATTCAGTCGGCCCGACAGAACGGTGCGAAGTGGAATCGATCAATGCCCCGTGGCACTGAGGCCGTGAACAAGGATCCCAAATCTCATCAGCTGAAGGCAAATCATCATAACTCTTCAACCAATGCGGTAACCACCAAAGTCCTTTCAGCTCGCGACGGCGCCTTTGTTTCTCTTTGCCACCAGGATCCCACCAGACCCAGCTATAATTTGTCCTTGTGGACTTCCATGCGGTCATTCTCTGTATCCAATGAAAGAAATCGCGAATGACTCGTTTGTTTCGCTCGTGCGTTGGGCGGGACACCCAGCCATACCACGTCCGCGCATACCGGGTCTTGGGAGATTTGCCTGCTCTCAGCACCTTGTCTTGATTGAATCGTCTGATAAACTGGCCAAGCTTCCAGAACAACACCGCAAGTATAAATATGCCGACCGTTCCGGCCATCAGTTCGACGAATACCTTCGGGTCGATTGACTCGTGCACCTCAACTGGGGTATTTGGTGGTCGATTTGGAGGACGAGGAATGCCCGGTCCAAGTGAGTGGCTCTGTCGAATGCCTATTGGCGCCATCTATTGATGCCGAATTTATTCTTCGGTAATTAGTAAAGATATAAAGAATGGTGTTATTCGGCTGTTTGTATTTCGGGGTCGCAATTGGTGATATTGTGACGCCCACGAGGAAGTCGCATCTCACATAGTTGCCTGCGCGCCATCTCCCGCTTCAGTAACGTATAAGGAACGCATTTTAATTCCTTCTAGGTGGATGGAATCAATGACATTTAACTTGAGGGATAATTTTGTCGCTTATAGTGATAAATGGTGACCTTCTCCGCTTCTCAGGTCTAGTGAGGTTGCTAATAGCTTTCAAACATTGTTCGCAAATTCCGTTATGTTGCACGAGGCCTCCGCTCCAATACTTATCGTGAAGTTCGCCATGAAAACGTTTCGGCATGGGAACTCTTTGATACAAAATGGACACAAGTCGCAGTGCCCGCCTATATAGCCCAAGTGCTGGACCTTCCGTGTTCCTATTATAGGACTGTCTAGGAAATTCTACACGATCCAAGGGAATAGCAAGAGCTAAAAGCAACGGGATTGGCTTGATTCCTTTGATTTAGCATAGTATTGCCATAGAGAGTGTGTGTAAATAAGCATTGACTGGCATCCAAGTCCTCGGATTTAGTCAAGACCGCGAGCAACCTATCACAGGATACACAATTACAATTAAATCTGATTCTCTTTTGGTTTTTAGAAACATCGTTTGGGCATGAGAATGAGGGTATGAAGTCATATGCAAAACATACATACCTTATGTGTCCTACTGATACATTTCCCACCAAAACCCAGGACTCTTTATAGACAAGCCTTACTAAGTAAGCAGTAAATATCAACTATGGTAAAGATAGTCCGCGAAGGTAAGTACTAAAACATCAAGAATAGATAATTATACTATGCCAGTAGAAAGTCAGCAGACTGTAGAGTTGGAAGCCCAAATGGTCTTTAGTGTACGTGAGTAAATGATCTCTTGAAAATTTTCTGGGATCCTCCACGGAATGTCATACTCTGTACTCAGCACATAGCATGTTTAACCCGGATTCTCTAACTTTGCCTTGGCCAACATTTGAGATCTTACTAATCTGGACTCAATTTGCTTTCTTAAGCCGGATTTAAGAAATTCATCCCTCTTAGCCAAGAGGTTCACTTGGAACAGGCCAAGTAACCAGCAAATACATATTGCTCGAGTCCAAGTTGTTTTCCTCAACAGGCGGCGACTATGCGAGACGACACGCCCATTCTGAAACGATGAAATCAAGTTTCTTTCTGCAGGTGGTCTGCAAGATTCTAAATCAAGATGCGGTCATCCTGTCTTAGACGGTCCCGAAGGCATCTAGCTCGCTAAACCTAGCTTTTGCACACCCGGCAGAGATCAAGGCGTTTGAGGAAGACTTATTGGCCCGCGAAAGACTGCTGGGCTGATAGAGGGTAGTATGCGACAATCAATATTAATAAAGGCTCATTGTAAAAAGGCCATTTGGGTCACAAGTATTTATCAATCGGGCCCTGTTGCGCACCTGACATATACGCTGTTGGTGGCCGATATTTGCTCGTACTTCATTGGGATCGACCGTTTTTTGGTTCGACCGTTTCGATTCATTGCATAGTGGGTTAATCCACCTGTATCGCTCCGCATATAGTTATTGAGCTCAAACTCCACATATTTTGGGCATTCAAGGCCTCGGGTAAATGGAATAACCCCCTACCATTCCTGCCTAACCCTGAGATAAGTCTAGACACATAGTCCGGTGGCGAATAGCCCCCGCAATCATGACGCTGAACGAAGCTAAATTCTGATATCAAAATGATATGTCAGTTCACATCGTAAACACCAGGGATGTCTTGATCGGGAAACAATCCTTGAGAGATATTCACATGAAATCCGGGAACGGAAGAAATCACATTGCTTTTTTTTTCGTAGCCCATGACGATGCGATATCACATCGGTCAATCGGCAATGAAACTAGAGGTCCGTTCGTTCCTTCCTAATATGGAAGGACACACGGTTCACCGCCACACCGCTCCAGCCACCCTTGCGTTCCAGCCATATCACTAGCCACCTGCGGCTGAACAGTGGCTGTGCAGAATAGCGGCCGATCAACAGAGGATGTCCCCCCCCCCCCCCCCCTTTCTTGTGTTTTGTTGGGTAGTCCGTGTTGAGCTCATCGCAATGCCCGATGCTTCAGCTTAATCGATGATCTTGCTCTTCTGGTCCAGTTTGGCGCCAAACCGGTTCTTCAGTGCATCACGTTCCGTCTTCAGATCATACTTTGCTCTGCATGCGCTTGCATCACAGGCTTCTGCCCAACTGAGAAACGCCTGAACCCAGATCATAGAAGCAATCACGTCCCTTTTCATTTCGCGGATCCGACTCGGGTCCGAGAGATAATGCGAACTATTGAGGAGATCGACAGTCTGATCGCCGGAGCCCTGGTGTCACACGTGGAGTCGAGATCACCTCAAACCGGATCCGGCGCATATCGATGTTTATGCCGGGGGACTGGAGTATGATTGGGTCTACCCAAGTGAGGCTGATCGTGCATCTTGTCAGAACCAATCTTGTCAGGGGCTCGGCTGTCAGCTCAGTTCTAACTCGAGTCTATTATCCTTCTTGTCCCCCTAGGCAACACCTTTTGAAGCTGCAAATCCCAATTCAGGGCAGACTAGAAACTTGTCTCAAATTTGGGCTCACTGGAGCTTGCTGTAGGTTTATGTCGGTGATTCCGAAAGATGAACGTCTCCTCCACCTGACTCCACCGGCGCCACACTTCACTGTCATGCTGTGGCGTGCAGCTCTTCGTTGAAGGGGACCACCCTGCAGAGTCGAATGTTGCGGTCTGTCCTCCCTTGATATCACTCGGTACTCTTTGCTCAACTAGGTCTAGCTTGGAGCTCCGCTTGATAATAAAGCTTCACTATACATCCCAGATGAGATACCTGCATATTAGTGGTGCGCCACATCAATGAGGGTTCGAACTGTCGACGGATGACATCCGTAAGCGTCTCAAATGACAGACACTGAATGACAAGTCACCGAATAAGAAGACACCGGGGTTTGATAGCCTTGCGATGTCGAGCAGCGACCCGCTGGTTGATCCGTGCACGAAACTATTGAAAGAACAAGCCGAGAGCCCCGTCTCCTTTGCCTCAATCCACAGAATCCCCCAAACCTGCGCATGAACGTTGACTATGCATGCCAAGACGTGCAACTGACAAAGGTCTTATGGAAAAAGCACCCAGGGAGCAAGGGGATCGAATCAGAAAGACAGGAGAGAGTGGAACCCTATGCCCTGAACTCTACGGCCGATCCTACCACTAGCTTCAGATCTCCTGTGCATCTCGATCCCTCAGATCTCGTACTTACTCCACATCCATGTTGAACGCGTATCCGTTGATCAGAGACAGGACCAACATCAATTCGCCCCACTGTTCGATTCCATGCTGCCGGAACGTGCGGCGGCAAGGATCCTGCATATGCCGAATAGTCAATCGAGCTCATAAAATTTTCACTGCATCACGGCTGCCTTACCCGTCCCAGGTACCTGGTCACCGACCATTGACGCTAATCGCGTACTTTTGGACGGTGGCAATATTGGGTCCATCTTTTCTAACAGCTAAGGTTATGCATCCAGATTTTGGTGTTGGTCCCTCGGCGCATGCCGTGAACTATATGAAGACCCAGCCAGGGCCACTTCAAGCTCGATCTATTTTCATATTCCATCTCTATGATCCTAACTCCCATTTCAATCTCCGTTCCACAGATTCTACTTCGCCAAGTACGCCCGTTTCACCGGTGTCTCGTTGGGCTAAAGTAGATCACGGTGCCTTTCAACCTCATATATCTATGAGCCCTTCCCCCTTCTCCATCCTCCAAAGACAAAATGGCCGGTCGTGAATTCATCCTGTCTTTCGAGACCACTCCCCCAACAGCTGTACGACCCGGACTCCCATTTACTATCCCGGTGGTCATTGCAGTAAACCCCATCGGGACCCCGGCCCAAAACGTCCAAGCCCTAGTAGTGAATGCCTCACTGCGCGACGAAACCGGGAACGGAGCCGCAACGGGCCTGAGCGGCAATCTTACAGCGAGCGTGCGCAGCCGAGCCGACAATGCGAAGAGTGGATTCGCAAAATTCAGCCCGTTGACAATCTCGAAACCAGGCAAATTTCGCCTGCGCGTGATGCTCAGCGCAGCCTCGTATAACGGCGTGGTGACCAAGGAGTACGTCGATTCGGCGGTAATCCACGTGCACGCTGGTGCAGCGGCAGCGCAACAGCCAAGTGGGTCATTCCTTTCCTCTTTTCCTGGCTTCTATGTCTCATTTGCCCTCATCGTGGGACGTGGGAACTATTTGCGTTCTTTTTCGCTCCCGCTGGTTCTATGCCCCTCCCCCACCACAACGGTTCTCACCTTAGGGCCTCAGTTTAGCCCCTCTGCTGCCATTTTCGGATTCATGCTGATTGTGGAACTTTAGCTCCCACTCAAGTGGCGCGGCTTCAGCGACTGACGGCTGAAAATTTGGATATCTCCGCCGCCGACATTGCCGCATGGCAGCGCGCGTAAATCAGCGACGGAAATCTTGCCTTCATTTTTCGGAGTTTTCGGGCGTCGGGTTTCCTTGTTTTCCATTTGTCGCATTTTAACTCATTTGAGATACATCTCATGCGGGGGAAAGTACGAAGGAGTCTCATAAATACATGGCACATTCGTTGAATAAATCCAGGGCGCACCGGTCTACTAAATATCCACTTTTCTCGGGGACTTACTCCATATCCTTCATCGCATGGTGTTCTAGCGTCGCGTGTCGTGCGTGCGTTATTTTTCCTCTCTATCACTATGCGAGGATTGATCAGACCCCTTTTTTGCAGAGATTATCCGCACAAGTGGTGGCGATCGTCAGCATATCACCATACCCCTCTCTAACTATACCCCCCGATGACTTGAAATTCTAGCATCAATTCTTTTCAGCGAAAAATCTGGACGAGTCTTAGATAGGATAATAGTCCTAGCTCGTAGCCCTGTCAGAGTTCCATTTTCGGTCCATCTGTGAGTTCAACAATCTGCATAGGCACAATCTATCGCGAACAAATATGTCTTCTTGCCTCAGTGGATAGTGTGCCAATCAGGGTAATAGTATGTGACCGGCCAATAGGATGTACTCCTGCGGTCTAGACGTTGGAACCCAACGGTATTACATATGGGACAGTCTGACAGCATCAATCGATCGGAGTTCAATCAATCTACGGCGTGGGGCCCGATTAATTGCCCTCCGGAGTCTTTCTGGGAAGGCAAGTCCATCCGCTTTGTGGAAATCAAATAAAGAGGAACTGGTGGGAATTGCATGCGTTTATTGTAGATGGAGAGAACCAAACGTGATCGTCCAATAGTATGATTCTCACATATTACCTTCATTGCAATCCGGTCTCAAATTGCGATCTCTCGAGAACTGCATCAAATTCGAGTATATCGAAATATATTACGGGAATATAAAAATATGCCATGGGACTTGGTTTGGTGGGTAAGCATTGAAGTCGCGGTCCCTGCATAAAGTATCAGGATGTCGCACGGAATCGGAATTCGGCACTGTCAAGTTAAATTGGTTAAATTGGTGTACAATCCCTGTCGAGACTAATGCGGTCTCTTATAATCGCCATGTGAACACCGACTTGACAGGCTTGGCACTGTGACACGGTATGTCGAGTAGATGGCGGGGGATGCATAGTGGGGGTGCTAGGCCTCGGATCAAGCTACTTTCTACTACGAATATCAAGCACAGGTTGGTATTCGGGTTTTTGACCATTGTTTGTTTACGATTTATGGACACATACTTTCTACCAAGAGCCTCACTTTAGATTCTGCCTTGTTTCTACCCTACAAACCGATTGTATAGGATGTTCCAGGCCATTTTTTTCAGGGATTAAATCCTGTTATATCTCTCCACAGTAGGGTAGTATGAGCTTGGAATTCTGCTTTATCAATCTTGGTTATCCGATCTGTTCCTGGTTTCTGACGCATTGAGCAAACCTTCAATGTGTCATTACGTTGTTGTAAAGAATATGTTTTGGAAAATAAGTCATCCATTGATAAAATGGTTCATCATATATTGTAAATGCATCCTCTCCTTTACAGGGGGTCGACTTGCAAATAGAGTAAGACCATAGCTATGTTTGCAATGGACAAAGCAAGGGCCTCATCTCAAGCCAAGGTGTAAAACGGAATAGAAACCTTCCATCACATGCTTTATACGCGACCGAGGAAAACCCACAACATAATCGGAGGCATCGGATGTATAACATGACAGACTGATAGTCGAACTGAAATGCAGCACAAGCACAATCGATTTACGAATGCAAACAAGACAGTCGCTGGGAGGGTGCAGCCGGAATTGTCAGGGGTGGATTGGCCCGGATTTGCGAGACTCGGAGCGAAACAGCTTCCATTAATGACGGATCAGACATTGATCTACGCCAAGGATGGGGCATTCAGGGCTATTCTGGAGAAGCGCGAGGTTTTGCGTCTCGATAGGCGCGTAAGACACTAGAGTGGAAATTTGACCACAGGAATCATGATTGCGGACTTGAGGCCAATCATTCAGGTGTCCTTTTCGGAGCTGCGAAGCTTCTCAATGCCTTCGCGGACAGTCTCGCGAACACTGAAGCCACCAAAGAGCCAGTCATTGGAGTGCCGACCGTAGTGATTGACGGTGCCACTATAACGACGGTAGTCTTTGCGACTCGAGAAATCCTGCTTGGTCGTGCAATCAGGCTTCGGGGACCGAGGTGAAGAAATTGTGGGGAACATTTCTGTCGGGCTGGTGGAATGATATCGGTGGTTTGGGAAGTATGAACAATCGGGGTTGCTGCGCGGGATGTCTCGAGGCTGAGAAATGTTCGAGTCCTGGCGGTAACGTCTCTTGGGGATATCGATTGGAGCAGGGGATTTTGACCGGAAGATCTTTGAGGACAGAGAAGGTTTGTCCTGTTTCTTAGAGTGTTGACTGGTGTGAGATACAGTTGAGGTGGCTGATGTTTGGGAAAGAGATCTCGTGGGATAGCTAGAAGAGTGCATTTGAGGATATAAGACAGAAAGAGAAAGACCTGAAGAATGAGGGGGAAGTGTTCCTTTATGTCTCCCCTAGATCCTCATGCCCCGTAGGGCAACCAACCAAAATGCAGCATGCAATGACAAAGGAACAAGTCCGGACATGGCCAATTACCATGACCCTCAGACCCTAAGTAACCAATCAAACAGCCAATATCACGCCCACCGAGTCCACCCGTAAGGCCTAGCGGTGAGATTGACCGGATTTCAGCGACAAAGTGCCCTATCGCACGCTCCACAGCCAATGAGACTTCGTGTCTGCCTTGGAGCCTCTTCTTCCCGCTCTTCCCACCCCGCAGATTCACCGTCTGAACTGAACTGAACTGACACGTCGACCTGCATATGTCTGACTCACTTGTCCTCTGCTATTTCCTGCACTGTTCACTCTGTTTACTCCCAGGGCTTACTCACTTACTCCTCGGAAATAGACATTCCAGCGAATTTCACGAATACCTCAAGTGGGTCGACACGCGCAGATATGGTGAGGATCAACAAAAATGGCCCCCGAATAGTGCAGCCTTGTGAGACAGCCCTATCATTCTCCCTTCCCCGCCAATCAAGCTCAGTCATCGCCTTCTAGCGTCCTTCGAGAAGTCCCGTGCTAACCGAGAAATACACGTGTGTCTCACGGACTCGTTTGACCCCCTTTTTGTTAGCCAAATTGGGACCGCAGCTGAACATGTGGTCGGCATGGTCGTTCCGGGAGATTGCATACATTGCCCGTTATGGGGCGCTGTGGAGCTCGTCTAACTAAAAAGGGCACATTATCTAACCCCGGTCACAATCATATTGACATCATCTGGCATGGCACTAGCCATGGCGGAGAGCCTCTATTTCTCCGATGCTGGACAGGGCTGAATTAGAAGCAATTCGGGATGATTCGTTGCACAACATCGTATCCTCGAACATCAAACCTGATTTTGTCCGTTATTTTGCTCTTATTATGATAGATGATTATCCCATAGTCTCTGGGTTTCCAAGAGCATGATGCTATCTTAATTCAATCTTTCTGTTTTGCGGTCACTTATTCCAGACCCAATTAAAGTCTTCTCTCGCAGGATATGAAAAGTAGGGTGCTGAAGGAGGAGATGGCGTGTACTTCCTCAGTGGGTATCGGATACATACGATACCCATTATGGGAATTGCCTGTGGGATTCATCCCAATGGCACTTAGACAATAGAACACCCTCGCGCTTTCAGTATTCAGGTCGAATACTTCTACCACAATTTCCAGCGAAACATACACAGATCCAGCACGACTCTACATGAACGTCAAAGTGGGAATCTGGTTTCTAGCAAGGTCTCTTGCAGATCGAGTCGGTGCAGAGGGGATGTTAAGCGTGGCACAGAATCTGGGGCATAACAGGAACGACATGGCCCGGCATTTCTCAGTGCTTCTCCGGTGGCTTGTTGCACGGTTGACTTATCACGCTATATTCAGTACATCTACTGCGGCTTGGGCGACTTTTCGTATGAGCTTGGCGCTTGTGATGGAGGAAGGTATGTTACCCCCTGGGTCGTGTTCATTTTTCTGCAGGGGATGATTTATTGCGAGCTATGGAAACGAATCAGCAAGGTGGGACTGGGGTTGCTGCTACCTTTGTACAGTATTGTGATGATCAGATCGCAGGTTTGATAGCTTGATCGGCTGAAACAGAGGTATTCAATTTCAGCCTAGTCTTCCCCTGCCAATGGCTTACTCTACAAATGGGTAAGTGAAAAGTTGCCAGTACCAGACTGCCTTTCATTTTTTTTTTTTGTTTTGCCACTCGTATACTAGCTTACAAACAGTACCCTAAACGCCATGATGTCCTTCTGAATTCAGATCCTTTGTCATTAGAACTTGAACCATTCCATCAAACCAAAAATGCAGAGATAAATGCAAATGCAAGAACATAATTCAAATTTAGAAAAAAACAAATATCATTCTTCAAACTCCTGGAGTGTCCACAGCTTGGCGCTCGGTCTCTTCCATGCACGCGGCTGTTCGGAATGACACCTCCTATGCCTTCTCTCAGCCACAAACCTCGCCGCATCAGCACCAGTTAGTGTCGGTCTCCCCCTGTCCGAGCCAGTACCAAGTGGTACCAGCCCTTCAGGCCGTATCAAAGCAGACATAATATCAGGATCCGCCGCCATTTCAGAGGGAACCACAAGCAAAGACTGAGTCTTATTTAACGGCGGCCTCCGAATAAGCCTTCGCAAAACACCGCGATGAACATTTTTCCGACCATCGACCGGCGAAGCCGACAACTGAATCCCATCATTTCGCTTCCTGGAAGATCGGAACCAGAGGCGAGTCAGTCGCCTTGGTGGTCGGACTATACCAGCCATCTCTGTATCATCTCCCAGTACGTCCTCCGTGATGAGTGGGACGGCGGTGGCTTGGGGAAATGAGCGCTGTATATAGTTTGCAGGTCCTGTACCTGGCTTGGAGACATGGAGATCGAGGCCGCAAGGTTCTAGCATACATAGCTCTGAGCCGCAGTGTGGCCAGGTGTGGTGCCTTCTGTGGTGGCGGGTGTGCGGCATGGCGGAAGAAATAGTGATATGAAAGGTATTCATGATTTGACCTGAGTAGATAGATCGTATAGAACAAATTTATCCTTTCTCCATGGTGAGAGAGTGAGTTGAAGATAAGTATTCGTTCCTGCTTTGTTGACAAGAAATGCGGAGAATCTGGGGGAGAACAGGCAGATATATCATCTTGGTAACTGGCATCATTTATTAGAAGCAGTTGACTAGTCTACACGTGAACGGACAAAAATTACTCAGACAGGGCCCGAGTGACTCAGATCTCAGCTGTGGGTAAAAATGACCCGGGTGCATATAGATCAGAATGCCGAGAGAGGGCGAATTGCTACATTCAGGTTTGTCAAATAATGAATCAGGGACGGAAGACAAACGGGCAAAAGGAAAACCTTGTTTGGGACTCCTGTGGAAAGCCGTTATTTGAACCAATACAGGGATAGGAATGAATCATTGAATCCGAATTAACATCTTGCGCCTTGTCGGGCGGATCTTCAGCTGGGAGGCATGACCTGCTAACCTGATGTGGTCAAGAGGACGGTGCGCATAGCAGATCCGGTCGCATGATTATTTCAATACTTTGACTTAGAAAATATCCACAATACGAGGACACTTCGAAAGCGAGGGCATTACTGCTATCTTTGATTTACAGTTCTCATGAGGTGAGTTGTCCAAGTAATATTTTGGTCATATTGTCAAAAATGGTCAACCATTTCATCAACCAGCCAAGTGGTCGAGCAGTAACTCGGTCATTCAATCTTCCTTGGTCTAGTGGTGATGATTTCCGCTTGTCATTAACACCGATAAGCGCGGGAGACCGGGGTTCGATTCCCCGAGGGAGAGTTTCTTTTTGCCAACTATAATACTTGGCTATACTTGCTTGCATATTTTTGCTGATGCTTTGTGTTTCTGGCTTTCACTACTATTCCAATGTTGCCTGTAGGTTACCAATCATTACTCTGCAAATAGCATTTTGGCTGAGGTCTCGGGTAGGGGGTGACCCGTGACACGGGGCTAATAGCTCATGTTGGGGGGGGGCCAGAACTAATTCTGATTTCATAAAAAATGCTCACGTTTGAGTCCTTATTTCCACTAACAACATCTGGTCTGTGGAAATAGGCAGAATAGGCAGTAACAGACGCCACTTGCTTGGGTTACAGTGATGAGGCTCTTTGGCGTGACTAGGTTCCTTTGGCGCGGACTAGCGAACAAACAGGACTTGCACTGTTTAAAACATGCCCACCTCCCTCTTTTAGCTCGCAAATTGTCTGTTTGGTCAAAATTGCGTTCATTGATCAATCCCCCGAAAATGCCAAACAAGGAATACCTCGATCTCTTCGGAAGTGATTCGAAAGAGTCCGACCAGCCCGAAGAGCCTCTTCCGCCGCTCCAAACCGCAGTCAATGCGGGTGAAGTGGACACCTTGCGCCGGTTGGCATCCACCGCAGACCCTGCAGATCTGACTGCAGCCCTAAGCAGATCGTGTCAACTGGGAAACAATGCCCTTGTCGAGGTCCTAGTTGACACTGAACGATGCGACATCAATTGCCTCGCAAATGGAGCGACTCCACTATTCCATGCCGCCCGCAAGCTTGACCCGCGTATAGTAAAGTTCCTTCTCGAAAACAAAGCTGATGTAGCCATCAAATCCAACTACGGTGGTCGTGAAGGAGATGCTCCAACGAAAACGCCCCTCCACGGCGCGGTCGAAGATGCCCGTTACTGCAGAACCCCAGAACAATTACACCAGCTTGAAGAGGTTGTCAAACTACTGCTCGATGCGGGATGCGAAATCAATGCTCAAGATGTACACGGCGAAACTGTACTTCAGCATTGTGTGCGCCAAGGGACCCCATTAATTGGGCTCCTATTACAACACGGAGCAGACCCTAACATCCGAAACGGCAAGGGAGAGACATCAATGCACTATTTCCACAGCCCCCTTGAGAACCCGGAATGGCTCGCAGCTCTCATGGGACATGGTGCGCGTCTAGATATTACCGAGGAACAAGGGAATGGCTATACCCCTCTCCACAGGTTCGCGTCTAGGAACCAACTAGGTGACTTGTCATTGTTCAGGCCCTTTGTGTCTGATTGGAATATCATCGATGCGAAAGGAAACACACTTCTTCACATTGCAACCAAGGAACATCGCAAAGGAAGCGTCACTCTATTGGAATTGCTAAAGGCTGGCCTTGATCCGAACCAGAGCAATCATGAAGGACGACAGCCTATACATATGGTCGATGGCAGTGAAGACAGCGTGAACGATGCATTGGATATTCTCTGTGCAGCCGGTGCGGATATTGAGGCTAGAGACTCACGAGGAATTACGCCCCTCACCAGGACCATGTGTGGCTATCCTCAGTACAACTCTCGCGAGCTTATCCAGATATTGCTTCATCGCGGGGCAAATATCAATGCGCAAGACTACCAAGGCAATGGGATTCTATGGAATCTCGTCCAGGGTACATTCCATTCCGAGTGCCTCGACTTTCTTCTCTCCCTCGGGGTGAACCCACAAATGACAAATTACAAAGGAGACACATTTCTGCACCATGTTGCAGCAAGCTACCCCACTTGCGCTGTGAATCAGGAGCTGCTTATTCCAGTCATGAGAAAGATGATTGACCTGGGCGTCTCACCCACTCTACCTAACTTCAAGGGCTGGACACCTCTACATGCACTATGTAGTTCGGTCTCGGACCACCTTTTCGCAGCGGCTGCGGAAGGAGGTAAATCTGCGATTGACCTCCTGCTGGATTGTGGTCTTGACGGAGCTCTCAACACGGCCGATCATCAGGGTATCCGGCCTATTCACCTGGCAGCTACGACTTCGGAGGTTCTAGTCGGCAGGCTAATTTCCCGTGGAGCCGATCCCACAGCTACCATAATTGATGGGCGCAATCTACTCCACATCGCCTGCTCTGCACGACAGAGCAACATAGTAGGATTGCTGCTGGGACACTATGCCTCAACCGGTCAGACTGCTCTGGTAACTGCAAAGTCAAAGGATGGACGGACACCTCTCCATGTAGCCTGCCGCTCCGGGAGGTTGGAGACAGTGGCCCTCTTGCTCGCTCACGGAGCAGATGTCAGCATCCAAGACGAGTCCGGACGGACTCCCATGGATGTATGCAGCGAGTTTCCCGAGGAGGACAAGCTTTGGGAAAGTGTCGACGATGCAGAGAACCTGTTCCACACGCTGACTGCGGCTGGGATGCTGTCAGAGGACAAAAGAAGGCCAACACAAACTCCATCCAACCGCAAGACATTTCGCCACAAGGCCAAACGTGTCGGGTGGAAAGGAGAGCTCACCTCTGAAACCTCAACTATCAGAATTGGACCTATCGTTCGACTTCTGGCGGCTCATGGAGGCATTGTTAAAAAAGAGGGATTTGCTAGTGGCCCGATGTTCTATGCCGTTGATTGCGACGATGACCAGATGGTAGTGGAGCTTGATCGAGTATCACGGGAGATGAATATTCCGCTCCAAAATCATGCACCCCTCGAAACCGAAACTATTCTGGCGCGCTCTAGGAATATTCCACCCATTCTGGAGAAGAGTTTGAAGACATATATATATGAAGGTCAGATTCTGTCAATTGTGCTACGTGGCCATGAGCAAGAGGTGGCGCAGGCCTTGGAGGCAATTGCTTCCAGCGATGTAAACTGGGCCAAGGATCAGACCAGTCTGCCAGCGATACTGGTCACTCTCGCGAGATGGGGATATGCGGAACTTTTCGAGCGCGTGGGATCTATCATACCGGGAAATGACTGGATCAACAGTGGAAATGCTAACCGCCTCGGTGAGGAACCCATCCGTCATCTTCTGGCAGCAGGAATGCGCCATCTTCCCAACTTGGAAGTCATCAAGATCATGGTTGAGAAGTTCAATGTGGACGTCAACGTTCAATTCACAAGTAACATGCAACTTAAGCCCAAAGTCTACTATCAATCCTCAATGGCCCAGCAGCGGCAGTACAAGGAGGGAGACACAATACTTCACCACCTCGCCCAAGGCGAGCATTGGTGGCATGAAGGTGCAATCAAGTACCTTCTAGACCACGGAGCCGACCCCAACATCCGAAATAGCCAGGGCAAAACACCATTGTGCAATGCAGTTGCAAGAGGAGAGCTCGCCGGTCATGGCCAGCGCGAAATCACTCGAATTCTCCTAGAGGGCGGCGCCGATCCTAACATCGCCGCTTCATGTGGCTACACACCATTAGCCATGTCAGCACACGACACACAACTCTTTCAATTATTGATTGACAACGGTGCCTACCCTTCCCAGGAGCACCCAATGGAGTTATTTGCCGCACTGGCAACCTTCAACACCGAGGTGCTTGAAGCTCTCCTGGAAATGGATCTGGACTGCAACACAACAGTCCTTTCTGATGCTCAGCCTCACTGGCATACCCCCCGCTTCCGAAAACTCCCCTCCACACCGACATTGATCCTAAGCCCGCTGCTTTATATCTCCACGATAGCATACAATGAAGCCAACACCCGCGACAACGCTATCCGCATGATAAAAACTCTAATTAAGCATGGCGCAAACCCCTGGCTACCCTGTGATCAAAACGCGATAATCCTACACGACATATTCGAAAACGGAGGAATCACCCAGCCATGGCTTGAACTGCCTGACCTCGATCTCGAGCATCGGGACCCCAAGGGACAGACTCTACTGCTAGCAGCTGCAAAGTCTCTCTCCGGTGTCGACTCATATGCTTGTGAAGCACCCATTTTCCCGCTGCGTGGTGGTAGAATTATCCCGTCGGGCTGGAAAGAGGGTGATCGCACACGTGCAATGGCATTGTATGAACATGGTGCGAATCTGACTGCGGTGGATGATATGGGAAATAATGTTCTTCATTGTTTGGCCGGGGTTGTAACACAGGATAGGATTTGTGAGTTGGAATTGAAGCGGACGTTGGCTTTGTTTGTGGAGAAAAATCCGGAGCTTGTTGGCCAGAGTAATGTACAGGGAAAGACAGCTCAGATGGTTGCTGAGGAGAAATGCAATGAATGGGCTATGGAGATACTTGGGCGGAGTTCGGGTGGCGCAGAGTAAGGGGATATTGATTTGTGCTGGTTTAGTTAGAAGCCATGAAGGCTCCTCTGCTCGATAACAATTCCGGACTAGACTGGACGTCGGACTGAAAATGAATGCCGAGGCGTATATTTGCTGAGGATTAGTCTCAATAATTTGTCTGTTGGCCAGAATGAACCGATGTGCATCGTTGATGAAGAGTAGATCGCCTTCTCTCAGGGTATTCCGGACTTATCAGTACCGCTAGTGATCTATAAACTCGGAACCACTCACATCTGGGGTGTTGAGAAGCGTGGTAATCGCAAGTACGCCGTCAGATATGCGCTCCATCAGGTTAAGGACCTCTAGCCAGTGGAGGAAGTGTGTTTCTAGAACCCAAGCCAGGTGCTAAAAGAACAACCCCTCCCCCAAGATGCAAAATAATGACGCTGTTACAATGGCTGTAAATTAGCGCATGTCAAGTACAATTTTTCTTACGACTACAGTAGTATTGCATGTTTGGCAATCTAATGCAAAAAAAATTGACTATTTTTGCTCGACTAGCCGCGCACCAAGAAATACGAAATGTACCTCCACTTACTATAGCAACCCCTACTTAAATTAAGTACTGAATTGGTGAAAAGTTCTCTCTGTCTTTGAGGACCAAGGAACTGACGCCTCATTGGTGGGGATATATGCGATTGTAGTTGTACTCTTAATACCTCTTTATCTTTACAACTAGTCATGTAAAGGCATGCGATATAGTAGATTACATAAAACAAAAGACTATCAGGCTGCTTGCAGCTTTGAGCAAATGTCGAGCTGGAGAGGAACCCCTGACAGGAACATGGCATAATTTGCCATTCAGGCCTGAGAGTGCGCACCAGCATCTCACCTGCTTCCACTTGAACTCGTTGACGAAGTGGTTGATGAGACAATTGTCGAAATCCTCACCACGAAGGTGAGTGTCACTAGTAGCGGGCTTGACGTCGAAGATACCCTCCTCAGTGGTGAGGAGAGACACGCCGAAGGTGCCGCCGCCAAGATCGAAGATCGGGACGTTGCGCTTACCCTCGACCTTCTTGTCAACACCATAGGCAGTGGTAGCAGCAGTAGGCCGGCAATGAGTCCGGCGTCCTGGGTGGCCTAACGCTGAGAGTTGTTGAAGAAGGCGGGGACAGTGAAGCCAGCGTTGTTGATGGTGCCACCGAGGTAGGCCTTAGCGGTCTCATGCAAATTGGTCAGGATCATAGCGGAGATTTGCTCGGAAGTGAGCTGCTTGGCCTCGCCCTTGAACTCTCGACCTCGACAACAGGCTTAGTGTTTTAGAAGATTGGTGGATAATTCCCAATACCACTTCATTCTGTTCAAAACTTATCTGGTCCTGACGTGATTGATGTCAGTTTGTTGCAGAGGGTTGACGAACATCTTCGTGGCCGTCAGCACCTCATACCCCAGAAAAACGCCGTACACTTACTTTCATAGCAAGAGAAACCCCCTCCACGCAAGTGCGGCCTCCGGACAGCTCTTGACTGCAAGGCTGATGATCTTATTGAGATCAAGAGCGACTTGCAACACTGCTGTAGCGCTCTTCTTGTCTTTTGATTTTTTTTTCTCTGTTCTCTCTAGCCCTTTCTCTACAGCCGATTGCATTTGCGATCGACTCCATTCCAGATCCTCTTGTCTTCTCAGGTTCTTCTCGGCGAATGAGTCCATAGGGTCTCCTTTGAGGTGACTTAGCAGTTCTTTCGGATCCATCTAGCAAAGGTTGATCTTCCTTCAGGCGGTCGTAGCCTTCGTCCCAGAGCGACGCTAGATCGGCGGGGACGGTGGGGTTTGTCTTCGCAGGGACATCTGGGGCGAGATCCTCGGGAAAAAGAATACCTTGCAGATTCACGAGCAAACGAGGAAACGGCCTCAGACGCATTCGCCGTCGAGATTGTGGCAGGACCTTCGGGTAGGATCACTGTGTTCTATATACCTCTCCCCTTCTCCTCCTTGGTGGGGATTTTGGGACGTGCATCACGATCGAATATTTTTGAAAGAGGATTGTTTATCTTCATTGTAGGAGGCTCAGAGCCTCTTATTGGGTCAGAAAGTGTGACGGGGCTGTAACAAATAGAACGCAAAGGACAGCAAATTGCTCATATTAAGCAAAATCAAGATGATTTTCCTCTGAGTCTCCTCGGAATGATGTGAAGAGGAAGATGACAATCTAGTTCGTCAGCAGCATTTAAAACTACTATCTCGCTATTCTCATAGTCCTCTTATTATCCAAGTGAAAAATAGATGCGCAACTTTAATGGCGCTTGGTTACAATACTCGAACGGGTGTGGCAAAGCTGGTAGCATTCATGAAAATCTAGGAATCGAAGAGGATGTGATTTCAAGACTCAATATCAAGATGTTTGTATCGCTGCTCATACACAAGTTATGGCTGCTGTATCGTGTTATAGATCGGAGTTGTCTGTTTACTTCTCCGCATGTCCAAGAATAGAAATGACGTCAACCCCCACACTTTCACGCTAAGCAGACGTCGCTCGATAAGCAACACCATCTGTCCTCCACTCCCACCCAGATTAGTTGAAGATGAGTGATGGCCAGGATATCCCGGGAGATTTTAATGATGGGAATCACGAACCCCAAACCTCTGACGATGGACTCCAATCGTCGAGTCTGACGCCAGCACTGCCACCACGCACCCAATGGAAGCCGTCGTCGCGGACCGTGGAAGAAACACTTGCTCAAGGATTATCAAATGAGGACTTATGGATGCTGCTTCGGCGATTCGACAAGGTAGGACAGGTGGTTTTCTCGTTCGGATACAATGCTGACGCGTGAGCAGCAAATTTACCACGTCAAAGCCGTACACGATGTCGCAGCACTGAACTTGGACCTCAACCGCACGGAAAACGAACAATTTCCACCGGAAAAACTGCGGATGACATTGGAGCGATTCTATACGTCTGTTATTGTGGGTGTGACTGAATTTATCCGACACATCACTCGTCTGCGATCATGGAAGGAACCTCTGCGAACGTCGCTTTTCTGTGGGGTATGTCAATTCTTTGCAGAACAATGGAACTCGAGCTTATGAAATTCAGGGTTATACTATCGCGTGGGCTGTCGACCTCCTCATCCCAGCCATACTGGGTCTTATCGTCGCTTTGATCATGGTCCCGCCCGTTCGCCTAATTTTATTCCCAGGCCATGCAAAGAAGGAAGAAGGCGGTAAATCGAATGGGAGCGGCTCTCCCACCGGCCAACCAAATTCTCAGGACAGTCTGACCGGGGTTCCAGAGAATCACAAGGGTGAAGCTGCTGAACAAGAGGCAAGAAACCTTGTCGACAGCTTTGCCACTGTTGCCATGGAGAGCGCCGCGGCGAAGTACGGCCAAACTGTTACGGAAGAGGAGCCAGACAGACCCTTAATCACTGATGGAATAGAGGCCGCAGAAGCTGCCGCCGAATCACCGAATGGTGATGCCCCTGAAGACAAAACTAAGAAACCTATGAAGAAGAAGGTTTCGCACGCGACTGATCAGGCAATGCGAGTGTTGAGTGATATCACCGATGTGTATGAGAAGTTTGCCAAGTGAGTACTTGCTCAAATAAGACATGACAACACTATACTGACATATTATAGCCTCCTTTCCCCAACACCTCCGTTCTTTTTGGTCTCGTCTAGACTACGCCTTGCAAGTATCTTCACTTTAATATCTGCGGTCGTGCCCTTCACATCCAGTTATTGGATCATCAAGCTCGTTGGCTTTACTGTTGGACTGGGCTTCTTTGGTGACCCGGTATTTACCTATACTATGGATCTCTTGAACAGAAAGGTTCCAAACTGGAAAGACCATTTAGATTTGCAAAAGTAAAACCATCGTCTTTGCCGGTCTGCGATTAGTTGGCTAACATCATTCATGCAGAACACTTTTGGTCGGAGTCCCAACAAATGCACAACTCACCTTGACACTTCTTCGCATTGGCGAGATTAACTCAACCCCACTACCACCCCCTCCCACCCCAGAAGACAATGATCGTGCGTGGCCTATCCGACGGAAGAAGTCGCAACCAACCTCGACAGAGCTCACCGCACAGGGCTCATCAACTAGCCTTCATTCGACGAATTCCGACATGTCACTTCCGGAGACCAAACCGAAGAAAAAGACGTTCTTTCGAATTCTCAAGTTTTTCCGCCGCACTATTGCAACAGCGATCAAGGGCCATATCGCATTTGACCGGGCCATGGCAATTGCAGGGTCCGCCCATACCAAGAACCTGATTGATATGCTGCAAAAGCGACACTTTGCCGCCACACCTTACGGGCCATTGAAGTTTGACGCCAAGTACGAGCGTAAGAGAGGTGCTGCAGTCATAGATTCATCAAAGGAACCGCCCATCCTATATTTCACGACGTACCAGTCTTCTGGATTGGACGATCTCCGCATTGAGAGCCGAAAGAAGGGATCTGTCTTGTTCCAAATTCCCGTCACTGAAATCAAGGAACTCAAGAAGACGGAAGGACTTGGGTGGAAGGGCAAGTTGATCGTTGAGTTGACGGCTGGAAGCAAGGAGGCCGCAGATGGGCTAGTCATTGGCGGCGATGAGCTTGGTCAGTCTTACCATCTTACTGGTATGAGGTCGCGGAACCAGCTATTTAACCGGCTTGTTGCTATCGATGCCCAATTTTGGGAAAGTCGTTAATTTCCTCTCAGCTTCAATGGTCTGCAATATTAGCACAAAATAGGAAACCAGGGATAAAGGGGTCACTGCTTCCCACAAATTCCAAAACCCATGTAACTTGTGATACATGTATGTTGATTCATGCATTTTGTAGTCTATGCCATAGAAACTTGGGTAAATGCTGTCCTTGTAGAACTGCCAGAAACTCTTCCTTGTCTAAGATCCACCAAAGAAGATTAGTATAGGATCTCGAGCAAAGATTGCACCAACCCAACTCACCTTTACTTGTTCGAAACAGAATTGAAATGGAACCTTCCTTATTTTGAACATTGGAGTTCTTTGGACTTCGAGCCATAATGTTCATCATGTCAAGCGTCATACCACGATTGTACGGTAAATGTGGAAGTATAACGCGGTTGTTGTCTTTTGACGAGTCAATAAATTCAGAAGGGAGAGACATGTTAAGCCACTTGTTTGGAACGGAGTCATCCCAGCGAGCAGCCAGCTGAAAGTTTGTAACACGGCGCCAGAGTTGTATCTCGGCAGCCCCTTTGCCAGACTTTTGAAAGCCGAGGAACGACCCCGAGTCTTCGATGGCTGCACCCAAAGCCCATATTAGCGCTTCAACCAGCCAGTCGCACAGCATATCCGTCGAGCGTTTGTGTGATGACTAGCCGGACCGGGCTCTGTTTGTGCTCGAGCTCGCACATAGAAGCATGTCGAAATACAAGGATGGCAGAGGGTTCTTTGACTGTAAGCACCAGGCTGTATCCCCTGCGGAGGAACAAAGAAGCCTCTTAAGCCCCGACCACTGAATCTTGGGCATCGAGCGTCAATCTGACTAGCCTGGATGTACTTTCAGGGTTTCGTGGGGTATTTTTCAGCTCGCGAGGCTGTCTCTGCCTAGCGGGAAGTAGACACCGAGCTATATATCGCTGCATTTTTCCAAGATACTCAAAGTGGGGATTATCGAAGGCACAACTCATTGACCTATAGATATCGTGCCATTCATGTGAGACAAAGGGATGTTCAAATGACCAACAGTTGCAATGGAGATGTTCTCTTGTAGTTGGAGACAATAATGACCCACGTCCTGCCTGAGGCAGAACAAAATATTGACTTTAGCCCCTAATTCTTTGTTCTTTTAAAGACTCTCCATTCTGTTGTCCACCACTCTTTCAAAGCATGAGACACCCTTGAAACTGTCAACCTACAGGCTGCGAAATCCAGACCCTGGCTCCTTAAATCAGGCCTTCTCCAAGCCCAGACCACGTCACGACACCCCTGCGCGCGATCTCGGAATAACATCTTTCACCATGTCAACCCCGGCTTCCTTCACCCTGGACGTTCCAACCGTCCTATGTATTGCATTCTCTCTGTCATTGATGCCAGTGGCGTACACTCTATGCCAGACCCTTGTCCCAGCCAACAAGACACGCGACCGCGTCTTGTTCTTCTGGCACGCCTACGATGCCCTCACCCACATTTTTATTGAAGGGTCCTTCCTTTATGAGTGCTTCTTTAGCTACACAACTGCTGTCGGAACCAGCAACGTCGAACCCTTCTTCTTGAACCGTCCGGACCGCATTTACGGCCCGGCCTATGGCACAGGCCCCAGCTCGCGCCTGTGGCAGGAGTATGCGAAGGCTGACCGCCGCTGGGCTGGCGCTGATTTGACTGTGGTATCATTGGAACTGCTGACTGTCTTCCTTGGCGGCCCAGCCGCAGTGTACATCTGCTACCTGCTTTGCCAGTCATCAAACGAGAAGATCAGTGCCAGGTCCCGTGGCAGCGTCAAGGCGACATTATGGCTCGTCTCCACTGCACTCGCCACTGCGGAGTTGTATGGTGGTTTCATGACTTTTGCGCCTGAGTGGTTGACTGGTAGCTCCCAGCTGGCTACCGAGGACCCCGTCTACCTCTGGCTGTATCTGTTCTTCTTCAACACACTGTGGGTATTCATCCCTCTGTGGGTGCTGTGGGAGGCGGCCAAAGAGCTCCGCGCTGCCTTTGTCTCTGCAGAGGTTCAGGTAGAAAATAAGAGCCAGTGAAATTGTTGTGGCTTTCTATGAAGTTGAATTTTCGTTGGGATACTTTTTCTGAGAGAATTTAATGATTGATGCATCCATCTTGGTATCACCTGGAGCTCCTTGGGCTGTTTGAACATTTTTTCCTTTGGCGGTGCGTCCATGATGTTAGGGCAAAAGAGCAGAGCGCTGAAAGGCACTTCCTCTATACAGGTATAACGATTGAGAAAGTAAGAGTGGCCGCCGTCCTAGGACGCGAGGCATGTGTAGTGAGTAGCATAAGCTAGGCTACGTGCGTAATACCCCTTTCGTGATCTAGTATCGTACCAGTTTTCTTTGTTCTTGGACCAAAGCGTCATGATCTGGCTATATTGAGATTGTTTCAAGATTTTGTTGGAATCTGCAATGCTGATAGTGCTCATAGAAATGGCAACATAATCGCAACATAGCAATGAATGCTTGCTACAATCACCCCTGAAGTTTTCATAATTCTCCATAGAGAGCTATCTTCAAGGTCACTTACTATAAATGTTTTGATTCAAATCACCAAGAACGCAGAAAGAGCTCTTCTTTGTGACTACGGACATCCTAAGGTCTACCACGAAGACAAACATGTGGTACTAGAAGAACATATTTTCCACAAGCTTAGTTGAAGATATTAATAGAGAACTCAATTCAGATACAGAGAGAGAGAGAGGCAAAAGGAGAGTGAAACTCCAGGACGAACTCCTCACAAAAATGACCATTTTGACTTATCAAACCTTATGCGTCCCCCGGTCCTTCTCCCAAAACCAATGATAGAAGCTCTTCCACTCAGCAGCCTCATCCTCAACATAATCACCCACCAACTCCGCAGTCTCGTTAACCTCATCAGTTACCTCCGACACAGGAACCTTTAACCCAGAAGACGCATCAATACCACTAGCCCCCTTACCAGCCTCAGCAGCCTCAGCAGCACTCGCCGAGTTAGAAGTCATATCAACAGCCACACCACCAGACGTACCAGCCAAGACCTCCTCAGCACCTTCTTTCGTGCGTTCTGCTAGATCTCGCGCTCCCTCTCGCGCAATCTCTGTATACTCCTCTGCCTGTTCGCGCGCGCGCTCGATGAGTTCCTCTGGAGAGGGATAGCGGCGTATGAGCATGAGTAAGAAATAATAGCTCTTGATGATAGATGCGTAGACGGCGTCTTTGGCTAGCATTGTGAAGCCGTGCGAGAAGAAGCCCTTGAGGACCTCGCCCTGGAGACCGGCGTAGAGGGCCTTGAAGCCATCTTTCCGGGCAATTGCTATAACCTTCGAGATGATTTGTGGTGTGAAAGTGTTGATTAAAGATGCTTGGGATGCAGGTTGTGAAGTCCCAGAGTTGGAAGTAGACTTGAGGACCTGAGCTCTAGTCTTTGCGAGAGAGAAGGGATAAGTAATAGACGAAGCAGCAACCTTACTCAGCGCCGCAAGCAGAAAAGTCACAGCGGGCGAAGGTTTATCACGCTTCGCGCGTGGTATCAGAGCCCGTTTCAGGAACTCATTGAGAAAGAACGTGAGTGAGGGATTCAACGTCAGAATCAGCGCAGCCGAATACCCAGACCAGAACCCCGCAAGACCCTTCTCCTTCCGAATCTGAGAAGCAATATCACCTGTGGAAAGACTCTTCTCATTGCCATTTGTCCGCGCAGCAGAAGTCTGCTTTCTGGCAACAATGTTCGACAATGGCGTCGTGAACAACTTAGCAAACGAACCAGCCAGAATGCCAACAGCAAGCTCATCAAAAACGGGAAGAACAATATTCTTCCCCTTGGCCGCTTTCTCAGCACCTACACGCGCCACAATCCTCTTCTGCCTAATGGCACTATAGGCAAGGAAGAAAAGGAACGAGTCGGCCACTGTCTTCCACGTATCTTGCGCGAGACCAGGATAGAAGCCGCTGATACCCTGCTGCAGGTATATTTTGCGCGCGGCATCGAAGACACTAGTGTATTCGTCCTCTTCCTCTTCTTCGCTATTACCATTGGATTTCTCGGTCGAGTCTCCGTCTTTCCTCCTCTGAGTTTGAAGCCGCGCGACTATCACATTGAGCGGATAGACCACGACGTTGGAAATGGCAGCGCCGACAGCGCCCGCTGTTGCATTTCCTAGTGCTGGGAGTGCTGGGCCGCGGCCGGCGGCTGATTTCCAGTCTCGTGGATCATGTGTTTCGAAGCGGTAGGATGGGTGGTAAACGTCCTGTTTGTTTGGGTTAGCATTAGCTGATAAGGATGCGGTTGCGGAGCGTTGGGGTTGAAACGGGGTGTTGTGTGAGTATGTGGTGAAGCGGAGGATGAGCATGTACCAGTTGGGACTCGTATGATAGTTTGTATTCTGCCATGGCTGGGTGATTGGATGTGGTGAGAACAAAGGACTTCACCTGTGGTGAATCCGAGGTTCAATGGATTAATGCTGATAGGGACGGAGGGGTGCCAGTCGATTGTGGGATCTCGTATCAAACAAAAGCCATAGGGTGAATTAAAAATTTCAAGTCAGTTTGCAATAAGCAGGGAAATGTCATGCATGTTTTAGATGAATGTGATGGCCGAGGTTGAATTGCGGAGATATCGATTACATCATTGCAGATCATGTGGTCTGTGCTATCAGGCCATACTCCCACAGCTAGTATAAAACACAACTACTTCATTTACACTGAAAGTAAAAGACTGATGGCAGTGATTGTATTTCACCTAGGCAGGGGATCAGAGCCCATCAACCAACTAAGGACTCGACCGTCCAAATAAAAACACAGAACCCCAGATGGGTCCCACCCATGGAATAGACAACCATATCCAACCCATAAACCCCGAACAAATTCAATTCGTAGCAAAAAAAAAAAAAAAACCATCGCACCGTTGCGCATTAAAGAAACAGAAAAAGAAAAAAAGCACAAGCACAGGTCGGTATCAAACCATGAAGGACATCAAGATGATTAGATTTAACCACCGAAACCGTAGAGGGTACGGCCCTGGCGCTTGAGGGCGTAGACGACATCAAGCGAAGTGACAGTCTTACGCTTAGCGTGCTCGGTGTAGGTGACAGCGTCACGGATGACGGACTCGAGGAAGGTCTTAAGGACACCGCGGGTCTCCTCATAGATCATGGCGGAGATACGCTTGACACCGCCACGACGAGCGAGACGACGGATGGCGGGCTTGGTGATACCCTGGATGTTGTCGCGAAGAATCTTACGGTGGCGCTTGGCACCACCTTTGCCGAGGCCCTTGCCGCCCTTGCCGCCTGTTTATCTGTTAGTGATGTGTTATGGAAGGATGGAGTGAGGGGGCATGAGGGTAGGAAGATCATAGGTAGAACAGCAGGGTCAGAAGAGAGGGATAGTGTGAGATGGTGATATGGCGAGGTCATCATAAGATGGCCAAGATGTACATAGCCTTTGCCCAGATAGGCAAAGCGGGATGCAAGTGGCAGCCTGAGGCAAAATCACGTGCACCCAGGGGCATCACCATATCCCGATCGGGCATTTCGACGACGACAACACGAGAGGTAGTAGTGTAGCGAATGAGAATAGAGAGAGATACATACGTCCAGACATATTTTCAGTCGATTAAAAGATATAAAAGGATAAAAAAAGTGATGGAAGATGTCGAGATACGTCTTCGTGGATGGAAAAGACGCGGTGATTGGCGATGGAGAGAATGGGAAAAGAGAAAAATTCCTAAATGGCGGGCGACGGAGGGGGAGACATTTAAATAAGGGAAAGGGTGGGAGTTGGGGGGTTTAGGTAATCTCCATTCTGCAATGCGGCGGTCATTGGCGATCGGGCGGGCAGGAAAAAGGGCGTTATGAAGGGTCGGTTTCCAGCGCGTCAATCAGACATGGCCGAGCCCGCATTTTCCAGCGTGGACGGTATTGATAGTCACGTGGAATCAGCGGGTCAGTAGTCACGTGGAGATAAAAACTTGCGATAGCGATCAAGCAGAAGCGGGAGGGGGCACGTGGTGATAGTCACCGTGATAAGGAGTATAGAGAATGCTCGATTCACTTGCAGTTAAACTTACTAGCTTACGGCCGATTTCCTACCGTATACATACAACACTACAATGGTGATGGTGATGCAGTCGCTCATCATGTCTCGTGTCATTCAAAACTACGCAATACCCCTCGGGCAGTCATGTATGAGTATCTTCGCATCTTCGCATCTTCGCATCTTTAACGTAAAACCACAAGAGTGGAACGTATCGCAAAAAGCACCCAGAAAGAGATCAAAAGAAAACAGTAGAAAAATAAAAGAAGAAAAAAACAACGCAAAATAACGCGACAAAAGCACCGGAACACCATGCAATATCAATGGAAACCCAGAACTGCGATGCATCGAAATAAAATCAAGAGCGGAGGCGGGCAGACAGACTAAAAACTTTTTGCAGGAAAAAAAGAAGGGCCATCCGAAAGAATAGCAAAGAATCGAAATGCCTCGAAATCGTAACGTCATCATGCGTAGGAGAACGGCATGGAAAAGTGGAAAAACGGAAAACGTGAGGATGACCGCACAACGGAGATGGTCACATCGGTGATTTCTCTCGATGCGAGGGTAGTGGCGATGAGCCGGCAACGAATGGTGAACGAAATATCCGCGGTTTATTATACATCGCAAGACAGTCGATCACAGACGAAGCTGGTCCGCCAACGGTAAAATAGGTAGAAAACCATCATGCGATCAAAGGGCGCCAATAGGCGTGTTGGTAAAAGGAATCGAAAACGAGTCAACGGATCTGTCCATATCCATACAAGAACTCCCAGATTGTCTTCACAGACGTCAACGACATGCTTTAAACGCGGAGGAGTCATAGCCAGGGTCCAAGACAGTTATGAACAGTCCATGTTACTCACCCTCTAATCACGGTCGATGAGTGAGGGTCATTCATGAAACCGCGTTGAAAAGAATAGTGGAATGCCATTGGAGACGGCGAGGGTCGTGGGGAGGTACGGGGACTGTGAGAGCGCTCACGAGGAGCCTCAATCACAGGAGCCTTGATAGGCGCAGGAGAGCGAGGTGAAAGTGGCGGTGAAAGGCACGCTGCCACAACGATATGTTTCGGGGCCTCACCCTCCCTAGCGCTCAAGGCTGGCTTTGGGGTTGGTGCTTGTGGAGCGGAGCCAAACTATTAATAGGTTAGTCGCTGCCCAAGAGTGACGTGGCATGGAAGACTCACGAAGCAATATTTATCGACCAGTTCCTGATAATTGGAAGACTCGAGGCGCGGCTTGCTAGATACCAGAGAGGAAGGTTTCAGATCTTCCACACGACCGGTGCGGACGGTATCGCTCACTGCAGGAGCATGGGCTTGCTCAAAACCAGCTTTCTTGGTCGGCTTCGACTCAACGTTCTCTCCGGACTTCGCACGAGCAGAGAGGGCAGTCCGATCCAATGGTGACTTGGTCCGCATGGCTGCAGACAAGGACGCTCCGAAGTCGTATCGGTTGCCGAATGCTTGACGGTTGGTGTTCTCGCGGCGCTTGGGCGGTGCGACCGTGTCAATCTCATCCGAGGCGGTCCGAGTCAAAGGAGCGCCATCGGCCCCGTCGAAGGGATCCGAGAATGAGACTTTGTCGCCCAGGTCGGCGAAGTCATAGGTCGATGGCATTGAGTGGGGACGGATGGTGTGGGTACTGGTGAACGATCGGCTACGTGGGAGAGCAGGACGAGACGAACCAGCGGGCTTGGTCGGGGACGCCCTGGGAACCTTGTGGAAGTCGACCTGATAGTTCATGGCATTGTTGTTGTCCCAGTATTCCTGACCATCCACGTTATAGCGGATGCACATGAACATGGTCTTGGACTCCAGGTTGGCCTGATCCTTCAACTTGATGTCGAACGAGAAGCGGTCGTATCCATCCATAGCCTGCTGGCGTCGAACATCGTGACAGAAGGTTGCTCCCACTTCCGAAGTCGTCCTCCAATAATCCAGGGTGAACCGAGCAGTCACATACTTCTGGAAAGCAAGGTTGGCCACAGCCACAGTTCCGATCAAAGTGGTCTTATCAGCTGACAAGAACAAACGTTCCAGACGAACCGGGGCGTGCGACGACACATCCTTGGGCCAATTCGAGAGCCGAAGCTCCCAATCCCAAGACGGACCTTTCGACCCGGCACTATGACCAAATGGGAATTCGCTCTCGGTATCGTGGCTATCCACAGGGGAAGTCTCCGTACTCACAGCGAGAGGGCGGTCGAGCTGCAGGAAATGACGAATATGTTCCAACTTGGAATCGAAGTGAACGGCCTTGGAGTACACCGGAGTGCCAGGCATACTAGATGGACGTCTCCGTGCCGACGCGGGCCGAAGAGCCGGGCGAACCAATTCACCAGACTTCTTCCGGACCATCGGGGGCTTGGGCGACATCTCAGCGTCACTGTCATCGGGGGAGCTCGTCAAGGCTTCTTCCCGGCTGAGGTCAATGGCGGTTTCAGTGGACGATCGAGAGTGTGTCATCTTCCGAGCTTCTTTACACAATGGCGGATGAGCCGGCTTGGAGGGCTTTGACTCGGGAGTCATCGGCACGCTTGATGAGGGCTTTGCCTCTACTTGCTGCTCTGGGCCCATTCTCTCTGGAGAGCTCTCCCTCCTTAGCTTGATTGATCGGACGGCAGCCTCGAGCTCGCCCAACTTGATACTCTCACCCCTGTATGTGGACTCCTCATCACTTGAGTTGGGGGCAGATTCAGGAGGCGAAATTACCGCCCCCGGGGGAATGATGGCATTGTTCAATGGTGGCGGGGACTGACGGAGGCTGGCATGTGGGTCGATGGAGGGAGAGGCGCGGGACGTGGGTTCTGATGCAGAATGCACGGTCTTGGTGTTGACCGAAGGGCTCCTCCGATGCCGACGAGTGTATGATGTGGAGGAATAGGATCGGGAGTTCTGCAGACGTCCCGAGGCGGAGCGACTCACGTTAGGTCGCTCACGGTGATCTGAGTATTCAATATGCTGCGCGGAGAGCAACGGCTTCAACGGCGCAGTGTAGGGCATCCGGCCGACTGTGTTTCAAACACAAGGTAAGGAGGACTGTTTAAACAACGGAAGTCCTTGAAGCTTATCAGTGACTATCATGAGGAAGGAATGGTTGCCACTCGGGAAAGAACGCGAGTTTCACCGTGTGACACCAGTGGGAGAGAGCGAGGGCTTATCAATCCTACCTGGACATTGAGTGGCGATATGCAAGTATCAAAGTATCGAAAGGTTGAAAAGTATAATCACAAAAGTACAGTCGAAATGTACAGAAAAATGAAGAGTCGAAACCCCGGCCCGTAAAAAAGAGGCGATGAGGGCGCTCAAGTAAGTTATAGTGGGACCAAAGCCATTCCCGCTATGACCGTTGATAAGACTGATATTTCCGGTATTTTATAGCTTTTTTTTTCTTTTCTTTTCCCAGGTCAGTGCGTACATGTACGGCGTAGGATTATCTTTTTTTTCTTTTCTTTTCTTTTTGACTTTTGATGTTATTGCACTTACACGTTCTGCGTTAACTTAGCTTCACATTCCTCGTACTCTACTTGTACACTCTACCCCTATCTTCTAATTGCCACTGCCCAAATTCTCCGACATGTGCACGACGATCTGTCTGCTGTATACGGCGCTAGCGGACTACAGACCTCCCGTGTTCCCTGTTTTAATCCTGACGTAGAGACTGTACTCTGTAAATAATTACTTGACTTCTACCTCCACTTCCATTCACATCCACTTTACGGAGTAGCAGTTCTTTTATTATGGAGACTCCAGCTTGATATAATTGATACAATGTGAACCCACTCTTATCAGTCCGCGGAGAAGCCCGGGAAGACTAAGCCAAGCACCCAAGGTTACAAGATTCAAAACCAGTTTGTTAACGTACAGGTAAGGGATGTACTACGCTGCAAGTGCTGGAAGCATAAGGTCCACCCATCCCTCCTAGTGTCCCCCCTTCGCGGCTACACTGGGGCTAGACTGCTGTATCTTCTTTCACGTTACAAAGAGAACAGAGTTCTCCCGATCGTCAACCATGTTCGGTACGGAACACGAAGTTATCCGTATACGAGATTTAGAGATTTGATTGAGGGATTTGGTGATTTTGATGATTTGGTGATTTAGTTGCGAGCTGGTATGTATAGAAATTCCACCGTGACGTGCATGTGCAGTTATAATGGCCATTTGGTCTATACTCCGAAGCCTGGTGGATCGACGAGGCGTAACATGCACTCCAGGCTCCACCGAACGTGCCACAAATCCGGATCTGGAGATGTGGGTGAGATGAGATAGAAAGGGATACAGTAGAATTAACATTGTGGATAGAGAGATAGGGATGAGATGAAGATTATAGCAATTAACATTTACATTCACACTTACATGTACATGTATCATTTCCATGTGGTCTATATACCGTACTCTACTTGATGCTACTCGGGTATAGAGTGGTATTACCACGGCATTGTATGACGTCAAACGTGTCTATGACAGTCTGTGCCTTGGTTTTGCCTCTTGGCGCAAGGCCCAGACCCCCCGGTCGCATATCAATTCCTTTCCTCTCTCTTTACAGATGTTGGAATCAGGTTCTATCTCTATACGTTCAGTACGTTCAGAGTATATCATACGATATCTAAATCAGATCTATACTGTTCCATACGATTGACAGAACCAAGTGTGACACTATCTATACATGTATGGAGTACATGTACTTGTACTTGCTATAGACTGCAGGATCTGAACCATTGAGTTCTCCGCCGCGTTTCACGATCAGCCCCCGGGTAGTCTCATTTCCATGTCTCACCATGCAGGAGAGGAACTAGGGAACTAGGGTATTCTTGTATAATTAGATATGCAATTCTATGTTCTAAACGCCATGCGCCCGGGCCATAGATTAGCGGCGCAGAGTTTTTCTTTGCCACTCCCAACAAAACATGTGGCTGTTGGCTAAACAGTTAATATGAATATAATGTATAGTGTGCAGATTGGCGAAACTCTAAGGGGTCTCGACTTTGAGGCGTTCATCTGACCATTCCTAATCTGCAAGGTGTTGATCTCCAGGTTTGAGGCCCGCAACGGGTCGCCAAGAGCGGTTTGACTTGATATCCCTACCATTGTCCAGATGAACATCTCGGTGAGGTGAGGTGACATCCCGAACCCTTTCCCCGTAAGTGCTCCGTGCACTTTTGCCGTTATTATTTGCTTTTTTTTGTTTTTTTTTTTTCTCTCTCTTTTCCGACATCGGTCCACTGAAGCCCGAGTCGGCTCACTGGCCGTATACCACGGTCGAAGCGCTGAAGCGGTCAGCCCACAACCTATCACGACATTTATTCACCATGAAATAAGATCGGAGAGTTCAGCCTTAGGATCTCAGACCAACCTCTGCTAATTAACCAATCAAAATATGGATCGTCCCCAGACATCAAAACACTACATCGGAGCGGTGAGCTCCAGAAACTCGCGTCAACAGTTCAGAACACTGCAACTTCCGCCGAGGGCGTTACTGTGGCTGAACCTTGCCCGGCCCCTTTGCCGGGCATAGCAACGGCAAGGTCACCGATAGCCCTCCTCAACACCCTGAATAAGCTTCTATGCTCCATCCTAGTCCGATAAACACCCACGCGCTTTGGGCAGCGGGCTATCCTGGCAGCATGCCAAGCGACTAAATACATGCAAAGCAGAAGCAGAGAGAAGCAGCAGCCATGCAATCCAGAACAAAATTGTGAGGGGCAGGAGGGGCAGCACTTCTCCTATTCCTAGAGAGCTCTAGCTATCAGCTACCCCGCGGACATAGTCGCGTCAGCTCCCAATGTGATGCATGGTCAACCCTCGAACACTCGGAGATGAAGCGGACCCCGCGCAGATCTGGGGCCATGCTGACTGCGCACGAGAGCCTTGTTCATACCCCGCGAGGCATATACCCCAGGATTGAGGATCAGATCTGATTGGTATAGGAGACTCTTGACGAAGCTGCCAATGGGATCGGGCAGTTTGGCATTGAGTTGGTTTGCTGTACTTGCTCTCCTCGCTATCTCAAAGTCAGAATCAAACCTAAAGTCCATGGCTGGATAAGGTATAGTGAAATGAAGGAAGAAAAGGAAGCATCCGACAAAGATTACATGGTCAGTCACCAGCCAGCTAACAAATCAAGATAATCAACACACCACTACTGCCAATGCCTGTTGCACAACATGCACAACATGCACCGTTTCAACCCGTCTCACTCTTAGGGAGATCCCCTTTGACAAGAGGCAGATACGACCACAGCATCTGATTGGCCAGGCAGCACAGATAGCTCGAGAAATAAGAAATCGCACGCAAGCAGCGCATATGGGCTGACAATGCCATGTCGCACGTCACGCAAATCCCAGGCGCCTCTTCTGCACTGCACTGCACTGCACCGAGCACCTGACCATCTCCTCATCCCTGTCATGCCTCACCCGTTATCCCAGGGGGAATCAGCACAGAGGTATGCAAAGGCAAACTGTTGAGAATGTGGCACCACATAGGACACTGACATTAGCACTGACACTGACACTTGGCATGGTCCAACCACGCTCCGGCCCGGGCAATACGGTACAGCATACAAGGGAGGGGGAGAGGCGATCAGGGACAGCCGCTTTAGTCGGTTTGGGATAAGTTAGAAGCCAAAGTAGCCAATTAGTCACCTTGGGAGAAACAGAGACACAGACACGCACAGGAGGACACAGGCACGGGCCCTGTACATGCACAGGTAGTATAACGGACCCAACCAATAACACCTCTCATGCCGTACATATAAAAAGAACACTAAAAAACGAGGTATACTTCAGTGCCCCACGCTTATGCACATGCGAGACAGGCGCCCAGGTTAAATCGACCGGCCAGACTGGAGGCGCGGTAGTCAGTGCGCGATCCCGGAGCTACGACTCGACGGCGCGATGGGTGGATAGCTTGATGTCTGCACTGGCCGTACACTAGGCTCTGCATTAGTGCGGCGAACTGACAATGGCCAATGCATGAGAAGGTCAGTGCATGGCGTCGTCTGTTTCGTTGATTTCAGGGGCTTGTTCTTTTTTTCTGTTTTTACTTCGTTTCCTCCGAGACTCTTCCGCTGAATGAGTCTGGAATCTGGAGTATGGGGAAGATGAGCAACCTTGCAGGTGTACCCCGAGTCGCGGGGTCTCCACTGTATCGTATCTGCAATTGAAGTGGAAATTGGATGTTGATTGTAATTGATACAGCTGTATCTACTATCACCACGGGCTACCATTCGTATAACCACAAGCCCTAGTTTGGCTGATAGATTACCTAACAGATAGTATCTGTCCTGAGTATAGACTCTCTAGCCCTCTAAACCAAACACGCCATTCTACTAGCTACAGTATTGGCCTAATCCGTAGTTCCCGTTATCACGGAGACGGGAGAGGCGTTCTGTCAGCGCTATAACCAGGCTAGAACCCAACCACAGCCCCTGAACAGGGAGTCACCGGGTATCGATATCCGTCGGCGACTGAGATAGGGGAATACTTAGGATTGGGTTGCGAATCTGTCACCCGTAGTATCCTAGTATCCCTGGATATGAAGCGCTGAGGGGAATGCATGATCGTCTTATCTGTGGGGTATTGAGAGTCTAGAGTGTACAAACGGTGATCTTTAGGCTTTAGTGGGCCTTGAGTAAATTTTAGTGGCTAGGTTAGCGGAAATGGTTGATCTCTATGCTGGTTGGCTTTCTTTTCGCATACCGCGGGCTCTAACATGATCAGATCCCCAGGTCTAGAAACAGAGGGCTATGGCGAGAGAGGAGAGAGAGGGAGAGAGAGTAGCGCCTTCAATTGCGGGGTGCATGTGCCACCTCATGCTATGATACACATGTTGTTAGGGCTGTGTGAGCATTCCGAACGGGGCAGGTCGACATAGTATGCGCCATTTGTCAGGGAATCTACACCCCATGTCACTGTAAAGCCTACAGCCTACTCCTCTCTCCCCGTCTATCCGGAGACTCTATTGTAGACACTGAAGCTCGTCCCCTCCCAAGCCACAACCCCAGATATCAGCTCCCCCGTCTTCCCCACAAGCCATCAAACAGAACGGCAAATGACACACCTCCGAGGTTCCGGCACGCTCAGATCCGTATCCCAAAGTCAATCGTTCTTGTAGCAGCCACCCCCTCCTTCACCGCTGTCCAGGCCCATCGCCACGGAGGCGAGATACAGAGAATACCTTGTGGGATGAGTGGTGGCGGCAATACAAACTTAGAAACACAAACTGAACTGAAAATATTCCCAAGGTGAAGGTTTCTCGGCCTGGGATTGTACCGCTCGGACGTTGTATTCCTTTGTCACTGGTACCTCGAGGGACGTGTCCTTGTGCGCTGGCTGTGAGGAATATCATAGTTGTGTTTGCAATGCTGTATCAGGTGACATGTATAGAAGTGTGTAGAATAGTCTACAGTTCACTCTTTGTTCAACGTAATGCAAAGATATGTTGCATTCTCTGCCAGTTGAGCAACAGCCTAACGGGGAAGGGAATATAGTGTTAGTGGATATACCCTGATTCTATACAGTATGGATATGATGAGAAAAGCAAGGCCATGTCGACTTGCTGAGAGTCTCTATTCTCCTAAGATTTGCTCTTGTCAATATGTGAATAGCTTGAAATGCACAGGTATCCAATTGTTGGGCACATAAACAAAAGAGGCGGATCACGATGTTTCAGCTGACACGAGTTGAACGTCAAACTCTTCACAAGTTTCAAGTCACATGGTCTTCTAGTCTTCTCAATGACTTCCAGAACACCCTCAGTGGCACAAACAGTCCAAATCGCAAAGTGAAGGTGAAGCTGTAAGCGGGAGAGCAGGGCCCACAGACCTCGCCGTCTCCGGATTTCGGGTGTTTACCTTCCTTACACCATGTCAGTCCAAGGTCCAGGAATAGCAGACCTGGAAAAAGAACTAGTCTGCTCGGTATGTACACTTCCACCCCCTTGCATGGAAGAAGTAGAACACTTCGGATGCAACATCGAACATCTGCCAACATTCCAACCCCTCCAGATCTGCACCGAACTCCTCTACCAACCCCTAACCCTCCTGGACTGCCTCCACACCTTCTGCGGCTCCTGCGTGAAAGAATGGTTCAACGCCCAAGCCTCGCGACGATCACATCCAAGATTCACCTGTCCATCATGCCGCGCCGAAGTCCGCGGGACGCGCCCAAATGCAACGGTGACAACACTCCTCGACATGGTGCTAGGCGTTCACCCCGATCGTGCTAGATCAACAGAAGAAAAGGCCGAAATCGCCTTGCGGTATACACACGGCGAGTCGGTATTTCCTGCTGTGCCCTCGGGCGGGGAGAGCGCGGAGGATGACGAGGAGGATACCCGCATGCTACAAGAAGTGCGGGAGTTAAGTCTTCGGGAAAGTCGGGCACAAGCTAGACGGGAGACTCGGCGGACTGCGGGGCATTCTTCACGAACGCGTGATAGGAGCGGTCATACCGAGAGACATGAGGATGGACGGTCCAGACGGCGGCGGGAGGATGATGCCCGACAGCGCACGTTCCGGCCTGGGGATTCGGATCGCACACGTCGTATCGAGCACCAATCCAGTCTGCGATCGCTTTTGAGTTTATCGTCGGATGCGGAGACGATGGAGGAAGAAATCTTGCGACAGATTCTCGAAGAGGGCTTGCTGGATGATATTGATCTTGATAATCTGGGCCCTAGACAGGAGGAAGAGCTGAGCGAGCGCATTGCGGATGCGTATCGGCGCAGGCATATGCAGCGATCTAGCTCGAGACAGAGACAGGAACGGAGACCGTCGCCTGAAGGGAGTGCACGAACGCAGACAAGATCGCAGTCCGCACAGAGAGAGGCTGCGCCTGCTCCGTCCTCTCGTGAACATGGTGACAGACGGCCACCTATTTCTCGGCCACATCTATTTGACTCGGCGCCTGCACGCCCGAGTATCTCGAATCACCAGAGACGCAACTCGGAGGTTTCTGGGCGCCGACGGACTTCGCCTGTTCGATCTAACCAGGCTTCCGCATCGGACGAAGCCATACGGCCTGCTGTTCGTGCTTCGAGCGATATGACTGCGGATCGGGTTCTTGGTTCGCAGACTTCGAGATTGAGATCCGAATCTTCGTCAGCTAGGACTCGGCGTGCTACCGAATCGGAAAATGTCTCTGGGGCTTGGATGGCTGCAGGACGAGAACGAAGTTCTTCTAGGCAGGTTTCCAGTCAATCTGCTACTAATTCGCCGTCTGTAGCCACGCCTACAGACCACACTACTCATTTGTCTTCTCCACTTGTTCCTCTTAGATCTGAAAGAAGGTCCAGGCCTTCTTCATCCCGATCTAATGTTCCGACTGTGACCAATGCACAATATCCTGAACCGTCTATTTCATGTGACGGATGTGATAAGAAAGACATCCAGTACATTCTCCACAAGAGGTGCACACAGTGCAAAGGTGGAAACTTCCATCTATGTCTACGCTGCTATCGCGAAGGAAAGGGCTGTTTCCGGTGGGACGGCTTTGGTGCATCTGCTCATACGAATTTCCAAAAGATATTGTCGTTCTCTACTCGACGCCAAGTCCAAATTCCCGATGGTGGTCATGTGCTAGTCTGGTTCAAATATCAACGCCCTTCAGAGACAGCCCAGCAAACAATCAACGGAGAGAGAATTTTGACCAGCGACAATCCCGCCAGTCGTCTGCAAAGCGGCCTCTTCTGTGAAACGTGCCAATCACCGGCAAATGACTGCTTCTGGAAATGCAGCAAATGTAACGAGGGAGACTGGGGCTTCTGTAACAGCTGTGTCAACCAAGGCCGATGCTGTACCCACGCACTTCTTCCAATTCGACGCATTACCCACAGCCCGACCCCTTCAGCATCACCTTCGCCTGCCACGGAATCAAATCCCATTCCACTGCCTTCCGAAATAGAGAGCTACAAGATTCTCTCCTTCTCAACAAACTGCGACATCTGTACATACCCCATCCCGGCCTCGAACACCCGGTATCACTGCCTAGAATGCAACCGTGGTGACTACGACGTCTGCACCAACTGCTACTCGAAGCTAGTAGCAACAGGCAAGATCAGCAAAGAAAACGGCTACAACGGTTGGCGCCGCTGCCTGAACAACCACCGAATGATAATAGTCGGCTTCGAAGACCGCGAAGAAGGTCAACGCCGCGTGATCGTCAACGATCTGGTCGGCGGCCGCGCCCTCAAAGACGAACATGTCCTCCAACCCCGATCCCAACCCCACGCCCAGTCCCCAACCTCATCCCCAGCAACAGGCGGTCCAGGCGCATCCCCGGAATTGGGAATGGGAGAATGGAACTGGAAAGATGGACCTGGACTGGAACGCCGAAAGAAAGCCTCACGACTCCGCGCCGGCCCTCCTTCTACAACCGATCTCTCAACCACGGCCTCACCAAGTCCTATCCAGAATAACCCCCCTTTCCGCCGATTCCCACCGGATGGAGGGGTAGGCCTCATCGTCTATGCAAAGTGGGCCTTCTACCCGGACGATGATGTCGAAGACGAGCTTGTGTTCCCTCGTGGTGCGGATATCACTGAAGCAGAGAATATCAATGATGATTGGTTCTGGGGGTGTTATGCTGGTCGTACTGGTCTATTCCCCGGGACGCATGTTGTGGTTATGCGTGAGGTTAAGTAGATGGATGGTTTGGTTCGAATCTTTCTTATGGTGCATGATTACGATTGTGATGACCAAATTAATGAATTTGATGTCTTGCATTATGCATGGTAAGAGTGTTAGTGCATTGTGTACTGTTATTTTTACTGTTAGAGTGATATTCTCCATGATAGTTGGTCAATATGGCCTTGTTCGCTCGGCTTTTTGAGTGTATCTAGTGACAGAAATGCAATTGTGTATGAACTATTGAGGTGAAAAGTCTCAAGCGCCGATACAAGTAGCATCAAAGACAGAAAGTTGCAAATAAATTGAAGTAAATTCCACCCTGGATATAGACACATTCATCATCACAGATCGTGGTATCTCAAAAAAATCATACAGGCATCAAAACATAAAGCATCAAATTATATACACAAGAATCAACAACCAACAACCAGAATCCCTACTCAAGAAGAGCAACCATCAATCTTCCATAATCCCCAGAAGTCTCACCGCGAACCCGATCCACAAGATTCTTCCCAAAGCGATGCTGATACGCCCGCTTAACCATCTCCTTATGATTCCGATCCCAATGAACACGCACAACACGAATAACGAGCTTCTCATCCTTGGTCCCCATACCACGCATACACTCCTCCAACAAGATAGCATCACGCATAGCAGGATCAGTAGCAGAGCGCAGCATAACAAGCAACGCATCTTCCATATGACCCGAGTACTCCTTCTCAATCTGTTTCTCCAGGGGAATATTATACCTCGACTGGAAATTCTGATTGATAGCCCTTAGCTCGGCATTAGAAGCGCGAGCAAAGATAGCACATGTCTCCGTAATATTCTTCTTACCCTGCAGGGAACGGACATCAGCCTCGATAACCTGCGGGTTGACAGGCATTGATTCCTCATGGCGGGCCGCGCGGATAACAGTAGTGAAGAGATCGCTCGTCTTGAAGGAGAGGTCATTCTCGACGTCCTTTGAGAGGGATCGTTTATAGCGCATTTCGTAGGCCGTGCGGATGGCGTTCATGTCGGCGTTTGAGCGACCGAGGAGGATATCATTGAGGAGCCATTCCTTCGTGCCTGCGCCGTCAATTGCGAGATGTATACACTCGACATCGTGCAGGAGCGGACCGTCAAGGACGGCCAGAAGACCGTCGCCGAAGTAACCACCCGTCTCGGACTTGACGTCCTTGTAGAGATCGCGACCGAGGTGCTTGGAGTATGTATCGCGGACAGCGGCCATCTGGAGGGGATCGAGACGGGCAAGGACGGCAATTAGGGCCTTTTCGTCAGTTCCGAAGCCCTTCATCGCTTTGCGGAGTTGGTCGCATTGGGGCCGGAAGTCGCCTGGTGCGACTTGGCCCGGGATGTAGCCTAATGAAGGTGCCGAGGGCATGCCTTGGGGCGGGAATCCACCGGCTGCTGGTGGTGCGCCGTATCCGACTGGAGGTTGGCCATGCGCGAAACCGGGACCGCCGGGTGGTGGCTGGCTCTGGGGAGGGGCATAGCCGTGTGGTGCCTGGCCGTATGGTGGTTGCGGGGATGGGGCGTGGTATCCGGCTGGGGGTTGAGGGGAGGGTGCGCCGTATGGGCTTCCTTGTGGGGGAGCTCCGTAGTGACCCTGTTGGGGTGGTGGGTAATGTCCTTGCTGAGGGGGATAGGGGCCTTGTTGGGGAGGAGGGTAGTGACCCTGTGGCGGGGCGCCGTATTGCTGGTTTGGATGGGGAGGCTGATGGTGGCCCTGGGGAGGTCCTTGTTGAGGATATCCACCGTATTGAGGTTCTTGAACCAGGTCAGTGATCTTCCTCGGGCTCGAGGTAAATGAAACTTACGGTTAGGGTAGTAAGACATGATGTTGGTATGAGCAACAAAGGTCCGGGGTTCCAGATGTTTATATCCTCAGTTCGGCAATCAGAGCGTGGCGCAGTACAGGTGGGGGCGTTCACAGCCCTGTCAATTTCCACAACTGACGTCTGCCAATATTTTCCTTATGTTTCTGACTGTTTTAAAAATAGGAAGTGTGTTCCAAGGCTACTCCGTTGTATCTCAGGAACTACGGCAACTTCACTCGTGACTACCCCACTAGATCGGATGTATACTTGGAGATCCTCACTTCTCCCTTGATTAATTATACGCGAAGCCTGTTTACATACACATGTCCTCAAGCTCAAGCTCAAGCTCTTGAACACCTCACAACTTGAGCCATTTTCCAGTCCCTCCAGCAACCCCCTTTTTCACTTCCGCCTCGGTAAAAGGCATGTCAAAGCCGCCAGTGATCGACACCCCATTCACGAGTCGGAGCTGGAAACAGTCCTTCTCAATGGGTATTTCTTCAAAGTCCTCAGGTTCAAGTTGTAGTTGGTCGGCTGATTCAAAGGCGACATCGGCACTAGTCACGGAGAAAGACTGAGTGAAGGTGCTTAGCTTGCCGACGAAAATATACTGGGCTCCGTCGACTTCGAATTGACCTAGGATTTGCCCTTTGTCGCATGTGAGGGTGCCGTTTCCATGAGGCATCTAGTTCAAGTATAAGTCTATTGTGTGGAAATCATGCGAATGCTGGAATACCCTTACCGTGAGCAACGTGAGCAACGTCCCAAATTGTTGACAGTGCCAAATGGGAGAATCAAGGGCGAGGTGATCAATCCATCTTTAAGGTCTGAGCGAAGAGCGGTCAGTTGGAATGTTTAAGGCGGGGGATATCGTGCAGTTGGTCCGATGTCATACATGCAGGTCAGTGGGGAGCTGTCCTTGGCCTTACTGATACATGTATGGGGTTTCACCTTATCAACATGCAGCTTCAAGTATGCACACTGTACAGGGTAGATGCCTGAGTACGTAATAAGAACTGTTGCTACTGCATCAATAGCCTGACCCGGACAGGAGCGTGGAGATACGACATATAGAGCCTCAAAATTTCCACCGCGTATCGAAACATCTATGATAAAAGCTCTGGTTCTCAATCAGCGTTATTTTTCTTCAACTTGCCGAATCATATGGTTTCAAAGATACATCCTGCTTTTCTTTACAATGATTCGTCCTTTATATATATCGTCTGCACTCAAATCTGAGATGATTGCTCAGCCCGTTTGTCTATACATATAAAAGTGAAATATCTTATTCAATATATTATGACTATGCTGTGATCTTAAGCTCTACGATACTTACTATACCTGCTATCACCAAGTAACCAGTGAGTGCGTTGAAATAACGCCAAGCTTCTCCGCTAAGATTCCTCTTCGCTAACCGGATGTGGTTAGCGCATATCCCCTAAGTTGAGGCTGCATTGCTCAACAGGCTGCTAGATTTTTCATAGAATGTTTATGTATTGTATAGGCCTTCCAAGGCTTATCCTGAATCTGTAGGATATCAGGTGCCGCCTTAGACATCGCCATGTCGACCATTTCCCAAGGCCGTCGGTCGCATCGAAAGTCGCGAGCGGGATGCTCGCAATGCAAAAGGCGAAAAGTCAAGGTAAGAAATCAATCCAACGATTTGAGAATTCTGGACTCATACCTTTGACCAGTGTGATGAAACCCAGCCACATTGTCGCAACTGCCACAGACATGGGGTGGTCTGTTCCTTCGCCGGGCCCTTGACTGTGCTATCTACCTCTCAAGTGGACCTGGCAGAATCCCCCAGATCAATATCTGGCCCAGAGAGTGCAGAATCAGGGATAGCTTCAACCACAGACCAAAAGGTCCCAAGTTTACCAAGTCGGCCAATTCCACCAATGGTGAATCCCTTCCCTTCAAACTTGGCCGTCTTCGACTTGGAGCTTCTACATCACTACACCACCTCAACCTGCTACACACTATCACGAAGCCCAGCAGTGCAAAGAATCTGGCGGGACCAGGCACCGTGCATTGGATTCAAAATGCCCCCCGTACTACACGCTATTCTCGCCCTCTCCGCCCTCCATCTCGGCCACTCGGACGCATCCAGACGCGAAAGCTGCCTAGCACACGCGCAGATGCATCACGGCATTGCCGTAAAAGAAATGGTCCCACTAGTCTCATCCCTCGCCCAAGAGAACGGCGAGGCATTATTCATATTCACGTCCTTGACATGCATGTTCTCATGCGCAAAGCCATTCAAAGCAGGCGACTTTCTAGTCCTCTTCGAAAGAGGTACGCTATCTGAATGGGCCCGACTGTTCCGAGGCACAAAAACAGTCATACAGAGCGGTGGTGAAAATCTCCGCACGGGACGACTGGCACCTATCTTCCTAAACGGATCGTATCTGGCCGCTGCTCATCTCGAACCACAGGCACTTGAGCATGGCAGACCGCATATCTGGGAACTGCAAGAAATGATGCAAAGGGAATGTCCGTCAACTCTACCTGCGAGGGCCATCTATCAGAATACATTGGATGAGTTGGCGCGCACATTTGGCGTTGCCTTGAGGCCTGGTGCTGCGCGGAGGCTCGATACTGCAGATGTTTTTCGGTGGCTACTAGATGTGTCGGATGATTATTTGGATCTACTACGGCAGGAAGCTCCGATTGCTCTTATTATATTCGGATATTGGTGTGCTTGTATTCGGCGGATTGAGTGGATGTGGTGGATGGAAGGTCTCAGTCAGCGCTTAATGACGCAGCTGCTATCTGTACTGGATCCAAAATATCGAGAATGGCTTTGGTGGCCTCAGGAGATTATTAATGGGAGTCATGTTGCTTCGCCTTGAATGTGGAATATGAATTATGTTATTTGAATAGGAACCTTAGCAAAAGGGGCCCTCTATTATATAGAAATACATATATATATATAAATATATATATATATACATTTGACACTGTCACGGACTCGATTGTAAGAATTGTCAGGACCACTGACCACCCTGGGAAGACCAAACTTGACGATAGAGTCTACTTCACTTCGTTATTTCCTAATCACAGAGCTTGTTTCGAGCAAGTGTGCTTTTACTTCGCTAATAGCTTTCTTGGCTTATAGCTTGGAAGGAACTTTCTAAGACTACAAAATATTCTAGTCTAGTTCGAGTTGCCTCGCAACGAATACGATCGATCTAGTGCTTATTGGTTTAAGACGGATATACAGGCGTAGGTGCTGTAGAGGTGGTTAGATAGAAAGCCCAGAGTAGAATATTAGTGTGATTGGAGACGACAAGGTCACGGTCGAAAGGCAGCCGCTCCTGGCGTCAAATGTGGTTATTTTTCGGCGTCAATTGCACAGGTCTTCATATTCTATGAGTAATCTGTGCGACAGGAGTGATCTTCTCACGGGACATCCGAAGTAGCTCCCTAAGCGAAGTCGACAGGAAGTGGACTGCACACTTGTATCGAATTACCGTAAAGAAAAAGATCATACTTAACTCTACTTCAAATGAAGCCGTGCACCAGTAAGTCTATATCTATACAAAAGCCCTCCCTTCCATCTAAACCATGCGAGATGTTGCAATGCCAAGGAGTCGCTTATTTGGCAATCTCAGTGCCGTTGGTAGCACCAAGAGCCTTCTTGATATCACCATAGATAGCGAACTGACCAGCAGTAATACCACCAACCATGACAAGACGAGTGGGAAGACCAGCAAAAGCACCACGGAAGCCGAGCTCACCGGCAATCTTGACGAGACGAGAAACGGTACCTTCACCAGCGGCAGCCTTGGTCTTGTTAATTTTCGACAGCATAGTATCGGCGGGCTGAGACACGATAGCAGCGGCGAAACCGGCAAGAAGACCAGCTCCAAGGTTAACAGTGGTTTGAGCACCATCGGACATTTTGGACTTGTCGAATTGAGCGAAGATAAGTTCAGAGAACTTCTCGAAAGCGACAAACTTGGTCACGGTGTAGGGAACCCTATCAATAGGTTAAGATTTCTTCCTTTGTTTGTTGCGTTTGACGCTATGAAGCCTTGTTTCGGAGATAGGAGTTAACGTACTGCTTAAGGAGGATAGGTCCGAAACCACCGTAGAAAGCACCGACCCCCTCGTTTTTCAGAATCTTACTGAACCCGCCGATGAGGCCATTGGCAAATCCAGGAGTAGACACGAGACGGATACGGGTAGCCTCAAGAGGGCAAAGAGCGATAGACGCAAAGAATTCGGCGGCGGCAGCAGAGACGGAGTAGATAGCAATGCGATTTTGGCGAGCATTTTCGAGACCAACAGTCTTGACAGACAGGGCCTTGAAATACTCATATCCACCAAACTTGAAAGCACCCTGGGCGAAGTAACCGGCAAAGGTAGGACCGGCACCGGTCAACAAAGCACCAGCACCCTCATTCTTGATGACCTGACGGAAAGCGCTGAACATGCCCTTGTTGTAGGTGGCAGGGTCAAGCTGGATCTTAGTCTTGACGCTGTAGCTTTGTTAGCAGCCTAGCGACCACCAAGAGCCTGTCAACTTACACATCGACGGGGGTGAAGCTACCATGAGTCACCGAGCAGCAAACTGCACCAGCGAAGGCAAAGCGACCGATCAGATCGATGCCTTCGGGTGCTTTCTGAGTGGGAGCGAGGGCAGACATGGATGCGCGTGGGGTGAGAAAGGTGAAGGTTGAAGTGTCAGCTGTGGGCAGGGGATGTGAAGTCACGCAGATGGCCCCCACGTCAGATTTCACTTCGGAGTCCACTTCGGAGTCCACCTGGTGTTTCCTGGTTCTATTTCTGCCAGTCGAGATCAACTATGCATCTCATCTCAATTAGTTTCTACCAATCTCTGCATTACCTCGAGTCTAGTCATTTATATCCCAGAGGTCGGTGCTTTGATGTAGTGATTTGGGGCTGGTATGAAACAATGGGGAAACACCAAATCTTACACCTGATGATAAAATGCGAGTCAATTGGCTCAGCAATACATCTGATCTGAAATATATTTTGCTGAGGCTCAGAGTGTATACCTAAGATCTCCATCGCAGCCTTAGCGTGACGCCCCAAGTAGACTGTCGAGCGTATTTGCAAGACTTTGCTTAACGCTATCCAACTTTTGTTGAAACTCAATGACGGTATCCACGGTTTTCTTTGCACCAAATTCTCCGACGAAGAAAAAGTGATTGCCCATTATTTCTGTGGTCAAAAGCTCTGATATATCTGAAACGACCTTTTGTAGGTCTTGGAAGCGTGATCTGTCCACGGCAAGACTAGCTTCAGAAGATTCCTCTGCAGCTTGTAGGTATCGGCGCACTCGTGTGTTCCTACTCAACTCAGCCATGGTATGTTGGATAATGAGATATGACCACGTCGCTTTGTCGGTGATACCATGGCGGAAATCGAGTCCACTGGTAGGGACGATGGCGGCCATACTAGGCAAACTCCAAAACACATGTGCCTGGCTATCCTCTAACAACTGCCAGGGGTTGCGTTCTTCGACAAAAGTTCCGGAGTTCATGTCAAACTCATACCCACATGCCGTCAGACCGACAGGTGTAGCACCAAGGTAATCCCGCTCATAAATGGTAGGGTCGATTATGAAGCGAGACCCATTGAGCCCATTGATCTTCTCCTGTTCATCAAGATGCCGGCGGAAGATCGCATTGGCATACGGCCTCTTCGAATAGCCCGATACCGTCTGATCAAGTTGGTGCCTTGCCACAGAGGGGAGGAGACCGGGAAGAGCCGGCGTAGCGGCCAGCGAGACGAATAAATTCGCATCAAGTTCCAAATTCCGTAGCTCCTCTGTGACAGGTCTGAGGAGCTTGCCGGCCATACTCCAACCCAGGATAATGATCTTGCCGCCGATGCTGTTTTCCTTTACGACCTGGCTGATCACCACAGCAGTTTGAGTACCCCATTCAGGGATCGTGAAATGCGGACTCGTAGCCGGCATGACTGGTAGCTCTGCGTCCAGTGGATACGAAATAGCCAAGAAGCTGTATCCATAGTGATTGAACCAGTGAGCCAGGAAGTCTTTGCTATGTGATCCTGGATGTCCGTAGGAGATGCGTCCGTTGTGGGCCATCCCCGGCACGAATACCACGAGAGGTTGGGAAAGATCCCTGCCGGGGATGAACTTGTATACAACAGGGTGGCCCGCGACTACACTCGACTGCTCTCCATGGTAGAGATTGCAGCGTGTGGCCATTTTGACATGTTAGAGGGTTTCAGAGAAAAATTGCGGGGTTCGGGATTGAACAAGAGATGTCGGATCTTCAATGAAGAGTGGGATCCTGAAACGGAATAGGATGGGTATAATGTCTAATTTGGTCTGTGCTTTTGCAGCTTGGTCAGGGTTTGAAGGGCATTCTTTCTTGATTTCGTTTCTCGCAAGAAAAGAGGCCTCCCAACCGTCCAATCCATATCAAGGGACTGCCCAAACTTCCAATTTCCCCTACCAGGCTATTTAGGGCATTGAAGATGTATTTTTGTGAGAAGACATGATCATATTGTAGACGCCAGAACCTCCATATACTTTCTTAAATCTCTGACTTGAGAGTAAAGTATGGTGCTGTCTTATTATCAGGAGCCTCCGTATAAAGCTGCTGGCCATTCTTCTTGAATTCAGTGATAACACCCTGACCCTCATCACTAATGACCCACTGCACAAACTGATCAGCAGTTTCATAATTCTTAGCATTCTTGCCAACAAGCATATGAGCAGGGTTAAGAAGAGGGTCCGAAGCTTCATCGGTAGCAGCCTTGTAGATAGTAGTCTGCTTCTGCAGCTCGGTCGAGATTGAAAGATAAGTACCACGATCGGTGATAGTATACTCCTTCAACAAAATCGCAGCTGTAAGCGCTTGAATCGGATATGCAATGTACTGGTGGTACCATTTCGAGTATGCGGTGCCCCAGGGTACTTGACCGATACCAATCCACAACTGGGAGTCTTTGATATGTGTTGCGGACTTATCGTAGCGTGTGAGGAAACGCACTGGTGGGTCGGTGTTACCTGCTTCGGCGGCGGCGAAGATATTTGAAAACATTGTGCTGATATCCTCGCTCTCAGATAGGTTGGCTGGATTGGACTGTGGGCCAACGAGGAGGAAGTGATCGCGCCAGGCATACCAGGCGGGGGACTTTGCGATTCCTTGATCAATGGCGATTTTTTCGGCTGGTGGGGTGTATGTGATCCCAATATCGACGGTACCGGCCTTGAGGTAGTTGATGGATTCGGTGGTGTCGCTCTTATACCAGGCGACTTTGAACGGGTCGGCACCGTTGCTCACGCTGTACTTGATGAAGGCGTTGGCGAGAACTGGGATGTGTCAATTGTGATATCATTTGCATGTATAGACGGGCTATAGTCTCTTGTCACTTTCCCAGCTTACCTTCAATCAAACCACTCTGCCCAGCGCCACCGTTCCCGATGCGGAGCAAAACATCGGTGGCAGAGCTATACCCGCCATCGTAGACCGCAGCAGGGTCGACAGCATATACGGAGGTGGCAAGAGTCAAGCCCTTGAGGAGGGTAGCAACAGAAGGCATGTTGAAGTACGGCAGTTATAAGATCAATGTCTTTTGTCAAGGATTGATTCTGAGATGTCGAATGACACACAAAAGCAGAACATGACCAGAAACGCAGAGACGCACCATAATTTATAGCTCAAAAGCTCTGGTTCCAGCCCAAATGCTCACAATGAGCTGCATGAACAGGTCTCTCAAGAGTGGGCCCGGCAGGTCGGAGCGCCTATAGATTGGCACGGGTATCTGGGAGAATAAGCAAAGATGGCCTCTTTTGTGACACTCTGGGCCCTTTTCTACTGAAAAAAATCCAAGATCAGTCTATGCCAAGCCAATAATGCATGCGCATGACGATGTCCGCAGATTTCAGCTCGCCAGTTCATACGGAGGCGAGCTGAACCCCTCTCGTGGATACCGCAACGTATATCGATTGTTACACGGCTATAGAAGCGAGGATGTAAAGCAGGCATTTTGGAATCCAATAGTAACTCAAGTAGATGGGATCAGACTGGGAAAGGATTCATGTTCTTTGCTTTGTTCCAATGTGGGGGAGGGAATATGCAGGAATGCCCGAGGATACAGGGATCAAAACGAAGTTCAGAGGCTATAGTATGGCAAATACTGCTCAGATCATCAGAGACAAGTGGTCAGATGAGTCTAGCTATGATACATATACGGGTTACTGATAAATACAAGAGTGCTGGCTAGCTAAGAGTAGTTGAAAGCTTTTTGTCCATTATAAAGTCCTGCTTGTAAATTGGAAAATCCACCTCTATTACACATAAGAATCATGATCAACATCCACTCATGCAATAACAAAACAAGAAACGCAAGAAACAAAAACAAGCAATGCAAGCCAAATGCCAGTCTTGAATACAAGTCCGCACAGTCCGCATCTCCCAAACGCTAACAGCAAAAACAATCATGAGTATGGGTATTTCTGAATCATGCAAATTAGGCAATCAATCATGGATATCATCAAAAAGCAAAAACAATCAGTAAGTCGATAAATCGGTAAATCATAATCATGGCGTGCACCTAAACACTCGCCGTGCGCCGCGGAACCTCGCTTGGTTTCTGGGCATATGCAATCAACATACGGAAGCCACTTCCTCTCCTCTGACACTCGCGCAGGACTTTACGGTCACGCCACATGCTGGTATCGCTGTCTCCGCCGGAGAGGACGGGATCTTCATAGCATTTCGAGTACCACCAGCGCCCGACACGAGCGACGATCTTCGCGATAGATTCGTCATTTGCTGGGGATGGAGATGGGTCGGAGAGGAGATCACCTAGAGAGATGTTTGCATCATCAGAGGGGAATTTAGATGTGCTTCTTGTGTTCTGGCTTCCTGTTGCAGTGGTGATGGAAATTGTTGGGAGAGAAAAGGCGTCGGAGGGGGCTGATGTTGAGAAGGATTGGGATGAGGATGTAGTAGATGCGGAGGAGCGGACGACCATTCCTGCTACTGGGATGCGGACCATGCAGCGACGGAGATTGTCGAAACCCTGGGTGCCGAGTTGGCGTTGGACACTGTCGCTAGTTGGTTTGAGGCTGATCGTTGAATCGGATAGGCAGGTTGTTTCCTTTAGCTGGCGGACTGCTTTGCGGGTACGCGGTCCCATGTTGACCATATCTCTGTCTAGGAGGCACATCTCCAAGTACCCGCCTGTACGGAGGACTCGTTTGCATTCTTGTACAATGTTGCCTTGAACAGTCTCGGAGCAGACGGCGGGGAATCGGAGAACAGCGACGGTAAAGTAGTCCTTTGGGAATGGGAGCGGGTTGCTCAGCCCGGCGTGGTATACCGTGTGATGGTTTGTCGGAGGCTGCCATGCTGCGGGGTGAGGAGCTGCTGTAGACACCGGACGACCTCCAAGGCTGTATACCTCTGCATCGGGATAAGTCAAGGAGCAATAGAAAGACCAATCGTCGTTCCCAAGCCCATCGACTACCAGGATTCTGCCTTGGCCTCCGGTCTTGACGTGGTTATGTGCCGGACTGAAGAGGACCCGGCCAAATGAAAGCCAGCGACTAGTCATAAGCGAGGCCGAGCGCATGTTCGTGCGCGTCACAGCATCCCACTCACGCTCGGAGGATCCAGCCTCTTGTGAACGGTGAATCTTCGGTCGGGGTGAAGGGACAGCAGCGAGAGACTGAAGAAATGTCGACTGTTGTTCCCAGCGCTGGTCAATGGAAGATGGCTCTTCAACAGGAGCCGAAACATCCTCATCCTTCTCCGCATTGATCTTATCTTCTGTCAAATCCCCATACCTGGAAACGAGATCGCTATAGGAAGGTTGAGACGAAGGAGCCGTAGAAGATTGCAAGGCCGAAACAATCCGAGAACGACGTAGCCGAACAGAACTGGCACTTGACCGTACTGAGTCCTCACCCGGTCCTCGCTGAATAGGAGTGGGATTATTCAACTCATCCTGAAGAGCTCTACTCGCCATGGTAGCAAGTTCGAATCTGGCATCATCTTCAGGCTTAACAGGCTCCTTTGACTCCGGCCCCTCTGGCGAAAGAACATGATCGATCAGATCATCAAACTCATTCCACACCTCATCTTCAGTAGGTGGTGAGCCGGGCACTGGAGCGACGGCAGTTACTGCAGCCAAAGCAGCAGAGCTATCCGACGAGGTCGAACCCTTCTTCGGTGGGAACTTGAGGAACTCATAGTCTGAGAATGGTCCAGCGAGGAAATCCAAAGCACTGGCTTCCTCGGAAGCACTGAACGCAGGGCTAAGCCCATGGCCCCATCTAGGCTCGCTGGGCCCGATTCCCAGGTCCAGAGGTGCATCGCTGATCAATGGAGACTCATGCGGAGCACCTGTCGTGGGAGCAGTGAGAGCTGGAGATTCAACGACACTAAATGGGCGAGAGAAGGACTGCATCGCTGGTCGATGTTGTCTATCGCGCCGCGAGACAACCTGAGGAATTCTGCCTACGGAAGCTAATCGTCTTGGGCGCTCTACTTCAGGTGACGATTCGAGCTCTGGAGGCATGAGGTTGCGATTGAACATGGCAATCTTCGGCGATGGACGGTCATTTTCAAATTCTCCATGAAGCTTTGGTGGCGAAGGCAACAAAATTGAAGGTTCTCTCTTTCTGATATTTAGACCTGCTGGAACTTCCACTGGGTGGAAGATTTTTTCCTCTTCTGTTGGTGGGGAGTCCTCGATTTTGTTGATGATCTCATCCAGGGAGTCCGAGTCAGCGTCGACAAATGCATAGTGGGCAACAGGCCGAGTGTTCAGCACCGGCGAAATCGCCGCGTGGAGTTGGGCGGTATGGGATGCAGTTGTGATAGGAGGCCCGCTCTTGTGCTCGTTGGAACTCTTCTGAAAGAAATTCCACATGGATGTCTTTCCCTTCTTAGCTTGTTGCTGCTGAGCTGGCTCGGACTTTTTAGTTCGCTCAGCGGGTTTCTGAACAGCTTTCTTTGGCTGAGGTGTAGCTTTGACACTTGGTTCTTGGCTAGTAAGAGATGTCGTAGTCACAGCAGCTTGAGTGTTTGCAAAAACACCATGTCTTTTGCTCTTTGGAACTGGCATGCGTGATACGGAAGTACTAGGTCGCCTGGTATTCAGTTCGCGCTCAGGGCTCCGGTTCCTTGACGCAGTCCCAGCAGACTCGACAAGCGTAACAGTATCACCAAATGTCCCCGTTGAAGTGGCAAGCGAGTCAGTAGACTGACCATTCGAGTGTGTGAGGGCACCCTGCCGAGGCAAATTCGAAGTAGAGGCAACACTAAGGCTGCTCATACTTTGCTCGCTCTGCGTCCGCGACAACGACGCGCCGTCCATTCCGCCACCATTGATGATGACAGGTTCCAGACGACTCATGAAGAAATCATCAATCTCCAACTCAGGCCTACTGGACAGGCTTCCTTTGCTGGCGACACTTCTCGTCGTGCTTGTTGACCTTGTTCTTGTGCCACTGCTACTACTCCCACTGGCTTTCCGGCCGCGTTGTCCATACTTTCCATAGCCCTCATGTCCCGTCCCAGCCGCGGGGCCTTTACGTGGTAAACGAGCTTGCTCTGTGGTAGTCTCTGTCATATCAGGCTTGGACTTCTTCGTGAAAAGACCAAACCTTTTTGGTACGGGCATCTTCGACTCTGGTTGTTCTTTAGGAGGCTCCTTTGTCAAAGTCCGAGGGGATTTCCGAGATAGCACAGGAGACCCGTCATCCTGAGATGAGACTCGCGAAATACTCCTCGAGTGTAAGGAGTCAATAGATGCAGCGGCAGATTGGTTTGGAGTGGGATGAGGAAGGCTGGCCGCTAGGATCTTTTCCGCGGATTCGCGTCTTGTGTGACCCGTCGATCTGATATACCGCAAATTGCTCCGTACCACAGGTAACTTTTCCAGCTCTAAGCGATGAGTTCCATCTCTGCTTGGTCTTGGTGGAGTGCGTGGGGTCTCCACGAAACGTGCGGGGGAGCATTCCTTGGCCCCTTGCGGATCAACTAGGCGTCTTTCGGCTTCCTCGACCTCTCTACAGGCCTTTTCAGTGTCAATATCTCCGGATTTTGATGGACTGAAATTCGACAAAGGTTTTATTGTTGGAGAGCTGTATGGTGGGCCTGGCATGTGGTTAGATGGAGACTTGGAAGTTGACTGGTTGTGATCATCCGTCCCTACTGAGCTTAGACCAGAAGATTTCGAAGGTACTCGCTTCTGAGTCTTTGGCTCAGGTCTTTCTTGTTTCGGACTTGATTGAATGATTGAAGGAGAAAACACCGGCAACCGTGTCTGTGATGGGCTGGGCTGCCGGAGACGGCCGATCTTTGTCGAGTGTACGATACCTGGGGAATAAGAAGACAATGAAGTGGGAGTAGACCCTCGACTCCAAATACTCGGGGACTCGGAGTATCTTGTTGAAGGACTGCTTGCCGAGAGAAATGGCGCAGGGGGAGGTGGCAAGTTCTGGGTATCAACTGTAGTCCGGAGACTTGCCAGTTCTTCCGGGCCATTAAATCTGGAAGTTGCCGAGCTCAGGGTCGCACTGCTCTCGTTTCTATGACTGGTTCTGTCCGATGAAGCCGAATGTCCTGACGGCAGGGTCTCCGGAGTGCCGTACTTTGTTGCACTGTTCATATTGACGGGTTGAGGCTCTTGAGGGATCACAAGGCTGAGCTTGTGGGATTGTAATTGCTCCACATGTCTTCCTATTGTCGGTGCACGTCTTCGAAGAACATTTCGTGACCGTTTCGGGGAAGACACTTGTTGTCCAGTCCCAAGCAAGGATGGGTTGTTGATCTCTGGACTTGAAAGCGATGAAGGAATGGATTGTGTGGACTTCTGAGAAGACGCAGCAGATACTGGGGTAATTGGTGATACAGTTCTACCGGCTCTGGGGCGTGGGAGCATAGATAGTCGAGTTCCACGGTAGTTCTTGGTATGTGACGGCCCTAGCACTGGGCCGGTCTCTTCGACGCTCGAGAATGATGAGGTCCTACTTCTGGGTGTAAAATTGACAGGCCCTGCGATTTGCGACCCTGGCCGAACGCCAGAGGCATTTTCAGATGTTGAGGACAGGCCATCACTTGGCATGTGATGGCCAGAACTGTATGACATGATGTAGGGTTGAGTGAGGTCCCTGGGTGCAATGCGAAGACAAATGACTCGGATACTTGTACTTCGATATGGTAATCATCACGTATCATTATCTTGAGAGCAGTCTTATTTGATCAGTATTGTTCTGCCTAGATCTGCTTGGGTACTCACTGCAATACATATCAGGATATCAAAATTGCTGCCACCTAGCGCATGTATATTAAGATATAAAAAGCAGAAGAACTGCGAGTATGTCAAAGTCACAACACTAGTAGATATTAGCAGGGTATTAAGACTATTAAATGTATAACGAAAAGTCCGTGAGTAAACGTCAGGGAAAACTCACCGAGGATCGGCGAAGCCTAAAAGCTGCAGCTGCTTCGCCACACTCAAATGTGGCGTTAGGATCTCAGGGTTTTTCCAGCCACGTCAGAGGTCAAAAATAAATTGAAAGACAAGAGAACACAGATAATTATTAAGACTTCAGACATTTATGTGCTAACTAGCAATGCCCCTAGGTGTGGGGGGGGGAGGAAACGCCTTGTACCGCACCATATAGAAAGGTTTGCACGGCAGCCCCGATACCAAAGGCGTCTCTCTCATTGGCACGTAACTGTTTCTGTGATGGGATCGAGGGAGTCGAGACTGCACAACTTCGAGCCTGTCAAATGGACAAGATAGCCTGCGCGAACTAGTGTTGGGCCAAAGTCAAAAAAGGCGACTCCCACAAATAACCAGAGTAATCCCCGGGATCCAGTGCGCACGCACACAGGGCTACTGGCCCACAGGGACCTCAGTAAGAGGCGTCTCGTTGGCTCGACGGTATCGGCTGCCGGCGGCAAAGCAGTACACAACGTGACAGGGGTGACTCAGTGGAGTATCGTCAATATTTGAGTCGATCGCCTGTCGGCGGTGTAGACTCAAGCTGAGCGTGAAGTAAACCCGTATTGGGAACCAGTCTGGTCGCGTCTCTCTCGCCTCTTTGACAACACATTCGGAGACGCCGATTTGAATCAGTGATTGGAATGATCGACGTGAAGAGTTTTTTTCCCTTCTTTTTTGCTTTTTCCTTTTTTCTCTTAACTCCACGCCTTCCCCGTGCTTTCGGAGAATTTCCCAACGTGAGGTTTCAAGGGACCATGCGTATGCAAAAAGACGTATGCGTTCGACTAGGCGCCGGATACTTCACATCTTCCCGAAACAGTTCATTTCCACCCGCATCACGTTTGAGACATGTCGAGTCTCAGCTAAGATTTCTCAACGGTCATCCAGAGTTGCATACTGTTTGGAACAGGCCCGAGCCGAGCCTTTACCAGAATATGCCATCCACTGGACGTAAAGAGGTCGCTGCAGGTGGGGGCGAGTCTAATCAGTAGCCTTGTAAGATTCATAGACCAGTAACTGCGCTGGAGGGCCATGTCGTCTCTGGGACTTCCATGTTCGAGCAGCCTTGGATGTGGAGACGGGCTGTGATGGCCCACTGGGCGATCGAGCAATGAACATGCCCTAGAGGAGTATCGAATGTTAGCTTGAAGCCACCAATTCTAAAAAAAGCGACTTGTGGATTGCGATTCGCGGGGAGCAACTGAGCCAAGTGGGGAGGGCGGCAATCCTGGCAAGCTTGAAGTCGTAGAGCCAGAACACGCCATTTCAAATACTTGCTGTTTCCTCGTAGAGAATAGTGTGTGCTCAGTCTGAACTAGAGTCCCTCCCAATGCTGAGGCTTGTCGATCTTGGGCACGACAGTCACGATCTGGGCCATGCTTGACCTGCGAGTGGTCGGGGCGCTGCTGCAGGAACAAGCGACTAATGCAGTGCTCAGCTTCATAATCACCGGGGAATTGATACTGGGCGCCGCGAGGAACTGTTGATTGAGTTTTGAGTCTGTGCAAGTGTTAAGATCTCGAGCACTTCAAATTTTCTTGGCAAGGTTGATCTCTGCTAACTACTCTCTACTTGGAAAGAAGCACAGAAGCTTGGTAGATTCACATATATTAAAAACAAATCGAATTGAATGGCCTTGAAGTTTCCCAGTAGCATCTCACACAAACGCCCAAGTAAATGATGATTGACCAACAAAATACATTTAAGCAGCAGCAGCAAATCGCTTCTTGCGAGCCTCCATAGCAGCATTGTCCTTCTCACTCCAGTTCTTGGGAGCGTTACCACTGCCGGCATTGGGCTTCTTTACACCAGCATTGGTCCGGTTTCCACCATCGCGGTTACGGTTTCCATCGCCACGTCGCTGGTTGCGATTCCGGCCAATGTCACGCTTCTTGCCTCCACGACCGCCCTGATCGGGGCGAGCCTCACGGCCCCTCTTGCGAGAGCGCTCATCAGGGAGTGCCTGGTCAAGGCGACTTACACCAGCACCGGGGGTAGTCTCAGCTTCGGGACCGGTACCGAATCGCTTTGCGCGCTCCAGTTGCTTTGTGGCCTCTTTCAATGCAGTCTCGGAATCTTCGATGATACCGAACTTCTCGGCGCGCGCCTTGCGCTTCGCCAACTCGGCCTCTAGCTCTGTCGCGGGCAGTCCACGAGTGTAGTCGATGGCAGGCTTCTCTTCGGCGGCAGCTTCGGTCTGGGCGGCAACTTCGGCGGCGGCGCCGGTGGACTCGACCTTCAGGTCATCAGTTGTGGCAGGGTTCTCATCGAGCTTCTGGTTGGGAACAGCAACGGGGTTGGGCACGGCGCCCTGGCCACCAGCTGCAATAGCTGCGGCACCGGCCTCTGTTGATGGCTTCACGGCAGTCTCTGTAGGTTCGTCGTCCCAGTCGATGACATCTTCGGTGACGTCGGGCTTGGCTGGGGCAGGAGCGGCGGGAGCGGCAGCGGCATCGGCAGGTTTGCTTTCGTCGTCTTGTTGCAAGCGCGAGATAAGGTCGGCCTTCTTGCCGGTGTGAGGGAGAGATCGAGACTTAAGGATCTCGACCAATTCAGGGTTGGTCTTCTTGCTGTAGTCGGTCGCCATGGTGCGATTGGGAGATGTGGTAGGGGATTTAAGGTAAGGTGAGGGATTCAAAGATGGAAAGAAAGAAAGAGGTAAGGAATGCGATGCGGGGTGAGACAAATCGAGTGACTCGAGAATCAACGCGATGTGGTCGCGTCCAGGACGGTCACGTGGTATGACAACTGCACAGGCCACCTTTATATAGCGTTAAGTTCAGTTTGTCTTAACAATGGAGTTCTGATCTCACAATAGAACGGAATCTACACTCGACATTACCATTCTGTGGAATCAATACGTACAATGCGATCAATACTAACATCCTCACATGATACTCTATTGCGCACTCAATAGCCATTGAGATGAGAACGTGGAAATACTCCCTACATTACAACCTCTTCAATTTACTCTATAATCACTGGCTACAAATTCCACCAATCACGATTATACAGCAAGATGTACATCGGGGCAATTCACTGGGTTTGCGAACCAGCAATCAACCTCGCCCGGCGACTCCGAACAAATAAATCTCCATTGTCTGTAGTGTATGACTCTTTTTTCTTCTGCTGAGCAAGATCGGTTATCCCCGGATCTCCAAACAATACGAGATACAGCAGAGATCAAGATACCATTGGCAGTGTAGCCCGTGCGTGCAGAGATCAACACGCCACAGAAGCAGTAAGAAGAGGCTGTTAGAAGCAAGCTGGAGTTTGCGCAATGAGACAGTTGGCTCAGATTCTCAAGATCGTAGTCCGAATCAGAGGCTGCCAGTTGTATATGGCTTGTTGGGAGAAAACGTGGCCTGCATGCACTGCGCCACAGCTTTGACGCCACGTTTATTCCTCAGGTCGCAGGCATTAACTGAAGTATAGTCAACTAGATATTCTTTCCAAGTCGAATTTGAATGTCATGGCTATCTAGGGCATGTCAATGACACAGTAGCTCAATATACCCTTTATTCAATTTGTTCTTCTAGCAAAAGTACTCGGAACGAAGTATAGAGAGAGACGCTTGCGACTGTGTAGCTTTTGGTCTCTTCCTATGCTTTTTCTTATGTTCATTTCTTTTCGGAAAAAGCATTCATGAGCTGGCATCTTTTCTGGATTACATTAATTTTCTATACGTACATTTTCCAGAGGTCCATTGTTTCTTAGATATATATGAGTACTAGGATATTTTAGGTCTACGCTCACATCCAAGTCGCACCTTAAGAAGCAGCCACGTACAAGAATGCACCCATAGTATGCGACGGTAAATCTGGGGTTTATTTCTCAAGCCTAACGTTTAAGTAACCTGTATTTCCTAGACAAACTAATTTCATTGGCCTTACATTGTCTCATGAAGCCTGCTGAGAGCTTGGAGTTATCAGCTTTTGCTTCGTTTCATCCAATACTCGGACTTACCCCATTATAAAGTGCGAGTACACCCTCTCCCCGAACAATTCGAACACAGCTAGTCAAGGTGCCTGCTCTCGCACCACCAGGTTCCATCTGGATTCTAACCTTGACTGTAATTCTCAGTTATTACAACAATAATCAGAATTGTTTGATTGGGAAAAACCAACTCAAGTCCAAAGGATGCGAAACAAGCACCGCCATGCCGGACGCAGAACCCCCAAACCACTTCGAGTATATAATTGAAGAAGAATCTATTGATTGTCCCATCGTGAGTTATCTGTCTTAAAGAACACAACGTGTGGTTCTACTTGTCCGCTGGGTCTTTATGTACCTCGTGCATTGGCATACAGCCGATTCAGTGAGTATCGCATACCCCAACGACGGTGCGGGGATTACCGAGCAGTATACTCATAAGTAAGCGAGGACCAACTTGGAAGCAAGTTTGAAAATATAAACATGCTGGACTCAGGGTTTGACTGGTTTGCTTTTTTTGTTTTTGAACAGTTCTGATCGTGTTGTCCATGCTGAGAAGATGATGCAAACGAGACAACGACTTTCTTTGACCTACCAAGAATCCTGCAGAATGCAGGTAAACGTCTAGGTTTGAGATCTAATTGGAACGCAGATAATATTTGCTCAATGTATCGGAGTTATTCTCCGATCTTGTTAGTCAATATGGGTCTATATTTCTTCACAGGCCGCCTACAGATATCGACCTAGCATGGGATCACACATTCATTTTCGATCTGTGACTACAATTCTCGGTTCATGCAAATATCTACATTCACAATGGCCTACATGGAGATGAAACTCGAAAAAAGAAACGGATGTTCACTATACACAGGGCTTATATGAAGCAGTAGTAGAAAAAAACAGACAAAGGAGACTGACAGGACATAATAGAACAACGCCATGGGAAGAAAACATGGAGCATTTGGTATCCCCGAGATAGCATCGAAAGATCTAGGGTTGATCACATTGAGGAAGGAAAAGGGTGGTTCCTCTTTTCTGATTTGTCCCCCATCACAGGCGAGTCTAACCATCTAAGAGGGTGCCATTGAAGGTTTTCTTCGTTTTTTTGTTTTTCTTTTTATTATTGCGTTGCCAATATGTTTACCGGTCAACCTCACCGAACACCAGATCCATGGTACCTGAAGTCATGTTAGTTATGTTTAAGTGAACAGTGAATAGACAGGACTTACCGATAATAGCGACGGCGTCGGCCAAAAGATGACCACGAGACACCTGGTCGAAACCACCCAAGTGAGCGAAACCAGGAGCACGGATCTTGCAGCGGTATGGGCGCTCGCTACCGTCGCTGACGAGGAACACACCCATCTCACCCTTGGGGGCTTCGATGGCTGAGTAGGTTTCACCAGGGGGCACGGAGTAACCCTTGGTGAAGAGCAGGAAGTGGTGAATGAGAGCTTCCATGTTCTCCTTCATGGCGGCACGGGGAGGGGGGGAGATCTTGTAGTCCTCAACACGAACTGGACCAGCAGGCATCTTGTTCAGACACTGGTGGATAATGCGGAGAGACTGACGGAACTCCTCCATACGGCAGAGGTAACGGTCGTAGCAGTCACCGTTAACACCGACGGGAACATCGAATTCAACCTGGTCGTAGGCATCATAGGGCTGAGACTTGCGAATATCGTAGGGGACACCGGAGCCACGGAGCATAACACCGGTGAAACTCATGTTGAGCGCATCGGCGGCGTTGACAACACCAACACCCTGGGTTCTGGCCTTCCAGATACGGTTATCCGTGAGCAACTCTTCGGTCTCGTCGATACGGTCACCGAACTGAGTGGCCCACTGGTAAATGTCATCTAAAAGACCGAGAGGGATATCCTGCGACACACCACCGGGGCGAACGTATGCAGCGTGGAGACGGGCACCGGAGACACGCTCGTAGAATTCCTAGAGCACCCGAAATGTCAGCATATCATATCTTGGTGGCCCCAATTGGCAACGCCCAGGTACTTACCATGAGCTTCTCACGCTCCTCGAAACCCCAGAGGAAAGGAGTCAAAGCACCAACATCCATAGCGTGGGAGAGGACGGACATGAGGTGGTTCAGGATACGGGTCATCTCGCCGAACAAAGTACGGATCCACTTGGCACGCTCGGGAAGTTCAACGTTCAGCAGCTTTTCGACAGCGAGGGAGAAGCACTGCTCGTTTGTCATCATGGAGACATAGTCCAATCGGTCGAAGTAGGGCAGAGCCTGCATGTAGGTCTTGTACTCGATCAACTTCTCGGTACCACGGTGAAGCAGACCGACGTGGGGATCGGATCGAACAATCTCTTCACCATTGAGCTCCAGAATCAATCGGAGCACACCGTGAGCAGCGGGATGCTGGGGACCAAAGTTGACAGTGTAGTGACGAATCTTGCGGTCAATCCCTTCGGCCTCAGATTCCAGACCGGCAGCTTCGGGGTCCTCGGGCGCACCCTTGTTGGCGAAATGGGTGAAGGTCGGGTCGGTCTGGACAAGCTTGGTGGCTTGGTAGGTGGTAGGCTCGGCATGACGACGAGGAACTGAGGTGGCTATCGAGCGGGAACGAGGAATAGATGTGTTGAGCGAGGAGGGGCGGAGGCAGAGCCTTTTGGGCGCATTGCCCGCCAGGCGAGCGAAAGAAGCGGCCATGGAGGATAGAGAGTAGGGGTCCTAGAGGGAAAAGAGGGGAGATGATCCTCAATCCAGCCGCATTCAATGGGTGGAGATGGCTCGCTACGGGTAGGAAACCTGGTGAACGAAGTTGGGAGTCGCGCATTTTGGAACGTCACGTGCTGAGCTGCTTGGGTCATCAGCCGTGCGCTGGTTGGCTTGCGAGGGCCACTATATTGTCTTGGGGCTAGTGTTGGGCTAGGCTGGATGTAGCTTAGCGTCTGGCAACATCACAAGAAATAATCACGTAAGCACACTCTGCATCATACGGAATAAAGGCCTCTTGCTGCCTCAGGCACCATAGAAAATTGCTTCGAGAAATTCCTCTTATCGGTGATCGCGGACTTTACCTTCAACTTTCACCAGACTCACATATTGCCTATCATGGCGCCTCTTGTCCCTTCGCAGGAGGAGCTGCAGCGTCGCCGTGTAAGCTTCAGCTATAATTTCACCCAATTCTTCATACTAATAGTCTCAGATCATCGGCATCAACCCGGAAACCGTCACCAACATCCCCTCCACAGATTTTCCGGGTCACTGGCCAGGAGAGTCGCATGAGTGGGCGCTCGATACATTCAAGAATGTAAGTGCTCTATTTTCATAAGCAAGCTACAATTCCTAGATTGGGCCCATCTAACGATTTATGACGAACAGGGCTTCCAGGTCGAGTTCCACCGCAATGAGCGGTTCGAGTCTTCCTTCTCGCTGATCGGACTCGATGCCTCCGTCGCCAATGCTTTCCGCCGTATTCTCATGGCCGAGATCCCCACCATTGCCATCGAAGACTGCTTCATTCACAATAACACTTCCGTCATTCAAGATGAAGTTCTCGCATCACGACTGGGCCTGGTCCCACTGAAGGGTTCCGTGGAGGGAATCAACTGGATGCACTGGGTCAAGAAGGAATCTGACGATGAGCCCGGTAGCGGAGCTTGCGATTTTAACACCATTGTGCTCCACCTCGAAGTCGAATGCTACAAGAACGAGTTCGCAGACAAGGATGAACAGGACCCCCGCAAGCTCTACACCAACGCTCACGTCTACGCCAAGGATCTCATGTTCCACCCTGTCGGTCGTCAGGCGGATTTCTTCGTTGGCGACGGTGCCATCGCTCCCGTCAACCCCGATATCTTGATCGCCAAGCTGCGCCCCGGTCAAAAGATCGAGATGGAATTGCACTGTGTCAAGGGTATTGGTGCTGACCATGCCAAGTTCTCTCCCGTTGCCACTGCATCGTACCGCCTCCTCCCCGATATCAACATCGAGCGTCCCATCATCGGCGACGATGCCAAGAAGTTCGCCAAGTGCTTCCCCAAGGGAGTGATTGGCCTTGAGCCTGTCACCGCCGCCGAGGCTGCGCGCAGCGGAAGCGGATACGAAGGTCGTGCCGGTGAGCAAAAGGCCGTTGTGAAGGATGCGTTCAAGGATACCGTCAGCCGAGAGTGCTTGCGCTACGATGAGTTCCAGGGCAAGGTGAAGCTGGGACGGGTGCGCGATCACTTCATCTTCAATGTGGAGAGCACTGGTCAGTTTGAGAGCGATGTGCTCTTCCTCGAGGCCGTCAAGGTGCTGAAGTTCAAGTGTGCCCGGTGGAAGAGAGGTCTGACCGATTTGATGGCTTAAGCAATCGGTCATCCCATCTGCTGAAACCTATTTTTATGCATTATCTGGCGTTGGATATGTTTACTGCGTTTGCGCTGTACATTTACGAAAAGTTCGGTCAGGACTTCGCTTCACGAGGCTGGAGTCTTGATGTGGTAATTGCCTTAGAGAGAAGACCGATAACTATCTTCAAATTCCACACTTTCAACTAAAGCTAGACGTCATTCCATTTATGTTTTAAGTGTTATGTGATCCTTGTAGCATCGCAAGCAAGTAACCTTAGTTGAAGCGAAGGCGGAAACGGAAGTCAATGGTATAGGCCGGGTCACTGACAGCGATCTCCTGGCCATCCTCGATCAACTCGTTCAGCTTGAGTAACAGGTTAGGTCTGGTCCGTTCTTCGAGCTGAGGCGGGAAGCGCTGATACAGTGTCTTCTCTTCAGTACGCATACTAGGCTTCTTCAGTTGAGCTTCGGCCCTCTCGCCAAGGCTTTCAATGAAATCACCCAATGTCACATTAGAATCCACATCCAATTTCCGAGCAAGGTTTCCACAGACAGGACAATCGGCCTTCTTCTCCGCCTCGAAGGTATAGGTATAAACTCCTTCCTCGCCGGCGTACATCATGTAGTTATTCAGATAAGGGTTGCAAGAGGTAGCAATCTTGAGCACCTCTGACGTGGTAGACGCGGCAATCACAGCATTAGTTGAAGCAATCGCTGGGATGATGTTCTTGACCACACCTTGGGTCATTTGGAAGGTGACACCGTGGATGTGGAACTGTTGCGCTCGTTCATGGGCAGCATTGTATACCCACGAAATATGCTCCATGTCGTCACTGTCAAAGGTATCATCTTTGCGCTTCTCTTGCCACGCGATTTGGTGCGCCCATTCGATGCAGTGTTGAGGCTGGCGCGGGATGGTGGCAATCGTGCAGAGAGGAACTGCTGGGCGAGGAGCATGCATATCAAGTTGACACTCAATACATGACGAGAGTGTGGGCAGGATGACACGGGCTTGGCCCTTAAATCCTATCAACTGTTCAGCAATTTTTTTTTCCAATTCGACAAAGGGGCATACCTTCTGTTCCGCCATCGATCAGGGGCTTCAAGCTCTCGGGATCCTCCATATCAACCATTGAGACCAGTGTAGAGTTAATCCAGCGCCGAGCTTCGATGCTGTCCAACCCACAAATGATAATCTTAAATTGCATATAATAATCTTCATCTTTATCTTGGATCTTGCCGACATATGGCGTGATGGTAACACCCTTGACTCGTTTTTGGACAAAAGCGGCGGCAACCTCAGCTTTGGGCTTACCGATATCTGCCTGGCGGAAGAGGAACTGTCGATTCAAGTTCGAGATGTCGATGGTATCTGTTGGTGTAAGCATCTGGTCTTAGCTCCAAGAGGGAATATGTACCCATATCAATTACATGGATGTCTTTGAATCCCGACAATGCCAGGTTCTTCAAAATCTCGCATCCTAGTCCTCCAGCTCCACTAGATAAATGTCAGTTGTCTGTCGATAGAAGAGCAGTCATGCCATATTGACGAACATCACCCTGGGATCAACATTAGCAGGATCCATGTCTCGGAAAATACAACAACTCACAATATTTTTGAAGACTCTAGCGTATCAATCGTCTCCTGACCCGGAACCCAGTCCTCATCGGCAAAGGGACCAGGCTTGCTCAGGACGCTATAGAGGGACTTCCTGTGGGGCATTAGAGTGTCCGATCAAGGGCTATCGGACTCGTTCAAACTCACCATCGACTCTGTTGGTCTGTAGTAAAAGTCGGCTCTGGATTCATCTTGAGGAGTTCTCGTTGGGTGAGTGGAAGAGAGTAGATGTTTATAAGCAGTATCAAGCCACGCGCTGAGTCGTCGACACAAGGCAACGAGGCTCCAACGAGAAACAAATAAACGCAAACTTATTGTCAATGATATTCTCGCTTTCAACCACTTTTTGACTCTCTGAAACGATAAAAAGCATGCAGTCCACAAACAACCAAACGGCTGTAAGTGACAACGCCGGTGGGCTGCAAGGCCGATGCGCGTCACGTGCGCCGCCCGCATACTGGAATCTTCACCTCCACCCTTCATCTCCCCAGGATTTCTCGGAAATGGACGATATTTTGACGGCAGTGAAGACTGCCAGGCAGGATACAGGATTCTCTCTGACTCCTGTTTCCACACTGAGCGAGAATGTCTCATCAAAACGCCACTTTGACCTCGACAATCTATCAGCACATCACATCATAGATCTACTCAAGTCCAAACCAGATCATGACCAGCTATTTGCCGCTTTGACGACACTTGATCCTTTCAGCAAACACAGAGCCACAAATGACTTCGATCTCCGAATTAGCAACATCACAACTACTCAGATTGTCCGTTTGTTAGTCAGCACCACGATTCCACATCATTGGAGATCGTTGGATGCCAGCAAAGGGAAAGATGCTAAAGCTCGAGCAGCGTTGCTAAGATGCCTGGGCAACATGACAGGGCTTAGTCTCCTAGTGTCTGAACTAAGAGTTCTGATCAACTCTGTCCGCGCTTCAGCCCACAAAGTCGAGAGTTCAAGCACCCCACTCATCATCGAAGACCTTTTGGCTGTCTTGTCTGCTTTGCTAGAGCCAAAAGATTTCTTGCTGCGTATCCTGACGGATCACTCGGCAGTCTGTGATAACAAGGCCCAGCAGCAAATTATGTGGAAAGAGCTTGTCTCTCTTGTCGCCGGCGGCAAGCTCCTATCCACCGCAGCTGAAGCTCTCACTGTTGTTGATGAATCGAATGTTCAGTCCTCGACCACCTGGGTTGGAACCGGAAATCAGTATGTTTCATGGCTTGGCCGCAATATTTCTCATATGGCGTTGAAGCTCGCTCCCAATAACAAAATCGACCAAATCGACTGGGCCTCGGTGACTTTGTTGACCACTCGAGCTCTGCACCTCGGGTACACCGGTAAGCTTATATTGATTATTCAGATGGATATCAAACTAACATGAGGTAGATCAAATGGTCAAAGAGATTTACTCGGGTTTGATTTTTGAGCAGTCTTCCGCAGTGTCTTTTGGCCTCCTCCTTGACAATCTCAGAAAGGACGATCAGCTATCAGTTTTAGAAGCTATCTTTCGTCACGTTCAACGAAATCACTTTTCCGACGATCTGTCCGGCTCGGTGGATCAGTCAACTACCTCCTTGGAGACCGTCAAGGGTGTTGCGGCTTTGTGTTCTCTCCTGATTTCTAAGCGACCCGAATTGGAAACACATGTTTTAGAATGGCTCTCAAAATCGCAAGGTGGTTCAATTAGCACGCTGGGCTTACGACGTGCGCTATTGGCTTCATTCAGTAACCGAGCTGGTATGTTTTGTTGCGTTCTAAGATAGATCAGACACTAACCTCCTAGCAGATTTATTGAAGGAACTGGTCATGCGCAGCCTCGGAGAGTTTGGCGATAAGTTTTCTATCACGCATGTCTCTATCGTTGTTCAAAATGGTGAGTCGATACTTGTGTTTCCTTCATCAGAATTACTCTAACATCATCTAGCCATTGCACAAGTGATCCTTCTTGCTGTCGGGCACCTTAAGCGGCTAGATTCAGCACAAGCGATGGAAGTCGGGCGATCAGGAGCATATCTCAATGCAGTCTCCAACCGACTTGCGGCATCCTCGAACAGAGCACGGCTTCTGGGTATGATAATTGGAACGGGCATATCTGAGCTTATTGAAGAGGCAGGAAAAGTTCTCAAATTCGATCTTGAAGAAATGCAGAGTGAGGAAGTCAAGATGTATCTGAACTTGACCAAACTCAAGGATGAATGCGGCTCCTCCGAATCACTCAAGTCATTACGAGAAGCGCCTCCAAAGCCAATTCACGCCAAGCGTACGCCAAAGCCGAAAACACAGTTTTCCCTATCCCAAACAAGCAAGATTGTTGCCATTGAAGAGGTTGAAGACAGCGACGAAGAGAAATTTGCAGATGAAGACGACGATGACGATCTCATTCCGTATGAGAAGCCAGACGACGATGCATATGATTCTGACGACGACCCTACGTTGATCCAACGTACCAAACCGACAGCTCCTGTGTAAGTTCCCACTTAGTAGTCTTAATGGTTTGACTAGCAAGGCTTACAAAGTCAGGTACATCCGCGATTTGATCGTTGGCCTACGAGACACCGAGAACATCGAGCGTCATCATCTGGCCATAACCACAGCTCCATCACTGATCCGACGCAAGATAGGATTCGGGACTGAACTTGCGGACAACATCGAGGAACTGGCACTCACGATGGTGGGTCTCCAAAACGATAATAACCACCCGCAATTCCATGAAGCCCGCCTTCAAAGCATGATTGCCTTACTCGTGTCCGAGCCACTCAAGATGGGCCGCTGGTTCACTGGGATCTACTTTGATGGAGACATATCCCAAGTCCAGAGATCCGCCGTTCTTACAGCGTTAGGTCTGAGTGCTCGTGAGCTCGCTGGTAATGGAGAAGATGATGCCAAGAGACTGAACCTGCCAAGTACCGGCGATACCTCATTCCCATCTAAACGACTACCGGCTGCCGTGGAGGCCATGTACCTGGGCCAAAAGGAATCTCCCATCGCAATGCTCACCCGGGAAATGTCTCGCACATCCTTGGAGCCACTTGCAGCCAATGCAGCCGACGCAATGAGCGGCCCTGACGCTCTCAAAGTGCGCACCTTCTCCTCGCGCATGGAAGTCGAGAAGAAACGCCAGCAGCGTGAGACTAAGCGCAAAAATGCCACTGCGAAGGATCTACATGAAGTGCTTGCGAAGGGATTCTTCTTCCCAATGCAAGGCAGATTCGAAATCATGATGCTGCAGTTCTCATCGTATGTCATCTAGGTACACCACAATCCTATCCAAGAATCAACACTAACTTCAGTACCCAGCTCCACTTCCCCGACCTACAACCCATTCTTCATCCCCCACCTGCTAACCCTCTTCCTTCAAACCCTATCCCTCATCCTCTCCACAACTGGCCCACACACACCCCTCCTCCCAGGTCTAACCCACGAAACCCTCTCCCTCCTCATAGCTGTACACAGAATGGCAGCATCCAACGAGCCAACGGTGACCGCCGCCATTCTGTCTCTTTTCCTCGCTATCGTGGATCTAAACATCGAATCTGGCTCGAACGGTGAGGAACGCCTTATCACGCAGTACGCGAAAGAGATGATCGAGCTGCGCGAGTGGGCTTCTCAGGTCTTCGACCGAACCCCAGCAGAAGCTGCTAGGGCTGATCCTACTTCTGCCGTTACAGATCCACAGGAGCAAGTGCGCACCCTTTCTGCTGGTATCATGGTTCGTCTAGGAGAGATTACCGAGCGGTATCAGGGGCGCTTGATGGGTGTTGGTGCTGGGTTCAATTACTAGTGGAAGTGATGATATCAAGAGCATTTCTCATGGCGTTTCATCTATGGTATCCCGCATACGGAAAGCATGAGTTTCGTATGAAAAGCTGAATATTCAATTCGAAGGATTCGAACATATATGTCCCATGCTACAAAGCCATGCTTGGTTTCTGAATGTTGTATCATTATCGCTACCTAGCCATAATCCAATTACTCCGCCTTTGCAAAACTACCCTTCTCAATGGCCGCCTCCATCATCCGATCACCACTAATAATACTAGTAGTACAGATGATAATCTTCCGCCGCGGTGCCTCCTGAGCAGCAATGAACCGCAGCGCCGCAATCTCGGTAAAGGTAATACCACCCAAGAAGAAAACATAGACAGCCTTAGTAGCAGAATTACCACTAAGAGTCTGACGCGCCCTAACAGCCTTATCATCACCTTTCTGCACAATGCTAAAAGTAGCCCCACGAGCACTTTTAACAACATCCTCGAAACCAAGCCAGCCAGGCGAGGTAGCGTTACCGGAATTCAGCGACGCAGCAGGCGAGCCACCCTTGATAAGCGAGAGGATGTACGGTTTCTGCAAAACACATTGAACAAGACGGACACTGAGCGGTGCAAATCCACTGTATACGTATGAGATATCGCTGGGGTCTTTCTCGCTTACCTCCTCGATGACGAGGCGGAGGTTCTTGCGGAGGTAGCTGTAGTTCGTCTTTGTGCCTGCTTGCGCGCCGGATGTTGGAAGGAGCATGGCTGTTGCTGAGGAACGGGGTTGGAGAAGGTCCATTTTCTCTAAGGCCCAGAATGTGAGGAGGTGTTGGTGGCCATAGGCTTGTACGACTTGTCTTTTGAAATTCTCTAGGTCGCGAGGGCGGAGACCGCCTGACATGCAGGATTCCAGGCATAGGAGTCGTAAGACGGTTTTCAATGGGACGTCTCGGGCGATAAGTTCTTCGATTGTCTCGTGTTGGTATGTGGAGTCGGCGCCTGCTGCATTATTCTGCTGAACTTCTAGTGTTTTGCGGAAGGTTTCGGAGCGGGTCAGTCGCATTATTTCCTCTGCGAGATTGGTGTGGGTTCGGAGACTTTGATGTTCCAGCTGGTAGGTAGGTAAGCGTTGGACGAAATCTCGAAGCTCGACTGTTGTTTTGGCGGTATGTCGGCTTTCATATTCATTCTCGAGACGGCGTGCCACCTTGTTCAGTATATCACCCACGATGGCAAAATTTGCATCTCGGAGCTGACTGAATAGTTGGTCGGAGTTATCCAGCTGGATCTTCCTTTTCAAACCCTGCTTCGCTTGCTGGGGTGACTTGGATGACTCTTGAGACTGGGGTGTAGGTGCAGGTCCGATAATGCTTGTGTCAACATCTGCTTGGTTGTTCTTGATGCCGACGTATTCGTCAATTAGGCCTTCGTATGTGAGCTGCGTGAGAAGGGCAGTGCCAAAGTCCACGTCACGGTCAATGATAATCAAGTTCTCTACACTTGCACTTGGTAAGAGTCCTCGTGCAGATGGGTCGGCTAATCCGGAGCTCTCTTCGGCATCAAGTTCCTTTCGCATTCGCAATAAGAGATCTGCTAGACGACGGGCATTGTCGCCTTTCCCCACAATGCGTGGGAAGTAGCCATGTCGCTGTTGAACGCCCATAAGAGCCTTTGCAGCATGGAATATGCATCCTGGGTCTTTGTGCTGTAACATGTCAGAAAGCTTCTTGTCCAATCATCAAGTCACATACCAAGTACAGATCACCAAACGACTCATCGAGCTCTAACGACAGAATATCCTGTTCTAGGGGCATAAAATAGAGAGGTAATTCGGCGACGTTCACGTCGCCAATGATACCCGCCTCTTCTAGGACTGCATTGCTCACGAGAGTTCGCCTCGGGGCGAAGAAGATAGAGAATTCATGTTCAACGTTGCCATTGTTCTGCAACCGCTTTATTTGTTCTAGAAAGCAATGTCAGCTCATCCTGATGGCACCCATTCGAAGGAAGCGGGAAAGAACGCCAATGAAACGGGCTAGTTAAAGACATGAATATGAAACATGTAGATCAATATAGGGACATTCCATTGAATTGCATAGAATAGGAAGCATCTGCACAATCTCATGATGCCCCATAGCCAAGGCATCCAACTAAACAAGCACATAACGATGAAGTATCCATACCTACGACAATTCGAACGTGGCGAGCTTTCTCGCCACGAACCAGGAAGACCACATTGCGTTGTGATGAGTCGATGTTTGCATTTTCCAACAGAAAGACCCGGTCCACACCATACTCCTGGAGCACAGAGAATTTGACAAACAGCCCAACTGGACCCGCCAGCTCCTGGCTGATGACGAGGTTCTTCTTACTCCGGGTCTGGAGAGTAGTTAGCGCTGATCCACGGCAATTCAAGGGGAACTCACGGCTTCGAGCAAAGTCAGTAGATCCCTCCTGGCCTTGTCTCTAAAATGATCAGCATCAGACCCCATCTCTTCTTCCCAGGCAGCAGAACAGCCAGAAATAGCCCAAGTGGCCAAAAATAAACAGAGGATGAAGTGCCACTGCGCCCGCATGCGGTTTAGTGCACTGCCACTGCTGATGTAAGTCGTATTGGTATGGTAATATTTTTGGTATTGGCCATTTGTACCCCTGTATCTTTGGTATGTCACGTACCATCAGGCGGCGGTCTCGACATCCAAGCTCCCCTGAAGGCGTCTCACGTTAAATCTTTTTCTTTTTGTCTCACTTCTTTCTTCTTTTCTTTTCTTCCCTTGCTCTTACACGTTAAAGACTTCTTTAATACAACTCTCTCTATCTGGCCATCATGGGTCTGTTCAAGAAATCCGACGACGACGACTCCAACCGCCGAGCGCTGTTCGGCCGCAAAAAGGACAAGAGTCCAGCGCCCCCCTCCAACCCTTACGCCCAACCCATTCCAGTAGACCCCTACACAAAAGCCAAAATTAGCAACGGTGTCGCCCCCTTGCCTGCCGACCACCCCGCCGCCAACGGTGGCCCCTCGTCGAACAGCCCGCATAACATCCCCTCCGATAACAAGTATTCTTCCGGCTACACCGCCAATCGCTTCGGCAACCAGGGCGGCTACGGAAGTGACCGATTCGGCTCAAACAGCGCTGGCGCTGGCAGCCCGGCCTCGGGATCAGGATCAGGATCGCGATATGGAAACGGTGGCTACGGCGGTCTGGGCAGCTCGGATCCCAATGACCCCGCGGCTGCGGATGCAGCTCGCAGCGAATTGTTCGGAGGCGCCAAGAACCGCACCACGGACAATGGATCCGGCAATGCGCCCCCGCCTTACTCGGAGGGACAAGGTCCGGCGAATAATTACGGTGGCGGTAGCAACGAGTACAGCATGGCGACTTTCCAGGACCGCCAGCTGACCGCGGAAGAAGAGGAGGAGGAAGAGATCCAGGCCACAAAGCAGGAGATGCGCTTTGTCAAGCAGGGTGATGTGGCGTCTACGCGAAATGCACTCCGTGTTGCTGCACAGGCTGAAGAGACCGGTCGCTCCACACTGGCCCGCCTAGGTGCGCAGGGCGAGTCGATTCACGATACCGAAAAGAGCCTTGATATGACCACCATTGAGGGTCGCATTGCTCAGGAGAAGGCCAAGGAACTTAAGACGCTCAACAAGAGCATGTTCGCCGTGCATGTGGCGAACCCATTCACCGCATCCCGGCGTCGGCGCGAGCGCGACGAGAAGGTTCTCAACACTCACCGCGAGGAGCGTGATATCCGCGATGGAACACGGTCCGAGGCGCATGGTACTAACCAGCGTATGGATCGGGTGTTCCGTGATATTGACCGTGATGCGAACCATGCGAGCAAGCAGGGCAAGGGCAAGAAGGCCAGTGTTACCGAGCGTGCCAAGTACCAGTTCGAGGCAGACAGCGAGGACGAAGGTTTGGAGGACGAGATTGAACAGAACCTGGATCTGATTGGCGGTGCCACTGGCCGTCTGAACGGTCTTGCCAGGGCTACTGGCAAGGAATTGGACGAGCAGAACAGACATCTAGAGCGCATCATGGGCAAGGTAAGACTTTTCAAGGAACTGAACGTGTGCTCGAACAAGACACTAACTTTTTGCAGAGCGATTTCGTCGACGATCAGATCGCCATGAACCGGGCCAAGTTGGACCGTATTCACTAAACGTGCCCTTATCAATGGAGCTGCGATATGCCTGGTGCTGTCGAGCTCAGTAATTACCTGCTCTACCTTGGCATGGATCACAAATTGGCGTTGGGGCGGTCCTACATCTGCTTACGGTCTGACGTTCGACTAGCTAAGAATATTGGTTGAATATCGAATACCATAATTGCATTGCGATCATTGTACAACAAATTTTCCAGAGGTGATTGCAACCATGACACAATGGCCGTCACATTGTCTGGTCCTTCGACGCCAAGTCTCCGTAGTATGCATCTTATAGATATCCTGCATTTTCCTGCAAAACAAAGATCGACACTCCCACTGCGGGGGTGGAGAACGCGCAGATCCGAAGCCCTAAGATGCAGCGTGCATCTCACCCATATTCAACTTCATGTCTAGAGCCTCGCCTACAGTGTAGACCTTCCTCGCCGATTTGCCACCATACCCCGAGGATCCCCAAAGACCTCGCCATTCCCATTCGCGATTCTCGTCCTACAGTTATAAAAGCGAAAACAAAGCAGCATCAACCCCCAACCCTCCTAGAAATGATTCAAGGGAGTATCCAACAGTTTCTTCATCTTCCAGAATGGACTTTCCTTAAGAACACAAATAGAGACCAAAGGACTTGGTAGAAGACGGAAAGTACAGGAACGCCGCATACAAAACAAACATACGCACACTGACTGAACTAGCAATACCCCAGAGAATCAGCCTCGGAGTAACTCCATTACTGAAATCCAACAAGCACTGTAACAGTTCCACCTCTCACGTCTTAAGAGACTAATAAGAGCGTGTCGTGGATTAGCTCATTGAGATACTGCCCGCCACGACAAGGGTCCAAAATAGTATATCGGATGAAGTTGAATGTTGATTCTCATGTTGAAGGGAAACCCCCCAATAGCATTAAATGAGGGTACCAGTGACATTAGCTTGGGCCTGGAGTTACCTAGGGAATAAAGTGAGGAGTAAGGGTGTAATATGCACCAAGGTTATTGGGATATACGAGGGGTTGGGCTTATTAGGGAGGGAGGCTAAGTGGTTTCAGTAATCTACATCATCGGGCCCTTTCGATGTTCATTCTAGGATGCAAGGAGGGTCTGGTGAGGGGTGTTGATACCGGTGCTTAGTTACAGGCTGATGGATAATAGTTTGAGGATGACTGGGTTTATCGATCTCAAACCGATTGAGGCTTTGGCTATGTACGTCGCCGTTTGTGGGTGTTTGAAGTCGGCATTTCTCTTTCAGGACTAGGATGTTTCAAGAGTGTATTGAATTGAGGGTATACTAGCCCTACTTAGTGGTAATTACTCTGGAGTAGGTCGACTGCCGGAAGACTGTTTCGCCGTCGTGCTAGAAGAGCAGCAGCATGACTTAGGGCTAGGGTGGTGATTAGGGAGAAAGCTAGGTCGAATCAACAAGGCACAGGGATTACAGTTATTAAGAAACCAATTCAAAGATTTGTCTTAATGGATTAGACAATGTGGCTATACTATAGCGACAGTAAGGTAAACACAGCCGGGCACAGCTGGTTTCAAAACCAAAGAATAACAATGCTTCACATGCGGGTATATCATCACCAACACCAACCCAAAAAAAAACCAAAAACACCACTCAGACGCAGCCCGGGTGGAAACAATAGAGGACCCTTAAACAGAAAATATACCCATGGCCAAGGCTGAAGGGTATATATTGATTGAAAAAAAGAGGCAAGGGACCAATAGTGAAAGGCAAAAAAAGGTGTAAATGTAATAGGTCTAATCCATGCAAGACACGCCATGCAGGCTAGAAGATTAAGGAGAAAAAGTGATGAACAAGTGCAGTAAAGTAATGCAACCTGTACAAGGGGTGGACAAAAATAATAAGTAGAAGAGTAAACCAAACACAAAAAATGGTCCCAGAAGAAAAGAATAGAAAGGACATCGAATCATCACAAGCCCATGGTATCGAAAAACAGCAAAAAGGTGACGCCCAGGTCTAGCGAAAGAATAAGAAAAAAAAAAAAAAAAAAAAAAAAAAAAACCAGGAACGCATATCCAGCCGGTACCTCTATGGTCGTAACGTGGGTCAAACAAAGGAAATAACAGGCAAAAAATGATAAAAGGGTTCTCTCTCAGCCTAAGCCCTCGAACCGAGCCAACATTCCCAAATCAGGCCTTTTGAAAAGGGGTATCAAGGAGTTCTCTCTCCGATGAGTAAATGTATCCGGAGTGAAATAGAGAAATAGAAAAGAGGTGGTCCATGCTGTTGTACAAGGAGACGAGAAATCCCGAGCCATTAATATAACCATGCCAACGCAGTTGGGTCATGGGGGGGGGGGGGACTCGGGTGTAAAGGTAGAATTGGTTCTGTGGCGGGATGGGCAATCTAATGCGTTGAGCACAGAGCAGTTCGAGGAAGAGAGAGAGCACGCTCAAAGGGGTGGACCGCTTCGAGTAGAAAAGAGTCAAATCGTATGAACAAACGATATTTACTCGTCGTCGTCGCCGGAGCCGGCGTCCTTCTCGCCCTTGTGGACCTTCTTGTGTCGGCGCAGATTTGACACAACGGAGAAGTGCCGCCCGCAGCCTTCAACATCACACGCGAAAGCTGGAAATTGTTAGTATCAAGGTACATGTGGGAATCTGGGGGTAAACTCACGCTTCTCGCCAGTGTGGCTGTACATATGTGTCTGTAACGAAGATGGACGCGTGAAACGCTTGTCGCACACCTTGCACTTGTGCTTCTTCTGGGTGTTGGATGGCATCTTGGAGCTGAACTGGCTCATCATAGACTGAGGGCCTGGGGGAGCACTACCAGCTAGGAGGCTGGTTGGGCGCGGGAGAGTGCGCGACTCGTATGACTCGGAGGTTGTTGAACTGTAGTCTGTCACGGAGGAGTCGACTGAGCCAACTGAGGCGCTGTAGTAGGGGTAGTTGCCGCCGGAGGAGATAGAGGAGGTGGAGGAGTGCGTCGAGGGGAAACCGTAGGAGTCGGCTGAGCCACGCGCGCCTCGAGGACCAGGGCCGTAGATGTTGCGCGGTGTCAGGTCCTGGCTGAGAGCGACCATTCCACGGCTTGCATCGAGCGCATCACCAAAGGTGGGCGCGGATGCGGGTGAGGGGCCAACGCGGGCATCTCTGTATACATTGTTAGAATTAAAAAAAAAAATTCCTGCGCAATTCGGAATCGGATCACTCACGAGTGCGAAATGCGACGGTTGTCTGTGGGCGACGGGTGGATTGGAGCGTAGCTGACGGGCGCATAGCTGGCCGGCGCGAAACTGCTCATAGGCGGGGCAGTAGTGTAGGAAGGGGCCTGGTCGAACGTTGTGCGCGGCACCTCGTGTTGCATGCCCATAACTTCGGGGCCATAGCTAGTCGCGTAGGTGCTTCCTGGTACCATTGACGGCGCGGAAACTGGGATGCTGGGGTATGGCATGGACATGCCAGGGCGGTTCACATCCTCCTTGATAGATAGGCTGGCGCCATTGCCCATGGTGGTCGCATAGACTGGAGGTGTCGAGTGCGATGTCGAGTGTGCCCAGGGATCTGTGAATTGCGGCGGATTGTGGTAGACGCTGTCGAAGCTCATGCCGCCATAAGGGCGGTTCTGGTTTTCCATAACCATCGTCATGAGGAGTGTATAGTATAGATCGTCAAGAGAGAGGAGAGTGATAGACCCGATGATCAGAAAAAGTAGAAAGTAGTCTGGGGAAGGGGATCGGCGAAGCTTATGAAGGGGACAATATAGCAGTGCCACTGACGACGTCCCGTCGGGGGTTGCAGATCCATACGTGTATTGTAATTTTTTATTTTATTTTTATTTCTTTTTGTTTTATCATATTTCCCTTTTTTACTTAATTCGCAATTCTGAATTCAATTATCCTTATTATATTCTTATTCCTATTCTATTATTCTTATTCTCTCGTTTCCACTATAGATCTCTATTTGTCTAATTTCCTAGTACTTCCCTACAGACCATAGCTTATAGTCTGTCTTAGTCTACACGGGTATTATATTAATTGCTTAATCTCTAGTCTACTAGTCTCAGGCAGGGTAGGTAAATACTGTAACGCGTAATGTACTCCAAAAATCAGACTCAAGGGGGGAATGCTCTGTGCCGTGTCTGATAAAAAAAGAAAAAAAGAAAAGAAAAAAAAAAAAAAAGAAAAAAAAAAAAAGAAAAGAAAAGAAAAGGAAATGCCCCAAACCAAAAGGGACGCCAAGAATAATACCACGGTTCGCCTCTGTTTCAAGCCAGCGGGGCTTCTTGTCAATGGGTATACCCGTGCCGTTCATAATGAGAGAGTCTTCACTGTGAACACGTTCGATAGTGGGCGGCCTCGGAATTTGGTCTTAAGCCACAGCTCTGACACGGCACAGAGGGGGTTTAGTGCAGCTGCCCCGTCGAATCACTAGCTTTAAGCATTATTGACTACATTCTAATTCCCATCATGACGACTGACATCTTCAAAAGGGACTGTTTCGAATCCTAGTCTCCATGTGGAGGATGTACAGTGCGTGCAATCCACTCTAGCTCCACGCGGGAAAGTGAGCGAGAGCGAAGCCAGACTTGGGTTTCCCTCGGAGTATTTCCGCTATGAACTGTGAGATCTGTGTGAACAGTGAAGTGAAAGTGAGAAATACGAGCGTGCCAACTACCATATGTACAGTAGGACTACACAGTACAGTAGTAGATGCAGGTTATATGCTATTGCCCGGGCCATGCGACCTGTATCACATATACAAATCAAGTGTACTGTATGACGATAAGGGTCGGCAGAGCGATCTGCCACGTCCAGGAAACTAAGACGTCACAGTGGACTATAACCTGCCATGGGGGGTTGTGCATGGGGGGGCATGGGGGTAAAGGGCTTTGGGCAACTTAGCGGCGGCTACGCGGTTGATGCGACCGGGGGCCTAAATCGGATATATCACACCCTGACCCTTTCTTTTTTGGATATTTGCTTTCTCTCCTTTCTCCAGTCTCCATTCTGCTATTTCTATTTGCAGTTGGAAATCTCTATAGTGGAGTAGTCTCTTAGTATCTACAGGTTCGGGAACTATACAAGGTCCCCGAGTGTTGGGTTCCCGAAATGAGAATCACAAGGTACGAGATTAACAACCGAGGAGATGCTGAAGAACCGGGAACACATCCAATCACTGCCCAGGGTCCAAAGTATAGTTTCCCTCCCCCCCCCCCCCCCCCCCATATCTAGCCACCGGGGGGGGAGTAGAAACGCAAATAGTTAGACTGAAGTATATCTGTTGGAGATCATCAGGTGCTCTCCCGGAAAGATAGCGGGACAGATTCAAGAGCGAAAAGGCTTGCCACTGCGGAGAATCTTCGGCCATGGCTTCAGAGACTCACCTGACTTCTCCGCAATCCCTTTTCCAGAAAAACCTAGATGTTCAGCCAGGTAAGAACGATGCATAACCATGGATGCCTCCGGGTTTGCTTGTGGTAACAAAGGAAGGCATCCACGGGTCAAGCAAGTGTACCTCGAAGACCGTGGGTCTACAAATGCCGGCTGGAGTCCGATTAGGTTTTCGTTACGATATCAACCTTTATTTCATAGAAACTATAGACATCTCCAAAACCCGACATTGGTCTCAGGTCTCGCCAAACTTCCGAAGCCCAAAGCCCGTCGGGTATCCATATCTCTGGTAAAGCTCTAGTAAAGCAGGTTCCGACCCGTACTATGGAGCCCCAAGAAATTACACCTGAGCTATTTCCACTGTACTCCGTGTGTACACCTTAAAGCGAACGAGCGAACACAAGCAACATCTGGGCTCCAGTTCGAACCCCCCCCCCCCCCTTTTTTTCAGCCTGCCGTGCGGCCCACTCAACCGGCAGAACACCGACTTTCTGTGCTGGCATGGTGGCGCTGGATGATTTTTGAGTGGTGAGGGGGTGCCAAGAGGGGATGTGTGTGTTGGCTTACGGGCGTTCAGTAGTTCAAGGAAAAAGTCTATATACCATAAAGTCGGATTGTGCCGGATGGACAGTAGGGTAAGGGTAAGGTTTACAGTTCATAGAGGCCCAAGCTAGACACGGGAGGAGTGGACACCCATTTCCCAAGTTGCCCTAACTGTGTACGGAGTACTTGCTCTTCACTGACCGCTTTTCTACGCTAACGTGACACGGCTCATGTTGACGCGTCCTGTGGCAATGTTTTTTTTTTTTTTTTTTGTTTTTTTGCGAGTCCATCCGAGAATCCCGCTGCAAAGGAAGGGCGGTCAAATGTGACGCTGAATACTCGGAGAAATAGACCTGGAGAACCCCAGACTTCATTTATTGACCTCTGGAACACGTTACTCCAGACAGCATACTGCATAGATGTATAACATCATCCTCTGTAGATCAATTCTCACTATATAGATTGAACAAAGTACACTTCTAATCAGATCTGACGATCCGCCTTAATGCCGAATGTCAATCAGGTACCGGTCCTTGGCCAAACAAAGGCCTGTCATCTGCACGGGGCTCCGATCTTGGCGGTTCCCACACGGCAGATCGTCATTGTCCTAAAACAAGGTTGCACATCACCGTTCTGTACAGTGTGAATATGATGTATGATACTACATGCCCATTCCCTTGTACATGTACGTTAGTCTGCACTCTTCTTACCGGAGATATTGTCTGTCTGTCCATGCGGACATCAGACATCTATACATAGAATATTTGGTTACTTCCAGCGTTGCATCCATGGTGGACACAGTGGACACACAAGCAGAGTAAGGTCCAACGGATAAACAGGCAAAATGGCCTGGAAACCCCCCCCAAAAACCAGAAGCCACCGATACCGGACCCCTAAAGTAGTTCAGTTCAGTCCATGGTTGACTCCACATTCTTACATGTTTGTGCAGATCCCCTATCCAACCACCAGGACTCAATTGCAAGCTAAACCCAGCTGGGGACGGCAGATAGTCGATAGCCGAGCTTGGCATAAATTGATCGACCAATCAAACTGACCGTTCCACTACGAGCTGACGCGTGCTCGTCCCGTGCTTTCCTCAACGTGGTTGGTTATGTCTCGGACCCTGTGCGCTTCCTCTTTGCTCTCTTTTTTTTTGGGGGTCTAGTAAATATTCCCAATTTTCTGGAATTCCCCCAATCACACCCCATCCACTATTTTCATGACGTGACCCTGAGTCCCACATTTCCAACACTGCCACTCTCAGGGTCAACGCTAATAATCTGAAACGACGAAGTGGACTCTGTATTTTTCATTCTTTTTGCTTTCAAGATCCGATAGTTTAAGCAGAGTCTAAACCAATCTGGGGAATTCGTCGCTAGCCTTAAATCTTCATTCAGCGGAGTGTCTACAAAGGACTTCGTACTATGTCATCGGATCTCGTGTCGAGATCCAGATTCGGAATACCACGGAGCACCTCGGGCCTGGGACTGACATCAGGTTATAGAGCTAAATACGCCTCAATGCCACCAAACCCTTAAACGGCGATAAACATGACTGTTTGATCGGCCCCCGCCGCCACCATCAAAAGAAGTTCGCCCCAATCCCGTCATCGCGGTTCCGTTGGAGTTCCCCGGCTCGATTTCTCATAATTGGAGCACTAGAGCAAGAGACGGTGTGCGCTGTAAAGGCACCACTGACCTCGCGGTACCACTTACTCAAACCGGGACCGTGTATAGCATCATCTACGTAAAAGGCACATCAAACTCCCCCCCCCATTACACTAAACCACTAAACCACATACTTGCAGAAAGTGGAGACCATCCCACTTGGCGTATGTCACCCGACAGAAATGCACTAGGCACAGACACTCACCTCCTAGTCTTAAGTCTTAGCCCTCTTGACGTCGTGAAGAAAATGTGACGCGCGAAAGGCGCCATTCCAAAATCTCCTCCCCCAGCCCTGCAGGTAGGTGGTAGGTGTGTGCAGGTGTGTGCGCCCCTCGCAGAGTGCCTCAACCGTCAGCATGAATGGAGGCGTCCTGCAGGGTCTCTGATCCCTTGCGAGGCAAATAAGCAATAGGCAATACGGCGGCAATTATGGAGTACGGAATAGAAAAACAGCTTCCCTAGGGAGCAACGCTCACAGCCCGGAAGAATAGTCATATCCAGTAGAGTAGAGGTACTTTCTGTACAGAGTGAGCATGGACAGCCATACAATTCATGTTTCTGAAGCAATCATTCCAAAGCGCATCTCTTTCCCCCAACCTTCCGATCCCTGTCCATCTTGCGCAATCCCCCAGCTGATTGGCGATAGCTCACCATCACGTCCACATAACCTTGAGCTTTTCTCCAGGTTAAGCAGGACCCTTCACATGAATCCGAGGAATTCGAATCCAACCCCGAATTTGAATTTGAATTTGAATTTGAATTTCTATTTCTGTCCAATTCAATTTGAATTTCGGTAGCCTTGCATTGACAGGTACACGCACAGAGGAAGGACGCGTACATGGGCTCCATAGTTAATCTCGCCTCCCTACAGAGTCCTAGATACAATGACCACAATCAAGCGCACCACGCGACCCTCTTGTAAAGCCTACCAAACTGTTATCGCCTGTGGATCCCACCACCTCGGCGTTCCTACCCTGCATGTGCGACACTCTCTCACGATCTAAGGATCTATACAGCTCCATCTGGATTGGATCCTGTGGTCCTTG